ATTTTTGAATGTGAGAAGAAATAAACATTTTCAAATAGGTTTCACTTCCGGAATGTTTTTTCTCCACATGAAGTTATACTGAGATTAAGCAATTTTTAGTTTACATTGTTCGCTTTCATTAAATGAAGGTGTAAGTTATTAAAAGATTCCTGTTTGGCTTTCAGTAATTATCCACATTGTTTTTGCGATTTGAATAAAACCGCGGTTTGAAATATTTTTATTCAACTTTGAATAGCATTAATTTCTCAATAAAAGGTGAAAAACGCACTTTTTACGAGAAAAGGACTGAACAAAAAATAGCGACATGTAAAAATAAATTCTACGTCTTTCGATTTGCATTTTTTCTTGATTACTGATTCATTATCTACCTTCCTCTAGAGTCTCTTCCGTCCCTAGGCGGGCAAATTTATCATGTTAACATATTAAGCTGAACCTTAACTTTCAAATCATCTCTCGGCAAACTTTGCTTCCTCTCATTTCGAATTTTGAAATACGTCAACTTACGTATCGCTGCCGTTCTAAGCAAACCTACAAAAAACTGTTTCCTCGTCATGCGCGTCCTCAGATGAAAAATATAAATGAAATCAATGTGCAATCTAGCTCGCCGATCTTATTTGACTGAGTTTCAAATTGAAATGAAAACTGCGAGCGGCTTTTGTGGAATTGATCTCTATTCGACGCCTCAAAACTTGTTTACTCTGCGATACAGTTATGAACGGACTGGCAAATATTACATCGAAAAAAACCTGAATTGCCAAAAAATAACAAAAGTTGAATTTACGTACCTTTGAGATCTCGACTGATCGTGAATGAAAGCTCAGGGCAGAACTTGAATGAGGATACGTCTCATGTAATTTCTTTCTTGAATTATTCTGTGACTGAGTAATATGCCGTCAAACTCAAAGATTCTGGCAAGGAATGAAAACTTGTTCCCTTAACTGTGACAATGAAATGATTGATTGCAGTGCTGAAACATCATTTCCGTCAGCATCTTTAGGTCAGCATGTCATGTCTTCTGCTTTAAGGCATAGTTTGAATTCATACCCACTCTTCTCGCCACACGCGGTTCGGTTGGTATCTGTAATAGGCGCGATAAAGAGCAATTTCTTCTCTCAGAATCTTTCACTCAGCTCTAAACTGTAGCGATTGACGTACAAGTTCATTGTTTGAAAATTATTGTTAATGATTCAAAAATCAAATACGCATCTCTTTGAGCCGATAGCCGCGTCAGTGTTAATGTGGAGACAATTCAATATATTGTTCGCATTCAAATGTTGTTTCCTCAGAACAGCTGCTCGACCAATCGTACTTACACTGTACTTGGAGGTGAAACAACCAGAAATACATCAAACACTTCGGCCCCTTTGCTCTTCGAGGGAAGGTCTCAGTGATTTCATTGTCTCACAGAGATAAATTAGCAGGCACTCGTAAAAGCCGTCATGCAATTGTTTCGATTATTTAACAAAGGATAAAACTTCAACTGCCTGACGACAAAAGGACCAGCATTTGCATAATAGCAGGATCTTGTCTAAAAGAAAGGAAGCTGGCGGATTACATGTGCTGAAAGCAAAGAAATGACGTACATAACTCACCTCGTTAAACGACAAGAAATTGTCCCATGTCGTTTAATTGTCCCATGAAACAGCAGGCTGAAAAAAGAATCTGATCATCCAAAAATTTCGAGGAGAGGTGTAAAATGCCTAGCTCACAGCGTATAGCAATATAACCCGGAGGTTATCAGCGCCTCACCAGCGCACTGTGTTTAAATCTTTTCAGGTTTCGAGATTTGCATTTTGTGGTGAGGATTAAGTCGTTGCGAATTCGAATGTCCAATATCATATTTATCTCATCTGTCTTTAGCAAAGAGGACACCTTCAACTCGACAACAAATACATTTCTCTCTCCTTATTTCGTTATTTTTCTGTTATGTTAGTTTTATAAAATTCCCTTTTGTTAAAAAATATATATATTTATGAAGGATGACGATATTTAGACTTTGTTCTTATTTCAATGGGAAGCTTCGTGCACGAAAACGGTGGGTCTGGCTTCCGACAACCGTTTTTTTATCTCTATAAACAAGCATCTGGTATGTTTGCAAATACTTCTTTCATCCAGCTAATATTAGCGTAGGACGCTTTTTCCTTCTAGAACAGTCGGACGACAAGCATGAATTATCGAGGAGTTTTTGCCATTAATAACCAGGATCTATGTGAAACAATGGGATTACGGAACCGATTAGAATTGCATCATATAGGGCGTGCATGACTGAAATGTTAAGACAAGACCGACGTCTTTTCCGCAATTTCCGTTTACATTTTTAACTTGCATAAAAAGATTCATTTTGGATACCGAACTGGACCTCCGTATTTTTCCTCTTTATTTAACCGACGGTCGAAGCAGTTTATTGATGCAAAACATAAGGTAGAAGTAAAAAATGTAAGACGCCGTGACGAGTAGAAAAAAAGCGCACAGAACTTCGAATTCAAGTGCAATACCTCGGCACTAAGGGACGAAGGGTATACATCCAGTCTATATGGAAATAGTTTTTCGTAGGAATGGATTGAAAATCCAATCAACGAAAGCCAGCTCTGAGGGCAGGTGTCGTGTTGGCCAATCACAAAGCAGGTTTGCAATAAGTGGGCCTTTTCTTCATTGCAGACGGACGAATGAGCGAGTGAGAGAAAATCGGCTAGTTTTTAGGAAGAGTAAATTCAAGTGACGAGGGAGAGAGAAGTCATTCTTTTTCGGTCCGACGACGTAACTGCGTGGCGCAGACTAGTTTGCTTTAAGTCAGACATACATTGAATTATACCGAGTTTTACTACTCTAATATATTCTTTAGTTGGACCGTTGAAAAGATATCCCGTCGGTCCCTTATATAACATTACTGCGAAGATCGCTTTCACATTCATGAGATATATCTATTGCTCCCGAGTTTGATTACCAGTGAAATCAGCCAGGGACGAGATAGGTAACCAGCATTTCTTTTTGTTATATATTTATTTACAAGTTGACAGAGGCCTTTCAACGGCACCACGGTTTGCCCAATAATTTGATGGACGTCAGCCTCATGTGTCGCAGGAAATTTTTCTTGTTTGTTTTTCTCGCACGGAAGCAGGAAGTTGTTTGTGGTTTTCAATTTCTGCGTCATCCTGTCTCTGTTTATAAACAAGCTGATCGCCCTTATGCGTGCCATCCTTTTGTCACAATCGCCAGTGAATAAGATGAGTATTTATTGGTAATACTGGCCAGGGAGAGCCGCTTACCGTTTCAGTTCGTACAGTGCCGCTCAACAATTCAGTTTCTTTGCTGTGCAGTATGTTTCGTTTCCTTAGCTTTCTGGAAGATTACTGGGTAGTTTAAATCTTCTATAAATAAAATTTGCATATAGTGACAATGCGTACGTCAAATTCTTAAATTAGAGAAGTAAAAAGGCCGGGGGCAGTTTTTAGTGAAAACTATAACTAGTTTTATGCATATTCGGATGCCTTTATGAAAGACTTATACAAAACCTTATATATTCGCAAGGGGTATCCAGATATCAGAGTTTCGTAAACGCACGGCTGGAAAGCTGTAATTGAAAAAATAACGAAGAAATGAGTAAATGAAAATAAAGAGAATTCTCCTTTGCCTTGTGGTTAGTGTGCTTGATATACATATTTGAGATCAGACGTATCTCCTATTAACTATTTAACTCCCAAAAGTGATTAACATGTATCTTCTCCCTGTAATATCCATACATTATCCAGCAAACAGATAATGAGAATATTCAAACTTATTAGAAAATTCTGGTAACTAATTTTCAATTAATTGTATAGCAGCTGGAGGGGAGAATTAACAATCACATCAGGGGCCAGGAGTTCATTCAATTGAAATTTCCTGTCACCCCTTGAAGTAATTCATACATCTTGGTTTGAAAGCTCCGTTCTGGTTCCGGGCCATGGATGAGATAACTCATTGGATTGTAGTCGTGGACGAAAAAACTTTATTTTTACCGTGGCTTAAAATGGACACAAGCGACTTGTAAGGAAGACTTGATTATGTTGATAACATGATGCAACCGTGCGATGGAGAGGCATCTCAACCAGAAAGGAAGGAATATTTGTGATCAGCTGCTATTGGTTCCTATTTGAACGAGTGTCACAGTAAATGTTGTTATTTTTTTAACACCCCTCACCCCCCCCCTGAAAAACGTAACATTTACAGTCTCGGGACATGTGGGTTATTAAAACAGGTAACTTTCTTGTCCTTTTCCAGGTTGAGTAATTCAATTATGATTGTTACTGGAGCACCCGTAAGGCTTAAAGAAGCCATCCACATGAGACATCATCCGGATAACATCATCAGATACAGTGGAATCGAAAATACCCGAGCATGCAAGTCTACCATCAAAAAGCACATGCGCCAGTCAGTAACAGAAGTGAAGCAATGAAGGAATGAACATCAGCCGGTCGGATTGATGATGGGGAACGAAAGAAATCAAACACACCAGTGACAACCAGAATCATCATGTTCCAGGTAGTTTATAGGTGTTACGTCGTCGCGATTAAAAAATTGAAAGCTTCACAGTGCAACTGAAGGTGACTCGTCAAACAAACGACTGATTTCTCTGTCTCTTTTAATGTTTTGGAGCTCCAAGTCCAGAGTTTTCAAAAGCACTAAGGTGCCAATGAAGAAACGGGAAGATATATGGTCGAACCATCCCTTTTCAACGGGTAGTTCACTTTGTCCGAACGTTTCACCTCGACTATCATGAAACCTTTCTAGAATGACCATCAAACTCCAACTTTGTCTCAGTGGGGCCGCAGTGATTGGCCTGACGCAAGGGGTGATTGCACACTGGGTAGACTTATTGCAATCGTCGAAAAGAAAACCTCAAAATCTGTTGTTTCTTTTTCTTTTTAACAGAATGGTTACAGTTCAGTTACTTCGCGTACTTTAGATTTAGCGCGCAGGCTGGAATAATGTAAAGTTGCACTGATCTTTTTTCTTCTCCAACGCAGCAAAATGTTTTCAAACTCCCTTTGCATCGCTCGATTCATAACCCCATAAATTATCGGGTTGATCCAAGCAGAGATGCAAGAAAACAGCATGGGCATCGATTGTAAGTAGGAAGGAACCGATGTCTTCAAGCCAAACTCGACAGCTTTCATGGCAATCCCGGGCATCCAAGAGACACAAAATCCGAATACGGCGACGAAAAGAACCCGAGAGGTTTTTATTTCCTGTGCTCGTGATACGCCTTGGTTGTTTCCTTCATGTATGAAAGGAACGACCGCATTTTTGTGTCGCCAGATGACACGGTAGACTCCGCAATAACCAAATAACACGAACAACATCGATAGAGAAGTGCATATTCCAAAACCAATGTAGACAACCTTCGTAGTATTTTCATCGGGGAAGGTCACTCTGCAGTGAAGGGCGTTTGGCTGCCATTCGAAAGTAGCTTGCAATGCAACAATGAACACGAGGTAGAAAACAAACATGAAAATCCACACGAAACAAATCGAGATCATAGTTTTCTTTTTAGAGAAGAAGAACGAGTAATGTTGTGGTTTTACAACGCAAACATATCGATTAATTGCTGTAAGAGCCAAGATACTGAGGGACACAAAAACCCAGTAATTTGTAAGAAAACCAGTAAACTGGCAAAATTCGTGACTAAAGGGCCATTTTCGTAAACCAGAAGCTGCGGTCACAGAGGGAAACACAAAAACTGCCACCATGAGATCTACCACCGCCAGGGACAAAACGTAGAAATTAGTGATAGTTCGTAGACTCTTGTTTCTGTAGAAAGCCAAACAAATCAAGACGTTTCCAGCCAGAGATAGGACCATCATGATGGTAAAAAAAGCTGTGTGTAGAACGACAGCTCGCAACCCTCTCGAATCTTGTTCTTCGCTTTCTACCATTGTAATGCTGAAGCAAAGAGCTAAAATCCTTTTAATTGATATTTTTTCCCTTGAGATATGAAGCAAGGAAAGTATGAGGTATCGAGGTCTTTTCTCAACAGTCTTAGTCCTTTCTACGGCTCTTTCTTGGAACGTTTTGTATCAACTAATAGCTGACTGTGTATACCCCATTTTTCTGTTGGTGCAAAGTAACTCCTAGTGACGCACAAATATTGAACTAAAAGAAAATATAATTGGTACAACAGTTTCCCTTCAGCCAATGGGAAGCAAGAATTATTGCAAAGGGAAAAGAAAGCTGACAAGGCATTGGGATATAGAGCTGTCAACGCTTCCCTCAGAAACATTTTCCTTCATTTTTATATCATTATTTACTTTGCAGCACGTACTAGCAACAAGGCTAAAGAGGTGTAACTACAGAATAACTGTTGTTTTCAAATAAAAACTGACACATTAATTACCTTCCTCAAAGGGCATGTTTACTTTTGTGACGGCTATTTCTTAGAAAGACAAATACAAATTTTGTTATCCCGGAAAAAGGATAATTAAACCTCTTTTTGACTTTGTGTCGCTCTGAAGACTCATTGGGGGAGAATTTTGCAATCTCTGATCTCCATACATCTGCCTTGCCTGGAGTGTAATCAATCCAATAAATCATAAAGAGTTTTTGACAGGTTCGTTCCTAATAACTCGCCACCTTTCTGCTCCCTGCTGTCTGTTTCTGAATCCTATTGGGTAAATGGACATTTCAAAATTACATAGATCAACAAATAATTGATAAACTCGTTACAGGTATAAAACTTGGATTTATGCCCTCCATAACACGGTGAAATAACAAGCAAAACCATGTAAAAAAAAAAAAAAAAAAAAAAAAAAAAAAAGAAAAAAGAAAAAAAAGCTCAGTGCTTTGCCCAAGTAAATAAAATGGTTCAAAACAAAGATTCAAGAAGCTTTCTTGCCGTCATGCTACACACAGTTCTGCTGGGCATCATTTTTGTTTTGTCTTCGTTTGGAAACTTGCTGGTATCTCTGGCTTTTTACAAAAACAGACGATTGCGATCAATCACTAATTTTTACGTTTTGTCTCTGGCAGTGGCTGATTTAACGGTAGCCATCTTTGCGTTTCCTTCTGTTATCGTGGCTTCTGGATTACAGGATATGGCCATTCAGTGACGGATCCTGTCAGTTTTCTGGTTTTGCTACAAGTTACTTGTTTATCACTTTGCATTCTAGCTCTGACATCGATTAATCGATATTTTTGCGTTGTGAAACCACAACGATACTCTTACTTCTTCAATCGAAAGAAAACTATACTATCAATTTTTTACGTCTGGATTGTTATGTTTATTTTCTATCTAACTTTCTACTTTGCTATGCAAATTCATTTCAAATAGTACCTTAATGCCCTCTACTGCAAAATTACCTTTGAGGAAGAAAATACTACAACTGGCGCCTCTATAAGTTTTGTGATATTTGCCTGTCTATCAATGCTGATGGTGTTATTCGGGTATATTAGAGTCTACAGCGTCGTTTGGCAGCACAACAACGTTGTGGTACTTTTCGTACAAGAAACAAATATCCAAGGTGTACCGCGTGCGCGGGAAATAAAAACCTCTCGAGTGCTTCTTGTTACCGTAATTGGATTTTGCGTTTCTTGGATACCCAATATTGTCGTGACAAGTGTGGAGTTTGGTTTTGGAATGATAATTCCTTTTGGTTTTCAGTCAACGCCAATGGTTTTTGCTTGTGTTTCTGCCTGGATTAATCCGATAATTTATGGTGTCATGAATCGGGCGATGCAAAGAGAGTTTCAAAACATTTTGCTCTGCGGTAAAGATGGAAGGATAAGTAGACAAATACGTGGTGCCAGCTTTTTCGTAAGAGCTATTGATAACAGAAGAACTTTAAATGAAAATGTTCTAACAGTTACTTCACTGTAAAGGAATGGATTGCGTGAGGCACAAGATCGATCCTAGCTTCAAGTTTAGCTCAACAGATTTATTTTTCTGTTGTCCTAGCTCTATAGCCTTAATTATTGTGTGTACCGTGTTTCCTTGTAAATTAATTTCTAATTGTTTCTGATAAGGGGGTTGTCTCTTCAAAATCGCCCGGTTATGATAGGGCTTTGCGTTCTAGCTTTTAGTTATTTGGCGATATTTCTGCTTTGTGAAGTAACATCAAGTTGTTGCTCTAGTCAAGTGCCAAATCCTGCTGGAGCAAATCCCACGTTCTATGGCTTGAAGCAACTAGTATTTTTTCTACTCCACCTGAATGGGATGTCGCCAGGTTTCCATGAGAGCCCTCCAGTACTCATTTACACTCTATGGTGAAAAGGGGCACTGTGATAGTAAAGCGTCTTGCCCCAAAACACAACACTATGAAGTGGAGAAGCTTCGAACCCAGACCTCACGACCCAGAGTCTATCGAAGTAACCTTATGGCCTCTTCATTCCAGATGGTATCCTAATGCCTCGTACTGCAAAATTACCTTTAAGGAAGACAATACTTAAACAGGTGCCTTTATAAGTTTTTTTTTGAACGGCAGTAACTCCTTCTTAACTCCTTCTTCGTCTCAATTTAACCCTAACAAACGCTCAGTCTATCAAATTTTCCTTAAGTCTGATTAAAATTTCACTAACGCTCCATGGGTGGTTTTTCTATTTGCATAGATCATTTAGATGACCTAACCCTTGATATGACATGTAACCTAGCCTTTGTAGGAACTCGAGGCGCGACCTTGAAATGAAACAGCAGGGACACGCATTACCACTCGATCTTTCATATTTATCTCAGTTCTAGGCACCTAATCGTGGTGGTAATGATGACCGTGGCAGCTGTGGTGACCTTGATATGTAAATGGCGCTTCTGATGGGGTAGAGGATGCAATAAATTGGTACTGTAATAAGGACCACAGTGTAAACAATCAGGAAAACAGTAGTTATTATATCAATAAAATTGTTTCTGCAAAAATTATACCCATCCGTAGTTTCTTGTTTCCATCTACGGTGCATCCATTTTTCTTGGTCAGCAACTGCTGTAACTCAAGGGTTTCCTTCAATGCGTTCTTCGTTTCTTTCTTTATTTTGATTTTTGATTTTTTTGTCTATTTTTTAAATATTTTTTACCCAGCGTCCCCAGGTGATTTTTTCGATCTCGTGCCTTTCTCTTTCCTTCCGGCGCCCATTTCATCTTTATACTGATTGCATCCGTCGTTCTCTGATTAAATTTTAAAAAATTTAGATTCAACTGCTTCGCCTACTGTTTGTTTTTTCGAACAAATATCAGTATGCCTAAAGGCTAATAATAATGGTTAAAATGGTGAAAAGGTATCGGCTGCTCCAAATTCTCGTTAATGAAAAATCGCATTAGAATGGCCAATTATTTCATTTATTTTTAACGACGTAGATGATTCCTTCTGACAAGAGATCTTCTTCGTCTCAAAAGGATCATGATTCAGCCAACAGAAGATACGATACACTTGCAAACGTCGATGATTTTCATAGCACTGTTAGCTCTGAACGTAGTTTTTACAGTCCTAAGAAATGCGCTTATTTGTTTGGCCTTTTACTGAAACAGGAGATTACGGACATTGACAAATATCTACGTGCTGTCCCTCGCTACAGGCGATGTAACAACCATTTCCCTCAATTTTCCTGTTGGCTGTATTTCTGCAGGCTTCGAAGAATGGCCGTTCAATTTCCACTTTTGCCAATTTCTTGGCTTTGTTGTTTCCTTTTGGGCTAAAATTTCTGTGAACATATTGGCGTTAACAGCAGTTAATCGTTTCTTTTGCATAGTCAAACCTCACCTGTATTCAGTTCTTTTCTCAAGAAGGAAAAGTATTTTATCAATTATTTTCGTCGTTTCACTAACTTTCTTGGCTTTCTTAACAGCTACACTTGCCATACCTATATTGTTCGAATGGAACCAATTTTACCTATTGTGTTCGCCATCAGGAAATGACCTTAACAACAAATTCTCCTCTTTTATTACTGGCCTTCTGGCCTTAACCATGTTCTCGATTTTTCTCTGCTATGGGGCAGTTTATCACGCGATTAGACGCCACAACTCTGTCGTCATTCCTTCTCTATAAGAGGCAGGAGGTCCTGGAAATGTACCTGTAAGTCGTCATGAAATTCACGCATCATGGACTCTTTTAGCTGCCGTCGTAGGATTTTGCATTTGCTGGATCCCGCCAGCAACCGCGAGGGCTTTACAAGATATGATGCATTTGCCGGTGCCACCATTTTGGTTGTCTTTTTCCACACTGTTTGGCGCCTTCAGTGGCTGGATCAATCCTGTTACCTACGGTGTCATGAATAGAGTCATGAGGAAAGAATTTCTCAAAGTACTACGTCGCCAAAAAGAAAACTGATGGAGGCAGCTATTCGCTCCAAAAAATGGTTTCTATTTGTATTCTAGTGTATTCTTTGTAATCTGGGAAGGATCAAAGATCATGCAAAATAAAATTCAATGATATTTTCATTCTGATTCTTTCTCTTGAAGTAGAAATTGCTAGGCTTTTAGTCAGCAATATTGAGATGAGGACTTTGAATGGATCATTCAGTTACGCAATACCCTCTGAATTAGTGGTCTACGGTGGTTAGTTGATGTTCTTCGTAGAAAATCGTTTTCAATTTCACCGACTATGGCAGCATGTCGAAAGGGATAAAAAAATTGTGGTGCTTATCTAGTTTGAACCAATTTTATGCACACTGAGATGCAACTTGGATCAAAACAGTTCAGTCTTTGAGTTAATGGCTTGTTCTGTCAAAGCTTCGACAGATGGTTTCAGAATCGGTTTAACATGCAGATTAGCTGTGAAAGACGCTATGACACCGATTCAATTCAGGTAAGAAATTAGTTTCAAACTGATAACAGCTTGTGGCACGATCATCACTCAAATAGCCTGAATATGCTCCTTATTGGTCGAAAGAGTACTATATTGCCAATATTTCTGGGAAAGAAAAACTATTGCTCCCAAAGACACACCTTCAATAGAAAGCGACGGGAACAGGCTCTTGGTAATCAAAACATTGAGGATAACATGTCCACGAGAGAGAGCGGAAACGGCTACTCACAGTTAAAAACCTTTAAGCGGTAATCCTTTTTTACACTTGTATCTTTAGTTATAGCTTGTTGTAACCAGCTGTCTAACCTTTGGTGTCGCTGAAGAATGGAGGAGGATACACGAAGCCTGACAATCGTCGTCACGCATACAGTTTTTTGCAGTCTTTCGACACTTTTGGCACTAGCTGGAAACTTGCTCGTTTTTCTCGCTCTCTACAGAAACGGGAGATTACGAACTATTACTAACCTTTGCGTGATGTCTCTGGCAGTGGCTGATGTGATTGCAGCGGCCTTTCTTTTTCCTTTTAGAGCAATCGCCTCTGGCTCACGTAGGTGGCCATTCGGTTACAATTTTGCCCAGTTTGCAGGTTTCATTCGACTCGTCTGGGTTGGGGTGTCAGTTTGTTCCCATGTGCTAACAGCTGTCAATCGATATTTTTGTGTTGTAAAGCCACAAAGGTACTCCATCTTCTTCAGTAGAAAGAAAGCGATTCTATCAATTATTTTAGTTTGGCTAGTAATGTGTGTTATTTCATTGACCGGTGCTCTTGGCTTAAAATTTATTTACCTGTGGAATCCAAACAGCATCAGCCTAAACGGCATTTTAAAAAGTGATAAAAAGATTGGGAAGACTGTTAATATCGTTTTCTTATGCTTCGGCTCGCTATCAATTTCGATGGTAGTATATGGTTATGGAGGCGTCTATCGAGTCATACTACAACACAATAATGCTGTCGCCCCTTCTCTTCAAGGAGCCAGTAACTCAGGTGCACTGTTGGCACAGGAAATAAAATCCTGTCGAGTTCTTTTTGCCACCGTGTTTGGATTCTGCACCACCTGGTTTCCTTGGATTCCTTTGATAATTTTAGAACGTGGTTTTAACATTTCCATTCCATCCGTTGCTCTATCGATTCCAGCGTTGTCAACTTCCATCTCTACGTGGATCAATCCGGTGATCTATGGTGTGATGAATCGAGCAATGCGAAAGGAGTTTCAAAACATACTTCTATGTCGGAATTGAGGGTGGCTGAGAAAATCCATCCGATGACACCGCTGTAGTGTAAATGACCACTTGGTAGAGAGAAACTGAAGCGAGGGCAGCATTAGATTAAAAAAACGGAGGAAGTACTTATGGTGTCAGCCCTGCTAAATTGTTTTCAATGGCAAGTTAATGTTTTCCCTGCCCAAATGATTTCCTTAAAATTTTTATTTGCCCAAACTAGATCAAACTCTCCGTCAGATCAAATGCTTCACCAAATATCTCGTGTCAGTTTAAGAAATTTCTAGGATTTTTTCATAAAGATAACCAGAAAATTTAGCAAGCGAAGGTTGCTTGATGCAAGCTGGTACGAATATCAATTGCTAGTTCGGTCATTTATAAAAAATTTCGAGACCAAACTCCGTGAATTTTTTGGGATGTTTTTAAAGCAAAACAAGCCATAAGTATTGATCCTATTTTTCAGCATATGTTTTTAAAAGATAGACCATTTCTGCTTTTATTGGTTTAAAACGTTCACAATTAGCCAGGGTCAGAATGCTTCATCAATTTTTCTGAGCTATTTAGTTTTTGTTCATTGTGAGATACATATTGCCATTATAGCAGTGTTCAGCTCAGCTGATCTTAACACCCGCTGCAGGCGATAATGAGATTTTCTAAATCATTCCGCTTTTAAGGACCATTGGATTTAATTATTAAAATAAATGACACAACCACCTTGAAGCTGCACCTCTTTAACTTGCGTGGAAAGTCAAGTTTTGTCTTGAGCAGTGAAACACCTTGAACAGTGATCAGTAGGTTAATTCTGTTATGGCATTCTTTTTGCACCCGGTACTTTTTGAGTTATTTTTTTTATAATAAAAAAATAACAACTATGTTAGCGTAAAGAGAGCGGTTTGTTGCTCGCACCAATCAGATCGTTTAGGGTATGTATCTCGCATCAATCATGTGGCCGTATTAGGGTATGTATCTCGCACCAATTATGTGGCCGTATTAGGGTATATATCTCGCACCAATCAGAGCGTCGTTTTTGCTCCATGGTTGGAGAGGTGTTAAAATTTCAACAAAGTAATGGGGGATTCGGAGAGAGCGGTTCGTAAAATGGAACCATCTTTTAGAATGAGAAATGTTGGCTTTTTCTATTTTTTCAACGTGTATTTTACCGCGCTTTATGAGAAATGCGATACTGCTGGACAGATGAAAGATATTAGATTACCTATAGTAAACGTGTTAATCATGCTGTGAAAATGGTGGATAGTTATTCGAGAGAAAATGGAGTCCTGTGCACCGTTGCACGATCATGGTAATTGTTCCTTCACGACGATAGTGAGTGGAAAAATTTTGAATCAAATATTGCTTGAGGTGTTGATGAATTGTACCAAACATTTTGATTTGAGCAGTTCTTTAACGGCAAGCTGTGTTGCAAGATTCATGATTTGTTGTGTGCCGATTATATTTTTCTGAATTGGTTTGCTTGGCGCTGATTAATATCTGATTAAAATTAACTATGGACGATTTTGTGTATGTCTTCGATGCCTGGAGAAAGTTGACTTGTGAAGTCGTTTGTGTTTGGCCAAGGACGAATTCACATACCATCGTTAGCATGTTTATTTGATTTTGTTATCTGGAATGAATGATTTACGGAGGTAAGTAAATAGTATGTAATTTACTAACATCGAAAATATATTAAGTCGAAGGTACAGCTTTGGTCTCGGTCCGCAATTTTTCCTACAAAATAAACACATACCGCTTAAAAAGATGATAATACGGACCACTTGCAAAGCTGTCGAATATTGCGCGAGTTAAATTATTAATAGTCACATCTTATTTATATCTGCTATGTTTTGAGCGTGACGTCACATATTCCTTTTTATTTCGTTGGACATCACACCAACCAACTCGCGCCCAAAGTAGACTACAAGAAGGCTTGAAATTATATTAAGATCGATTTTGATGAAGAAACGGGCCAGGAATATTCCACAATAGTGCAAATAATCGTGAAAGCTGATCGCGGAAAAGCGACGGTCGCCAAGTTGTAAGATGACCAGACGAAAAAACTCTTTAGATTCTCAGTCTGCATTTTGTACCCACTCTGCAGTCTGCAGTCTACATTTTGTACCTAGTCTACATTTTTTATCCGGTCTGCAGTCTGCATTTCGTACTAACAGGTTACGTGGCACCGATACAGTTTATTTTGGTTACAGTTATTTGCACAACACATACAATCTACCACAAAATACCTTTGTGAGAGTTAATTCGACATTTTCGTTCTTTTCCGCGTTAATACTCCTCTTTCCTTTTGTAAAAATGTAGACTTCACTTGCAATGTTTCAAGTAATCCACCCACCTCCAAAAAATGACTCTTGGCATGCATAGCATGCCTATGTTTTGCAAGAGCAGCTATTTCCTATAAATCATGATCTCACGTTGTGTTTTATCTTGAGGCGTTTCGCGCTCAGTCGATTTGTACCTAAATTCAGACGTTTCGTACCCAGTTTGTGTCGGTTCGAAACCAACCCACTAGACGATTCATACCCGTCCCAATGCTAGAGCGCAAGTGAAATAAATCTTTTAAATATCTTGGAAAATCAGGAAAAAGAAGACATTTAAAACGGTAAGAACCATGCTTTTTACTGGTTATTCCTGAGGTTTGCAATTCCTGCCCTTTTTAGCGAACTATTTCCGCCAGCGGGAAAGTTCTTTAAAATAAATGGAAGAATAGGTTCGTTTAGAAGGTCCAGTTTGTTATTGTCTTGTTCACTAGAGAAATACCACACCATAGAACAACGGCAGAATTGGTGTTACAACAAATTTAAGGGCCAGCGGTTTATCTGCAAATTAGGCTTCAGTCCCCTCGCGTCCGTATTAATATATTGAAATTTTCGCGCGAAAAGAACAGTACTGCTGTGCAGTTTGTCGTGCTATGATCGTTACTTTGCTGCATCTCGTGTACTCCTTCTATCCGAACCGTCAGGTACTTTTTGCGTTGTCTTTTGCAGTTTGATGTTTCGCTTTTTGATCGTAATTATTGTTGTCGATAGTTGGCTGTAGTGTAATTTAAGTCTTTGCCCTATAGTGTTCTTGAATGTCACTTTGCCGCAGACGCATGAACCTAAAGCTGTGGATAGTAAGGCCAGCAGTTGTTCCGCATCTTCCATCGCATTCGTTTAAGCAAAGGATACGGAAACTCCACTAAATTTGGTGTTTTTAGCAAGCATAATCTATCATTGTTTACCTCTATTCCAAAGCTTAAGCCGCTTTAATATTTGATTCTTTTTTCTAAATTTTAGGCTGCGCCTTCGAGGACTACTTGAAATCGTTTCTGTCTTGTTATGTGCCAGTTTTGCAATCACAGGAACTCTTTATTCTTCCCATGATCTTACGAAGTAAGAATCTCCTCTTTGCTTGATATTTAGCACTTTGTCAAGTTTATTCATTCCATGAATATGGCTGAGTTAGTCGTAACAAAACCAAATCCTCCGATCGTGTCCCCCTAATTAAACTGATGGTCAATGTTTCCAAATATCATCTCTTGGTTTTTTTCTAAGATTGGATATCATTCTGTTGAACTCGAACCAGACATTAGCTGAGTTTTTACCTCATGTGAGACACGCCCCTTCAAAGATACTGGATCCGTATTGGAGTTATGGAGTTGACCATCGTCTGCATATAGGCTTAATTGTAAAGTTTTGATTTGTAAGAATAAATCGTTTATAAGAAATATTGTTCCCAAGAACACTGCCTTGTGGTACTCCTCACCTAACCTCTTGCCACTCTCACATTGCATCCTTCCGTGTAAGTAATCTCCAAGAAGCATACGATAAAATATAAGTTATCATTATCTTAGTGCCATTTATTTCTAAAAAATTATTTCCTTTCTCAGTTTATAGTTCCCAACTTCAGTAAATCCATTTCTCTTGGTCACCAGCTGCTGTACACTCAAGGACTCCCTTTCCGCTTCCTTCCTTGACCTCCGCATATTATTTTCATTGTTTTTTTCTTTTTTATCTATTTCGAAAATCTTTTTTACCCTGCGTCCCCAGGTGGTTTTTTCGGTCTCCCGCATTTTTCCTTTCTTTCTGTTGCTCATTTCAGGTTTATACTCTGATTGCAGTCGCCGTTCGTTGAAATTTCGATCCTCCTGCTTAGTCTCGTGGCTGAATAAAAACTGTTGTATACGGTGTCATGAATAGAGTCATGAGAAAAAATCTCTCAAACTACTACGTTACCAAAAATTAACAGAATGATGGCTGCAGCTTTATGCTACAAAAAACAATTTGTATTCATCTATACTTTTTAAATGTATTATTTGTAGGAAGGTTCGAAGATTATGCAATATAAAATTCAAAGAAATTTTCATTTTGTTTATTTCCCTTGATATAAAACTGCTGTGCTCTTAGTAATTAATATTCAGATCGGGACTTGTGGAGGAATCATTGTTTACACGTTACCCTGTGATATAGCGTGGTCTACAATTGTTGATTGATAGTTTTTCGTACGATATATTGTGCTATTTCACGCTATTGACTATGGCAGCATGTTGCAGAAGATAAGAAAATCATTTTTATCTATTTTGAACCAATTTTCATGCACAATGAGATGCAACTTGGATCAAAACACTTGTTATGACAAAGCTTCGACAAATGATTTTAGGGTCTGTTTAATACGTGCAGTACCAACGCACCGATTAAGTCTATTGAGCTAAGTTCCACTTATATGGTAAGTAGATGAGCTATCAAAGACGCTTTGTCACTGATTCAAGTCAGGTAAGGAATTAGTTTCAAACTAATAACAGCTTGCTGCACGATCGTCACTTAAATAGCCCGAATATGCTCCCTATTGGTCGAAAAAATGCTATACTGCCAATTTTTCTACGGGAGAAGAACTATTGCTTCCAAAAGAATAGTCTGATTAAATCTGAGGGGAATTAGCTCTTGTTTATTCTCGCAAGATTGGGGATGATAAGTCCACGAGGGAGCAGGAACGGCTACTAACAGTTGAAGCGGTGATCCTTTTCATCACTTGTATTTTTAGTTATAGCTTGTTGTAGCCAGCTGTCTAACCTTTGGTGTCACTAAAGAATGGTACAAATAGAGGAGGATACACGAAGCTTGACAATTGTCGTCACGCATACAGTTTCTTACGGGCTTACGACACTTTTGGCACTAGCTGGAAACTTGCTCGTTTTTCTCGCTCTCTACAGAAACAGGAGATTACGAACTATCACTAACCTTTACGTGATATCGCTGGCAGTGGCTGACGTGATTGCAGCGACCTTTCCTTTTCCTTTTAGAACAATCGTCTCTGGCTTACGTAGGTGGCCATTTGGTTATAATTTTGCCCAGTTTGCAGGTTGTATTCAATTCTTCTGGACTGGGGTATCAATTTGTACCCTTATGCTAACAGCTGTTAATCGATATTTTTGCGTCGTAAAGCCCCAAAGGTACTCAATCTACTTCAGTAGAAAGAAAGCGACGCTGTCGATCATTTTAGTTTGGTTAGTAATGTGTGTTATTTCATTTACCGTTGCTTTCTCTTCGCAATTTGTTTACCTCTGGAATCCAAACGTCTGCATGTTCCGTGTTATTACGACTGCTAAAGCTAGTAATGTCGCTTACTCATGCTTCGGCTTTCTATCAATCTCGATCGTAGTGTATGGTTATGGAAGCGTCTATCGAGTCATACTACGACACAATAATGCTGTCGCCCCTTCTCTTCAAGGAGCCAATAGCTCAGGTGCAGTGTCGGCACAAGAGATAAAATCCTGTCGAGTTCTTTTTGCCACCGTGTTTGGATTCTGCACCACCTGGTTTCCTTGGATTCCTTTGATAATTTTAGAACATGGCTTTAAAATTTCCATTCCATCCGTTGTACTATCGATTGCAATGTTGTCAACGTCCATCTCTACGTGGATCAATCCGGTGATCTATGGCGTTATGAATCGAGCAATGCGAAGGGAGTTTCAAAACATACTTCTATGTCGGAATTGAGGGTGGCCAAGAAAATCCATCTGATGACACCTTTGTAGTGTGAATGACCACTTGGTAGAGTAAACCTGAAGCGAGGGCAGCATTAGATTCAAAAACGGAGAAAGCTTTTATGGCGTCTGCCCCACAGAATTAGTTTTAGCAAGTTAATGTTTTCCCTTCACAAATAGTACCCTTTGCCGGTCCAAAGTAAACTCAACTATCTGTTAGATCAAATGCTTAAAACATTTTCCGATATTTTTTCAAGAAGTTGGCGAAAGGTTCAGCAATTGAATGTTCTCGATGCATGCTGAGAAGAGAATGAATTGCTAGTTAAACATTTATACAATATTTCTATGTCAAATTCTGGCGAATTTTTAGGATGTTTTGAATGTAAAACTAGCCATAAATTTTGAACCCGTATTTCAATTGAAAGATAGATTATTTCAGCCAGTATTAATGTAAAAAATGTAAAACACTGAGCTTGACAGGAGTCATCTTAGCCGGGTTCAGAGTGCTTCGATAATTTTTGTGATATATATTTTGTTTGTGCTGAGGTCTATGCTGTACAGCGTGCTCAGTTCTGCTGGTCTTTGATACTCGCTGCAATCAATGGTGAACTTTTCTCGAAATCATTCTGTTTTAAAGGAACATGTGATCTTTTTTGTTAACGACAGAACTTTCTTAGAGCTGGACTTTCTTTCGTGATAATAACAGCTTGCGTGGAAAATTGAAATATTTTTCTCATATAAAAATCCAACCCTTTGACTAGGGATCGGCAGGTTATCTCCTTTATTTCATTCGTTTAATTAACACCTGTTGGATTTTTCCCAAGAGGAGCTATGTTTCCTAAAAACCATACACTGGCAAATGTTATAATTATCTGCCATTGACAACTAATATGTTGAGGCCTTTTGTTTTGTAAAAAAGATAAATCCGGTAGACGAGTTATTCTGTTTCTACAAGAAGAACAGTTCTGAGAGAAGATTTTATATTGAAATGGGTGTTTGTCGATTCTTTCTTTTGAAATTCTGTTTAGTTTTTCATTCTATCTTCACTTAACTATTTATCAAGAGAATATTCTCTCGTTATTTATTCACATTTGATTTTTCGCTTAGCTAGGGACCAGGCCCTCACAAGAGAATATCAACGGTTTAAAGTCCCTTGACCCTCATCATTTTTAAACGCTTTGCCACGAGTTAAGAAAAAGTAAGGGTTTGTTTGAGAAACGCTAGCCGGCTAGAGGTCTGCATGAATGCAAAGGGTCTAGAAGTGATATGTTTAAGAGATTCCTAAAGGGGTTATAGCTTTTACAGCTAGCAGTTTAAAATTTTGGCCATTTCACGATTTCCGATTTATCTATTTTCTTTGTTATCAAAAGAACGATATTTACGGTTGACATTTTTTACGACTAACGGTTAAAATTCTTAAATTTTCGCCTAATAGCTAATATTTTTCGCTGTGTTATGGCTAACAAGAAAAAGAATAAAGGCGTGTAAGTTACTAAAGAAACTGTGTTGCTGCGTCGGTGGGAGAGTGTAACAAAGTAATTTGATGTTTTCTGCTGAGTTGATAACTTAAATTGGCCACCGTAAGGAGTTTAAAAACGGACGTGACGAAACGCTCGAAATGTCAGCTTTTATACTCTTTACGGTGGCCAGTTTAAGTTATCAACTCAATTGATGACATCAAATTACCTTCCTTTTTGTTAGTTGGTTGTCAGACAGCTGATCCTTCTGTGCAGATGCATTGTTGATGTATTTATTTGATTATCTATTTATATACTTGATATGACTTTGTCAATTCATGGTGAATAAAATGCACAGTAATCATGAATTCGTATTTATCTGTCTCTCTGGGAGTTGCGTAGAAGAGAATGACGATAGACATTAGAGACTCAGTCAAAACTAATATAACTGATATAGTCCATAAATTTCAATTTGTTATTCGAGTCTAATTTGAAGTGTATTAAAACAAAGGAAAAGGAGGGAGGGTTTAATTTTAAGGCTCGCTAATGGATTGGTCATTGTCAATCGCCGGGTGGCGGGGGAGAGGGGCGTTGGACGAGTTTAATACCTGATCCCCCATACGGTTTTGTAGTATTCTGATGATTACTCTCCATTGATAGTCAATTTTCTGTAGCCCCCACCCATCCCCCCCCCTCCTACTAAGCTCTCTGAGAAACGACTAATATCCCCTCCATTCCCTCCGAAAAGCATATGATCCCCGCCCAAATCCTCCGACCCAAAATAATGACCAGTTTCTATAAGCTTAGTATAGCTGGACAATGGCCGTGTAGCCAGCACGGCACTCCAAAAGGATTAGGGAGCCACCTGCTCTTTTGTATCGTTTGTCCCTAAAGATACAGCGGGCTCATGCAGTCTCATTTGGGATGACGAGTACCCTGTACATCAAATCAGCTGTTTAGGGGATGTGAAGGTTGAAGTAGGCCATCAAAGATGATTAGATAATTGTCCAAGGAGGAAATCAAGGGCAACCTGGATGGAGAGGAACTAAACTTGAGCCTGTGCAATTTGACAAAAGTACCAATACGAAAGATGGTTTGCGAGTGTTTTAACTCCAACATCAATCAATGGATATTCTTGCGTTGTGAAACCACAACGATACTTTTATTCCTTCAATCGAAAGAAAACTATACTATCCATTTTTTACGTCTGGATTATTATGTTTATTTTCTATCAACTTTCTACTTTGCTATGCAAGCTCATTTCTAATAGTACCCTGATCCCCTCTACTGAAAATTACCTTTGAGGAAGAAAATACTACAACTGACGCCTCTATAAGTTTTGCAATATTTGCTTTTTCTATCAATGCTGATGGTGTTATCCGGTTATGTTAGAGTCTACAGCGTCGTTCGGCAGCACAAGAATGTTGTAGTCCCTTTTGTGCAAGAAGCAAATATCCAAGGTGTACCGCGTGCGCGGGAAATAAAAACTTCTCGAGTGCTTCTTGTTACCGTAACTGGATTTTGCTTTTCTTGGATACCCAATATTATCATGACAATTGTGAAGTTTGGTGTTGGAATGACGATTCCTTCTGGTTTTCAATCAACGCCAGTGGTTTTTGTTTGTGTTTCTGCCTCGATTAATCCGATAATTAATGGTGTCATGAATCGGGCGATGCAAAAGGAGTTTCCAAAACATTTTGCTCTGCGGTATATATAAAGGTGGAAGGATTAGAAGACAAATTTGTGGTCCCAGCTTTTTCGTGAGAGCTAATGATAACAGAAGAACTTTAAATGAAAATGTTCTAACAGTTGCTTCACTGTAAAGGAATGGATTGCACGGGGCACAAGATCGATCCTAGCTTGAAAGAACTTTAACTCAACAGATTTATTTTTCTGTTGTCCTAGTTCTTTGGTTAGATTTAGCCCTAATCATTGAAAGTGCCGTGTTTCCACGTAAATTGATTTATAAACGTTTCTTCAAAATCGCCCAGCTATGGTAACGCTTTGTGTTCTGGCTCTTAATTTCTTAATTTGGAGATGTTTTTGCGTTGTGAAGTAACAGGTAAAAGGAACATGAAGTTAAAGTTGTTGCTACAATCAAGAGCCAAATCCTGCTGGAGCAAATCCCACGTTCTGCGGATTGAGGTAATTCCATCCTCTATTCCATCTGAATGGGATGTCGTCAGGTTTCCATGAGAGTTCTCTAATACTCATTTTATACTCTAAGGTGAAAAGAGGCATTGTGAGAGTGGCGCGTCTCGCCAAAGAACACAATACTATGGAGTGGAGAAGCTTCGAACCCAGCCTCCGATATTTTCCTTTTCCTTCTGGTGCTCATGTCAGCTTTATACTCTCATTGCAGTGGTCGCTTGTTGAAATTTCGATCCAACTGCTTTGTCTCATGGCTGAATAAAACCTGTTGTATACGGTGTCATAAACAGAGTCATGAGAAAAAATTCTCAAACTACTACGTTGCCAAAAATTAACAGAATGGTGGCTGCAGCTTTTTGCTCCAAAAAATAATTTGTATTTGTCTATACTTTTTAAATGTATTATGTGCAGCAAGATTCGAAGATTATGCAATATAAAATTAAATGACATTTTTATTTTATTTCTTCCCTTCATATTGAACTGCTTGGCTTTTGGTAGGTAATATTCAGATCGGGACTTCTGGAAGAATTACTGTTTACACGTTACCCAATGATATAGCGTGGACTGCAGTTGTTGATTGATGTTTTTTGTATGGTATATTGTGCATGTTGTAGAAAATAAGAAAGTCTTTTTATCTATTTTGAACCAGTTTTCATTCACACTGAGATGTAATTTGAATCAAAACAGTTCAGTCTTTGAGTTAATGACTGGTTTCAGAGTCGGTTTAACACGTGCAGTACCAACGCACCGATTAAGCCTATTGAGTTAAGTTCCAATTATATGGTAGGCAGATGAGCTATCAAAGACGCTTTGTCACTAATTCAATTTAGGTAAGGAATTAGTTTCAAACTAATAACAGCGTGCTGCACGATTGTCACTTTAATAGCCCGAATGTGCACCCCATTGGTCGAAAAAGTTCTGTACTGCCAATTTTTTTTAGGGGAGAAGAACTATTGCTTCCATAAGAGCAGTCTGATTAAATCTGAAGGTAATTAGCTCTCATCTGGGGATGATAAGTCCACGAAGGAGCAGGAACGGCTTCTATCATTTGAAAACTTTAGGCGGCGGTGATCCTTTTTATTACTTGTATTTTTAGTAATAGTTTGTTGTCACCAGCTGCCTAACGTTTGGTGTCACTGAAGAATGGTACAAATAGAGGAGGATACACGAAGCTTGACAATCGTCGTCACGCATACAGTTTATTTCGGTCTCATGACAGTTTTGGCACTAGCTGGAAACTTGCTCGTTTTTCTCGCTCTCTACAGAAACAGGAGATTACGAAATATCACTAACCTGTACGTGCTGTCTCTGGCAGTGGCTGATGTGACTGTAGCTACCTTTCTTTTTCCTTTTAAAGCAATCGCCTCTGGCTTACGTAGGTGGCCATTTGGTTACAATTTTGCCCAGTTTGTTGGTTGTATTCAGCTCCTCTGGATTGGAGCGTCAGTTTGTACCCTTATACTAACAGCTTTAAATCGATATTTTTGCGTTGTAAAGCCACAAAGGTACTCCATTTACTTCAGTAGAAAGAAAGCGACTGTGTCGATCATTTTAGTTTGGTTAGTAATTTGTGTTTTTCATTTACCGTTGCTTTCTCTTCGCAATTTGTTTACATCTGGAATCCAAACGTCCCCATGTTCCGTATAGAAACTGCCAGGGCTGGTAATATCGCTTACTCATGCTTTGGTTTGCTATCAATCTCGATAGTAGTGTATGGTTATGGAAGCGTCTATCGAGTCATACTACGACACAATAATGCTGTCGCCCCTTCTCTTCAAGGAGCCAATAGCTCAGGTGCAGCGCGGGCACAGGAGATAAAATCCTGTCGAGTTCTTTTTGCCACCGTGTTTGGATTCTGCACCACCTGGTTTCCTTGGATTTGTTTCTTAATGTTAGAACATGGCTTTAACATTTCCATTCCATCCGTTGCACTATCGATTGCAATGTTGTCAACTTCCATCTCTGCGTGGATCAATCCGGTGATCTATGGTGTGATGAATCAAGCAATGCGAAAGGAGTTTCAAAACATACTTCTATGTCGGAATTGAGGGTGGCCAAGAAAATCCATCCAATGACACCTTTGTAGTGTGAATGACCACTTGGTAGAGTAAACCTGAAGCGAGGGCAGCATTAGATTCAAAAACGGAGAAAGCATTTATGGCGTCTGCCCTACAGAATTAGTTTTAGCAAGTTAATGTTTTCCCTTCACAAATAGTACCCTTTGCCGGTCCAAAGTAAACTCAACTATCTGTTAGATCAAATGCTTAAAACATTTTCCGATATTTTTTCAAGAAGTTGGCAAAAGTTTCGGCAATTGAATGTTCTCGATGCATGCTGAGAAGAGAATGAATTGCTAGTTAAACATTTATACAATATTTCTATGTCAAATTCTGGCAAATTTTAGGATGTTTTGAATGTAAAACTAGCCATACATTTTGAACCCGTATTTCAATTAAAAGATAGATTATTTCAGCCAGTATTAATGCAAAAAATGTAAAACACTGAGTTTGGCAGGAGTCATCTTAGCCGGGTTCAGAGTGCTTCGATAATTTTTGTGATATATATTTTGTTCGTGCTGAGGTCTATGCTGTACAGTGTGCTCAGTTCTGCTGGTCTTTGATACTCGCTGCAATCAATGGTGAACTTTTCTCGAAATCATTCTGTTTTAAAGGAACATGTGATCTTTTTTTCTTAATGACAGAACTTTCTTAGAGCTGGACTTTCTTTCGTGATAATAACAGCTTGCGTGGAAAATTGAAATATTTTTCTCATATAAAAATCCAACCCTTTGACTAGGGATCGGCAGGTTATCTATTTTATTTCATTCTTTTAATTAACCCCTGTTGGATTTTTCCCAACAGGAGCTATGTTTCCTAAAAACCATACACTGGCAAATGTTATAATTATCTGCCATTGACAACGTAATATGTTGAGGCCTTTTGTTTTGTAAAAAAGATAAATCCGGTAGACGAGTTATTCTGTTTCTACATGAAGAACAGTTCTGAGAGAAGACCTTATATTGAAATGGGTGTTTGTCGATTCTTTCTTTTGAAATTCTGTTTAGTTTTTCATTCTATCTTTACTTAACTATTTATCAAGAGAATATTCTCTCGTTATTTATTCATTTTTGATTTTTCGCTTAGTTAGGGACCAGGCCCTCACATGAGAATATCAACGGTTTAAAGTCCCTTGACCCTCATCATTTTTAAACGCTTTGCCACGAGTTAAGAAAAAGTAAGAGGTGGTTTGAGAAACGCTAGCCGGCTAGAGGTCTGCATGCATGCAAAGGATCTAGAAGTGATATGTTTAAGAGATTCTCAAAGGGGTTATAGCTTTTACAGCTAGCAGTTTAAAATTTTGGCCATTTCACGATTTCCTATTAATCTTTTTCCTTTGAACAATATTTACGGTTGACTTTTTTTACGACTAACGGTTAAAATTCTTAATTTTTCGCCTAACAGCTAATATTTTTCGCTGTGTTATGGCTAACAAGAAAAAGAATAAAGGCGGGTAAGTTACTAAAGAAACTGTGTTGCTGCGTCGGTGGGAGAGTGTAACAAAGTAATTTGATGTTTTCTACTGAGTTGATAACTTAAATTGGCCACTGTAAAGAGTCTAAAAGCTGAGGTGACGAAGGGCTAACGCTCGAAATGTCAGCTTTTATACGCTTTGCAGTGGCCAATTTACGTGATCAACTCAGTTGATGACATCAAATTACCTTCCTTTTTGTTAGTTGGTTGTCAGACAGCTGATCCTTCTTTGCAGATGCATTGTTGATGTATTTATTTGATTATCTATTTATTTACTTGATATGACTTTGTCAATTCATGGTGAATAAAATGCACAGTAATCATGAATTCGTATTTATCTGTCTCTCTGGGAGTTGCGTAGAAGAGAATGACGATAGACATTAGAGACTTCAAGTTGGCCAAAACTAATATAACTGATATAGTCCATGAATTTCAATTTGTTATTCGAGTCTAATCTGTATCAAAACAAAGTAAGAGGAGGGAAGGTTCAATTTTAAGGCTCGCTAATGGACTGGTCATTGTCAATCGCCGGGTGGCGGGGGAGAGGGGCGTCGGACGAGTTTAATACCTGATTCCCCATACGGTTTTGTAGTATTCTAGTGATTCCTCTCCATTGACAGTCAATTTTCTGTAGCCCCCATCCATCCCCACCCTACTAAGCTCTCTGAGAAACGACTGGTATCCCCTCCATTCCCTCCGAAAACCATATGATCCCCGCCCAAATCCTCTGACCCCAAATAATGACCAGTTTCTATAGGTTCAGTATAGCTGGACGATGGCCATGTAACAAGCATGGCACTCCAAAAGGATTGGGGAGCCACCTGCTCTTTTGTATCACTTGTCTCATTTGGGATGACGAGTACCCTGTACATCTACTCAGCTGTTTAGGGGATGTGAATGTTGAAGTAGGCTATCAAAGATGATTAGATAATTGTCCAAGGAGGAAATCAAGGACAAACTGGATGGAGAGGAACTAAACTTGAGCCTGTGCAATTTGACAAAAGTACCAATACGAAAGATGGTTTGCGAGTGTTTTAACTCCAACATCAATTAATGGGTATTCTTGCGTTGTGAAACCACAACGATACTTTTATTTCTTCAATCGAAAGAAAACTATACTATCCATTTTTTACGTCTGGATTATTATGTTTATTTTCTATCAACTTTCTACTTTGCTATGCAAGCTCATTTCTAATAGTGCCTTAATGCCCTCTACTGCAAAATTACCTTTGAGGAATAAAATACTACAACTGGCACCTCTATAAGTTTTGCGATATTTACTTTTTCTATCAACGCTGATAGTGTTATTCGGTTATGTTAGAGTCTACAGCGTCGTTCGGCAGCACAAGAATGTTGTAGTCCCTTTTGTACAAGAAGCAAATATTCAAGGTGTACCGCATGCGCGGGAAATAAAAACTTCTCGAGTACTTCTCGTTACCGTAACTGGATTTTGCGTTTCATGGATACCCAATATTATCGTGACAATTGTGAAGTTTGGTGTTGGAATGACGATTCCTTCTGGTTTTCAATCAACGCCAGTGGTTTTCGTTTGTGTTTCTGCCTCGATTAATCCGATAATTAATGGTGTCATGAATCGGGCGATGCAAAAGGAGTTTCCAAAACATTTTGCTCTGCGGTATATGTAAAGGTGGAAGGATTAGAAGACAAACTTGTGGTGCCAGCTATTTCGTAAGAGCTAATGATAACAGAAGAACTTTAAATGAAAATGTTCTAACAGTTGCTTCACTGTAAAGGAATGGATTGCGCGGGGCACAAGATCGATCCTAGCTTGAAAGAACTTTAGCTCTTTGTTGTCCTAGTTCTTTGGTTAGATTTAGCCCTAATCATTGAAAGTGCCGTGTTTCCATGTAAATTGATTTATAAACGTTTCTTAAAAATCGCCCAGCTATGATAGGGCTTTGCGTTCTAGTTCTTAATTTGTTTATTTGGCGATGTTTTTGCGTTGTGAAGTAACAGGTAAAAGGAACATCAAGTTAAAGTCGTTGCTCCAATCAAGAGCCAAATCCAGCTGGAGCAAATCCCACGTTCTGTGGATTGAACAAATTCCATCCTCTATTCCATCTGAATGGGATGTCGTCAGGTTTCCTTGGGAGTCCTCCAATACTCATTTTACACTCTAAGGTGAAAAGAGGCATTGTGAGAGTGGCACGTCTTGCCAAAGAACACAACACTATGAGGTGGAGAAGCTTCGAACCCAGACTCCTGCATTTTTCTTTTCCTTCTGGTGCTCATGGCAGCTTTATACTCTGGTTACAATAGTCGTTCGTTGAAATTTCGATCCAACTGCTTTGTCTCGTGGCTGAATAAAAACTGTTGTATACGGTGTCATGAATAGAGTCATGAGAAAAAATCTCTCAAACTACTACGTTGCCAAAAATTAACAGAATGGTGGCTGCAGCTTTTTGCTCCAAAAAATAATTTGTATTTGTCTATACTTTTTAAATGTATTATGTGCAGCAAGGTTCGAAGATTATGCAATATAAAATTAAATGACATTTTTATTTTGTTTCTTTCCTTCATATTAATCTGCTAGGCTTTTGGTAGGTAATATTCAGATCGGGACTTCTGGAAGAATTACTGTTTACACGTTACCCAATGATATAGCGTGGACTGCAGTTGTTGATTGATGTTTTTTGTGTGATATATTGTGCATGTTGTAGAAAATAAGAAAATCTTTTTGAACCGGTTTTCATTCACACTGAGATGTAATTTGGATCAAAACAGTTCAGTCTTTGAGTTAATGACTGGTTTCAGAGTCGGTTTAACACGTGCAGTACCAACGCACCGATTAATCCTATTGAGTTAAGTTCCAATTATATGGTAGGCAGATGAGCTATCAAAGACGCTTTGTCACTGATTCAATTTGGGCAAGGAATTAGTTTCAAACTAATAACAGCGTGCTGCACGATCGTCACTTAAATAGCCCGAATATGCTCCCTATTGGTCGAAAAAGTTCTGTACTGCCAATTTTTTTTAGGGGAGAAGAACTATTGCTTCCATAAGAGCAGTCTGATTAAATCTGAAGGTGATTAGCTCTCATCTGACTCATGATAAGTCCACGAAGGAGCAGGAACGGCTTCTATCATTTGAAAACTTTAGGCGGCGGTGATCCTTTTTATTACTTGTATTTTTAGTAATAGTTTGTTGTCACCAGCTGCCTAATCTTTGGTACCACTGAAGAATGATACAAATAGAGGAGGATACACGAAGCTTGACAATCGTCGTCACGCATACAGTTTATTTCGGTCTCATAACACTTTTGGCACTAGCTGGAAACTTACTCGTTTTTCTCGCTCTCTACAGAAACAGGAGATTACGAACTATCACTTACCTGTACGTGCTGTCTCTGGCAGTGGCTGATGTGACTGTAGCGACCTTTCTTCTTCCTTTTAAAGCAATCGCCTCTGGCTTACGTAAGTGGCCATTTGGTTACAATTTTACCCAGTTTGTAGGTTGCATTCAGCTCCTCTGGATTGGAGCGTCAGTTTGTACCCTTACACTAACAGCTGTAAATCGATATTTTTGCGTCGTAAAGCCACAAAGGTACTCCATCTTCTTTAGTAGAAAAAAAGCGACTCTGTCGATCATTTTAGTTTGGTTAGTAATGTGTGTTATTTCATTTACCTTTGCTTTCTCTTCGCAATTTGTTTACCTCTGGAATCCAAACGTCCCCTTGTTACGTATAGAGATTGCTAGGGCTGGTAATATCGCTTACTCATGCTTTGGTTTGCTGTCAATCTCGATAGTAGTGTATGGTTATGGAAGCGTCTATCGAGTCACACTACGACACAATAATGCTGTCGCCCCTTCTCTTCAAGGAGCCAATAGCTCAGGTGCAGTGTGGGCACAGGAGATAAAATCCTGTCGAGTTCTTTTTGCCACCGTGTTGGATTCTGCACCACCTGGTTTCCTTCGATTTGTTTGATAATGTTAGAACATGGCTTTAACATTTCCATTCCATCTGTTGCACTATCGATTGCAATGTTGTTAACTTCTATCTCTACGTGGATCAATCCGGTGATCTATGGTGTGATGAATCGAGCAATGCGAAGGGAGTTTCAAAACATACTTCTATGTCGGAATTGAGGGTGGCCAAGAAAATCCATCCAATGACACCTTTGTAGTGTGAGTGACCACTTGGTAGAGTAAACCTGAAGCGAGGGCAGCATTACATTCAAAAACGGAGAAAGTATTTATGGTGTCTGCCCTACAGAATTAGTTTTAGCAAGTTAATGTTTTCCCTTCACAAATAGTACCCTTTGCCGGTCCAAGTAAACTCAACTATCTGTTAGATCAAATGCTTAACAGATTTTTCGATATTTTTTTGAGAAGTTGGCGAAAGTTTCAGCGATTGAATGTTCTCGATGCATGCCGAGAAGAGAATGAATTGCTAGTTTAAACATTTATAAACAATATAAACAATATTTCTAGATCAAATTCTGGCGAATTTAAGGATGTTTTGAATGTAAAACTAGCCATAAATTTTGAACCCATTTATCAGTTAAAAGACAGATTATCTCATCTAGTATTAATGTGAAAAACATAAAACATTGAGCCGGGCAGGAGTCATCTTTGCCGAGTTCCATGCTGCACAGCGTGCTCAGTTCTGCTGGTCTTTGATACTTGCTGCAATCAATGGTGAACTTTTCTCGAAATCATTCTGTTTCAAAGGAACATGTGATCTTTTTTTTTTTTTTAATGAAAACTTTCTTAGAGCTGGACTTTCTTTTTCTCATATAAACATCTCACCCCTTTGACTAGGGATCGGCAGGTTATCTCCTTTATTGCATTCGTTTAACACCTGTTAGATTTTTCTCAATTGAAGAGGAGCTATGTTTCCTAAAAACCATACCGTAGTAAATGTTATAATTATTTGCCATTGACAACGTAATATGATGAGGCCTTTTGTAAAACCTTATTTGACAAAGAAAAAAATCCGTTAGACGAGTTATTCTTTTTCCACAAGAAGAACAGTTCTGAGAGAAGACTTTATATTGAAATGGGTGTTTGTCGATTCTTACTTTTGAAATTTTGTTTGGTTTTGCATTCTATCTTCATTTAACTATTTATCAAGCGGCCTTGCATTGATAATGTTTACGAGATTCTCAAAGGGGTTATTGCTTTTACAGCTAACGGTTTAAAATTTCGGCCTTTTCTCGCGGTCTCCGATTAATCTTTTTCCTTTGTTATTAAAAGAACAATATTTATGGTTAACTTTTTTTACGACTAATGGTTAAAATTCTTAAATTTTTTCGCCTAACGGCTCATATTTTTCGCTGTATTACGGCTAACGGTTTACCCCACTTAGACTCTCGTTTCACGCTCAGTCTACCTTTTTGCGAAAAGCATAAAGGGGTTAAGTTACTATAGAAACTGTGTTGCTGCGTCGGTGAGAGAGTGTAACAAAGTAATTTGATGTTTTCTACTGAGTTGATAACTTAAATTGACCACTGTAAAGAGTCTAAAAGCTGACGTGACGAAACGCTCGAAATGTCAGCTTTTATACTCTTTACGGTGGCCAATTTACGTGATCAACTCAGTTGATAACATCAAATCTCCTTCCTTTTTGTTAGTTGGTTGTCAGACAGTTGATCCATCTTTGCAGATGCATTGTTGATGTATTTATTTGATTATCTATTTATTAACTTATTTATGACTTTGTCAATTTATGATCAATAAAATGCACAGAAATCATGAATCCGTATTTATCTGTCTCTCTGGGAGTTGCTTAGAAGAGAATGACGATAGACTTTAAAGACTCAGCCAAAACTATATAACTGATATCGTTCATAAATTTCAATTAGTTATTCGAGTCTAATTTAAAGTGTATCAAAACTAGTCAAGAGGAGGAAAGGGTATTTTAAGGCTCGTTAATGGACTGGTCATTGTTAATCGCCGGGTGGCGGGGGAGAGGGGCGTTGAACGAAAAATGATCCCCATAAGGCTTTGTAATATCCTGAGAGACGACTGATCTTCTCCGTTCCCCCCGAAAACCATGTAATCTCCGCCCAAATCGAGAAGCTTAGTACAGCTGGACGATGGCCGTGTAGCACGGCATTCCAAAGAGATTGGGAACCACCTGCTCTTTTGTATCGCTTGTCCATAAAGATACAGCGGGCTCAGTCTCGTTTGGGATGACGAGTACCCTGTGCATCTACTTAGCTGTGTATGGGATGTGAAAGTTGAAGTTGGCTATCAAAGATGACTAGAAAATTGTCCAAGGAGGAAATCAAGGACAAACTAGATGGAGAGGAACTAGACTTGAGTCTGTGCAATTTGGCAAAAGTACCAATACGAGAAATGGTGAGCGTTTTTAACTTCCGATCGAAAGATCAGTGACTTCAGAGACCACGCGCAAATTTCCATTTATTTTTATAGTGCTAACTGTCTGCTGTAAATTTATTTTTAACGTTGATTCTTTTAATTTTTGGAGTGAATAGGCATTTATCTTCCTAGTCTTCTTATGTGCGGCAAACTTTTCCTGTAGGGTTCTATTTAAAGAGAAAAAGGTTGATACATTCTAAAACCATTACTCACTCTATTACCGAGTATCTTCAAGTTAGGAGATAAATTGATAGGGTACTAAATGACGATCAATGTATGTAGGAGGTCGCTAGCATATCAGTCAAATAGTTTCATAGATATTTAAGTGCATAAAAACATATTAAGACACATCTGAGAGATGATAGAATTGTTCGGCCACTTTTACTGAGTCTTCCCGAGCGCGTTGATTTTCTCACAGATGTGTTGCTTGAAAAACCTATCTCAATCGACTTGCTTGTAGCGCGCAAATCCGGTATTAATAATGTTTTTTTGTAGTTTCCTTATTTGTCTTTTATGAGTAATAGGTTGCGTATCTTTTTCCTCAAATAATTCATTTTCTGTGGATGTATTATCTCCATAGGCCTCTCTGCCAAGGGCGACGATTGTGGATTTATCCTGTAACAATTTAACTATACTCTCGGTGAGAATTTTGTAATCTATATTCTAATGCGACACTTAGAACCAGAAACAACATTAATAATCGAGACGAGCGTCTACACATAAAATTTGCACTGTAGGTTGCAAAATTAAAAAAAAATCTTTGGAGGAAATGTTGCTAACGAATACAGTACTCTAGCGAAGACTCCATTGAGGTTCGAAAAATCACAAGTTATATCCGCTGCGATGTTGGTATTATGTTGCGTCCATATCCAGTGCATTCAAACGGTGATTAAAATGACCAGCTGTTTATTTGAAAAATCGAACGGGAATTGTTTTCATTGTCGGGAATTCGAAAGATTCTTTCCTGGCGCCAGAAATGATTTGGGATTTTTAAATGCTATTTATTGCCGCTGAGCCCTTTCTGCAGATATAAATTGGGAATTTAGCACTTTTTGCATTTAAAGTATATTTTACAGTCCATGCTGGCCTATTTATAATATTTTATTTATGATGCTGTTAGGGTAGTTAAACAATTTAAGTATGACAGCTGAATATGAAGGCTGCTAACACATTTTAAGGAAATTCTGAATGTATAATTAAAAGTATTTTTACTAAAATTTTTTTTGACAAAGGGTTTTAGTGTTAATAATGATTATCTCTCAGTGACAAGCAAGCAGGTTTAAATTTTATGTGATAGAGTGAGTTGACATTGTGAGAAAAATGTTTAAACATGTCTTTTTTTTGTTGGCTTGGAGTCCTGAGAATTTCATCTTAAAAGATACATCCCCTGGTTATTTACTAAAATTGCAGTGCCTTTTTAGCTTGGCAGTGTGCTTAATTTATAGTGCAAATTAACCTACAGGAGATATTGGTCACTGACAGATGTAAAAGGTGGTGTCAAGGTGCAATGATATTGGAGTTATAGTTTTTTTGCATCTTTTTAAAGTCACAGAATTGCAATGTACTTTTCTCAAATAATTTCAAAGGTGACTAAAAGCAAGAATAGGCCAGAGTAAGCATGAATTAGAGTTGATAAGATAAACATGAATTGCGAATGAGGAATTTGTGAAATTTATACCAAATGCATGCATATTTTTAAGCTGTAGAAATCTTTATTTAGCTGGTGGCTTTTAGACTTTATAAGAACACTAATTATTATTTCTTTATTACAAAAATATAAATTTCAAGAGGTCTTTAAATTTCCCTGCTCCCATTAGTCTTAAAGCTCTCTTAAAGAGATCACTGCTAGTAGAAAAAAATTAATAGGTGAGACAACTTACCTTTACAGTGCGTCTCTCCACCCAGGATTACAAATGGAACCTACCAATTGTCAGGGAAGCTTGATGAAATTTTATCCCACTAGAGCCAACCTTGTGATGGACTGGTATCCCATCCAGGGGGGGAGTAGTAATCTAGTTGTTCCATGCTATGGAAACTGCTGTTAGCTGCAGCTTGAGTATAGACTTTGTGTACTTACACTGTACCTCAACTGCAACTCAATTCATCTGTGGGGGGTTCATTTTAAATGTTGATTGCTTCTTATGACAACAAACAATTGCAATAATCCCTTTGTGTTATGCTTTACCTTTTTAGAATCCATTTTGCCCCTTACGACACTTAGTACAACTGGGCTTAAGCAACTCAGTTCATCTGTAGATGGTTAAAATGTTGATTCTGTCTTATGACTACAAACAACTGCAATAATCCCTTTGTGTTATGCTTTACCTTTTTAGGATGCATTTTGTACCTTACGACACCTAGTACAACTGGACTTAAGTAAGAATGCTCTCACAGAACTTCCAAAGGACTTTGGTAATCTTAGCCAACTGAAGCGACTTGACCTCTATAGTAATCAGCTGAGCTCCTTGCCAGTTAGTTGTGTAAGCCTCAGGGAGCTGAGATGGTTGGACTTAAAGAATAATCCTATGCAAACGTTATTGCCAGACATCATTGGAAATTGTTTAAAGGAAGAAGAGTGTAGACAGTGTGCTATAAATGTAAGTACAATAACTCTTTTTTATGTTTGATTTAATATCAAATTTGAGGGAACAACACATCTTAGTCTTAAGTCTTTTATGCTATGCAGGAGATTACTGCTCCTCTTGCAAATGGGTAAACTGTCTTGATAAGTATCAAAAGTACTGGATGAGCATCTTGGAAAAGGTGCAACACACTTGGATAAGAACACTGCTGTTCGACATACAGCTTTTTAAATCAAACTTAAGCAATTTAATGATGTCATGATTTCTTAGAGAAGTTGTTAAAAGACTGCTTCATTGTAAGTTTAGTGACAAATGTCAGTCTGTAATCACATGTATAAAAACAGACAGAATTGGACAACACAAAGTCCTGTTACCAATAAAACAAAAATATGACAAAATTTGAGAAAGAAACTTAGACATCAATTATAGGTGTTCATAAAAAAAACTACAGTTAACTCGGGGAAATGGGAGGCAACAGTGCTCACACGTGACACATTCTGTCTCACACAGGCATGACAAGTTAACTTTCCCTTTAATTGTTTAATTGGTGTTCAAATTGGGCTGATGATAACCAATTACATGTAAGAATTCTGTTATAGTTTTGCTTAAAATATATATAAAATCTCATAACAATTGTTAGGTGCTGACTTATCTTAAAGTGTTAGCTGCTAATGAGGAACAGGAGAACCAAGCAAGGCTAATATTAGAAAGAGGTGAGCATGCATGCTTGTACTTAAGATGCATTGATCAACAGTTTAACCATTAATTTCTGGTACCCACTGTATTTTTGTGCAAATTTAATTGGTGGAGTGACTGTGGAAGGTGACAAATTGTGAATGCAACAGTTTTTGATACCTGGTTTCATCTCACTCCTGTGCCACAAGTTTTTTAATCCTCAGAAACAAGTTCACCATTTTTGGGTCAAAAATTGATACTGGGCCTCAAATACTCAAAAAAAATGTTTTTACTGTGATTAACATGTGATTTGTGTATTTAGCTGTTATTTTATTGGATTGTAACCCTAACTCTGTAAACCCTTAGAGAGACCAGTATCTAATTTCAGACCCCACAGTAATACTGCTGAATCATTCATAAAGATCATGAGAATAAAATGAATGATTGCTGAGCTGAGAAACTTAAATTGTTAAGGGAACTCTCCTTGTCATTACCAAAGGAAATGTAATTCTATGGAAATGAGTATGGGAAAGATGGATATTGATGTTTGGATGTAAAGGTTAACACTGGATTCTTCTTGTTGTAGAGCAAAAAGCACTTGAGAAAGAGAAAGAACAAGAGCAAAAACAACTTAGAAAGAGACAGAAACAGCAAGAAAAACAACTAAAAAGAGAAGCATATGAAGCAATGGAAAGACAGAAAAAAATGATGGCAGAAGAAACTGACAAGGCTATAAAAGGTACAAAAGTCCTTTCTGTTGATAGAACTAATCATAATGAGATAGATTTGAACTGACAGGAATAATTTTAAAGCCTTCCAAACAATACCATTTCTTGCTTTTTTCGTTTAGCTCAAGAAGAATTCATGGAAACCAGACCTGTTAAACCAGAGGCTCCAACCCAAGGTAGGATTTTTTATCTTAACCCTTTAACTCCCATATCAAATTTGTAATTCTCCTTACTGTCAACCATACAATTCTTATAATGTTAGTTCAGAGAATTTAGTATTGAATCAACTAATTATCCCCCAAATTGATATTTTTCTTTATTCTCATCACTTATCTGGTTGATATTGTATGGATATTGTAAGGAGAAATTCTGTCTTGGTCACTCGTGGGAGTTAAAGGGTTAAGTAAGAGAGACACTGATTGAAGGCACAAAAATCTGAATGTTTTTGTTGTTATATATGCCAGTGACTCAAAGGCTAATGATCAAATGAACAGGTTATTGTAAGACTGGCATGAAGAAGTGCTTTGGCTGTGCAAGCACTTTCCTTTCCTGTAACTTTTTTTTTTTCATAATTCTAATGTCATGTTCTATTGGGATCAACTGTTCCAGCTACAAGCAGAAGCTTCACATGGTTAAAGTCTCCTTAGAGAATACTTTTTGCATGTAAATGTTGAGACAGTATGTTATTACATGTACATTGAACTCTGCATACTACGTAGTTGCAGCATGGAAAGGCATGGTTTAGGCCAAGACTAAGTTTGATTCTTTCAACCTTTCAACTCTCAAAAATGATAAACATATAACTTCTCCATATGATACCATTCATGACATGAGTCAATTTCAGTGAACTGGTAATGAGAATACTCAAACTTATCTGGTAGAAGTTATTATCTTGATCTAACATAAAATTCTTGTAACTAATTAACAAAAAAAAAATTGTAGGTGCTAGTGGAGAAAATTATCAATCAGATCATTAGAGTAAAAGGGCTAATGACAGTAGATGCATGTAAAATTTTACTATAATTTTTCCCATTTCTTGCAGAGGAAGATGGAGGGTTGATGGGACTGTTATTGATTTGCACACTTCTTACTCTGGGTGTTGCCATGGCCATTGTTATCTTCTGTCATCATGATGCCACTTGCCATGAATTGTTATCATCATTATCATCTTGACAACACCTAATTGTGTCAGAGAATAGTTTAACTATAATAGAATTACAATATGGTCAGAAAGGTCAGAGTCAGAGTTGAAATATTGTGCTTTTAAATGATTTCCAAGCTATGGAGTTGAAGATTAATTGAAAGTTCTAAAATGCAGTTTAGGTCATCAGCAGTCACATAACCAATTTCTTGTGATACAAGTGCAGGTGATGTTCTGTAGTTGTTAGAAATAGATAAGCCAAAGTGGAGGGGGGGGGGAGGGAAGGAGAAGGGGGGAAGGGGAGGAGGGGGGCTTATTTTATGCACACTCCAAGTCTTTTCTCTCTCTCAGTAATCCAGTCGATGTCTCTGGGAACAAGAACAATTCTTCAACTTTAGTTTCAACCACAAGAACTTTGTTTACCCAAATGCAAAGGAAGAAGGGGGATTTACTTCATTCTCTGAAACAGATGAAATAAACCAGGAAATCAATTAAAATGAATTTAATGAAAATATTAAGGTATGAGGCACACAAACAGAAAGGTACACCATTTGGTGAGTGGTTTAATCACCTTAACCCTTAAACTCCTAGAGGTGATTAATGTGTAACTTCTCCTAGTAATATCCATAAATTATCCAGTTAACAGGTAATGAGAATACTTAAACTTATCAGGCTGAAGTTATTTTGACCAAGCACCAAATTCTCTTATCTGGTTCACAAGAAAATGTGTAGCAACTAGAGGGGAGAATTAAGAATCTGATCTTGGAGTGAAAGGGTGAATGAGTGCTGGATTGTTTAGTGAAGGAGCTGAAATTTGAAAGTTATGAAAATTAGACAACTTATTATTGAATGAATATTCCCTCGACCTTAGCACAAAAGTCAGGGAACTTTGATATGAAAATGATTTGAAGGAAACGCTCAAGCAAAATACTAATTTCTTAATTATACGTAGACATTCTTACAATCGCCCGTACTTTGTATTTTTGTAAAATACAGTTGGAGTACTGTGCTGAATGGTACAGAATTCAGATTGTCTTATCCTAGAATATTAAAAGGCAGCTAGGATATTAAACATGATGCAGTTCCAAATGTGATACATTATTTTAAATGTGTTTGAAAGATGGTGACTGTTAGAGCTCATTTCGAATAAGTATCGTTCACGCCGGCCAATCAAAACACGCGAGAGTGGAGCAGTTTTAACTTAACTTTAACTTAATCAGGGCTTGCATTGGTTTTGCTTTCCTGCGGGCTTTGATTGGTCTAAAAAACTCACTCCAGCAGTTTAACCAATCAGACGAAAAACTAACTTCCAATCGCGACTTAGTCACTCGAAATTTCCCGCGTTCTGATTGTTTGCTGTGCTTTCTCTAGTTTTGGTTTTAAGACAGTAAGTTGATATGCGCTCTATCTCAAGGAGCCAATGGGAACTCCAAAAAAAATTTTTAAAAATAAGAAACCACCTGAAGCGCAAGAAAATCTGACTGTCTAAGTCGCGCGGTTTCAGTTTTCCGTATAATCTGTGGGGAGGAGGGTGTGAATCTTCTAGTCCAGTTACGGGGCGAGTATCTTTCGACTGGATGGAAATATTTTTTCTCGACAACCTAGCATGGACTAGAACTGGAGGAATACCTGACAAACTGTCAGCGATGTTTCCTTCTACCAGCGCGTAGAGATTATTTCAAAATAAAAATTGAGATGGAGACTGTTCTATCCACAACTGATATCTATCAGGGCTATCAAAAGAGATTTGTTTATCTATCCAACAACAAAGACAAGCCTCAATGTTGAGTTTGACTCCTTTTCATCCATCTGTATTGATGTCATGGCCAGCAGTTGTGTGATGGAGAGAGCTTTTTGGACAGCGCTCGTGGTCGCCCTAAATTCACTCTTGGTACCAATAATGTGTTGCTCTATGGATATCAAACTTTGGGTTTAAATCCGGTCTAACAATAGGGCTGATGAGAGCGCCATTTAGGGACATCTACTTTGCTCGAAAGGATTAATTTACTGGTTTGCTTTAAAAACAAAATCTTGAAGTATCGATTCTTAGCCGAATGCTTCGGGGCGAAATTTGAAATTGTTGGAAATGATCTAAATGACAATCAAATTCCGCCTTGGTCGACGGGTGAGAAGGTTAAACAACTAATCACTCACCGGGTGACCTAAGGAAAACTTTGGTGTATGCAAGCAAATATGGGGAAGCGTTTCAATTGTTCGGCCTATTAGACATAAGACACTTTCGCGCTGTTTTGGCCCAAAATAAAAAAGCAAAGGTCAAAGTATATAATTAAAAATTTTAAAGTTAAAACCATATAGACCTTGGATTGGCAAGAGCCTCAGACGGACTTGTCTCTCAAGCCCTTCTACGTCCTTGGTTATTAATAAAATAATTTGCATGAATTAGGGGTTCCTTTGTTATTCATAAGACGGCAAAATGCTTCTGGTATAATAACAAGGAATTCAAAGCTGATTGCCTTATTGAGTTAAAAAAAATATGGGTCAATCAAAATACACCGATAAACATCGTGAGCTAAACAACGTTTTACGACCAGGAAAATTTGAAACCAGTCATCCTCTGATTTCACCGTCAGCTTTGACGCACTTGAACTGTTAAGAAAAACTCATTACTACGCAGATACTCAAACTTAATTGACTAACATTTTCCAGATATATTTTTTTATCTACCCGGTCAGAGATTATTTTAAGGATCGACTTAACAGGGTAAAAAACTGACGAAATCCTTAGACGCTTACCGTGAGGAAAAACCCGTCAAACACGCACTCATTGTGGAGAAATATTTTGTAAAAAACAGTTTATGATAGGTGCAAATGGGCCACATATTTTTTCTCCTTTCAGGATCGTAATAATCGATCGTATTTTCTGCCTAGACGCTTTCAATATGCAAATTACAAAAAAGGGAGGAAGAGAAAAGAAACTGAGGTGATGAATTTGAAATGAGCGCAGAAACAACTTATAAAGAAACAACGAGACGGACTAAGCGACCAGCAACAAATTAAAACACGTCCAAAATCAGAGCTAGCTTCGACTACATCTCATTCAGGTAACGTGCTTAAATAACTTTTGTTTCACTAACTCAGAATTTTTTTTAAGAAAACTATTCCAATTACAGACACTGCGACGACTTCAGGTTGTGTTGGTACCTCGTAGTCTATTTCACGCGTGTCTGATGACGTATGATAATATTTGACATCTCGACTGATTCCGTTCTCTGCCCAGGCAGATATCATGATTACTTATTAAGGGCTAAATTTGACTGAAATCCAAGACGATCGCGATTCACGCTTATGTTCTCGTAAACCATATACACATTCATCTCTCAGCGGTTTCACCGCAGGCCGACTCAACGAACACGGAAAGAGATTAGCAACTTGCTTAGGCAAGCAGAAACGCTTTCAGAGGCGTTTCATATTAATCACGTCTCTGTTTCCTCCTTGTAAGTTATGACTGCCTAATGAGTCGTGACTTGGACACTGAGGAAACCACCTAGCGAAAGGTCATGATGATTTCATCTCCTGAAGTCCTTGAAAATATATCCCAAATTGTGTGAGCACATTCGGGATCGATCCTAGAAATCGTCAGAAAACGGAAAATGAACTCAATCCACTGATAGATTCTTCCTCGTGTATGCTTTTAAGTTTTATTTTTCCTCTTCCTTTGTCTCCTCAAGCCTTTATACATGATCGGTTTTTTCGCAATCGAGGCCAGCCGTAATTAATAGAAGTACGTGAAAACTCAGTTTCGGTTCTGTGTATGTGTTTGACTTGCTTAAGCTGGCACGAAAACTTTTAAGCTATAAAATGACGGCTAGCGTAAAGTTTGCTCTTTCCTTCCATTACAATAATGTTAGAGACGGATCAAATAACTGGGAGAGGATCTAAAGTGAATTTTTGTGACGTCACTTAAATTCTCGAATTTCACTGTTAAAATACATCTTCGCTTCATGGAAAGGGAAATTTCCGCTAATCTGACTTGTAAATAGGATGGATGTTGAAAATACCCGCATTTTCCGTTTAGGGCCAACAGTGCATTGGATCTGTCATTACGAAATTGAAATATTCTCTTGAGCTTGTGAACAGCAACAAAAATGATAACAATAATCAAATAAAAAAGTACATAATATATAGCTTATTTAACTAAAAATGACGTACTTAAAGTTGCACATCGCATTAGAGACACTCTCATTCCACCCACGAGAATTGTGAAATACTTCCTCAACAAGGGCACGTTTGTCTAGAAATCCATTCTTCGATTTCCGACCGCTCTGAAGGTTTTATTCGTTGACCTGCATGAATCACGAGAGATTTTAAAATCGGAATTCTTTTGCCAATTTAGGTCAGGAAATTGCCGGAGCCTGAAAAGCGCACGGATTGTTTGCTGGCATATGATCTCAAAGAGTATGCATTGTTGTACCATGTGATATTCATTGACCAATCAGAGACTCGCCTTAGTCTGCCGGATGAGTGTGGGTGACTTCCGTGTTGGATCGATCGTCAGCGTATTTTTGTTGTCGAGTGCTCATTTCGCTAGAAGGTGCAATTACTGCCAATTTGCCCTACTGACAAGAACCAAGACGTATTCATGACGAGAATGGATGATGAAGATATCGTGATCTCAGGATATCTGCGGAAATCGCCTCCAGAAAACAAATTTAAAGTCAGCTCGGTAAGCGATTATGTAAAATGCCGTGTAATTATTTAATACCTTGATTTTGTAAGTTTAAATTCGAGTGCATTTGGTCGTTATCAAGATATGAAGCCTGTGAGGTTCATCCATACTTATTTTATATGCTAAGTGCTTCATCAATACCCAGTTTCCGTTCCTAGCCTGAGACGGTTTTGAACAATTGTTTAATCAGGGACTTCGTTGTAGCGTACGCTGGTTGACTGATCTTTGGTCGATCGGGGCTTCTATCAATGAAGCGAGCTGATCGAAAGATTCTATCCGGCATGCTAACCCTACCATGTTTGAAGTGTTTCCGATTTTAACTCCCTTATAATGATTCGGGGTTTTGCAAGGTATAGATTACGAACAACAGACTATGATAAACAATTAAGATGTTAGTGGCATTGCTTAATCTACAAGGTGTTCATGGTTGCTAAGACTTCCGTAGGCCATCAGTTTAATTAGGGAATCCTTTCGAACGACAAATGATCTCACCGGTTTTTCCCGTTGCAACAAAGGGAATACTGAAAGTCTTAAGCAACCCTTCTGTCCATACTGGAATTATTCCTTTTTCGCTATGAATATTACTCCGACAATTCTCATCTCTCGGAACGCAGAAGTGTTCATTAATGCAAACGTTTGTCATATGATTAGTCAATGAAGATATATTTACTACCGAGTGTTGTGTTTGTAAAGGGGATTAATCTGTAAATGAGAGCAAAGTTTCTCTAAAGCATGCGAGTTTCAACTTGTTAGCCTGCGGGCTTTTGCAATAGTGGGTTTATTGAAAACACATCACATAAATTTGCAATACGAGATACGAAAAGGTCTATTACCCTAGCAATATCAGAAGTCAAAATAATTTCGTCCTTGCTGTTAGAGAACTTTGCAAATTTTAACCGTGGTAAACTGTGTTTGCTTACTATGTCTCTAATACGTTTTCTGAAAAATTCAGCTTTTAATTTCTATATCTTGTCATTGTGGAAAGTTGTTGCTAACATGTTTACTAAAGAAATTTAAATATAGAACTTCCTAATTAGTATTAATAGTTAAGCCTAAAAATGTCGTAAATTGTTAACACAGAGGAATAAGGAAGGAGGAAGGCATTTCTTAGAAAACTACTATTTCATTTTCTGAGGTGGACTTATGCTGTATATGGTGTTATTTTTCAGAGACATATTTCATTGCAGCTAAAATTTGTAAGTTACTGTGTAAACTTGATAACTTTCTTGTTAGCTAAAAATTCACATAAATTTGCCTGGAGGGTTTGATAAATACTTAATGTTTAAGTTGATTCCTACTAAGTTTTGAGTTTGAAACATTCCTAGCTCAGTTTTCAAGGAACTAGTGTTAATTTTGTATATTGTTTCCTTCCAAATTCTTTTTGTCATTATATAAAATTAATAATTGTTGATTTAAGCTCCAGGAAATAATTTGGTCAGTATTGCACGTCATGTAGACAAGCATTTCCTTGATATGTAATTTGCATGCACTTAATATAACGTACGTGTAGTTGGTTTCAGTGACTCATCAATATTTGCTGTTGGCTGTTTTTTGTCACATCTGGTCTGAAATTAAAAAAAAAAACATCTAAAAACATCTTTCCTTAATTGGTTCTTTTCTCTTGGAATAAAGGCCCTCTCAAGTTGCATTAGCATTAATGTAAATTATGGCTTGCTCTGTTTTGTTTTTCTGAATTATTTGCATTTTTTGGCACCTGTGAGAAGTTATTTATAGTAAACTTTTGATTTCAATATCACATCTTAGAAATGAATAACAAGGTAGTTTGACAATTATCTAATTTAAGGTTATTAAGTTTTTGTTGTGCTTGGTGAAACATAACAATCTGTCATGATTGAATGTATTACAGACAAAATTAACTCTAATTGGATCATGTTTTTTGCTTGGTTCTAACGTTGTTTTTATGTCTTTTGTAGTGGCAGAAACGCTTCTTTGTTTTGCACAGAAATCAAAAACTTCAGTATTATAAGAGTGACAAAGACAAAAGGCCAATAAAAGATGCGCTTAACTTGGGGAATTGCAAGTCTGTTGAGTCACATTTAACAAACTCAAAATTCAAGAATGTGTTCAGTATTGCCATGGAGACAAGAACATACTATCTTGTGGCAGACTCGGAATTGGAAATGGTAAACTGGGTGGATAAAATCTGCGATGTTTGTGGATTTTCAAGGACAGATACTAAAAATCAAGGTTAGATATTTTGAGTAGGAAATAATGATGTTAGACTGACAGTAAGTGCCATGCTGTTGTGAAATTTTTGGTATGTTTTTTCCATGATTTACTATTTTTATATATTTTTTTGTGATTGAATGTCCTCGCATTGAGTCCAAAATGAAATGAACAGAATCAGAACAAGGATAATGAAAGCAGTTTAAAAGAATTACAACATCGTTCCAAAAGCTTCACTTTTGAGTGCATTTTTTTCCCCTTTTTGTGAATAAAAAAAGTTGGCTTGTAAAATTAGTGACCTCTAACTTATTTGCATTTTTCTTCCTTTTAGATGCAAGCTCCCCTCAGAGAACAAACACACATCTGCCATCTCCCGTACATTCACGTCCGATTGTTGCTGCTAGACCTAGGCCAACAAGTCCTGTTGGATCTCCTTCTGGCAATTTATCACCCTTATCTCCAACAGGTCCTTGTCCACTTTCCATTCCCAAACACATAATGGATGAAAGAAACAAAACCAGGTCAATAAGTGATCCTCCAGACCCTTCTACAATCCCTCAAGTTTACCGTGATAAACAGAGGAGGCAGTCAGAACAAATTGGAAGCCTTACATGTCCCATGAATGTACATAGTGGACGGCACTCCCCTTCTGGTGTATCACCAAGGCATAACATGGCCACGACTTGGGGTCCATCTGAAACTTATGATGTGGTACCTTCTCCAAGAAGTGTATCTCAAGAGCCATATGACACTTTACCTAGTCCCCAGAGAGTTCCGGAAATAGATGATAATTATGATGATGTACCCATTCCTCGACCAATCAACTCCTCTGCTCATCCTTCTTCACCAAGAGTGAAACCAAATGCTTGCCTTTTGTCTCCTACACAAGATGGCTATGATGCTGTACCTCTTCCACGTCCAGTCTCTCAGGCTAGTAACAGATCATCACAGGATGTGTATGACATGGTGCCTCCTCCAAGGCCAACATCTTCTTGTAGTGAGACACAGGAGGACCAGGGGCTGTATGATGTACCTCCTACACTGAAGTCACCTGAGAGAGAAAACTACGATTTTGTTCCACCTCCCAGGCGAGCATCTGCTGTAGATGAGCAAGACGGCCAAAGTTTTTATGACATTCCTCCTCTCACCAAGATGTATGAACAGGAAAACTATGATGTTGTTCCTATTCCAAAGCCAATAGGAAAAAAGAATGCACATGTTAGCCAGGGTCTCTATAGAGCACAAGAAAGTGAAAATTACGACATTGTTCCTCAACCAAGACCAGTATCTTCAGGAAGTGACCTGCAAGATGGCCAAGAAATCTATGATGTTCCACCTTGTGGAAGACTATCGGAACAGAGTGATTATGACACCCCACCACCTGTATACAGACCCAGACATTCCCAGCAGGATGCATCAAAGGAAAATTATGATGTTGTACCATTACCGCGCCCTACATCACAAGATGTATATGATGTTGTTCCCCCAGCAAGACCAGCTCGTGTTACAAGCTTGCCAATGGATAAAAACAATCAGGACCCCCGTTTTTCAGACAGTTATTGCCCCCAGACTGATGAAGATTCTTCTGATGTTTACAACTGGGTACCACCTCCAATACCATCCCCACATCAGTCTCAAAATGATTATGACACGTTACCAAAAACTAACCGTCCTGTCAGTGCAGATTCTGGGCTGAATGCCTCATTTTCAAGCATTAGTTCCTTGAAATTTGAGAACCAGGATGAAAAGTATGATGCACCTTTACCTCCAGTTCCAAAAGACAGAGACTCTGGGTCTCTAAGTGATGAGACTCCCGATTATGACCTTAATTCTGAGGATATTTATGACAGGCCACCAAATTTAGCATCTAGAGACTCCAATTATGATGTTCCTCCAAGGCAAGAAGCTACCTATGATGTGTTACCCACACATCCAACTGAGTTGTATGATGTCCCTCCAACATACACTGATGATATTTACGATGTGCCTCCACCAGCAATCCCCAATCAAGGTATGCAGGTTATCTATTATTGACTCTTTGACTCCCAGAAGTACTGTCCAGTAGTTAGCACTTAACTTCTCCCAATATGTCCATACATAATCCAGCAAACATACAATAAGAAGACTCGGACTTATCAGGAAGAAGTTGTTATCTTGACCAGTAACAAGAAATTCTCACAACTACTTAGCAAGGAAATTTGTAGCAGCTAGAGAGGAGAATTAATTATCAGATCCTGGAAGTGAACCTTTTACAGCCTAACATCAGTATGGATAATCTCTACACTGTTATTTATAAATTTCGTGAGGTGTTTATAGGGAGAACTTGTTTAACAATCAAGAGCTTGTTTTGTTGGTGATCATTTCCTCTATTCTCCTGGTCTTTACTGAAGGATTCAGCAGTATTATTGTAAGGAGAAAATAGATGCTGGTCACTTTTAGGGTTTAAAGGGTTAAAAGGTTTAGAGATTTGTTTTGTTTCTTTTGTGGTAAGAGCAATCCATTCACCTATCACCAGCCAGTTGTAAAAAAGAAAACATTTAAGGTTATTTTAACTTCTGGTGCATGTCAGTAGGTTAATCACTTGGACAGACAGCATGAAAAAGTACAGTTCAACAGGCTTTGACAGTTAGTCAGTCCATGTCAGAACACTCCTCCCCTTTGTATAGGAAAGAGTTGGTAATTCACCTGGTAACCTTGTGGTGCTTTCACTTAAGAAAAAAATCCATGTAGCAAAATCATGTCAAATCATTTTCTAGAACATGAGTGTAAAGATGTTAAGATCAGAGAAAGTATAGAATAAAAAGATTGGTCTATACCTGGCTTAATTTAATGACAACATGTACATCAATTAGCTTTTACCATCTACTTAATTTTTAAATTGGAGTGTATGGATTTTTGAAAAGTGAAAATTTTTTGGCTGTCTTGACAATTTTGTTGCACTTCTACTTGTGTATTGGATGGGAACTGGGAACAAACTTGTAAATGAACATTGAAAGGTAAATGATGTATTATAGGAGGGAAGTTTTCTATTCTTGAATTAGACTTTCTTTGGCTGTTTCATTGAAAGAAAAATGTGTTATTGGGGGTATACACTATACCTTAATGCAGCAAAAAATTCCACTTTGATTAATATTTGATTTTAAAAGTTTTATGTCATTTGGTGAATTCAGGTGGAAACACAGCAGCACCAACGGTTGATCGCACGCTTAAAAGACCACCACAAGTCAACAGAGCTATTAAGCCAAGGACTCAGGCATCACAAGACCACAGTTACTGTAACATGGCACCACCTGTTGATAGACAAAGCAAGTACAAGAGAAACGCTATGCCTAAGCCAGAGCATAGTTACATAAACTATCAATCGCAACCACGTCCTCAGAATCTGCCCCTTGTGAGGATTTTAAATAACAACCCATCCGTTGGGTCCTTGCCGAGCCAGCGGAACATGCGGCAATCTGGGGGTGCAGTTGACGATTTAGAATATTGTGAAATGACGCCCACAAGATCACAGTGGACAAGATGCTATAGTCTTGATAAAGATGGATCATACAAGCCACTTGGTAATGATCAATTTTATGAGGACATGTCAGCAATGCAGAGCAGGAGGCTCTCTGGTGCAAAGAGCAGCTCCTCCTCATCATCCTCTCTGGCTGAGAATGATGATGTTTACACCACCATGACTCCTGGCCATGCCTCTTCACCAATGCCAGTAAGTGGTGATTGTTGTATCAAGTCAAATACCAATGCAGTAAATTTGCAGCATACTAAATTATGTGAGCAGATCCCATTTTAAACAAAGGTTTAACAGAAGCTGTTTTTCAGGCTTCCATTCTTTTACCTGGGAAGGAAAAGGGGTAGGGGACTGGGTCTATGTTGATGTTGAGGATGACCTCTTGGATGTCACATATTAGAGGCTTATATTGTACATTTGTACCCCTTAACTTCTGCTTACCACCAATTATATTTAGATGGAACAGAGGAAAAGAAAAGATCTTCTGTATGCAGAGGTAGAGATTGTGGACAGTCCTCAGCACAAGCCTCAGGCTGCTGCGGTAATCAAGAAATCTAATAACACCCACTATACCTACATAAATGAGGAATCTACCAGAGCTCTTCTGCAAACCTCTAATGCGCGAAGAGGGAATCGCTGAGTGGGTGAATACAATTGATCAAAAAACAAACATTGCAATATTTAACAATAAATGATTTCTCCCTTTTTTGGATAATGAAGGGGTTCTGTTATGACATAGAGAAAAAAAGAGAGAAAAAATTAAAGAAAATCATATTGAGGATTATGCAGCTTGTCATTTTGGTTTGTTTCAAACACTCACAAATATTTTTTTTTTAGAGAAATATGGCATGATGTTAGTTCATCTATTTAAAGTTGAAATTGTATGAATGCAATAAACTCTTTTTTTTTTTTTAAGAAGACTCAAATGTACAGTATGCAAGGTGTAGTGATTCCAGTGATATCATGATACATCATGATTCCTAACAAAGTAACTAGTAGAGGTTTTTTTTTTATTTTTAGCCTTATATTTGATTTTGAATACAGAATTTAAAAATTTTATTTGTCAGTGACAATTTACTTACCTGCACAATGTATATATCATTTTGTACAGGTAAATTGTTTAATCAACAAATGTATAGTAGATGGTATCAATATGACAAATTAATTTACTTAGACATCTAAGTATACAAATATTTTCCTCTTTTATCAATAAATTTATAATGCACAAAGAAGGAGTGAATTTGGAACCTGATAATTGTGATTCTTTGCAAATAAAACTTAAAAAACATTTTTAAAGTGAAATTGCATTGCCACCCTCTGATTTTAATTTTTTTTAGTAGAGTATTGTCCGTGCATGATATTTTTACATAGTTGTAAAGCATGATGCAATTTAAAGTAGAGTGATTTTGAAAGTAATAGAACTTAAAATGTTCTGTTTCACTCTTGAACTGCATCACAAGAATACTGCAATGTTGTGGTACATTGTTAAGGTGTTTGGGAGCAGTTGTAATTTTTCTAATCTAGAAATTAGAGAATAGTTGACAACTGACAAGGCCAAAGGCTCAAGTAAACTGTAAATTTTTTTAAATTTAGTTTCTCTGGGTCAGCTTAAAGATGCCAAGTACTGCAGTTACTAAGAATGCATGTGAGCATTGAAGTATTAGTCAGAATGTGGGCATTGTTTTATGACCTTTGTTACCATAATTTTTTGAGATAATTGATGCATACAATAGTTGCTGTAAATGTAAATAATTGCTGCATCATTTTTAATTAGTTCTGTTTTGTAGAGAAGTAACACGTAAATTAATCATTACTGGTGCTGATAGTGGAATAGGAGTCGCTATCTAAAAATGTTACCTAGCAGTGATTAAATCTCCTTACTTTTCGAGGCTTAGCGCGCTGAAATTGGTTATGGTACTGTTCTTATTAAATTTAGTAACTAGATAAATAACTAAGCGTATCTTAAATTTGTAGATGAAATCCTAATTGTTATTGAGTATCTGCTAAATGGTTTTGTACATTTTTATTGAATTTCCTTATAGTGTGGTTAATAGAAATACCAATTTTTAAGCTTACAGTTATTGGTGATCATGGTAGGCTGCAATAATTTGATAGCTACTTAAGTCTTTTGATGATGGCTACAACTTCAAATAAAAGGGGAAATGTCTGTTATATGCTAGAGTTTTTAAACAAAATTTGGAAGTGTCCATCATGAAGTTTGAATAATAAATGTATTATTATATAGTCATCATAATATTATATATTTTTATGTGAGCAAAATTAAATGACTATTTACCTAACTGGTTCCCTTTGAAATGGTCTTTTTAGTTAATGTTTTTGTACAAAGTTTTGTAAATTTATTTTTTATAGTAAAAGTTTGTGTTAGAGAGCTGCTGTGATGTTGATGAAACATAATAAAGAGGAACTTAAAAAAATATTTTCAGATCATGATGGATATATTGGTTTTATTGCATTTTTTATTATATGTTATTTGTTGGGGCTCTTGAGTAATGATATGCCTTGGCGATTTTGTTCCGCAGGCATTCTTGTTTTCCAAACAAATGTGATAGTGTTTTACACAAATAAACGGGAAAGTAAATATCTGCATTGGACATTTTTAGCAGTTCCAAACAAGCAGTCTTCGTTCTTGGGGTGCGTTGTAATTCGCAAATTTAGCGTAGCCGGAAGTAAATGGAATTATTTAATAAATGAATTAATGGTGATGAAGATTATGAAGACGATGATAACGACAATGAGTATAAATACTGTTTAAATGTAAGGCAGTCACGAACAGAAACGCATAGAAAGACAGTTGAAAGTTCGTTGTTCGTATGTAAACTAATCCGGTTAGAATATTTGGGTAGGCGATTTTCTAATAATAAACCGACCCACAACCTTTCTGTTTTGGCGTCGAATCTTCATCTCTGTCAGTTTTGAGATCGAGGTAATGACGCTTTAATGAAAGAGGAAAGACGAGAAGTTTGGTTTGGTTGTGGTATAGAGGGGTTAACACGTGGACTGAGTTTGGGTTGCTTACGTGACGTCACTGTAATTTGTCTGAGAAATTTACATTGAGAAGATTCGCTTCATTCGACGGCGGACTTTTAGTCGATTGGCATTGTATCATTTCTGTACAGCTGATGGAGATGTTTGGGTTCACGTGCCGATATCAAGAAGAACTTTGACCAAAGATATTCAGCTTACTATGTCCATGATAGAAAAGATTACGCTGGTTTTGGGTTGCAATGATTCAAAGATAACAAGTTAGCGAACTTGTCTCCCCTCCTCTGAGTGAAAGCGACCGAACGATGCCAAATTAAGCGTCAACAACTTTTGAATGTAGCTTCGATGGATTAAAGAAATATGCAGCAGTCTTTCCTAAACCCAATCTACTCAGAAGAATCAAGGGTTTTGCCGGGTATTTACTTTCGCAGCGATCTGTTTCACTTCCTTCCTTTGGTAGACAAATTTAGATCGGGTGTCTAGTACAATGAGCGGATCGATTGCCAACCAGCCGTTCTTGGAAGAACAAAATGGTATCATACACACTGCTAAAGGAACTACGGACCGAAAGAGCGAAGGAAGGTGAGAAAATGTTAAATTTTTAGCTTAGATTTAATCTATAACCTCTGAATCCGTGTTCCTTTCTTTAATACGTTAAGTATTCATATCAGCATAGTTCACAATTGACAGGTTGCCAGGTGCATACTCAGCTCGAAACAGAAATTCGCATGAAACGACAACACACCGTGTATTCTGAATTCATTCAGCATAAATTATTGAAGATTTTAATTTTTCTTTCAATGGCTTATTGAAAAATATCTCTTTCATAGCTTCCTACACCAATATCTCGTCAGTAGAACGGGTGATCTTATTGATTAGATATTTCTTGTCTTAGTCAGACCATAAAGTTTTCAGAATACATAGTCAACTTTCCTCGTTGGATACGCTTATTTTCAGACGCGATATTACAAATGTTGAACATGCTGTGTTTGTGTATTGTTGCAAATATAATGACTATCTCCCTGTCTACCCTGATCACAGCATTTCATGGATTCCTGGGGGATTTCCTTGGTTACTCACGTGATGACATTTCCAATCTTCCTTCCATGAGTCATTATTCTATTTATTTGTGCTGGAGAGTTAAAAGTGAAATCGAAATTGTATTTCAGTCATCCTTTACTGACCATGTAATATAATGACATTCTGAGTTATGATACCATGGACATGGCAAGTTGACCCAAATATTAAATTTTGCTTGGGTCTTGGTGGGATATTTAAGTGGAATGATAAAACGTTTGAATTTTTTCAGTGTTACAAGCCTAAATCATTACAACAACAGCATATGATCCTGTGGGGATAAGTGATGTATATCCATGTTTTAGCTCTTTTTATAACCCAGAGGAGTATAGATGAGTTGATAAATCTGAAAGATATACATGGGCCAGCTGTGCAGAAGAATTTGAATAATTCTTTAAATACATTATGCTTTTGGGCCTCTTAGCTGAAAAACCAAAAAACTAAGCCTCCATGAAGATGTGGACATTAATTTTAGGAAAATAAAGTTACCAAGAAATATAAAAAATCATCTAAAGAAGCAATGAAGTTTCTTCTGATCTGATGACACATCCTGCATCCCTGGACCCACCTCCCCTCCCCCTCTACTTCAACTATGACTTTTATAGGTTATTGAATTTCAATTTAAAAAACAAAAAAAAATTGTTTTCATTTGCAAATATTGAACTTTTGATTGTCAAACATTCCCCAATCCTAAGTTGTTTCTTAGTGGTTAGACTAGAATGTTGGCTTAAACAAGAAAAATTTGTTTCATTTATCTCCTCCATTTTGCATGACTGTGGATAGATTTTATAAGGAGAGGGTTCTTGTTGATCATTTACTAGAGGTACAAGAGGTACTGTACCTTTTCTAACAAGCACCCATGCTCTAATAAGTGCCCTCCCCTGAATAAGCACCCACCCCCTAAGTTATAATTTCAAAAAAGCACCCCCCTTGAATAACTGCCCCCCTCTTCCCTCATCATCTTCAATAGGGGGGATACATGGAAAAAATAATTCTATTAATTATATTTTATAACTTTTCAAGTGTCAACTACAGCAGAATCTTTTCTGTTCCACTAATTTTTATCTCCTTGTGCTTACAGTGTTCCTTTATAAGTGATCAGTTCTTTTTACTTTTGTGCTTTTGCTGGGTAAACTTAATAAGCACCCCCCTCCAATTAAGTGCCCTTCTCCCAATAGGTGCCCTCCCTCCCCTTTTTTTAGCCAAAATTCTAAATAAACGCCTGGGCATTTATCTGAGGAAATACAGTATCTTGGTTTCTAATTGCTTCATGCCGCAGAAACTGGGATAAACCCTGACCACATGAGCCAGTGGGCCTGATTGCTGCCTTCATCTTTACCACACTGGTGGGTGGAGACAGGCTTTGTGACCTAAGTGTGTCTAGCCTAAGAATAAGTGACCTTGCCAGGGCTCAACCCTGGATCTGCATCTTTCACTAACTAATCATTAGCCTATTTTTAAGTTTTTATTCAGTAAAACCAAGCGAGATCGTAAACGGCGCTATAGTAGTGGAGGTTTGGGACGATCCGCGTAATGCAGCGTGACCCGACCCCTCACTTTTTTCGACCCGACCCAGGCCTTGCTCCTTTTACGCTTCGCCAATACTATCGTGCCTATGCTCTCCCAGGGGCGTGGCCATGATCTCCTCACAGGGGGGAGGGGGTGGGATCACACTGTGTCAAACAGAGGATACACACCAGATTGCCATGTTCACGCCGTGTTTTTTTTTTAGGGGGGGGAGTACTACGCGACAGGCACCCCAGGACTACCCCCGCAACTCTCCGTTTAACCAACTGACCCCCCGCTTAATGAGCTGAACACCAGGCTAACACAGACGCTATTTATTTCAGTAACGTTTAACACATAACTGATGCTTGGGTCAATAATAACCGGTCACACATCTTTTTTATTTATTTTTATCGTTCCAGTAGGAAACATCGCTGCAGTCTGTGCGATAAGTGGTCTGCTTTGTGCAGTCGGTTTGTTCGCCTGTTACAACATCTCGTAGGGTTTCTTGGAGAAAACATTGCTGGGCACCCTGTGGCTTGCATGGCGATCTGCATTTTCTTCGTTTTATTCTGTGCTGTGGGATTCCTCTGGCTGAAAACGGAAAGCAGAACTGAAAAACTCTTTATTCCTCAAGATAGTAGAGCCATCAACGACTTAAACAGAGCTGAAAAGTTTTTTCGACTGAAGGTTCGTGTAGCGGGTGTAATTTTGGTAGCCCATGCAGAAAGTCCCAACATTCTTGCGCCAGAATGCCTGGCGGAGGCCCAAAACGTACACAGTCAAATTATAACATTGAAGTCTTTTACAGAATTTTGTTTGACTCTCTCTGGACAGAAAGCTAGTTCCTTGAATGATTGCGTGACTATTGATCCGTTTCAAATTTTTCAAGACAGAAATTTTAGCAACAAGTCGTTGATACAAATTCAAGTAGAAATCAATAAAGCGTTTAACAATACACGTTTACTAATGCGAGACGGACAGCTTTTCCTGCGAAACTTTCCCCAGATATTCGGTGACGTGACAAAACAGACAAGCAATCGTACGATTGCTGGTGCACGTGCAATGCAGCTGAAATATCTGATCAGAGACCCACCTGAGGATGACGTCAACAAGAAAGTCCTGGAATGGGAAAAGACCTTTCTTGACAAAGTGGCCTCCATTTCTGCCTCCTGTTTTGAGATTTACTACGAGGCAGAGAGAAGCACAGATGACGCTATTAAAGAAAACAGTAGCGCTGATATAACTCTGGTATCGATCACCTTTACTATTATGATCTCATTCGCCTGTTTCATGCTTGGAAAATTTGTTAATCCGCTGACCGGTCACTCGATGCTCGCAAACGTAGGAGTTCTCGCAGTGGCGTTCGGTATTTTGGCGGGAATGGGTCTGGGCACCTGGTCCCGTGTGACGTACGTGAACATGATAGGCGTGGTGCCATTTCTAGTGTTAAGTATAGGCATCGATGATATGTTCATTATAGTGGATGAGCTTGATCGACAGCCACGTGATATGGGCGTGATCAGGACTGTCAAGGAAGTAATGTCGCGCACAGGAGCCACAGTTACTATGACAACCATGACTGACTTGGTTGCATTTGCCGTGAGTACATCAACTGCTTTTCCCGCTATCAGGTAAGATTTAATGGTTTTCTGTCCTTGTATTCCTTCATTGCTCAAGTTGTAGGTGTGCGTAGCCCAGTATTTAGACTGACAACGCACAAGGACGGACGTTCTCAACCGGAGTGTAATAGGCTCGACTGGAGCACTTACCACTATACTATACACTTAAATGCAAATCTCAGCAAGAACGTACCTTCCTAATAAGGACACGTGAAATTTAACCTTTTCCAGCCTTTCAGTAAGAAAACAACGACGGAATGGTACCCACTCCGATATGATTGCGCCTTTGTACTCTAACCGGCTGGAAGGGATCACTTTGAGTCAGTGTTAAAAGTCTTTTATTTGTCACTCGTTTTTTGTACTATCTTTTTTTTTTAAAGTACTGCACATTTCAACTGCAATGCAGGGACTATTTTGCACTGTACTTCCTGACTAGATTTCTTCATCCATCTCTTTCAGATACTTTTGCACTTACGCGGCCTTAGCCGTTACGCTCTCTTATGCTATGATGATAACCTTTTTCGTCGCCGCAATGACGTTTGATATCAGAAGAATAAAATCCGGCCGAAGAGACTGCCTGCCTGTATGCACAGTACCACCCACGAAAGATGGTCAACCCCACTGGGACGTACCGCGCCCTCAGACCTCGAACCGTTTACTAAAGGGTTGGGCAAAATTTCTTATGTTACCTGCAACGAAATTTTTTGTGCTTGTCATTTCTGTGGCAATCCTTGCCTTGGGAATTTATGGAACGACCAAGGTGACTGAAAATTTCGATAGAAGAATGCTGGCAAAAGATGACTCTGCGCTTTTGAAATTTCTGAACGTTCGAGAGAAATATTACGAACAAACCATTCCTGTTAGTTTGGTCCTAACGGGTAACATTGATTACAGTGATCCTGATGTCCAAGACGAGATCAGGCAGCTGTCGAAAATTGTTAAGGACAATTGCTATTACCGAACTCAGGCTGTGTCTTGGATTGAAGTTTTTACGAATTTCTCTGCTGCGAGTGGGATGAACATTACTGGACCACATTTTATGCCTGCCCTAAAACTGTTCCTTGAAAGTCCTGAATGTTTATCTTTCAAACAAGATGTGAAACTGTCGTCCAACGGAAGTCGCGTCATTGCGTCTCGTGTCATGGCTTTCTTGAAGAACAACCCAAGCTCTACCTTTCAGAAGGACGCCATGTTGACAATTCGTGAGGATCTTGCCAAGAAATCTCCACTCGACGTGATACCGATCACCCGTCCATTCATCTTTTTCGAACAGTATGCCATCATTGGAAGAGAGACCACAAGGAACCTCATCATAGCAGCCCTGGCTGTGCTGGTGGTAACATCTTTGTTCCTGGTCAATTTCACCGTAACACTTCTGGTGGTGGTGAATTTTGTGGCTCTGGTCCTCGAGCTGTTTGCGTTGATGTTCATCTGGGACGTGTCTTTGAATGGCGTCTCGATGATCACTCTTGTCATGGCCATTGGTTTTGCCGTGGACTACAGTGCGCATATTGCGCATGCGTTTGTGATGTCTGAGGAAGACACACCTAACAGGAGAGTCATTGACGCTGTTAGCACGCTTGGTGCCAGTGTCTTCATGGGAGGTAAGCGATTCTTTTATTCTCTCATTTCGATGGTGAATTAAACTCGAAGCCACTAACACGATTTAAATCGCACGGGAAATCAATTGAAGCGCCAAAACAAGCACCCTTTATTCGGTCCTATCCTAAAGCGTCACCAAATCAGTGTGGCATTTTCTGGGAATCTCAAGTATAAAATTTGAAACAATGTCAGACATTTATATTCGATTGGCGGGCCTTGCAACATAGCACACCAACACTCTTAAAGGTCTAACCGAAACCCCTTCATTCAAAGTCTACCGTACTGACTAATGCGATTGCATCTCGCTCATCATGAGGAGAAGCAATTTATCAGATTACTTAGTGCTTCTAGGCTAATTAGATTGTTCCTCATGCTTCTCACGTTTTTCAACTTTTGTTATCCTTGAAACAGGTTTCAGTACCTTTCTTGGGATGCTGGTCCTAGTCTTTGCCACTTCGGAGATCTATCGTATTTTCTTCCGCATGTTTGTGGGAATTGTTTCGTTCGGACTTCTCCACGGCTTATGTATATTACCCGTTCAACTGTCCCTGTTATGTTGGAAACCAGTTGTGACTCAGAGAGACCCAACGCATCTGTTAATAAGGGAAACAGATGTTTGATCCAAGAGGGAGGGGATGAGGTGGGGTTTTGAACCCTTTAACTCCCAGATCAAATTTATAATTCTCCTTACTGTTAACCTACAATTCTCATAATGTTAGTTCAGAGAATTTGGTATTGGATCAACTAATCATCCCCAATTTGATATTTTTCCTAATTCTCATCACTCATCTGGTTGATATTGTATTGATATAGTAAGGAGAAATTCTGTCTTGGTCATTCATGGGAGTTAAAGGGCTAACTCTATCGTTGAAAGACACACGTGGAGTATTCGAATTCGCCCCGTTAACTTTTCACATCCTAACATCAGTGTGCATATTCTCCAAACTGTTCTCTATACATTTCCCATGATAATGATAAGGAGAATATGTTGACCAATCAATAGCTTCTTTAGATGGTGATTATTTCCATTCTCCTATTCCCTTCTCGTTTGATTCAGGGGTGATATTGTAAAGAAAAGTTAAATGATGGTTGCTCTTTGAGGTGAAAGGGTTAAAGCAACTTCTGTTGTGCTCGTTGGGAGAGATAGAAGTTTGTTGTACTTTGATTTCAAATCAAATTACAAATGATTACAAATGTAGTTTTAATGAGCAGACGTTTATTTTTTGAACCAATCTTCAGTTTATTAATTAACAGGGTTACGGCTAAATTCTTTTTACGTTGGGTCAAGTATTTATGGAATTACACTTTAGTGAGTTAGAAAGTGTGTAATCCATCTTGGAAATATAAAGTGGTTGGTGTTCATATCCTTATTTAAGACATTTCTTTTAGTCAGTTTAATCCACATTTGTTTTTTTCTCTGAGAACGTTTTAAAGCATATTTTGAAAGAACGCGTTATTATTTAAGTGGCAGTCAAGTACTGGTGTCGTAGTGTTTTATATGTAAATAGCAGCCAACTTTTTTAAGATGACCATACCCTTTTGGGGATTTTGAAATATTTTAAAGGGTATAGAGTACATCTAATTATTAAAAAATAACAACGATAAAATGTTATCAGAGTTTCCGTTCTAATATATATTTAAATTTTTCAAGAGTGACTTTGGAAAATTATGGGTTACAAGAAAAATTAAGAGGCAATTTCTCATGACGAGTGACTCTCATGTAATACACGGATGTGTGCTTTGTGTGTGATGAGTAAATAGATCCATTTGTTCAACCTTACAACTTAGAAGATATAGGAGTCAGTTCTCCCTAATGTCCGCTCTACTTTTCATATGATTTTGATATTGAGAATTTGTGTTTAGAATCAACCAATTAGTATACTTTACCTAGTGTTTTTATCTCTCGTTACCTTACTGTTTGAAAATGGAGTAACATTGTAAGGAGAATTACCTTTTTGGTCACCCTTTGTTGTGAAACTGATTAAAAGAAACCACAGCTTTACAGTGGTGGTTTTAGTGAAGAAGTCTAATTTTATATTTTACTGGATAGAGTTAGCTGTACGTAGAGGAAGACGTAAATAATGGGGGGGGGGGGTAGGGTCCTTATCCCCTTTCACGCACGAATTTTAGCACATTTCATGCGTCACGTGGGCTTTAAACAGTGCTTCACGCGTCACGCATTGAAAGGGAAAACTTCAAATCTCAACTTGCCTCGCCTTTCTGTAAAATTAGCGCGTCACGTACTGATTTAATCATGCGTTTCGTAAAAACCCTTTGCCACAGGTTACCTAAAATAGTCATTTAAGTGTGTTAAAATCCTTCCATTTACAGACCGCTTACACAGTGCATGTTTGCATTGAAGGCACGCGGGCTCTTTGTTGTTCGGGTCTACTTATGGGATTTGGAAAAAGTGAAGACAAAAATGTTTGCACAAACTCATCTTTGAAAAAATGCTTTTGAGTTTGATTACCGCATTTACTTAAATAAGCGGCGCAGTCTCGGTTCAATGAGCGAAGAAAAGCAAAACCAGGATAATATCTGATTGATATCGACACATAAAATGAATATTGCTTTTAAAAAAGACATTTATATTTGACCCTCAGCTCGAAATGGCAATTATGTATTACCAGACTTGAGCAAGGGAAATGATGGCATCCAGAGGATCAAAAATAGACTCTTACTATTTCTTTCTTTCCAGCATGCTTCTTTTATTAAAATTACAAATAAAATTTCATTTGACAAGTATCACCTAAAGTAATTAAGAAAAATATCATTCACCCAACCTAAAGCTTTGTCACTGACAAATTCGTTCTCAGTCCCCCTGAATGCGATAGAAGACTTGAGAAGTGATGTCATGGTGAAGCTTTCGAGGTATGCTGACAAGATCAGAGAAAGCTGGCTGGCCTCTTCTTCTTTTTTTTTCGGCCGTCCATGGATATTTTATCGAGAGCGAGTCCGCTGTGGACGCGCATTTCGATGAGAAATTAATCACTTACCGGCCAAGAGATGGAAAATTGATTTTATATCTTCTTGTTCTCGCCAATTTATTCAAAGAAGGATAAAGAGTACTCATTTTATCCTGTATTTTAAATGTATCAGCCGTTCATGTCATTTCCTCGAACAAAACAAAACAAAACTAAAATTCTTTTTCTACACTAGACTTGCATAAATGCCTTTTGTTACTAACCAAGAAATTTTCTACAATTATTGTCATTTTTTTGCTTTCATAGTCTTATACTATGGCGAGAGGAAGACGAAGATAGATTTGCCTGGATCTGCTCAGAGTCGACTGAAAATTCATAAATCGACTATAAATAGTTGTGGATTTGAATAAACCTGCAGTTTATAAACCCTGTAACTTTCAATGTCTCATCAGTATTTCATCCTTATTTTTAATATGTCTTTTACATTTTGTTGTGAAAATCAGATGAAATAATTCACCGCACGCAAATCGGCGCAGTACACGATTTTTTTGTTAACTATTCAGCCTCAGATTATCTACTTAAAATGCGTTCCGGTTTTGCAGAGATAGATACTGTCTGCTTGCGTTTGAAAATGGAATGTTTTTCAGTTCCATTAAGTTCTTTGTAATCAATCAGCCTCTATTTTGGAAAGTTTTCCACCGCCGCCGAAGTTGGAAAGACTTTCCTCCGAGCCAAAAGCAGCCTGAAAATTGGTAGTGAACAAAATAACTTTTTACTGGACCTTACTAATTGCTAGAAAATTGGTAAGCTTTTGTTGATATTCAATTTGATTCCTTTTTCCATTTTATGAAATAAATTTCCAGCAGTCCGATTATCATCATTATTATTTTACAAACTGACATAGATCCATGATCATCGATAATACAGAAATAAAATGGCAACAAGCTTAGGAAAGAGAAATGATTTAGAGGCAGGATGTTAGACTAGCTGTCAAAGACGATGCAGTATAAACTACACACAATAAAAGTAACTCCATTCCTTTTAGAAGCTATCATCTCGCATCCACGGCCAGCATAGGCACAAAGAGGCCATGTGGGATACATCGAGCCAGCCATACCCGAAAGTTCCCGCGTAGGTGCTTTGTAACCAGTCACACCCTAAAGTTCCAATTCGTCTTTACACCACACGGCACATTTGCTTGTGGGATTCATAGGCTGATTGGGTTTACATTTAAACGCTTTGGCAAAGTCGTATGAGTTAGACAGCGTTCCGATAACTCTAACAATTGGATGGAGAAAATATCGGAATGTTAACCTGGCGTTGCAAAGATTAACAATTAAAAAATCCTCCCCTGCATTCTGCAGACATTCCCCAAGCTCTAAGGACGTAGCTGAGGGAGGAAAGAGGCCTCTTGGGGTACGGTGTATATAAACCTTATCTGTGATATTCAAAAGTGATAGCGTGATAGAGCTCATGGTCTCTCGGTGATAATTTCTAAAAATGACACCACATTACAGTACCCCCCCCCCCTCTATGAGAGCCCCCTAAGGTACAGACATAATGTGAATATTGGACTCCTTCCAAGTAGAAAATGTTCCTTACGTCCCTAAGCTTAGATTAAACTAATGTTTGGTCTAGTACATGCGTGTTCTACCTGAAGGCACCCTTCTACATTCTATAAAAGAAAAAGAAAAATTGGATTCAAGGAGAGGTTATCTGAAATGTAGATACGGCGAAATTGCCCGATTTCAAATTCGCAACGGGCAGATGATATTGCTTTTGATTTTGTAAAGAGAGAGGAAGCTACAAAACGTATTGACCAGTCTGTTAAAAAAAAAACAACAACAACAACAACAAACTTCGTATTTCACCTGAATTTTTCCTCCGAGTGCCTGTCACTTAATGTCGCCAGGTACTGTTCCGTTGGACGGCTATTACTACAATAAGCCTTTGTAGTAATAAAGATGAAAAGAGTTGTTAATGAAACAGTCCAAGTACTTTACTACCAATTTTCCTTTCTACTCATTAGTCATTGGCTGTTTCCCCCTCCTCCTTTGGTATCACATCTCTGTTCTCTGTGTCTTAATGTTCGTTTCATGTACCTCTCCCCCTTTGTCCATTCTTTGATCCCATAACGCAACACACCCTCTCCCCTACCAGAAGAGGGTCTTAATGGGATGATGGCTCCTACAGCTAACTGTTAAAATTTCTCTATTTCACGGCTAACGGTTGATTTTTTTTCGTTGTAATATAAAGAAAAAATTTCACGGTTAACTTTTTTTACGACTAACGATTAAAATTTGTCAACTTTTACGCCTAACGACAATCACCTTTTTTTCTCGCCGATTTCGTCCAATGGTTAACCCCGTCGAGACTCTCACCAGAAGGGTATTGCGTGAGAGGACCAAGAAATGGCTCTCAAGGAGACTATCACTTTCCAAGCCCCTTCGAGACACCAATCAGGGTATGGCTCAAGCTTTAACCACTTAACTCCCAGATCAAATTTGTTATTCTCCTTTCTATCAACCGTACTATTCTTATAATGTTAGTTCAGAGAATTTAGCAATGGATCAACTAATTATCCCGAAATTGACATATTTCTTTATTCTCATCGCTTATCTGGTTGTATTGATATTGTAAGGAGAAATTCTGTCTTGGTCACTCATGAGAGTTTAAGGAACCTGGTGTATTACCAGATCTCCTCTTGGCATTATGTAACTTATATTCATGACAGAGTTTGATTGAATCAGTTAATTACCTGACCAAATCCTATGAAGAATAGCTGTTCACTTGTGAAATTTATGCCCGGTAATCGCCAAGCTTCTTGGCCATTTTTGCGCAACCAGTTCTTGTAGGCCTAAAAATATAAAAAATGGAAAAGGACTGAATGAATAAGAACGCGTACCGACGCTCACAGTCATTTCTATAGCGTTAATTTATCATGGCTCATCAGCGCTTTGTAATCAAATTCACGATAGCTTTAATTTAGATAGTCTCAAGTTAGGAAGTCAACAAAACAAAAAAAATCAATCTATAAATTTCACGAGGGTTATACTGCTCAAGTGTATTCTTGATATCTAGATCCGTAACTATAAGAAATTCATTTCAACTTACCATGAACGACGCTTTAAACCCTCCGTTATCAGCAATGTTTTCGCCAAGAGTAAGCTTTCCGTTAATCTACAGAAAAATGACCTGGATTAAAATCGATCGCCAGGAGAGTAATCATCGTTGATAAGAACTGTGCAAGAACTTTCTAATACAAAATTCATGATAACTCTATGTTGTACAATTATTTGTTCATAACCATGGAAACAAGATATGAAGAAGAAGAAGAATTTGAGGAAAAAAATATCTCCCTGGAAAATCATACAAAAGCAACATTAGATAGAGGTTAAATGATAAATTGCTGACTGATTTCTATGGCAATGTGAACTAGAAATTAGCCTGTTAATTTTCTACTTACTGGATATTTATCTCTGACTTTGTACATAGAATACTGGTTTTCCACACATTTTGCCTTAGCATTGAATCCATCGAGCGAGTCTTGAGACCACCACTGAGCAGTTAGCTCGCCATTCTTGTTGAATTTTCGACCTATTCAAGGCAAAAAACTAAATGAATAAATACGCAAATTGAATAAGGAAATATTTTGATAAATTAAGCATCTCATAAACCCCCTTTAAAATAAAGGAGGATAAAAAAAATTGAGTTTTGTTTTGTTGAGACTTGGATATTTTGAACTCTAGAACAAGAGACTGCATCCTCGAGCGTAGATTTGTGTTCCATATACTGACAGTCATGAATCACTTTTTTATTCTTATTAAGTCTGATATCCCGAACTGACCCCCAGGAACTTCAAGCTGATGCTACGACACTTTTCTGAATAACTTATCCGAACCTTCGTAGCCAGCAATCAGAAAGAGAGCAGATATCGCACGACTGACTTCCCGCTTGAGCAATGTCAATCACTCCGGCGCACTGTTTGAGGGAAACATTACAGTCTTTTCGAGATCTTGAGAAGAATTCATTCTCAATGTCGATCGAAGCTAAGCGGATGAGAGGGTGTTATGCAGTTGAAGATTTTTAGTCGAATAAAGTAATCATTACTAACCTGTGTTGTCGAATCCGTGAGTCAATTCATGACCAAGAATTGATCCAATAGCTCCAAAACTCAACGATCTGATGATAAGAAAAAGATATCTTGTTTCTATTATATTTCCATCAAATGTTCTTTAGAGATTTACAAGTGGAAATCAAGACTCGCTGTTAAAGCTCTTTCTTCGTATGGCAGTGCAACTGATCATTCATCAAAAATTATTTCAATTTTCGTCTTGGAAATTTTCAACTCATACCTTGGACTCCCCTTTGCGTAAAAGAATGGAGGTTGGAGAATTCCGGCTGGAATAACTGAAGATCAAAGGAGTTAAAACAGGAGATGATAAGTTTAAAATAAGATATTCGCATAAATGTAAAGAGCTGGCCTTTTATAGCTTAGAGATCATGCAAAAATAGGTGAAGTCAACATACAAAAGTCGCGCAGAAATGAATAAAAGAAGGAATGATTGAAGAAATAAATTATAATTTATGTTACTCACTTATTTCATTTTCGTTAAAACTGTACATTGCGTTAATCGTTTGTGGGTCCATCGGCCACCTGAGTTTTAATAGAAAGAATTGAGAACACTCATCTGAAAACACTGTTCACGCTGTAATACTAATCACATTACTAACAATTTTGTATCTTATTTGGAGAACGTAAGAAATCCAGTAAGTAGATATCGATGTATGAATTCGGATGAAGGAACAAAGGAATAAACTGAACAAGGGAACGAATGAACCGACGAGCGAACAATCGAATGATTGAAAGAAATGAATGAATGAAGGAAAGAATAAATAAATGAATGAAAACTTGAATAAAAAGTGAATAAGGACTCGCGTATATCAATTCAATGAACTACGGAGTCAAAAGACAATAACGTCACTGTTGTTCACATGGGAAAATCTTGCAATCCTCTCACTTTCAAATGTACAAGAGAAACCACATTTGATCGAGCCAAATGTATGTATAATCTCATATTCCGACTATGAAAGCACCAAAAAGAAAGGACTTTCTTAGTATAGGTAATGACATGATTTCGAGTGCAGTTTTGTCTTAAGAAGCATAAGTAAATTTTTCAAAGACAACAGAATTGCACGTGCCCGTAAGGCAAGTGCAATGTGTAGTCTTTGAAAAAATTTCAAATTCTTATTTACTCCAAATTGCACGAGAAATCATGTTGTTACTTTTCATTAATGCCAAGGACAAAACATCACAGGGAGTAAAGACAGACGTAAATTTTGGCAGCGCGCACGCGCTATTTGTAATTTGCACTTGTGTTACATGAGAATGCACTCGTTTTCAGCCAATCAGACGTGCGTAATATTTCATGTACATCGTTATTATTGATACCATCCCTTTACTTTATTACTTTTGATACTATCCCTTTACTTTAAATAATTTAAAAACCTGCAGTGATAACTCACTCTTCTTTATCAACGGGCTTTCTTAGTTTCTTAAGCATCCTTTGGTGCGCCATTTTTAAAATCGCGATTCTATTCTTGAAAAGACTGTCACTCTTTATTTCTACCTGAGAAGTAAAAAAGGAATAGGTTACTAAAAGCAAAATGCTGCATCTTTAATTCTTTACCAATTTACATCTTTCATTATTTCAAAATGATTCTGTAGTTTTAACGAACAACTTACCACAAACTTGTGTTAGAATAGCACTTACGTGGTCGTAGTACTTACGTGGTCGTACTTCTTGAATCTCCTTGAAAACTTTTCCTGTTCAACTAAATAGCGCGGAAAACCGACCTCATCATGCATTGCATCTGCCTGATGGAAAAAGAAAGATTTTATAAAATGCATATTAGACTGGATAGCCATAAGACTGCTACAGCGGAGACTAAGAAGGTTGTAGGAGGAGAGTTTCTACCCATCTACAATTTAAAGACAATACGAGGCAAAATGGGCCAGTAAATGATCCCCACTGTTGAACTGCGACTGAAGAATTGTACAAAAAGCTTAAAAACTCAAGGCGTCGACGCGGTTTAAATTCCCACTTTCAAGTTCTTTTCAATCATTTGGTAATGGCGCAGAACTACCAATTAGCGTCTGAGAGGCACTGGTTCGTAACCTATCGAAGCTTGACTTTTTACAAGTGTCTTTTTCAGGCAGTTTATTCATTTGCAGTTTTCTTGCGAGAATCAATCGACATTTGTTATCATTTACCGGTCAGAATGTGATTTATTTCAGTTCTTTGTGATGAAAACGACCTAATTAATAAAAGCAAACCTTTTCCATGACCACCATTTTTGTGTTGTTGTCCATCCATGGGATTGCGTTGACGTTATCTTTGAAAGCATTGCGCACCTCCACAATCATATCCTCTGCCTAGAACACGTGATGAAAAACGCAAGTTAATGACGTAGTCCGTATTTTATTGAATAACTTTCATTTACTGCAGTTACTTGTCATTTAATTTTATGGTTGATCTAGTTTTTTTTTTTTTTTTATTATTACTATTTTTTTTGTTTTCAAATGTCTTGTTAATTTTTGTGCTTGTAAAAGAATCAGGTACGACTCTTTCCTCACCATCTTTTTGCTGCTGTTACTGAAATGATGCTCCACGTAAGCGGATCCTAGAATGTCTCCCAAAAGCTCGTTCGTAAAAGTCACGCACGTCTTCCATCTCTTCTTTTGACCCTTGGAACCCAGGACCCTCTCTCTATACTGTGTTCGGGCCTTGCGATAGGGCTTGGAAAGGAAAGAGACTTCGTCTTGAATGACATTCCAAACGATGTAGTTCGCAAGGATTCTAAAATAAAGAGAGACCAAAGCAGTGATAACCTGGCAATACCGTATCAAGCACAATGTTTTGTTAATGTGTGGCAGACATAGAGTGACATTGGCATCACAATCGTCATTTGTTGGAGCATTACTATTTATTTTTTTTAACGAATAGTTGAGGATAGGAGTAGAGAACAGCAGTATCGCGGAATTGGTTCAAATCATCTTCTTGATATTGGTTTAGAGACCTGTCATCACCAAGAGAATATCAACTGATATTCTCTTGGTCATTAGCTATCGCCTGGGTGGGATAAGGGGGAGAGGGGGGGGCGGGGGCTATCACATGGATTTTCAGGGGGAAAGGAGGAAGCAGTAGTCGCCAACAGAGTATAAAGTGAAGAATATAGAAAATTGATTACCAAGTAACTGCCAAAGAGGGCAGATCATACAAAAATATTACAGAGCCCTAGTGGGATCAGGTAAATTTTCTTGTGACACTACCAAAATCTTCCGACCCCTCCCAGGTTATAAATAATGACCGTTCCCTTACTGTACTGTTATTTAACAAATAGAGAAGCCTTGGCTGTTCTCTGTTCTGTTGTAAAGCACACAGGAAGTGGCTAGAGCACGAAAGAAGTGTAGTGAGAAACACCAGAAACACTAGCTCTTTCAACCGATGATGGCGCGCGTTATATCCCAACTTTATTATAACATGGCATAACCTGAATGAAGAATTTGCGAAATGGTTTTGGCAGGAAAGTCTTACCTCTTAGGAGTCTCTTTGATAACTTTTGTCATATTCTGAAGATAAGGCAACGCTGGAACTATTATCTCTTCACTATCCTTCAGCGTTTCGTTGGAAAAGATGGAAGATAGATGTTTCATCCAGGGATACTGTAAAATAAATATAGAGAATGTTAAAACACAGGATGACTAAAACTGAGGTTGTTGAAACCTGAAGTTCAGATGAGGTGAACAGTGAATTCTAGGAAACAGAATGACTTAAACAATTTTTTTTGCATTTCTTCCTCCCCCTAACCGAAGATTCTTTTAAGTACACTCCCTTAGGGAAATTCGAAAGTTGCAGGTTTCTCCAACTTCATTCGTAGGCCCCAGTCTACTGAAAACTGATGCATCTTTATTCCAGAAAAAAAAAGTAAGAAATATTACTTGATTATCTTTTCCTTACCCCAGGTGCTTCTTTTTTCAGTTTACCAATAGTCATTCGGTTGAACCACGTGTCAGTCTTGTCTGCATCGGGGACACTTATCTGAAGAACACATTGAATGAGGACACAGACAGACAGAGATGTGAGAGAATACTTAACGGCAATGATTTTTGATCACTTAGAGTGCTTGATCTATCTAAGATATTCATAAACTTTGAATAATCGTGTAATGAAAATTGTGTGGCTAGTAATCTCACCTTTGCCAGTTTCTTTTCAAAGGCCACGATCTCTTCAGCTCTTATCTCCATCTGGTCATCACCACCGAGCAGTTTTCCGACTGTCGTGATGAACTGCTTGTACGCCTTCATAATCTTGATCGGAGCAAACATCACGTTAGAGCAAGAGAAGATCAAGTGGACAGACAGAATTACACGTATGCGCCTTATGAACCTTTGGAGCTATTTTTTCACGCAACCCCTTCTCCCGCTCATAGCTTCTTTTGTTCCTCTTAAGCCCATGGCTTAACACGATCCTGGCTGGCTTAAGAAAAAAAAAACCTGAACAACATCTATGTCAGCTAGTTTGCACGAAAGGGTGGCTATTATACGATCCCCTTCATTTCTCAATTCTTTCCCCCCTTCCCCCCTGTCATTTTTGTTTCTTCTCCCCCCCCCGCTGGGTTAAAAAAGACTTAAACGATACCTAAATAAGCTAGTTTGCATGAGAGTGTTTTTATTATATGATCCTCTTCATTTCTCCGTTCTCCCCCCTTTCCCCCCTTTCCCCCCCCCCCCCACTCACCCAAGCAATTTATTATCATAATGGTTTTCTGACATGCAATTTGCAGGCACAATACATCATAGTCTACATCCCTCGATCAAACCCTAATATAACTTGTATGATCAAATTTTAGCGTTTTCTCTCTGCTCCTCCAAAACATTCAATCGGTCTAGTTAACTCTCCCGTAAGGAAAACGTCGCTAGATGGTAAAATGCCCGTTTCCTTTGTAGTTCCCTGTCATTTCGCACATCTTTCCTGGTAATGTCCAATGTTGTTACCTTTGGACTGTCGAAGTACACCTCTCTAGAGAGACTGGGTCCGGCCTGATCTATCTGGTGGTACATAAGTAAATATGTTGTAGCTCAGTGCATGAAAAGATAGAGATCTATACAAAATAATGATGAAAAGTCCTTGGAAACATTTCAAAAGTAAAATTAGGTATGTGGAAAATAAGTATTGCCTGAGATAAAAGATGGATGTCCATTTTCCTAAAGAGGATGCCGAGAAACAGACTTCATTCAATGCCTGTTCAAAAGGGAACAGGAAAGGACCGCTTTCGATTGTTGTCAACAAATAAGTGCAATACAAAAGATCAATTAGTCTAAACTCTTGAGTAAATTTTTGCATTTACACCTTTTATTCCTCGCTGGAATCCGTTGGTGAGATTTTTTTAATTTCCTTTTTTGCTTTGATAAGGTGTTGAAATGACATTCCACGTTATTGTATAAAATCTGGTCTAATATTTCACCCGGGTCAAAATGTAAAGATTATTTTGCACATGCCTAAGCGAGCAAGGATCGGGATTAACTGCTGCAGAAATCATCGATATTACGGTAGTGTTTAGTTGCAACTCAATTTTACTTCGATGCGCTCAAGAAAATGTGCATGGGCTAAATATATAGACAACCTCACTAATTTTTTGACGTTATTTGACGTTAAACGCGGTACAATTTGGTCAAATACAGGCAATCCCCTCAAGGTATTTATCTGCGTTGTAAAAAAAATCTACAACAGTCCCAACTGGAGGGATATTTTGATTTTTACATCTACCCTGTCGAACATTCAAATTTTCCGCTCGCATAGTGTCGTAAATTTAAAAAGTCCTAAATGTGTTGATAATATGCTGCTGCCAGTCTTGTGAAAAAGGCCTTTTACGGTCAAGCTCTGGTTGATGATTTGGTTGAAATGTCATTTTGTTTTAAGTAGCGCGAACGTTTGGAGGCTGCCAAGTTGCATTTATCTACAGCAGGTAAACCAAGCCAAGTGCCAAGTAACCTGGTGTAGCTCAGCAGGTCAAGAACAGCCTCTTAAACGTTTGTCACAATAGAATTATGTCGGTAAACATGACAGACTTTTAGAACAATGTCATAACTGTTGATTTTTTTTCATTACAAAATCTCAAAAACTTATAAAATCTACCAACATGTGTTTCGTTATCAATCTGCCCACCCGTTCGCTGTATGTCTATCTGGGTTTCGAATTATTACCGCTTGTTTAAGTGTAAAAATGAAATCAATACTGCCTGTAGGGAATTTTCGTGTAAATAAGAGGGTGAATTCTCTTGACAATCAATGACGTCTTTCTAATGAATCTTAAAAGTTTAAAATCACTTTTCTTGATTGGTTGATGATTTCCCAGTTCGTGAAGAGAAAATGAAATCTGTCAATGGCGGGATGAAAGACTCATGTAGAGTTTAAAAAGTACCATTACATTTTTAGTATTCACACCAGGTTTCCCATTAAATGGCCCTCACCTCAATTATGTGCCTGGTGTTGTTTATAGGATCATCACTAATATGAACAGAAAACAACGGCCCGCCAGCGGATGTGTAGCTTTTGTGAATAAATAACAAAGTTTTTTCCAAATCCCAATCCTTTTCATTCCATCTTGACTTGACATCGATGCTCCAAGAGCCGATGTCGTTGATCAGATCACGAATTGGCTTATCCCCCAAGCTGTCAATAGTTTTCAAATCCATGCACGACTCGAAGAAATGCTTCGGCAATTGGAATAATTTTTTGCTCGCAGTGGTGATGCCCTTTTCCAAGATATGTCTTATATTGCGTTCAACGCGACCATTCAGTTTGGCAAACGTGGAATAGGTGGACGAGCTGCGGGGAATAGGATTTGCTTTGATCCAGCCTCCACAAACATAATCAAAGAAATCTACACAGGGATCTTTGGAGTAATCCATGGACGCGTTTATATACTTCGCTACTTTTTTGCATTCTTTACTACGGCAAATTTCCACTGATTCCTCGTTGGATACAGAGTTTACACTGCGCGCTGAACGTATGGCGCCTCCAGTACTTACAAGTTCATCAAAATACGTTTTGTGCTCGTCACTTGTTGCCACATGAACAACGGCCACCACTAAAATGACTGTCAAAACACCGAGGATACCCATAAACCGTGCCCCACAGCCCCAATGGGACACACTGTCTTTCATTTGGGATCCCTCAGCGCTCCGTTTCCTTTTCGAAATATCGCGCCCCATTTGTGTGATCGATTCTGGGGCTTTGTGATATTTCAGTAACTTCCCTGATACCCCAAGATGACCTTCCCGATCCGTCGTATCAAATCGACAAGTTATCAATTATGTACCAGTTCAACAGAATCTCACGTAATCGTGTTTTGTAATTCACGAATCGGACGCTGCCCATTCGGAGCACGGGGATTAAACGGAAAAGTGACACTGAACTTTATAGGTGGAAGGGAAATTTACGTTTTACTTAACTTCCATTTAAAAGTGGTATCGTTTTTCTTACAATTAAAATCACTTTGCTTCACTTTCGTTTCGCCTTTAGCTTTCCTGGATTAAGACAAGGATGGCTGCTAACGTCTCTGTCGTAAAAGGTGACGTTCAGAAGTGCCTTGTTGAATTTCGGATATTTTTACAATTTGAAGTCCATGAACTTGATTTAAAAGTTCGAAACGTTCACTAATCTCATCAACGCTGTATGTGCTAAGAGACTAATCTTTAACTTAATCTGAACGTATCGTTGAAAACTACAAACTTTCACTATAAATGACACTTTCGATTAGCTTGGCCAATCTCAACTGGTACCAGCAAATAAACAGTAAATAAACGATAAAAAGGGTTTGACTATACTTGTAGATGTCGTTTACTCCTTTGGAGAGCAAAAGGTTAAAGATTGCTGGCCTGCAGTTCCATTGGAAGTTCCCATTTCGATGCAAGAGACGTGGTCTAAAACGTTAATGTTCAAAACCACGTACCTAAGCCATGTGTACTTTTTCGAAAGTCAAGACAGTATGTTGCATGGCAATACCCTGTCTCTCCACTTATAAAGCTAAATACTGGCTGACATACTGTCAAGTACCTCTGAACCAAAACGCATTATGTCAAAAAACGTTCAATAATCTTACATTTAAAAGTGATATTGGCAAAAGCGATTATATCGTGTCTTTACAGCGCGGAAGAAAGCATAGAACTCAAAGTTAAGTTGAATAGTTTTCTCTTGCAAATGAAAATAGGTATAACAGGAGGGGAGTCGAATTTTTTATGATTGCTCTGTTCAACCCATTTATGGTCCATCGTGAGGTAATCCCCAACCTATTTGACATCATTTCGCAATATTTCACTGATGCTTTCTCAATTCTTCTGGGTGGTAATAAGTAAGAACTGCAAACTGAACAACTCAGAGCTAGACCTGGCAAACGACTCTTGATCTCGCTTCCCTCAGTCAACCCCCCCCCTCCCCCCTCCCCCCCATCCACCCCAATCGCCGTCTGGTTTGAACAAATTAAAATAAAACAGAATGCGTAGGTATTGTTCAGGTTGTTGGCGATCTTAATTACCACTCTACACCTGATTTGATTCCTTTTATTCATAAAGCACGAGCAGTAAACATGCTCACCTATACAACCGGGGCCTTGAGTTCGATCCGAGGATGATACAATAATGTTTATTTATACTTATTTGTAGAATATCTGCTAAGAAAATAATGGAGAACATTTCTACGTCGGAGACTGTAACATATGACTTTTAGATCACTTGAATTGTTAACCATAGCCAAGCATGCTCAGTAGATGTCTCGCACGACAGCACGGTTTATTTGCTAAAACAGAGAAGAGAAGGTTTTAACGTTTAGTTACTTCATAGCTATCATTGCATGAAATGTGGTTACTTCGTAGTTCTGAAACAACAAAATATAATTTTGACAAATGATCAAAACTTCTTGAATTACGCCCACGTGGGAATCTTTTAACTTAATTCTTACTTTGGGTTAAGGCATGCGAAGACCACCACGGCTCCATTTTTAGTGTTAAAATCGGGCCCCGTAGCAAAAAGCCCAAAAGAAGGTTCCTGGTCTAGTCCGGTGATGAAACCTTTTTTCATGGCCATTGGGATGGCGGCTTTTTTCATGGCGTCTGGGATGAGGTCTTTCCTGTATTGAGCCTTATAGCCATTAGTGCAATGCAAGGTTTGGGACATTTCTTGATCTGTTGAGAAAAAAATAGCGTCGTCCAATAGCAGCTCGTGTGAAAATTACCTTGAGATATTCTCCACTCAAGACCAAAAACACTTTCCTAAAAGACATGTGCATCCTCAGCAGGGGAGGATTTCCCTTCCTAAGTATTTGGAAAAATAATCTTATTAAACATAAAATGCCATCTATTCTGCTGCAAATCTGTCAGACGTTACTCAATTTCCGTGTCATGAAAGGACCAAGACTATTATTACTTCACCTAGCCGACGATTTGCTGGCCCTTCGCAGCATTCTCTGACAGTTTTTTTCTGGTTCTCACAAATTCTCCTGAATAGAGGGATGCATTTCGTGGGATAAGTGTGTTTTATCACCAACACAAAAATAACAATCACCCAAAGATCAAATCCGGAGCCATCTGCGCGTCATTCCAGCGCACCAATCATTAAGTCTCCGCTATATTCGAATCCCCAGTTAACAATATTGATAAATATTACCTTGACCGCAAGTGTAGTAGAACACAATGTCTAAGCCGCTGGTGTCTGATCGTGTCCAGTGGAATTGTTTGCTTGAAGGACATCGAATTGATGTAGAGAATGGCTCAACTGTTCCAGAAATCAAAGAATAGGAGATGGATTTTAACCAAAACACCTTTACACTGTTGTTACTGGTTGAAGAACCTCTCACAAATCCTTCGTTAATTACAGTATAGACGAAGATTCAGTACCTACAAAAGACCTACACGAAACCTTTTGTCTGAGTTGCTCTACAGGAAGAATTGCAGTATGGTAGTGGGTTTCCATGCCTATAAATAAATCCTAAGAAGGCCTTAACGGACTACTCCCGCTGAATTTAAGTTTCGAGAAATTATCTCTTGCTTTGCTCTGGACATCGCTTTTATTTATTTCATAGGAAGGAAATTATTACGAAACCCAAATACGAGAAAAAGCTGCGTTCGTATGTGCCTGGGTCCATTAATGAAGGAGAATATGCGCAATTAGGATACTCATTAGAACCTTAAAGAACTTTAAAAGGTACTTTCGAAGATCTATATTTTGACGATCAAATGCATGCATGCAAGAAAAGGAACAATTCAATTGGGTACTGTAAAACCAAAACCAAAGAATTTCGAACAGCCAATGTAAGCACAGGAGATTTATATAAAAAGCCAACGCGGACGCAAAGAAACAAACAAACAAACTGTTCAATGCGCGGGAAACGTGGGTGACCAAGTCGCGATTGGTTTTAGTTTTGAATCTGATTGGTTGAGAGGATGACGTGAGTTTCAAGATCCAATCACATGGCGAAGTGAAGCAGAACCGAAGCAGTCCGAAAGTAAATTGGAAACTACTCTCACGAGTCCTACACTCCCCCTCAGCTGGTAATTATGACACACTTTCCCCCTCCCCTCACCCCTCCCCCGTTCCCCTCACCCCTCCCTCATTCCTCTCATAGCAAATAATTCAAGGCAACAGAAACTCAATCGGAAGTTTATCACTTACTTAAAGCTGACGGAAGAGGATCAGATAAGGCTGAGGCCTGTGTCAAGAACACTCCAAACACAGCGAGGAACAGAACCCACATGACTGAAAAGCAAATGGTGTCGTTGTACTTAAAGAAGACCTGTCAAACAAACTCCTCATTTTCATTTACTGAATCTAAGTACGTTTGCGATTAATTATCATATAAAGTACCGTTCACGTCGTTGTTAATGAAGCGCTGTTCTAGGGCACTAATACCATCATTTTTGTGCCACCACGACGCACTTCAGACGGAACGTTTTTGGAGCAAGCCACAGTCAATTGCAAAATCGACCCCATATCTCTTGGTTTCTCACCGTTTTTTCTGCTAGACCACATTAAGCATACATAGTTTGGTTTCATCAACTGACTGAGATGTTATTGTAAATTGGCCACTGTAGAGAGCGTCTAAACCTGACTTTTCGAGGGTTAGCTCTTCGTCTTTCGCTCAGACGAAGGACTACTGCTAAAAACATCGGCTTCAGACACTCTTTACGGTGGCCAGTTTACGCTATCAACGCAGATGATAAATTCAATCATCTTGTAATACCACCCAACGACGCAGCACCGCATTTTCCTTAGAATCTTATCCGCCCTCCTCCCCTCTCCCAAAAGGTATTTTGTCAGGTTTCCCTGCGAGTAATAAAACTGTGTTTTCTGTGGATTCGAATGCGGTCAGCGGTTATCGTAAGGTCCCTTCATAACATACATCTTCCACTAAGAATTTTGTCAGTGGTCTTTTTGCCCTGATCTTTTGAACAAGGTTCAGAGAGGAGACTTTGATTTTAAAAAAAAAAAATTCATTTCTATTCTATTATGGCGTTGACTAATAGAATAGAAATCTGCTCTCAGAGTTGTCACTCCTGGTTTTTCTAGTCGTGGTACCTGCAAACCCAAACACTTGGTACCTGCTCTTTACACAATGGAGATCGTTTGAATAAAGATACTAGTAGTATATGTTAGAAAACACGTCTCAGTTTGTATTGCACAAAGCCCGCGGGTCTCAAAATACATCGTGCATTTAGCCGTGTCGATCTAAACAAATCCTAATGCCAAAGTTGCAAGAAACTCCGTGACTTCTGCATTTACAGACTCATCAAATTTTTGTTTGAAGATGAAACTAATTGATCCTCGAGTACTTGCAGAAGACATACATGGATTCGAAATTTGTGAAATAAAAGATCTTTTGTTACTCCTTTAAATTTATGTGCGAATGTTGCATTTGACGAACCTAAGAGATTTTAATCGAAACCTTTCTCCTGTGTCAAGAGGACAGCGACGTTTGTCACAGATACAACGACACAGTAGGAGGGGCTGTTTGAAAGCGTTACATAAGCGAAGAGGAAACCATTGTTGGACCTCTAGAAACGAACAGTACATGGCTCGATGAATTTGAACCAAGATCCTCTAGGCTTACATGTAATATGAAATAATTTGGAGTTCACTCACCTTTAGAAAATATAGCTAAAGATCCAACAGATTATCAAAACACACTGAAGACGAATATTTAATGAAGAGTTCCCCGAAACCTGATCACAACAGGTAGTTATCATGTCTTTTATTAAGACGCATGCTCGCATGCGCAGTTTAGAAGGACTTCAGTCTTGCCTAACTTTGAAAATGAACCTAAACTCAGGGAGAAATCTTCAGTAAAATTTCTCCGCCACTTTTAATTTGGAAGTTCTCTTGTCGATGGCATCTAGTAATGATTATGGTTAAGTTATGATGGCTTCGCTAAGAAAAATTTAAACTGCAAATAAAAACAAAAAATGAAATCAATTGCAACGTGAAAATTTGCGCATCAACTGCCTTCCACTTACACTGGTAGGAACTTTTATGTTTTTCTTCGATTAGATTGGACTCTCATTTCATTTTTTACGTTGTTGATTGAATTTATCATAGTCTGTTAAAGCGCTAACAATATTTAAACATCTCAATGACGGTTCATTTCTCAAAGTCGTGCCGCGCTAGACGGGAGCGCGTGCGAGCGTGGATTCCATCCTTGTTCTGAGTTTTGTGCATGTGCATTCATGGCCTAACAGCGAGAAAATATAAAAGACTAATTTTCAAAAAGTCATCTCTATTTTGTCTCATATAAACAGAATCAGCCCTACTGCACAAACCTCGAACCGGCAGAATTCAAATGCACCGACTTTGCATAATAAAACATGCGACTGAAAGAACATGTTCGCGCACAAGTAAAGTGAGGAACTCATTATGATAATCTGATACATTCACATATTTGTCCTGTAAAAATAGATCATAGTCTTCCTTTCAGATCTCGACTCTAAACAGGAGTAGACATCACACAGTCGTGTACGTGCGCGGTTCTGTATCATTGCAAATGTTTGGAAGACAAAAGCTTATATGCATGTTGCCGGTTGAACGATGAAATGGAACAATTGGTCATAATATCAAAAAGATACTGAAATCAATAGTTTCTTTTAAAGGAAAATGATGTGTTGGGGTCTGCGCGATGTACACGTCAGCATTGAACGAAATCTCTGGACTTCCCGTTTAACGGAACCCGTCAACAGGCAAGTTTTAGACGTCAAGATCCAAGTCGTAGCAAAGTGGTAACAAAGACTGTGGAGGTGTAATGGTACACTTGTTTTGTTTTGTTTTTTTCTAAAGGTTTCTGTTTGTTTGTAATAAAAATGTTGAAGACGCCGGATTCAGCAGAATTTCCGCTGAAATGACGTCTTATCGGTGTAACCACAGTTATCAGGTCTTTTTCGGTATTAATGAATCTTCAGGTAATTATTCATTCAGAATGTGCTTTCAAATTTATTTTTCCAATTGATCTTTTTCTATATATGAAAACATGATATAAGACAAATATTACAGTGAACTGATATTCCCTAACTTTACTCCGTTTTTAAGTAGCGACTTCATTTGTTCTCCGAACAATAAAGCGAATCAGCGACTTCCGCTAAATGACGCAAAACGGGTAGCCATGGTTACTTGGATACGATCAACGTGATGGAATATTCCAGAAACACGGAGACAAATTCTATTGACCTTTAATCCCCTACAATATGTTATTTATGTTTTATACAGGACATACAGCGGAAAAGTAAGAATCAGTGAAAATTCTATGCTGAGATGGTTCATCTACAGTATTCTACAGATCCGCTGATGGGCTTAACAGGCAGGCATCAAATGAACTTGACAGGTTCGGCCGATACTTAAGGTTAAAATGCACGGTATATGTTTGATGAACACTTAGCATTTTATTCTTATGTCATCCATTATTTTCTTTTGATTCTACGTTTATCCCCTCGCTTGTTCTTGGGATCCGAAAATAATAATAAAAAACAGACCAAACAAAACAAAAAAAAAAGTACAGGAAAAAGAATGAGAGCAGAGAGCGAAGCCGCGGTGTTCCGCGAAGATTATTTTGTAGATAACGACGGGAAGGAAAACATTGATAGGTTTTTGGGAGCGTACTTATTCAAAAACAGGAAAAAGCAAAGGTCTTCTGTCTCTTCTCTCCTTCTCCCCATTCATTATTCCTAAGAAGGCTTAGGGCGTTCTCTGCCAGCGGTTTCTTTGGCACTTAAATAACAGCAGCGGAGCCGCGTAAACGAGCGAACACAGTTGGCTTCACGGCTCATTTTCGCGCCCCTGCCACTCAATACGCACATCTACGCAGGTATCAAAATAAATGCTGAGCTGTCAATCATTGCAAAGTGGATCGAACACGTCTATTATGAACTTCTTTTTTTACCCGTACTCCTGAGACCGAGACATACGTTTTAGGTGAAAAATCGAGGAAGTTGCCGCCGGAGTTATTTTGGATATATCAGAGGAGGCCGGACATGGCGGGGCAAAATCACACGTTCCATATCAAAAAGTGATTTCCTGCTTTCATACAAGAGTTGCGCCAAATAAAAAATGATTTATAATTTTCTGCCGACCGCATGGTGTACAATGAGCTTCTGCTAGCCGTACAGCTTATTGGGGGGTGCCAGATCCCAAGTCAAAGCGATTAACATTTTTCGTTGCTGAATAAACACCGGTGGAATGGTGCAACTTGAGGCGTGATCGTTTTCAAACGACAAAAACAAATAAAGGGAAGTCCTCAAATAATATCCGGTGCTTAAAAATAATCTGGCTTATTTGCGATATGTGTTCTCAACTGGGTGCCGACAGCCGTCCTGCTGTTGCATCATTTCATTAAGGCTCTCGCAAATGTCGCTATTTCCCTTAAACTGAAACAAAATTTCCTTTTAATGTAAGTTAGGCAATCTTGTGACTAGAGAAACGCTAACATTCTGAGCGGAAAGGATAGAAGAGGACAGCTCGGCAGAAGTCCAAAGAAAGTGTTACGTACAAAGATTTTATTGGCTGACATAAATCACGAAAAGTAGGTGTTAAATATCCGTCATTTGACATTTAATTATGAGCGCTAGGGCCAATCGAGAAACTAATCAGCTCTCACGCTTAAACCGTTGACAATGGTTTCACGGTCTGTTTCTCGGGCCTAAACCTTTCACAAATTTGTCCAACAAAGTTCAGCATTTGATGGAATTTAAGGCCTTGAGATCCTGACGAACGACAGTTGATTGCTCAGCCACACGAACAATTATAAATCATCGGTTGACATTTCGCACAATCCACGTAAGGTATTTTTGTAAAGGTGTTGAGAGAGAGGCACCGTTGAGAGACTGCGGTCTTTGTGCCACTGAAAGCGAACTAAAAAACCCACCACTCCTGACGCACCGCTAAAATACTTTAAGATATTTGGGATTATTTGCCTCTTGGCTTAGTTTGTTTTGGTTCAAACGTTAGACGAACCGACGATTGACCAAACACAACGATGCTGTCCGTTGGTTTGCTTTTTCTGATGTTTTTCCTGGCCTTTGAGGGCGCCGTAGTTCAAGCTGATGACGAGGATTACGACCCTTGCAAGGCTGGTAAGATTTTTTATCTACGTTTCGTCGTCAATTCCGTTTTCTTGCGTTTCTTTTCTTTGTCAAACGAGCCATCTTTCCTCGTGTGAGAAACACGAGTATCAGTGTGCGCTCTTGATCGCTCCTATCAGTTCAGTTGTCAGATTAACAGTCGTAACTAAACAAAGCCATTCCCGCAATTTTTCGGATTAAACCGGCTGCTGTTTTCAACCCGTTTCATTCACGGTCCCCTGAACAATGACGAGATTTTTTAATTCTTTCCCTCATTGGGAAAACTACTTGAACGAAGTCCTGATGCGTACTGTACTTCAGCCCTCTCTGGTTTCCTTTGTCTAAATGCATCAATCATTTGCATCAGATTTTATCGCTTCAGTTAACACAAGCCTTAATACCTAATTTGATGCCTGCAGATGGTATCGTACAGGGTGATATTGCAGTTTCTAAGGCGGACTTGCGTCAAAGCAGAAGGAAAAGGGCTGCGACTGCATTCAACAAGAGGCTTTGGCGAGAAGGTGTAATTCCTTTTGAGATAGCAGACGGTGTTTACACAGGTAAGAAAATCGGATCGAATCTGCGTCATACTTCGTTCGATCCCCTAAATGTGGGGCACCAGTTCAAGTTCAAATTCATTGTTTCACTTTTGTGTTGCACATTGAGTGACCTTATGCATGAAAATAGACCTTCTGTTATCGGAAAATAATCCTTCACCAACAGGGTGTATTTTCACTTAACTTCAAGGGAGTCTTGGGCAAAAAAATGCGCTCTCTTGAAGGATTCACTAAAAAGCAAATCTCGGTTAGGTATTGCCTTTTTACCGATGACTCTGGCCCTAACAAGTTTATTTGTAATTACTGTAAAAACCTTTTTGTTTAACTTATTTTGCGGATACCTATCGTTAAGCTTTCCTCACTCATGAATGATGTCATTAGGATCATTCTCGAAAGCGTTTTGCGCGGATCGTCTTTCGGTGCTTAAAGCATTAGAAGAAAGAGTGTTCAGTTAAAATTCTTTATCGTAATCCATCAATTTGTCACGTTTTATCATTTGTAAACATAAAGATTTAATTTCCTATCAGTTAGTTTAACATAACTATTGCATAATTATTTTTATAAATTACGACAAACCAATGAAACAATCGTTTATTGACAATTTTTGGTCCTTGTTGCAAAGTTAAAACTGGGTCTCTGATATTGATTTGAGTCCTATACCTTCAGTGTATTGGGCTCACTAACCAAAGGATCGTGGATGTCTTTCTAAGTGGGCCAGTCATAAAAATCTTCGAGTAAAAAAGGGAACAACGACCCAATGAAAACTGTTAATGCCGAATACCCCAAAGTGGCCTTTTCCCGTTGATTGTATTGGCGTAGGTTACCTATGTCACCGACGTTTCAGCGACGCTAGTAAGATTATCACAGTAGGAATTGAGCCACCCTACCCCCACTAGACCACGTTTTGCCGACAATGGAACTAAAGTATTTTAATCCCCTCATTTGTATTATTTATTCGCCTTCATGAGCCATTTAGAGCGCCTTGAAACGGTCCATGAGTCCATTAACATTTTATGTAACTTTATTGGCAAATTCAGCCCAAAATGTAATTTAGACATACAATTTTTTTAGGGCTTTATTCATAACTCTCTTGGATTTTGTTCGTCTCATGTCAACAATTATTCACTACGAAAACATAGTGTGGTGTGCTTGTGACTTCTGATAGTGTTCCCCGTAAACCTATCCGTTTTTCTACTGGATGGAACAGAGGTCTTCCTTCCGTTCTTTTTATCAAAGGTTCCATTTTGTAGCTTTCACATCTATTTCCTAGCACTACGCGGGACCTAATTCTGATTTGCCTTCGTACATCATATAATGGTGAAGGAGACGTCGGAAGGAGAGTTCCTCACGAGTCATGGTAAAACACACTCTCGTCAGGTTCGCTTTGAGCTCTACGGTTGATCGGCGATTTTATGAGCATAAGCTCCTACAAAATATGTGAGCTTAAGTTTTAAAAACATAATTCATAGGGAAACATTCATTATCGTATCAGAAATGAAATCGATCCTAGAATAATTTACGAGGTCCTATTTTAGGAATTCGTATGCGCAAACCCAAAACAATCTTGTGACAGTCTAACCGGCATCATTGTGATCTGATTATCTGTGAGGCGGCGCTAATTTTTTTATCCGTTTAAAATGTAAGCGAGTGGTTCATTATCGGCTTAGGAAGTAATTACGGGAATAAGGTTTGTCTCGGACGTGTTCGAGGGTGGAACGTTACTCCTACTGCTGCATTTGCAGCATTTCAGCTGGGCCCGAGGATCCATTCCTTGGAAAGGGCTGTCTTAACCCTTAGACTCCCAAGATCTCATTAGTGATTCTCCTTACTGTCTGCTATACAGTTCTTCTGATGAAGCTTGTGAGAATTTGGTATTGGATCTACTAATAATCCCCTGATTGATACTTTTCTTGGTTCTCATCACTAGTCTTATTGATCTTGTATTGATATTGTGAGGGGAAATTCTGTTTTGGTCACTTATGGGAGTTAAAGGGTTAAAGAATTTCTTCAGCTCTCTTTAATTAATATCAAATCCATTTGCTTCATATTCAATGAATATTTTCGTTTGCGATAATCGAGGAATTGTTCCTCCGAGAGGAATTCGTAGCCGTTGTAAGATCTCTCGTTTTGTTTTTCGGAAATATCAAAAGGTCAGGTCAACAGAATGTAACTTAACGCTGACAGCAATTTCCTGGCGGCAGATTGGCAGTTTGGTGGCAGCATTTATTGAAACGACGCAAACAATTACTTAATAAAGATTCTTTTCACAGAAACTTATTCTTGGCCAGGAATTAAACAATAAAACTCACAAAATTATGCAGAAGAATGATAATGCATACATGGGAAGGGGTGAACGAGGAGAAAGAAGGATACAGACTTCGCAATGAGGCAAAGATTTTGCAAATTGTTTTGGGGATGATAAGTGCATAGGCTAGCTTATATTACATCTGACATCAAAATAGTGTCCACTGGCCACTCGCGTAGAGGAGTAAAATTCGATGGGAAAGGATGCACCAGGGTACAAAAGGATATAAACAATTTCTTTGAAGCATAGTTTTTAGCAAATTGTTTTGGCGATGAAAGCTTCATAGGCCTACCAGAATGACATCTGACATCAAAATAATGTTCATTAGAGACTCCTGAAAAGAAGTAGCAGTCCATGGAATGAGTAGCCGAGGGAAAAGATGGATATGGATCATATCGCTTTCAGTGAAACCCAGATTTTGCAAATTGGTTCGGTTATGATAAGTGCACAGGCCAATTTGTATGACATCTGACATCAAAATGATGTCTGTTGGCAATTTTAAGGGTGTCGAATGGACTTGTCTGTACTTTAGAGCCCGACAAAATCATTACGGATTACGAATCGGACTCTTCCATCCTTGTGTCTTTAAATGTTGGCGATTGGAGGTAATTCTAGCACACTCGAAAATTGCAGTTACGTTTGAATTTAAGGTAAATAAAAGTCGGTCTCCATAGGCAGTTACTTCAGTATAGGTGGAAATCTTGGTCATTCTTCTCGTTTGGGAGTGAGTTAAACAACTGGTTTAATCGGATTAGTTCATAATCTTCTAAACAATTAATTTGTAATATCTTAAACACGGGCTTCCAAGTAATCCAGTGATCTTGCAATCATCGCACACTTTAGATCCACAGTTTTCAAATTCCGTACTCGTTCCACATCATACTTAAAAAGCGGAGCTAAGCTTTTAATAATTGTTAACCAGCTTTTCGCCCTCTCAAAATTAAAAAATTATATTCTCAAGTTATGTTCTAATGATATCTGACCGAGCGTGTATGGCTTTCTGAGCTAAATTGATCTCAAAAGGATTAGCTTTATCGTTCTAGAAGATTCATTTGTGTCGGAAATTCTTCTAAAGTTTATTTATAAAATTTATCTTGAAATCAAAATGAAGTTGAAATTCGAAACTTTTTATAGACAGGTTCTTTGATGGAGTGCTCGTTGTGTTACCAAGCTGTAGGTTCTTTCCAAGGTCTTTAAATGTGTATTTCACGCATATACTGCGTGGTAGATGCGAGACGGGCAGATATTTCATCTTGGTGTTGAAATTTGCAACAACAAAAAAGGATACTTGTTTTTGCCTTTTTCATATAGTAAGTAGATTAGCACGTCGTATCTCGGAGAGGCCACCTCTCAGGCACGATGATACTGATCCGATAATTTATTATTAAAAAACCAGGGACGTTATCTATAAATAGCTATGCGAAGTATTTCCTACAATTAAATTAGTGATATTAAGTTAATGATAATTTTTCATCGATTGACAGGGAGTGAAACAAATACGGAGCTTTTATAGACAAAATTGTAAGACAAAATATTTGCGGTAAAAAAGCTGGTGTCCAAATTCCGTCAACATAAGTGTAACGAATGAATGGATACATTAAGATTTAAACTAAGCCTTTAATAATAAATAGTCTCAAACTCTAAGTACAAGGTCTCAAGTTCAAGGTCTTTGCATCATGATTTGCTAAATAATCCGATCACGTGCGTTGTGCCTAAAAACAAACAAACAAACATACATAAACAAAGCTTTCCAAGGGGGGAGTGAAAATAAAAAATTGTAGCTCGGAATGCTTCACGAAAACTTAGGAATTTTTCAATAGGAACATTTGTGGCTGTCAAGGAAAAGTAAAGGAAAAGTGAAGGAAAAGCTTCCAATCACTATTGCACAATGCAGTAGTCAACTTAGTTCGTCATCGTGACATTTTTCTGGAAATTCTTGACGTAATTTAGGTAGTTGAAACACCATGTGGTATATTGAATATCGCTATAAGTCCGCCAGTTTTCTGATACTTCTGTAATTAAACCGGATAAAAGCTTGATTGATGTCTAGACATAAATTAAAACGTACTTTCTCTTGACTAGTGTATATTGCAGGCAGCTGAATCCCGCCGGGTGATCGCAAAGTAAACTGTTTTCATCATTCCAGATTTTTCCGACATAATACCCGATCGTCTCTGTTGTTCGGGTAAGAACGAGGAGGCACGTTTTAGTTCCTTATATGCCTAGATTTCTGCAGTTTTCCAGCATCTTCCCTGGCAAACTCTTGTTTTGGCATAGATAAAGTCTGAGTGAGATTCCTCACCTTCTGCCCTTCGAGAAATATTACAACCCACCTCCCAAAATGGCCACCTCCCTACTGTGGTTCTCTGCGTACTCTGCCCTTTCCCAAAGGTGACCTTTTTGGTTGTGGAAAGGTTCGACTACATACCTCAATTTAACCCTTTAACTCCCAAGATCTGATTGTCAATTCCTCCCTCTAGATGCTACATGTTTTCTTGTAAATCAGTTATGAGAATTTAGTGTTAGATCAAGATAACAATTTCTACGTGATAAGTTGGAGTTTTCTCAATACCTGTTTGCTGGATAATTTATGGATATTATAGGGAGAAATTACATGCCAAACACTTGTGGGAGTTACAGGGTTAAGAGGCTGTACTGTTTAGAACCACATCTCTAATTTGATCATGCGATCTACTGTCTTATCAACAAAATCATGAAAGTCCATGTATTTCCCTTCCCACAGGAGAGCAGAGAGCGGTTATCTTACAAGCCATGCGTCATTGGGAAAACACTACTTGCTTAACATTCATTGAGCGAACGACAGAGAAAGACTATATTTACTTCCATAAAGGACGCTGTGGGTTAGTATTTGGTTTTTACTTTCTGCGATCGTGTTTTGTAAATTACTCAGTCAACAGTCACGCAAGGGACGAGGAATCAAAACTTAGTGTTCACCTCATCGATATGGGTAAAAATTGTTGAAACGGGCAAATTTTTCCCTCGCCACTCGTAGCCTTTTATTGTCATAAGCTTATTAGACAAGTTGACAAGGTCTGCGTCAGGAGAATCTCTGACGTTGCTTAGCAATGGCTACGCGAAACACTTACCTTAGAGGAAGTGAGTTCAATTGGTACCATAAATGAAGGAGCGGTGAAAATTATAAAAAGAGGAGAGAACAACCAAATTGGAGAGTCGAAACTTCAACACAAATTTATTTTCCAATATATGTTATAGATGCCAAAATAATTTAGATCTTCTACTTTTTATGTTCCTTCTAATAAAATTTTTTTTTCTCAGCTGCTGCTCGTATGTTGGACGCAAGGGGAATGGGCGCCAAGGGATTTCTATTGGCAAGAATTGTGACAAGTTTGGCATAGTGGTGCACGAGATTGGACACACAGTGGGGTTCTGGCACGAGCATACGCGGCCTGATCGGGCTGATTTTGTTAACATTTTCAGGGAGAATATAAAGAAAGGCTAGTAGTACATTGAAATCCATAGACGTGTTTACCCATTGGGCTGCGAAGATTTGTTCCAATTAAGAAGGGTCTCAGTGGGTTTAACCGTTCGCCGTAAACCGCCAAAAAATTCAACCGTTAGTCGTAAAAAAGAGGTAACAAAACAGTAACAAAATTTCTGGTGACTACTATGGAAAGATACTAACCGTTAGCCGTAAATTGGCCATAGTTTTAGCCGTCAGCCGTAAAAGCCATCCCCCCATTAAGACTCTCATTAAGAGGCGCGGGTATGTAATGGCATCGGAGCAATTATTGAGCCTCAAACTCCGTTAGTTCAAAGTGTGGATAACGCTATCCACTCCATAAATTTCTATTCAGAAGATAGCGCAGTAAGTTTTATTAACAATCATCCACCGGATAGCGATTTACCCATTGAATAGCATTATCCGCCCCTTGGATAGCTTCCGATCTCTCCACTATTCACATGCAAACTGACACCAATCGCGACTTTATCACTCGCCTTTTCCGCCTTTTTACTTTGGCTTTTTACATGCGAGTCATCATTGCTTTCTTTCCTTGCAAATTTTTATAAGATTTGATCGATCGTTGTCATGGCTTTAATTACTTTGGTTTTGATTTTGCAACGACGAATTTCCAAAAATAGACCTATCAATAATAGCAGGTTGAGTTTTTCGTGATGGTTTTTGTTACATTGCGTTCTCTTACTCACGATTCTTAATTTCTTTGTTTGCCTTTCTTTCTTTTACCAATTTTTTTGTTGTTGTTGTTGTTTTTTGTTTTTAGGTGAAGAACATAACTTTCTAAAACTCAGTTCCGCAGAAATAAATTCTTTGAACGAGCCTTATGACTATGCATCCATCATGCACTACGGGAAATACACGTTTGCGAAGGAAGGCCATCAAGTAACGATTTTGCCCAAAAAGAATTCACAAACGGATCTTACCCCTGAAATTGGACAAAGGGAAAAGCTCAGTATTGGAGATATCAGACAAACTGATAAAATGTACCGCTGTCCAGGTTGGTAGATTACATGAACGTGTATCACAAGCTTCTCATTAATCTCAATCAGTGTAGTCCTGCTGGAGTATGACGTCCATTTTTAGACAGTCGTTGCATGAAGTTGACAGAAATATATTTCCAATGTAAGATCTGACACCCGCTGGAAATAGACGGAAACTCTATTTTCCTTCGCAGTGCGCATTCTAGGTCGCTCGTTATTACTTTAAGTTCTAATTGGATTCTATTAATATGTTTCCGCTCTTATCGGCTCTTTCCTTCGCAGTAGGCGCTCTTGGTGGCTCGTAATTACTCTAAGTTCTCGTTGGCCTCTTGTGATATGTTTTCGCTCTGACTGGGTCTTGTGATTACTTTAGTTCTGATTTTACGACACTCAACCTTAGTGTGCTCTATGTCAGAAGTAGTTCCCTGGGTCGTTATACACAGTTTTTTTTACCAGGAGAGCGAAAAGAAGATATTTTTCTTAAACAAGCTTAAGATCATGACGGCACGCTTTCTTCCTTCTTTTGAGGCTTACCGTTCATAGGTAACGCCGCGAGACCTGCGACAAGTTGTTTTTGAGCATAAAGTAATTCAATTTGACTATTGAGAAACTTCTTACACGGTAATATCGATTTGTCTTTAAAATGTACATTGCTATTATTCAATTAGAATGTGGAAGAGCACTACATAAGCACGCTGATACATTTTCGTCTCCTGGATTCCCCAAGAGTCAAAAGTACAAGTTATGTGTGTGGCGCATTGCTGTGACGCCGGGGGAGCGGGTCTCTCTTAATTTTACGGTCTTTGGTCTCAAAAGAAGCTCAGGAAAATGCAGGGACGAGTACGTGGAGGTTCGGGACGGTCATTCCAAGTCTTCGCCTGTGATTGGTCGATATTGTGGGAAGAGAGTGCCACCTTTAATATTGTCCACAGGGAATAGATTGTGGATAAAGTATCAGTCGTCTGAAATTGTAGGAAAGCAAGGATTCAAGGCAAGTTACAAAGGTAAGAAAAAATTCGCGTGGTAATTGAAGAAACCTGCTCAGTCGCCACTTAGCGCCCGCGTGTAAAAGTAATTACGGATCCTGTGTTACCGAGTATACCTTACGGTAGCAAGAGCACCGCTGTGAGAGTGAGGGCGCAATCAGACTGGAGAAAAAGGAAGAAAGAAAAGAATGACTTACGAAAGGGAATAAAAAAGAAATAGAAGAGAATAAGGGAAGAAAGTTTGTATTTGCGGTAAGATGGAGGAAAAGGACTCAATAAGACAAAGACCTGTTTTTTGTAGGATTTATTATTTTAAGGCATGATTTGCATCGTTATTTGCAGCGGTATGTGGTGGTGACATAACTTCTCTTCAAGGAACCATTCAGTCACCGAAGTATCCGCTGTGGTATCCATACAACAAGAAGTGTACTTGGAAAATTACTTTGCCAGCGGTTCGTAACACTTTCAGATACCATGATTATAAATGTTTACCATTATTGCAGGGGTGTCTGTGTTTTGTAAGTTTGTGATGATTTACCTGCGTTTGAATAACAAGGAATGACGAGCGGTATGATCGCTGCGGGTCAATGTTAGTATCTGAACAACTGCACGCCTACCCCTCCCCCACCTTGTTATCTGTTGTCTGTTACTGGGTCAGGGGAGGGGTACACAATGTAAGTGCACAGATGCTCAGATATTGACAGTCATCCATTATTTCTGCCTAACGGAAAAACTGTCTATTTTTATACCCTACAGCTGTTTAAAAAATGCCTTAACAACTTAATGTATTCAAATTAGCTTCTTGGGGGGAGTGAGCTACAACGTAGCTTGCGAGACGGTTGTCACTTTTTTTACGCTTTTTGGGCGAGCAGAGGAAAAAGCGAGAGCGAGGAGAGCGCGAAAGGCGCATCACGGGTAAAAATTTGTTTTTTCTTCTTGTCTAGAGAGGGGTTCAGATGAAAAATTCTGATCTTCCATGTGGAATTGAACCTGTAACCTTCGGATTCCTCTCCCTATCGCTCTACCACTGCGCCATAGGGACTCCATATGGAGAGCTCAGTCGTTACCAGGGTCATATGAGACACGTATCCCACACACTGCTGGGATCAGCTATGCATATATGCTTTTACGAACTCCTCCATTGTTTCATATGCAAGTTTATGGGCCTGATTCTTGATCATATAACTTAACAAGAGCTTTTGTGAATAATTCTTTCTCAGCATTTTAGGGTTGGAATTCGCTTTATTGCTTTCGATATCGAGAGCCATAGCAAGTGTCTGTATGATTATCTTCAAATAAAAGACGGACCTGAGGACTCCTCGTCCTTACTAGGACGATACTGTGGGAAACAAATTCCTCAGGAGCTGAGGAGCAATTCCAGTCAGGTGACAATTCAGTTCTCTTCAGATGGAACCGTAAATAAACCTGGCTTCTACTTGAACTTTTTCTCAGGTAATAGATTGTTTGTTTTTTGATGTGGTTGCCATAAGAGCGCGATCTGGAACGTTTTTGATCGGTTATGTCGAATGATACCGGAGGCTGCGACTTTTTTAGATACAGGAGTATCTGACAATCTGATGTTTAAGTTTTAGTTATGGGAGCTGAATGAAAACTGGTTGTTACAGTTATTAGACATTGTGGGAAGGAAGGGGTTTTTTTAAGATGTGCTTTTTGAAAATTCTGAGATTAGAAAATGGCTTAATAATTATGTCGGCCGAAAGATTACTCTAAGAGAACACAGAGAGAAAGGACGAAAAAAAAAAGCATTAAACTTAACCCTCATATGAGGCTAGGTTCGGCAATTTAACTCTGCCCTCTAATGAATCGTGATATAATTCGTCACCATTCCATTAAAGATTGGTTCATCTTGCCCGCTGGAGCTGAACAAGGAATGTGAGTCATACTGCAGGCTCTTAGAGCCAGTATTACGATGATTATGATGTAATATGTTATTTTTCAGAGACGAACGAGTGTAAAACCAACAATGGCGGATGCCAACAAATCTGTGTGGATACCATTGGTGGCCACCGTTGTTCATGTGAGCCTGGTTACGAGCTGAGGTCAAATAACAAAGATTGCGAAGGTAGGGGGGCAAACAATATTGCAAGGAGCAGGGAATAGAAAAGAACGCTGTTGGTATCACAATTTTTTGTCAGAAACGCCCATACGTTAATTTGGCTCAAGCATTCATATGGTCTTGAAGATTTGAATTCAAAATTAATGCTTGCATTCTTTTACCGGGGCACGAATGACTCTTTTGCTGCTGCATATGTCTCTGAATATTATATTCCACGGTTATAACTACCTAACGATGACTCTTGACCAGTGTCCAGTCCCGTGCGACGATAGAATGGTATTTTTCGAGAGGGATGTGAGCTGGAGTAAGATCTGTTGCCATTTTACTAGCATAGCGAATAACGAGTCCGGGTAAATTTCAGTAGAAGGGCTAAATAATTCTTCTTCAATTCATCACACTCACAAACACTGCATGTGTTTTTGAGTGCGTTAACGTCTCTAATTCTAAATAACGATTTACGCAGGTGCCTGTGGAGGAACACTAAGGGCTCCTAACGGAAACATAACGTCACCAAGCTACCCCGGTAACTATCCCAAGAATAAACGCTGCTTTTGGAAAATCATGGGACCCGAAGGACAACAGATATCACTGAAGTTTGACAAGTTTCAATTGGAGGGAACTGGAAATGGAGTAAGTTTGTATAGTTTTTCAGAAACAAATTTTAAATTTCGTCTGGAATCAACAACCGAGAAACGTATGATGTTTATTAACGGTATAGGAATACCCCAGGATATTTGTATTTTCTAAATAGTGTGATAAAATTAACTTTGAATTCAAATTGCACTCTCCAGCGTGGTCAAAGTGGTTCTAGAATCTTATAGGTTTTAGTTCTTGTCATCTACGACAATCCTACCCTGAATATTTGACTATACTTTACTTCTGGGCTTGAATCATGACCTGTACAAAAGATATACACAGTCCAATAAACTTCGGTTATAGGAAATTCAAAGGTGAATGTATCGCAAGACTCTGTAAGTGTTTCCATCACACCGAAATTTGTAGCACACTATCGGAATAAGGGGCGAGTGTTTTTCCTCCTCTTATTGCCATGTTTTAACTTTTTGATTTTTGCCATATAGCAAAGCTTTATGCCTCACTGCTTAATTATTCAGGTTTGCCGGTACGATTACGTCAAAGTAAAAGATAAGAACGATCAGGTTCTTGGAACGTTTTGTGGTGGAAAGATTCCTCAAACAGTGACCAGCTCTTCAAACCTCATGTGGGTGGAGTTCAGGTCAGATCACACTCAATCTCGGGCTGGATTCTCTGCTGTGTATTATGCAGGTAACCGAGGCAGAATGAAGATCAGTATAAGGACCTTATACGCTCTTGAACAATCGAGAGGTAGTTGTTCCAATTTACTTGGAGGCTTTGCATGGGAACGAAGTGAATCACTCATTTTTCACTCAGCTCGGAAGATTGCCTTAAAATTCGTGTTACTCTATGTTCTTCAGTTGTTTTTGTTCGTCATGGACATGACTCGGCGAATCTGAAGTACATTACTCGATCCAGCATGGCCTATTGCAGTCCCCTCTGCTGAATCCCATGTGAATCCTTAAGATTAATACTTTTTTTTTCAAAAAGAAGTATCAGAGTTTTCCTTTTTTCCCTTTAAGACAAAGACGAATGTCAAAATAACAACGGTGGATGCCAGGATAAATGTATGAACACAGCTGGCAGTTACATCTGTTCCTGCAGAGAAGGGTTTGTTCTTCAGAAGGACAAGCATAGCTGTAAAGAAGGTGATAACTGTTTGAGACCTGTCCCTGACTTTTCCATTCCTATTAGTAAAGTGGGAATCATTTAGGCTGGGTGGCTTGTCAGAACTCAAGCGTCTTTTATAGCTAAATAAAACGAGGTTTTTTAGAAATATCATTTCATCTGTATCGCTCCACTCCAGCCAGGTCAGGTTCAAATCCCACCCCCCCCCTCTCCCCCGGGCACGCACGACGGTCAAAGAGGGGGGGGAGGGGGGGAAGTTGAGACTTGATCTTGATTTTGAACTGATTGGCGCATAAATGGCCATAACTCACGTTTTTCTTTATCCGATGCTTGTAACGAAAGGAGTAACACATTTCTTGAAAATTTCTCTTTACTTAATAAATTGATTTGATTTTTTTTAAGTAAATGGCTGTGGTGGTGCCCTGACAGCCTTATCTGGTGAAATAACATCTCCGAATTACCCAGGATCTTACCAATCAAACAGAGATTGTACGTGGAAAATTGTTGTCCCACCAGGAAGCCACATACAGCTTACCTTCAACGTATAGTATATTTATTGTTTAAGAGTGAATGCTAAAATGCATATGGCTTTGGATTCTACCGCAAAATAAATGTTTACCGTAGAACCAATTACTTACTTTTCTTGTTGTTTACCGAAACCGCCTCGTAAACAATCTTGCATTTCAGTAATCGTTTAAATCAAGCATATTTTTGTTCCTGTCGAGGTTTTTACGTGTTCGCTTTTATTTTGCTATTTGAGAGTGCCTTTGTAGTAATTATTCTTTTATTGATTTTTTATTGTTAAGAGGGCTTACAGCTTGCACTGGAAAGATATTTTTACTTCACTTAAACAACCAGCCCGTAAAGAAATATCGAATTCAGTTGATGGTCTAATATCGGCGCCAAAGTTTGACTTCAATTGAATAGCCAGCCCTTAGCGTTTTTAAGACTGAAGTTTTTTCACTTTGCTGTTGCCTGCTTCCTTGATGAAGTAATTAATTTATCCTTTGATAACATAAATTCACTCATTCACCATATGTCGAAAAAAAAAAAAAGTAAGACGCAACCGAACTAAACCGCCGCACCGTAGTTTAAGCCTTTCATTACCAGTCTCCTCTAAACCGTATGATTTACCTAATAAACGCATCTTCGACTTACTTTACTAGGAAATCGACATTGAACATCATGAGAACTGCTCTCTTGACTACGTAGAAGTGTTCTCGGGTACTGGCCAACAAGCCGTGAGCCTGGGCCGATATTGCGGAAGGAGAATTCCTGCAGATATTCATTTTTCCAGAGCTCATAAAATGTTGGTGAAATTTTACTCGGATAAATTGATCGGCCACACAGGGTTCAGAGCACAGTATACTGCAGGTCAGTCGTTGTATTTAAATTCTTCGACAGAAATTATTTCGTGGGGCCTGGGTTTTATTTCCTATAACCTGAATTTATACACGTGGGTTAAGTTCGCTGTTTCGTCTCATCCTTTCTCTTAGGGCTCTCTTACCGAGTTCTTCGTTTTCCCCTTCAAGTAGTCCAAGTTCGCACAATAAGCCTTCGTAAAATATTTCGAAATATCTCTGTTCCCCGAAAGGGGAAACATTAAGATTTGAAACAGAGGAACGGTCACTTTCTTGACCCGAAAATCTGAACTAGCTTTGAATAGAAACAAATTTACTTTGCTTTATCGTTTTTTCATTTTCACCTTGTCAGTTTTCAAGGCTGATCTACGGCCGTTTAGCTCGCTTTTAGTTCCCCGGCCCTACTTTGCCATCTTTATACATTTTCTCCTTAACATAGACAGCCTTACGGAACATTCAACCAATATATCCAAGTTCATAGAGCGATTTAGGTATCTACAAAAATGCTTTGCTTTCTTTTCATTTCCATAATTAGGAGGATAATCTCATCAATTTTAGAAAACTCGTTCTGCTTCTTATTTCTTTTCTTTTGTTTTCATATTGTTCTTTTTTTCTTTGTAGTGTGCAGTGCAAATCTTCACGTATCAAATAACAAACGTCAGTTCTTCTCTCATCCAAGTTATGGCAGCGACAATTACAAATCAAACCTCCGGTGTTCATGGCGGCTGACTACTCGGCCTGGATATATTATTCGTTTGCGATTCAAGCAGTTTGACGTTGAAAACGAGAAGCTCTGTGGATACGATTACGTCATCATCCGCGACGGAACTAACAACACCGCGCCACTACTGGGACGAGCTTGCGGTCAGACGTCGACTCAATCTTCCCACGAGTTCGTATCAACCGGAAATCGAATGTGGATAAAATTTGAAACGGACTTGACAAACAACAGGAAAGGTTTCATTGCAGAGTATTTTAGATCACGCAAAAATGAAAAACGATCGTTATAGGAAAAGACAGTAGCAGTCGCTTTATGTATGTGGAAAAATTTTCTTAGCGCTAAAGCAGAAATGTTAAGACAGCCTTAAAAAAATCCCTGTTACGCTATTAAGTCATAACCGGCTAATTAAATAAGGTAAACGTAAAAAAATATTTTTAATTAAAGCAAGAGTTATTTTTATTTATTACTCTTAGTACATTTCAACCTGCTACACTTTCTAGGGATTTGCAATAACCTGTGATTTGTACTTTCCCGGACTGTTTTGTTCAAATTTCTTCTTAATGTGATATTGTGTAGTTTTTTTTTTAATTTATTCTATGCCGCTGAAAAAAAGAAGAAAATACAAAATATATATATATAAAAGATTCCAGAGTTTCTATGGTCGTCAAATAGAAGATTTGCGTTATCTACGGTAACAACAGTTTTCTAAAAATGGTACATTTTCATGCGATTTTTAATGAAGTATTTCTCAGGAATGCAAGCTTTGTTTTCTTTGTTCTCGTTTGTCTTTATGGTGGCACCTTTTCGAGAGAAGGAATAACGCATTCAGCTCTTAACTATGCGTCTTGACCAGACTGTAAAGCTGATTTGCTGGAGACCGTGTTCCGTATTAATGGACACTTATTTTATGACGCCGTGACAGAATATCGCGTTGATACATGTTAAGGACACATGGACCCTGTGGAAACATCAACTGAGCTTGCACCTTTCCTGCACTCTTTGCATTGCCTCCCTAGCTTATCAGGCGTAGTGATCTGCTCTAAAACCTAAAAACGAGTCATGTAAAGAAAGAACTGCAGATTACGATAAAAATAATAATTTAAACGACTTTTCTTTTAAGGAAGTGTCAGAGCCGGTAAGGCGTGAAACGACCGCAGATTCTTCTATTGAATTTATCGGGTATCGGATGCCGCAGCACGAGCAAAATGGCTGCACAGTCTTATTCACAAGGCATCAATCAACAAAAGTGTACCAAGCTTTTTTGATATTCTGTTTGGTTTTCTAGATATCGGCATCTATAGTTGGAGTAGCTAAAAATATGCGAGGCTCGTTGCGTAAATGGACATCACGGGACAAATATTTCAAATATCAAAATTTCCCAACAAACATTTTGTTTGTCATTATTTCTGAAATGTTGTGGCGAAATTTGACGAAAATCGGTCAAATCTGTATACCCTATAAATTCGCTCAAAGTGGTTGTATTCCTCTCAAAATCAAATGCGAGATTTTAGCTCATAAAGGTTTGCAAACAACTCGCACCACGCCAGGAGATTATCGCACCTCCTGAAACCGCAAACCAATAGGACAACAGGACCTCCTGGCAACAATGACGATGGATCAAGATTTCCCGGGAAAAGAAACCCGTTGCAGAAACGTTTTTTTATCTCGATTGCTCATAGGAACGTTAAGGAGACCGACACAATAATGAGCAAAGTTGCCAAAGGCAAAGCCAAAACCCGCGGAAAAAATGGAAAAACCGCAAAATGTGCTGAGGAGCAAGACAACAAATAGACAGACATCTTTCAAAATTACCATTCGAGGCGATCGGTAATGTTTTTGGTATTAAGGCTGGTACTTATATAAAGAAAAGGAAACCTCGTTTTTATCATTATGTATGGCAAATTTTGGTTGATGGCGACTTCTTTGTTCGAAATCTGGACGCCAGCGTGAGGCTCCGCCAGTACTAGTAGCTTTCACAAAGGACTTTTTTTTCTTTTCTTGACAAAATGGTACTCTTTCTTTCTTCTATGGGCCTGTTTTTTGTTTTTTTTTTTTTTTACAGAGGACTTTCTTCCGCTTTTTATTTTTCTATGAGCAATAATCTTTCCTTAAGCAAAGAGCTTCCACCTGTGAATTTTGTAAAGTGCGCGATGTAAACAAAATATGGAAATAACATGAAAAACGAGCCCCAAAATGAGCTGTTGCCGCGAAAATTCCCCCAGGGGATTCGCCCAGGTCCGAGATTATGACACCTTCCTGATTTATTACTGCGAATATTGCTTTCATATCTTTTTTGATGTCTTATCTGCAACGATGCAAATGTGGTGTGTAGTGGTCGTAAAAGAAGGATTCTTGATATTAGCAGGAAATTTAGTGTTAACAACTGAGTTGAAAACGTAAATTGGCCATCTTAACGAGTTAAAAGGCTGACGTTTTGAGCGTTAGCCCCGCGTCCAGCGCTCTGACGGTTTCAACTCAGCTGTTAACACTAAATTACCTGCTATAATATACTCTCCCACCAACGCAGCACCACAGTTTCTTTAGAAACTTTCCTTCTTGACATTGATTCGTTTCAAAATGGCTGGCATGGGCCAGCGTGAACATGATCAATTTTTTCTTACTGATTGTAGAGTCTCTTACTCGTGGAGCATGAGAATTGTTACTCCGTGAAATCTATGGACTTTCTTTCATTATAGCTACTGCAGTAATCAGTAGAGCATATCGACACCATTGCGGACAAGGAAAATAAGAACTCATCCGTTAGGTCAGGCTTCTCGAATTGTTATGCAATAAGCGCCGTTGAGAGACAAATCTTGCAAGCCACAAGAAAAAATGAACTGAAGAAATATAACTTTCTTTCTAAGAGGAAAACCAAACAGACCTTCCGCTACAATTAACAGCTGATGATATAAATACTGACCACACAGAAAGAACAGCTGTCTAGGCAAAATGCAAATTTTGCCTAGACAGCTAAAGTTGAAAGAAGGTCTTCAGGTCGTTTTTTCAATAGCAACACTTATGTGCAATTTTTAACTGATTTGAACATTACAACAAGTTTTATGGAACATAGTTCAAATTACCCTTCAACATAATAATGTGACCGTTCTGAAGAAGATTTCCAAATCGGCATCGATCCGGCTGATTACCTCAAATTAAAAAACAAACCAGTTTGATAGTAATTTTTAAGCACCTGGCACGCTATTTTTGTTATCTATTAAAAAATTTATTCAGTGGTTCAAGTACCGTGAAATGAGGCAAGGGGAAACAGCATCTTTGAGACCGAGTTGAATTCACTGAGGCTCCTTTCATGTAAGTTCATTTCTTAAACATAAGTCGGCAGAATGTCAAGCAAAGGTTGCCAATTTTGACACGGAAAAGTGTTGACTCGAAACCAGTAAACCTTATTGTTCTTCCTTATCATCGTACTCTACAGGCTCAAAAGTATCGAAAACATGCCGGTAGTTTACGACAAAATCCATTTACCCAGTTAGCTTTCAGTTTCTGAATTAAGCCTCTAGACCGAACTAACGCTCGGTGTCTTAATATAACTGAGGAGAATGTGCCAGTGCCTTTGTTATGACATCCGCAAACTGGTTAGACCTTCTAGTTTTCTCGGATAAGGACGATGAGCCGTAGGCGCCGTCTCCTGTCTGTTCTCTGTACTAGTTGGCAGGGGAAGTTAAAGAACCCATACACCTCGATCGAGAAGGGAACGTAGCTCCCAGCTTTAAAGCGCTTGCTGACCTGAGACGACCTGTCAAGATGTCGCAAATAAATAAATAAATAAATAAATACATAAATTCATGTTATTGTTCTTCAGGCAAAACACTGTTTACAAGAACTTCAAATATCCGAAAAACAGGTTTCCACGTTATACACATATATGACTGTAGGAGCTTTCGTCGGTCGTCATCCTTTCCACATTCTAGGCCGGGGGGACTCTCCACAGATACAAAACGAATTCGTTCTGACGAAGGACTAACGCTCGAAATATCAGCTTTGAAACTCTCAATGGTGCCCAATTTACGTTATCAATCCAGTTGATAATACCAAATTACCTTATTTTGTCACAGGTTTGGAGGCCAATAAGCATATGGATCATACCGTATCCCATAATTCACTGCGGCTGGGGAGCAAATAACAGGTGCTTCGATTACGTCGGTAATGACGTGTGTAAAAAGCAACGACCCAAAGAAACTGATCGTGTTCTAATCCGAAGTCAAAGAACTTTCTGTCGAACAAAAAGTTACTGTGTTGTAGAAACGATGAATGTGTTTAACAGCACAGGTACTGAGGAAGATTACCTGTTTATAGATGTATCTACAAATTGGTTTGTTTTTGATCTGGTTTATTTCCAAGCGCGGCCAATTGACATCAGAAATGTTTTCTCTCAAGATACGCAAAAACAGTCGTTGGTGGCTTTCTTGATTTTCGGTTTCCTTTTCTTTGCCCTCTTTGATGTTAAACATGTGGACATACTCTTTCCTTGTCGGGAAAATACAAATGAAAAATATTTTTAAAAAAAACCTTTAAATTTTAGGTGATCAGGTGTTTTAAACAATCCCATTGCGTGTTAACTAATTGGATGACGTATTGACAGATGTCGCCACCTAAGGACTCCAACGCAAACAAAGTGACCTTTGAATGGGAAATCAAAAAACCTCTAGTAATCGTGCTAAATTTCGATGAGTATTCTCCATAAAAATGAAAATAAAGGAAATCGTATTTGGAACTTTTGTTGTCGTTACTGTTGCTGACACGGTGAATTTGCGATTTGAAATTTTTTTTCTTTGTCTCGAATGACTTTTATTGTTCCTGTATTACACGTGCACCGGAAATTCACCGCCTGGTTCATCCAATTTTATCCATTTAATACATTTTAGGCTCTTATAACTTAAGTTGTAATCGTTTAGGTAAGTAACAATCTCTTAAAAGTTTTGCACAGTGTTCTGAATCTTTTAAAAAAAAGCATAAACAGCAAATAAAAGGCTAAAACGTCGCACATCAGTTGGTCACACCTTTCAATAGCAGTTTCTCAGTAACAGGTTTGGCCAAGAAAACGATGCGGCTTTGTTATTGTTGCGTTACACGCGCTGAAAATATCGGTATCGATTCGCTCGCAGTCAAGAATATATCTTTACGTTTCCTTCTATTTCTATTTAATTTAGCCAAGTATATGTATAACGGAAAAGTTTAGGTAGGTAACAATCCATTATTCTCTTCATTTCATGGGGTTATTTAATTCATAAAGCGGACGAAAATCTTTTAAGGTTTTATTTTCGCACATCAGTGGCAACCAGTTAAATTTTTCGGTTTCTACAGGTTTGACCAGAAATTGATGCGGCTATGTTATTGTTGCGTTACACGCGCTGAAAATATCGATATCGATTCGCTCGCATTCAAGATTGTATCGTTACGTTTGATCCATTCCTATTTAATTTAACCACGTATATGTAAACAGGAAAAGTTTAGGTAAGTAATAATCCATTATTCTCTCCATTTTACGGGTGTACATAATTCATAAAGCGGACGAAAATCTTTTTGAGGTTGTATTTCGTGCCTCAGCAGTTACCGGTCAATTTTCAATTGGTCAAATTACCAGCAGTGCGATTGTTTTTTTTTTTTTACTTTTTTGATTTAGTCATTACACAGAGCGCGCTCAATTCAAACTATCAGAAGTTAGTGTAAATATGTCCATTCGAACTACAATAAGATCTCTTATATGGACGTTCTTGGTCTCGTAAGCTAGGTGTGTGGCGTTTCTCTGGAGTCATACGACTTGCTATATTAAATAACAACAATTAATGTGAATTATTTTAAGGCTTTCGCGTGGATCTTGAGGGGACTACTTCGCGAGACGCTGCGGGTCCTTAACTTACATTTGAATTCACTCAGTTTTTGGTTTTGTTTGTTTGAACTGTCAATACTCTCTATAGCACTTGAGCGCTGTACTCACCAACATTTACCTTTCTTATAAAATGATAATTTAAGCAATTCTCCCAATTTCGATCGGAAGGCAGGTATATACTTCTATTAGTAATTTAGGTATAATATTATAAAGCCGGCAATAACATTCAAAAGGATATCAATATACCGACAACGCTTTTGCGAAGATGTCATGGTTTTGTACACTTATTTTACTTTGAACACGATGGCCAGTGTAGTGATAGGTTTCTGCCTCTAATCCGCGCTTTTCGGCTGGGAAGGTTAATTTCCAACCCGTTTGGGCGATTAACTATTAACTGCTTGACAGAGCGAACAATGAAGCGAAACTAAACTGGCATCGATCGCTCGGCTTTCGAGAGAGCAGATATTCATCACAATTTCCATTCACAAGAGATTTGAGGTGACTAGACTTCAGACCAATCAAGAAACACTGATTCCTCAGGACTTGTCTTCACTTTTCTCTACTAATTTTCAACACTCTCGAATGTAAGTCAACATAGAATCCATTTTGTAAATTTCCATTGCAATTCGTGAATGTTGAATCGTGGCTGTGAATCTAGAATGTTAATAGAACTTACGTCTTCTATTGTTATACTAATGTTAAACGAACAATAGAGCAAAATTTAGTTCACGAGACAGCATTCAATTTAAGATAGAGAATGTTCATGCGCTCCTTTACAAACAGAAATACACCTTCCTCAATGGTTTAACGTATCTTGCGGGCAGAAATGTTGTATTTTTCCATAGCCACGCAAGGGCGAGGAAAATGCGAGTGTCTGCTCATATCATATATTAAACCAACGATTAAGGGATTTATTACCCCAAAATTACTTCTCTTTCAAGTATTTTAGCCTACGACTTCATCTGAGCATAGGACAAGCGCGGAAGACGAAGACAACACAAGCAAAACTATTTGTAATTGTTTTTTATTGCTAAAAGATCTGAAGCGTTTGAGAGTTTGTTGTTTTAGAAGGTAAACTAAAAAAATCCGATTACCATACCATACCCTGATGAAATTTTGATAAGATGGCGCACTAGAAAATATCTGGTGTTTCGAAGACTAGACTTAAGACCGAAGACCTCGAGAATTAAGACCTTGAAAACGGTACCTGGCGCATTGATAAACTAGAAGATACCTGAGGTCGTTTCTCTTTGTCGGGATTAGATTTAAGACAAAAGGTGTAATGTTTTCCATGTCATTCTTTACTGAATTACACTTGATGGTGTTTTAGAGCTATCACTGTGCACTATGCAAAGATGTCTAAGGGTATGACAAGACACAGTCAACAGATCCGCATAGACGTATGGAAAGCGCTGGAAAACAAACCAAGATGGCATCCGGATAGCTGTCGATCGTGGCTTGTTTGTGCGGCGTCTTTGTTATCTGTTGTTGTTGTCTCGGGGATTGCATTCAGTTATGGTTTACTCCTGCCGTCCTTGATGTTTGCCTTTGAAGCTACTCGACAACAAACAGGTAAGTAACAGTGAATTAAAACATCGATTTCGCGTCTAGAAAAAAGGGATGTGCTGGGCATTTACATTCAAGATCCATCTGCGCACAGACGATCAACTCATTCTCCGTCGCCCAGTGCCCCATGTACCTACAACACTTTTTAATGTTTGGCGTCTCCTTTTATTTGCTCTCCTATAAACTAACTTACGTCACTTTACGTTGCAGCATGGATTGGTACATTGTACGTGGGATTCTCTTTTCTCGTTGCTCCTCTGTCTTCTTACATTAACGATCGTTTTAGCTACAGGCTTGCTGCCATTCTGGGATCCCTCTTAGGAATTGTTGGTTTCATCTTTGCTTCATGGAGTTCCGATCTGTGGATGATGTATTTAACATTTGGTTTAATGTCTGGTATTGGGCATGGATTGATTTTCAATACTTCTGTTTTGGTGATCCTGCAGCATTTCGTGAAATGGCGTTCAGTAGCTGTCGGTATTGTGGCTTCTGGGCCAGCTATTGGCATGTTTGTCTTCTCCCAAATCACTCGACTGTTATTAAGCACGTTTGGATGGCCGGGGGCAATGATAGGTTACGCCATCTTGTTCTTTATGTGCGGATTGTGTGCTACTGTGTTCGTGACACTTAAGACATTTAAGGAGGACAACAGTGACATCAATTCTCATGGAATAAAACGTGAAGAACCAAAAACATCATCTCTGCTCAGAAATCGTCATTTTCTGATTATGTTTTCTTCATTTGTTATCGTTCACTTTAGTTATTTTGTTCCCACTATACACATAGTAAGTATATATCAATCTTATTTTTTTGTTTGGTAAACGGAAGAACTATACTTCAAATTGCCACTTTATCGTATAATTATAATCCAAGCTAACCAAGAGACGTCGTCTCGCAATGGTAGACAGAGAATTGAGAAAGTTGTAGAGATGTGGAAGTTTGTGAAGTCAGAAAAGCTTGTCGCATAAACAGAACATAAACAAAAGAAAAGACAGAAAGATAGACATGCAGAAGAATAACCCCGTGGAAAGAGAGATTTAGTGGTAGAACGAACGAGAAAGAGAAGGCCGGAGAAGATTTGCTTCCGAGTTTCTAGAGGTTTTGTAAGACAAGGAAAAAGGCAGATGGACAGAAAGACGGACAGACGGTCAGACAGACGGACAGACGGACAGACGGACAGACGACTCTTATAAAGAGAGAAAGGCGGGGTAGGTAAGCAGCGAGATAGGGGAACTGACGTGCAGATTGGCAAGCTGGTGGGCGGTAAGCAAATCATAAACCGCGACAGTTAATTTTGATGAGCTTATCTTATATTTCCAGGCAAAACACAGCATAGAAGAACTCCATATGTCCGAAGAAGATGTCTCCTTATTATACACTTACATGGCTGTAGCTTCCTTTATCAGTCGCCATCTTTTCTGCAAATTGGGAGACTTGCCATACTTCAATAGATTCTATCTTTATCAGGGGGGCATGACCATCAGTGGACTATGTGTCCTTTGCATTCCTGCAGCAAGTTCGTTTATTTCTATGCTCATACCATTAATGGGATTTGCACTCATGGATGGAGCGATGTCGGGGCAACAGTCTCTGCTTGTATTGGAATGTGTGGGACATCACAATGTAAACCGTGCGTGGGGTTGTATAATGCTTTTTGTAGGAATTAGCGCTAGTGTTGGACCTCCTTTAGTCGGTAAGTTGAAGCTAATGTTGTAATTACAGGTCATGGATTGGAGATTGTCTCTATTTAACTCCCACCACAAACAATCCACTCATTTTTATCTAGGGCACTTACGGAATGACGTTTTTCTGATAGGTCTCATGGCTGACATGCTTGGCTCTTACACTATCCCATTTTATACTACGGGCGTGGTGCTGATAGTAGGGGCCTCCATCACATCACTTATGGCTTGTGTAAATCAACAATCCGAAGAAATTGACACCTGCATCGTTCAATCAGAAGTGCAAGAACTTACGGTCGCTGAAAAAATAACTGTATTGTAGAAATGTTATTCATTTTGTCTTTAGTTTCCTACGTTCTGATCGGTTGCTTTAAATAAATAAGCTTTGAAATAATATTAGTTGCTTTGTTTTACTGTTCCGTCCTCATTGTCTTCTAAAAATAAGATTCATTGGGTAAAATATAGTGGAAATCGTGAATAGAACGTAGAGCTGAGGGTGAGTAAGTTGATTTATAACACAGGATCTATTGTCCAGTCTTCCATGATGTAAACGGCAAATTGTTTTGTATCCTTGTGAATCACAAAGAATTGCGGGCGTGCAGCGTTTTTCAATCCTTGCGCATCCTTTAAAGACTTGAGCGTATGTTGTTGCTTTCTTGCATTATATTGATTCATCATTTTATCGCTTTATACTGGCCATTGAGACAGATTTTCGTGATCAGCCATAAGTTAAGAACAAGGGTAGCGTAGATGATAAAGTTTATTTTATTCTTCGTCGGTCTAGTGCAACTTCAACTTAGTTGAGAACGCTCGTTACTCGAAACTTTTATTTTGAGTAAACTGCTACTCAGTTTTTTAATTGTTTTTCGGTCTTTACATATATTCAGCATACCAGAAATTATTAATAATGACCCTTAACGAAGTCCACTTGGGCTGCCTGGGGTCGTAAAAAGTGTAGTAACTACCTTACTGAAATGTAATCCAAGGGCGGGGTGCAAGTGCACCCGTTGCTATATGGTTTTACAAAACAGAATGCACGTGTGCAGTGCACGTGTGTTTATGGCTACATGATTTTATCGTGTGGAATGAACGTGCAGGGATTTGCTCAAAGACCAATGGGTATCGTTGCGTTCCTTCCGTTTCTACTAGTGTCTGTATAACAGAAACGTTTAGATGTGTAACAACCCATTAAATTTTTTATGTCATGGGAAATTTTAACAAGAAAATATTTAGCTCATAAAGCGGTCGTAAATCTCTTTGAGGTTGTCTTTTCGAGTCTCAGTAGCAGCCGGTCAATTTTTTTTCAATTGGCTAAATTACCAGTAGTGCGATGGATTTCTTTCTTTTTTTATTAAAAGAGCACACAGAACGTTCCCAATCAAACTATCGTAAATACATCTATAAGCATATAACTACCGTGACATCTTGGTCACGCAAGCTAGGTGTATTTCCCTTGAAAAATACGATTCGCTATATTACGTAACAACAATGACTGTGAATTATAGGGCTTTCGTGACTTCTTCGCGAGACCCTTCGGATCTTTATCTTACATGTAAATTCAATCAGTTTTTGGTTTTGTCTGTTTGAACTCTCAATACTCTTTATGGCGCTTGAACGCTGTACTCACCAACATTTACCTCTCTTAGAAAACTATAATCTATTAGATTCGGAAGGTTAGTAGATATCTATCAGGAATTTTAATACGTAATATCAATAACATGGATCAGCCAAAGTACATCAAAACATTAACATTTCTTTCGTGATGTGGAGATATTATGGCTTCGTAACGGGAAATCAAAATTTACATTTTTACCTCAAACACGATGGTCAGTGTTATGATAGTTTTCTGCTCCTAATTTGCGCTTTTAGGGCTGGAATGGTTAATTTCCAACCCGTTGGGCGATTAACTGTGAACTGCTTGACAGAAGAGAGTAAACAATGTGGCGAAACCGGAGAAACTGTCATCAATCGCGCGATTTCCGGGAGAGTAGAATTTCAGGAAGGTGATATGTTCGGAGTGCGCATGCACCCATTTCATCAAGATGATTCGTGATGAATGCACGTGCGGAGTGCACGTGTGCCCAGTAGTAAACCGGAAATATCACTGCTTCCTGAGAATCATACAAACCGCTATTTTACGTAACGACAATGAATGTGGATCATACGGGCTTCGTAAGGATCTTGAGGAGACTTCTTCGCGAGACGCTGCGAATCAAGAATTATTTCCTGGGATTCGTCTTTACTCTTCACAATTGATTTTCAGCACTTTCGAATGTAAGTCATCATACAATCCATTTTGTGCCTCGCGAATATTGAATCGTCGCTATGAATTTCGAACGAAAATATAAATTACGGTTCAAAGCTGCAATAACTATTGTACAGTTATATTTATGTTGGGCGAACAACGCTCGAGTGTGGCGCTGACGCAAGGCGTTTCTTGTGACGTCCGTTTACAGCGTGTTTCAGTTAATGTTCACTTCCGTAGCAAGTTAAACTTAGGCACACAAATGCGTATGTATGCTTTTCAATATTAGCTGTAATCATTCCCAGAAGAAGTCTCAGCTAGAGACGAAACGCGTCGGAAAAGTTACAACAACGAGAAATCTGCCTTTGTACTTCTCACTAGCCTCCGTTAGAAAAAATAACATTAAAAAAGATAAATCTTATAAATTGCCACAATCTGGAGGAAGAGTTTCGTTCAAGAAACCAGATGAAGACCTAAGTCACGCTCGCTCCGGAATCGATGGGCCTGAGGTCAAAGTGATATACACCGTATAAAAACTTTTGTTAAATCCTTTTCGGCTTGAACTAAAAAATACTTCTTTAAATATTGGGTTCGATATTGGCTGAGAGGAAAAATTTTTTTTATTAGCTGTTCTGCATGGCGTGTAGTTTACCCGTAGCTCTGACAATCTGTCGATCTGTCGCGTTTCGATTATTCCACCTTTTGGGAGTAATGATATCCCATTTCGAATTTCATATTCTCTTAACTGCTTAATGGTGGCTGATAACAGAATGGAACAAATCCTTTTTTCCGCTCGTAAATTGCGACAGCAGCTGGAAAGCGAGGGCGATGTTGTTTCAGGTATTATCGTGACCCTTTCACTAGACACACGTATGACGTATCACATCACGTGTCCTGGATTGGAACATTTTCAAAATGGCCGTCAATTAATCATCAGAAAAAATAATATATTGATTCTGCGCAAAATATCGTTTATTTGCTCATTTAGGGTTCTTCAACCCAAGATGAATGTACTTAATTTTGTACTGTTTTTAGTTTTCCTTTTTATTTATTGATTTTTTTTTTGTTAAAAGTAATTATTTTTAGCGTATCGAGTGGTATGTTGCTCGTAACAATCAGATCGCAGCATATTAGGGTACGTATCTCACACCAATCAGATCGCCGCATTAGGGTAGGTATCTCTCACCCATCAGATCGCCGCGTAGAGTATGTATCTCGCACCTGTCAGATCACAGCATTGGGTATGCTTGCACCAATAAGAGTATTATCATGTATGCCAATCATGTCTAGCCTAAGTTTCTAAAAATTGGACCGTGACGACATGTTTCACGACGTCTGATTTTGCCTTGTTTTACAGCGTGGCACATTTTTTGCGTTCCATTATCCTAATATGGTAAAATGGTTTAATAATGGAAAATATCGGGTGTCTCGAAAACTAAGACCTTGGACCTATAACCTTGATAACTGAGACCTTGACACCTTGGCGCATTGAGGAACTGAAAAGTACACGAGGTCAGCTCTCCCTGATGGGATTAGTTGGTTTTGAGACGAAAAGTGTAATAAGTATGGCATTATTGTTTACATTGATTAAATTGGTGTTCTATAGCTACCGCTGTACACTATACAAAGATGTCGAAATGTAAAACAAGACACAATTCACAGATCCATATGGGCCCATGGAAAACGCTGGAGAACAATTCCGGATGGCATCCAGATAGCTGTCGATCGTGGCTTGTTTGTGCGGCATCTCTGTTATCCGTTGTTGTGGTTTCGGGGATTGCTTTCAGTTATGGTTTACTTCTGCCGTCCTTGATGGATGCTTTTGAAGGTACTCGACAAGAAACAGGTAAGTTACAAGAGTAACATCAATTTCGCGTTTAAAATAATTACGAAAAAGAAACAAATCTGTACACGGCGCTAACATTCATCAAGATGATGCGGTAGAATGCATATGCGCCCACAGCTACGTGTTTTAATTTTCAACAAGATGATGCGTGCGGAATGCACGTGCAGAGAAATTCGAAGCTTTTCTCTCCTTGTTCGTTTCGGGGATTGCATTCAGTTATGGTTTACTCCTAGCGTCCATAAGTGTGCTTTTGAAGCTACTCGAGAAGAAACAGGTACTTAGCAAGAACACAAAATATCGATTTCGCGTCTGAAATAATAGTGATAATAATAATAACAATAATAATAATAATAATAATAATAATAAAAAATAAGTGAAAGGCACTTACATTCAAGATCCATCGGCCAACACTGAACCAGTGCCAAGAGACCATTTACCCATCCTCTCTCGCCCAGTGCCTCAGGTGCCCACAGGGTCGTTTTAAAGGGCGAACCGACGAGGCATGCAAGGTATGCTAGCCATGCGAACCATCGCAAAATGTACTTTTATAAAAACCTTTTTCCACATGGAAATATATAAAAAATGTTATATTTCGTTATTGTTCCGCTGCTAGAAAATGCATACAGAATAACAGTCGTCACGCGACGTTGTATCACGGCCGCTGATATTTATTGGAAGAGCCTGGGTCAAACGAATTACTCTCCCCTTCTTGGATGGATTTTTCTCTCCTTAGCTGTGTCCTTACCTGGTGTTTTTTTTTTTTTTTTTTTGCGGAATCAATCCTTTTATTCTTTTTCGATCTTTGTTGTGGGAATCGAGCATCCTTGTCGCTTGTTCCTCTTAAGACTTTTTCCGCTGTCGACTTTGGAGCATTTTGCAGCATTGATGATGCATATACGATCGTGTATAATTAAAACCTCTTTTGATAATTAAGTTCATTGCCAGCTATTATTATATTGACATTAAGAGAAATTTGTAGAACATGACAGGAATTGCTGTAATTCACCATGAGTACGTAAAATACGATAAAATACAGTTTATATTATGTTGAAAAAATAGCAATGGTCTTTTAGTTACCTAGAAATCCTTAGGTTTTTTATGGTAACATAAAAAATATAAGAACTATTGTTGCATTGTCGTACATTCGTTACAGTTGGTTTTTCAGTGAATTTAGTTGTTTCTATAATTTGTCTTCACACCTCGCAGCATGTCTTGCATGCCTCGTACGCCTCGCCGCCTCGCGTATTGGTGAGGGTGACACTATTGCCGACAATAATTCTAAATGTTTAGCGTTTCTCTCCATTTACTCTACTATAAACATATGTTCGTCCTTTTCGTTCCGTTGCAGCATGGATTGGCACATTGTACGTGGGGCTCTCTTATCTCGTAGCTCCATTATCTGCTCACATCAATGATCGTTATAGCTACAGGTTTGCCGCTATTCTGGGATCCCTCTTAGGAATTATTGGTTTCATCTTTGCTTCATGGAGTTCCGATCTGTGGATGATGTTTTTAACATTTGGCTTAATGTCTGGTATTGGGCATGGATTGATTTTCAATACTTCCGTTTTGGTGATCCTGCAGCATTTCGTGAAATGGCGTTCAGTAGCTGTCGGTATTGTGGCTTCAGGGCCAGCTATTGGCATGTTTGTCTTCTCCCAAATCACTCGACTGTTATTAAGCACGTTTGGATGGCCGGGGGCAATGATAGGATACGCCATCTTGTACTTTGTATGCGGATTGTGTGCCACTATGTTCGTGACACTTAAGACATTTAAGGAAGACAACAGTGACATCAATTCTCATGGAATAAAACGTGAAGAGTCAAAAACATCATCTCCCCTCAGAAATCGTCATTTTCTGATTATGTTTTCTTCATTTGTTATCATTCATTTTAGTTATTATGTTCCCACTATACACATAGTAAGTATCAATTTGATGTTTTGGTTGATAAACAGACTGGCTATACTGAATTGCAATCTTATCACGTTATGATACTTCATCCTAGCCGAGACAGTCGCCTTGCGTAGAGTGAGAACTAAAGAAACTTATGGAGATGTGGAAGTTTGTGTAGTCAGAAATGTTTGTCGGATAAACATAAACGAAACAAACAGTAAGACTGTGAAGGGACGACAGACAGCTAAACAAGAAGGGTGATCCGCAGATAAACGTCGTGGTAAAAAGACAAGAGGAGGGCAAAGAAACTTGTTGTTGTCAAGTTACTCTCTACTGCGAAATTTGAACCAGACAGGCAGATAGACAGTGACAAACGGTTGTTTGGACATTCTGCCTGAAGGAAAGACAACGGGTCATGCAGACGGTATGACGGGTAGGGAAGCAAGAGGTACAAGGGTAATCACGTTTGCTGGAAGACAGTAAGACAGACAGACGAACACACGTGCAGAGAGACAGACAGTTGGAAAACACGTAGGTAGACATGTTGACAGGTAGTCGAGCGGTAGGCAGGCAGACAGGCAGGAAGAAAGATAAATAGACAGACAGGGAGACAGAGACAGTGGGACATGTAAGCAGACAGTCGGGTATGTGGGCTGACAGAGACAGTCAGGCGGGCAGGCAAGCAGACAGAGACAGTCAGCAAATAAGCAAGTAAACGGGTGGGCGGTTAGGCATAGACACGTAGATGAAAAAAATCATTTGGGATGACAGACTGATCGAAATACAAACTTTCAGAAATATACGGGGATGGTTCGCAGATGAACTGATTTATAATGGTAATTGAACTGAGTGGAGTGCAATTTAGGCTGAAATCATACGCGTGATTTCAAAATTGAACAAGCGCGCAGCGCGAGTTCAATTTGAAATCACAAGTATGATTTCAGACCAAAATTGCAAAACACAAGGTTCAATTACCACTTTATTACATCCATTTTGAAATCGCCCAAATACAGGACTTGGTCAGTTCAAATATTTTATAACTACAATACTGAGCCAGTTTGAAATTAAATTCACCCATTTTTGGGAGGAAAAAAATAAGAGTTTTGGAAACAAAAGTTGCAAAATTTGCCACATGATCCTTCAAGTCTTTCATCTTCCTGCAGTTTGATTGGTTACGTTAAACAAGCCTTGAAGTCTGATTGGTTGTTTTGTTTTTAGTGTAGCCTCCCTTGTTGGCTGGAAAAAAGATGCGATTTAAAGCAAAAAATGGTGCAATTCGTGAATAAATTGCACCAATTAGAGCCAATCAGATTACAGGGACCACCAGTGATTTCAAAATGGGTGTAATAAATTATGAAACTAGCGCCATTCCAGTTTCATGATGCTCCGATCCGATCCAAAATATGAAACATGAATAAAGACTGAAGTAACTTTTGATGGGCCCTTTTTTTTTTCGTTCTCCAGGCAAAATACTGCGTAGAAGAACTCGAGATGTCCGGAGAAAGTGTTTCCTTGTTATACACTTACATGGCCGTAGCTTCCTTTATCAGTCGCCATCTTTTCTGCAAATTGGGAGACTTGCCATACTTCAATAGATTCTATCTTTATCAGGGGGGCATGACCATCAGTGGGCTATGTATCATAAGTATTCCTGTAGCAAGGTCGTTTGTGACCATACTGATACCATTAATGGGATTTGCACTCATGGATGGATCACTGGCGGGGCAACAGTCTCTGCTTGTATTGGAATGTGTGGGACATCACAATGTGAACCATGCGTGGGGTTATATAATGCTTTTTGCAGGAATTAGCGCTAGTGTTGGACCTCCTTCGGTCGGTAAGTTGAATTTAATGTTGCAGTTACAGGTCATGGATTGGAAATTGTCTCTACTTAACTCCCACCACAAACAATCCACTCATTTTTATCGAGTGCACTTATGGAATGACGTTTTTCTGATAGGTCTTATGGCTGACATGCTTGGCTCTTACACTATCCCATTTTATACCGCGGGCGTGGTGCTGATAGTAGGGGCCTCCATCACATCACTTATGGCTTGTGGAAATCAACAATCCGAAGAAATTGACGCCCACATCGTTCAGTCAGAAGTGGAAGAACTTTCGGTTGCAGAAAAAATAACTGTATTGTAGAAATGACATTTTTTTTGTCTTTAGTTTTCCTACGTTTTAATCGGTTGCTTTAATTAAGCCTTGAAATGATACTAGTTGCTTTGTTTAACTGTTCTGTCCTCGTTGTCTCCTAAAAATGCAATTTATGGCAATTTATATCCTGAGAATGAAAGATAATGGATATCGTAGAAAAAAGGTTAGAGCTGATGGTGAATCAGGTCATTTAGAACACAGGACTGTTGTTCAGTCGTTCATGATATCAACAGCGAATTGCTCTGTATTCTAGTCAATCTCAATAAATTGTGGGTATGTAGCCTTTCTTTGTCCTCACGATCTAAAAGCATTTATCACGGAGGCGTGGATCAAAGCAGGAATATTTGGCAGCTTCCATCTGAAGCGATAACATTCAGCTTTAACAGAAGCAGTTACATGGCGGTTACTAAGCTCGTTTTATTCTACATCGGCTTGGAGCAACTTCACCTTTGTTTAGAACACCTTGTACTTGAATTTTTCATACCGAACTGTCACTTCAGTTTTTGAGAGTTCTTCCGGCAATACATATATGCAGCATATCAGAAATTATGCGGGTATCAGCGGCCATCCCGAGGGGTCGACCCCCGGGCAACCCAAGGGTAACCCACGGGCTTAGCAGGGGATTTGTAGCAAAGGCATGCCCCGCACGCAGGGCATTAGAGCGCTTTTGCGTTTTTGGCAAAATACCCCGGGGCCATACCCACGGGATTTGCACGTAATCTGCTGTCTCAACGTTCAGCGGTTTTCGCCACAGGACAAGCAAGCTCGCTCGCTCGATGTTCTTCTAGCCCTATTTGTCCTTTGCAGTTTATTTTCCTGTGTACCATGGTCAAGTATTGTGCTGTTGCTCTGTGCCGTAATGGGAGTAAGAAACGACCTGATCTCAGTTATTTTTGCTTTCCTACAAGGCCCAATGAGCGTAAGAAGTGGGAGGTTTTCTGTAAGCGAGCGGATAAAAAATTCAAGACACTCGGCGATCCAAGAATCTGTTCATTGCATTTTTAAGGAAAGTGACATCGAGATTTCAATTTCATAAGGTTAGTTCGCATTCGAAGCGTCTTGCCGATAGGAAGAGACAGTGTGATGAACAACCGCAAGCCAAGAAAGTTTGCCCCAGAAAGCTCGAATTTGAGGACTCCATAGAGACTTGTCTGGATTTTAGTGCTGATGTGGCTTCAGTAAACCATGATCACTCGTACTTTTGCATCGAGGAACAGGCAACACCGACTATATGTTGCCCAGGTTGCTCCAGGGGTGTGGGTATTTGTCCCAATTTTTTGCCCTACCCGAGGGGCTTTAGCATGTATTTGTCACGGCAGCTGTGACAAATGCCCCTGGGTGCCCGGGGGTCGACCCCTCGGGATGGCCGCTGATACCCGCATTACTTGTAATGACCCTTCACATAGTCAGCTAGGGCTTCCTGTGATCGTTAAAATGTTGTGACTACAGTAGCAAAATATACGAAAATGAGTGGAATGCACGTGCTGAGTGCACGTGGATTCATACCAAAAATAGTTTGTTTCAAGAAGATGATGCGTGCGGGATGCACGTGAGAAGTGCACGTGCGCCCATAGCTACATGATTTTACCACAGTCGAAAATGTATCAAGCGGTAACGTATTTAGCGGGCACCGTGTATTATGCGGTCGGTTGTCGAAGATCCGAATTTATTCCCTTTAGTTAATTACTGCATTTTTCACCTCTGGTAAGCGGTCGTGGTCCCAATGGTCTCTTTCTGTTTATCCCTGTTTTAAACAGTCACTTCAAGTAAAACCACTCAAATTCACCCAAGAACAACCTTTCAAGTAAAATTAGATTCATTTTTATCTCCCGAAATTTATACTTGTAAACATTTTTAGTGAATTTTGCACGCCAAGAGGTCAATTATGGAATGAAATGGCATTTTTCATAACGATCCTATTCTGTAGAGCCCGCAGTGATTCCCTGGGTGACCGCTCAGCTGTATTACAACAAGATGGTCCGTGCAGAATGCACGTGTGGGGTTCACGTGCGCCCCTAGCTGGGGAATGCACGTGCAGAGAAAGTCGTAACTTGTTTCGGTTTTTGTTGTGATTCCATCGTGTTCTAAGAGGTTAATTGACGTCATGACAAATACCAATACACAGGGATCCACACGAACAATGTGACCGTTTGTGTATATTAAAAGAGAGCCTTAAAGGGTTGTCATCATTGTATTAAATCACGACGAGGAATCTCCATTTTCATCCAGATAAGCGCAATGTTACATGAATTGTGTATTGACTTTGCTGTAGCTGAAGACTGTGAATTTGGATATTCTACGGATTTTTTGTTTGCGGTTGCGTTGCGGTCAGAAGGGTACTAGAAATATCACCGGTTCACACACAGTCGTCTATGAGGAAAACGCTATCCTGATCTTACCTACTCTCCAATATGTATTGTAAAAGTTTAGGCGCGTAACAATCTGCTTAACTCTGATTTATTGAAAAAAGGTTTTAAACAGCACACTTAACGAGAAAAACATTTTAATTAGGCTGTTATGTAACCCATTGACCCCTAGGAGTGACTAGTATCGAAAGTAATCTCTAATTCACGTGTCAAAGTCAGGAAAATAAAAAATTATCACCTATCATAGAAGGTCATGATTGCTATACACATTCTCCTTGTCATCACCTTAGGAAATATACAGAGAACAGTATAGAGAATATGCCTACTGATGTTAGAGTGTCAGTAAAAAGTTATTGAGGGACCGTTGATTTGATCCATTCTAAAATTCTCCGCCCCCTCGCTCGCCAGGGGATGAATAACGATTGGTCCCTAACCGTGGTTTGACCACTTTGCCTTTATAGCCATTCTCCTTTTGGTTTTTGTTGCGTCACTTTGAAACCGAAAATATCACCGTTCCTCATCAGGCCTGTTTCTCATTAAGTCGGTGCGGGTATTTATAACACGCTGTCCAATTCTATCTGGATTCAACTTGGTTACTCAACTTATGTCAAGTAAGTGACGATATAACATTTTCACTCCAAGGAAAATTTCGATCGGGGAATAATTTAAATATAAACTGGACTAAAAACATTTTTTTACGATCGTGTTTTTGTGACAAGCTGCCGGTCAGAATTTCCACAAGAGCAAAATACCGGCAGAGTGATTTCAATCTTATTCTATTTTTTTTGTTTTTTTTGTTTTTTTTTTGACGAATGCAAGGAATGAATCCCCAAACTATTGTACATCTATTAAGAAGTACTATAAGATCGCGAATAGCCTCGAAATTCTCGACTATTGCTTAGAGGGGCTCGTTTGTTGTGTGACAGTTCCACGATTATATATTCTGGGTCGACTTCCGGTTACTCGTGGCTTGCAGTATTTTACCCAAATGGCAATACATGCGAAATAGGGTTGTCGCATCCGTCTTGAGGGGAATGGAAGAAAAAAGGCAACAGATCGTCAATGGACTTTTTTTTTTTTTAATTCTTTTGGCTGTAACTTTGTTTATATATATATGTATATGTAAATATAGAATCCCTTGATGAGAGAGTAATCACGAAACAGGCTTTTAAGAACGAAAGCATATTCTTTGTTTTTTCTCTATCTCAAAAATATATATATATACATATATATAGATATATATATATATATATATATATATATATATATTTAAAGACACCGTCAATTGTACAGTCAGCGATCTCGTTCCAAAAGATATCGATATCTCTTTTAAGACATGGTTATGTAACTAGAAATTGATAACTTAAACTCGATGATATAACATATCATTCGCGTGGATATTTTGCTAGTTACGTAATATTTATCGATCTTCGTAGGGGGGCGAGGTAAATAACGATTAATAAGCAAAACTTCCGCTCGTAATATATGGAAAACCATCAGTAAAGTTTTTATTTCTAGTGTTTATTTTGGCTTCTAGCCTTCGAAATACTTTTCAATTCTGAGCATCGTATCGATAGCGTAAGGCTGCGAAAACAGGTTTTTTGCCCTTGCAAATAACAGGATGGACGTGGAAAACTCAAATGAACTCTTACTGAAAGGGCTCTTCCTGGGGAATACTCGCAGGCAGCGCGAAGGTTGGAATCTGTTGCGGCTATTGACTACCCTTAAGACAAAATAGTCTCGCAGTAAACTTCGCTTCAATCACGTTTTAATCCTCGGTCTTGGTATGTCCAGATACACCAAAGTACTTACCCAAGATACTTTACAACGCAGTTCTATTTAAGCCTAAATTACAACGGATTAGGTAATGGTATTAATTATCTCAGTAAAGGAATACAAGGTTAAGCTTGAATTATCTGAGACATTTTTATAGCTACAATTGGCTAGAAAGGAATTTCGCCTCTTACAAGATTTATCACTTTCAAAACAGCACAGGTAGATAACAACTAAAGAAAAGTCTAGGACAGGTAACGGTTAAAGTTTAACTATAATTACAGATATAGCAACAACAACGGGTAGTATTTACGCTTTGCCGAGCTTAGCAAAAGTTCCATGTTTAATTTATGTTTTTCAATAGCGTAAGTCCAGTAAAATTAACAAGTGAAACTCCTCTTGTTACAAAGTGTGTGCAAAAGAACAGAACAGCAAAAATTAAACAAATTAAACGTTCTTCAAAACGAACAAAAAGATCCGATGATCTTAATGCTCGTTGCTTAAAATTCATTCTCAAAGAAAGAAGAAAATCAGAGTTTGGATCTTTCATAGCAACCATTTTATTGCTCTGCTCTCCGTCCGTATTTTTACCGTCTATTATTTAAGCAAGAGGCCACTCTCACTATGGGTTTACCGGCGTAATAACCCACGTGGGCAGTTGGTTGAACAAACTTATCGGCCTCGTGATGATTCGACGGTGTTACTGATTTTGGTTAAACAATACTTTAAGTGTAATGCTTGCGACATGATTCTTTCCTGAATTTCATTTAATAGTCTCCTAGAGCTACTACATACACTTTACAAAGATGTCGAAATGCTTAACAAGACAAAGTGAAGTCCGATCGGACGTAGGAAAAGCATTGGAAAACAATTCAAGATGGTACCAGGACTGCTGTCGATCGTGGTTTGTTTATGCAGCATCACTGATGTCAGTTATTGTTGTTTCCGGGATTGCATTTAGTTATGGTTTACTGTTACCGTCTTTGATGGATGCGTTTGAGGCTACCCGACAAGAAACAGGTAAGTCGAAAAGGTATAAAAAACATCAGTTTTATCCGTCTTGAATAGAACATGTGTCCAGCACCCATCACCCAACACTGACCAAATAACAACAACGACAACATTGACCGACCGATCATTCTTTTTAATCTTCTATACTGTTAAACGACAAAATCAAAACAGATCTTACCTTGAAGCATTGTAAGAGCTTCATTACCATGGTGTTGGAAATATGAATGGAAATAACATATTAGCATAAGCCATTCAGTTAAAAAAAAATATTGTAAGAAGTTGATGATTTCCTATTTAGATGGCGGTCTTACTTTGTTAGTAGAGTGATTGTTATATTTTTTTCTGAGAGAAAATGGTCCATTTAACTCCACAAAAGTTTGTTAGTGCTTATGGCATATTATCCTATCGCGAATTTGACATCAGTTTCTACGATGATTAAAACTTGCCGTGAAGCATTTCAATTATCTTGCGGTAAGATATATTTCAATCGGCGCTTGATGAATAGGAGAGTCGTTTGATCTGCTAAAAATTAATCTCGCGCATGAATTCCTGGAAATTCTTACATCTTATACTTTCGATTCTTTACAGGTTCGTTTTTATGTTAATTTCATATCGAACTCTCGATCAAGAAAGTAATTCTTAATTTTTTTAATTTAGCACGTTCAACACCTCTTTCTGTAAGGCGATTTAAGGTGTAAATAACTTGTACTTTTCATTCCGCACTGAATTTATAATCAGTTGACTTATATGAACGGCTCGAATAATTCTCTGTTTATTTTGTCGTTATGTAACAGACTTCAAGGGCTACTTTCTATTTAGTTATCTTTTAGGTGTTATTCTAATCTAAGCAACGGTTTCTTTATAATTTCTATATTACCAATCTTGTTTTTGTTTTGGGCTGATCTTAACAGCAAAAGTATGAAATTTTAGGTGGAAATTTGTTTTCAAATGAGTCAACAAACCGATGGTACATTACTTAGTATGCGGGAACTGTTTCACGTAATTCAATGTGATTCGCTGGTGAAGTAAGACGTTGGTCAAATATTAACAGCTTGCCAATTGTCGCCTTTATGAGCTGAAAACCGACATGTTCCTGTAGTTGTTGCGTTATACCCCGAGCTAGCAAGTTGTTTTGAGTTTTTAAGAAAAGAAATAAAGAAAGTATGAACTGTACAAGGAGTGTTAGAAATTCTTCCAACAATACACTAACTTTCAGCCTTTTGCATTGCAGCGTGGATTGGTACATTGTATGTAGGATTCGCCTTTCTTGTTGCTCCGTTATCTTCTTACATCAATGATCGTTTCAGCTACAGGTTTACCACCATTCTGGGATCCCTCTCAGGAATTATTGGTTTCATCTTTGCTTCATGGAGTTCCCATCTGTGGATGATGTATCTAACATTTGGTTTAATGTCTGGGATTGGGCATGGGTTGATTTTCAGTACTTGTAATTTGGTGATTCTGCAGCACTTCGTAAAATGGCGGTCAGTAGTTGTTGGTATTGTTGCTTCCGGGCCAGCCATTGGCATGTTTGTCGTTTCCCAAATCACTGACGTGTTCCTTAGTACGTTTGGATGGCCGGGGACAATGAGGGGATACGCCATCTTGTTTTTTTTTTGCGGATTGTGTGCAACTGTGTTCATACCTCGGGAACAGTTTGAAGAAGACAACAGCGAATTTAAGTCTCAGAAACTCGGAATCGAACACGAAGAATCAGCCACTTCATCTCTATTCAGAAACAGCAATTTTCTGATTTTGCTTACTTCTTTCGCTGTTGTTAACATGAGTTTTTTTGTTCCCTCTATACACATAGTAAGTATCAGTTTGATATTTTTGTTTAGTTGACTTGCACCTCATTACTTCATGATAACCTGATAGCGGGCAGGTAGGCGCACAGACGTGCAAACAAAAAATCATTCAGGGACACAGACCGAAATGTAAGCTTTCAGAAAAGGTGCTTACTAACTGATTCATCTCGAAACAGGCAACACTTCTTTCGTGCTGTTCCGATCCCTACTCATGAGCCATTAATGGAGAAGACGTAGTTTTCACTTCTGACCAGCATTTTTATCATTTTAATTATTCTTCAGGCAAAATACTGTGTGCAGGAACTCCATATGTCCGAAAAGAATGTTTCCATGTTATATACATACATGGCTGTGGCATCCTTTATCAGTCGACATATTTTCTGCAAATTGGGAGACTTTCCGTACGTTAATAGATTCTATCTTTATCAAGTTGGAATGACTATCAGTGGACTATGTATCTTGTGCATTCCAGTAGCGAGGTCGTTTGTTTCCATACTGATGCCATTAATTGGGTTCAGACTCATGGATGGAGCAATGGCGGGGCAACAGTCTCTGCTTGTGTTGGAATGCGTGGGACATCAAAAAGTAAACCGCGCGTGGGGTTATATTATGCTTTTTGCAGGGATCAGCGCCACTATTGGACCTCCGTTAATCGGTAAGTTCGAGCCAAAGGTTGCAATCAGTTTTCACGGATACGAGATTGTTTCAATGAAACCTGTATCATTGACCACCCACCCACTCGTACATGCTTATGTAATAACTTTTTGATTATTTTTGATATGTAATAATTTTTTGATATTTTCCAATTTGTGATAGGTCTCATGGCTGACGAGCTTGGCTCGTACACTATCCCATTTTTCACTGCGGGTGCGGTGCTGATAGCAGGGGCCTCAATCACTCAGCTGATGACCTGTGTAAAACAAAAATCAGGAGAAAGTGACGGTCGCATTGTTAAGTCAGCCGTTGAAGAGCTTTTAATCATGGAAAAAGTTACTGTATTGTAAGAACTGATGAACACTTCTGAAGCAACTGTGACCACGAAAATATTTGATTTCACTTATGAGTTATTCAGTCAGGTCGTTTAGCTAAAGTGTCTTTTTTTTTCTTAAAATTAAATTAGATCGGCTACTTTTTATGTGCCTTAAAATAATACTGGTTACTTTGTATCAGGGACCAGCCATTTTTTATCGTTAGGAGATAAATCTTATAAATTATCGCGTAAAATAAATTACCTTGAAAAAATATTTTCTTGAAAACTATCAATTCCGATCAACGAAATCACCATCAAAGACAAGTAGACGCTCATTTGCTTGTGCCCAGGCGCTAGTAATGATTTAGGGACCACTAATAAAAATTTCTGTCAAACCAACATATACTCGGTATACTTTTCATGACTTCATCGAATCATATCTCAAGGACCACGAGAACTGGGGTCGCTGCAGCTCCCGTCTTGATTCTTGAAACGCCTAAGAAATGGTGCCCCTTGTTTTTCTCTCCTCTCCCCATCAATTCGTTCTGCTTTGATCCATCGAAATGCCCATCAGAGAAGATCATCCAGAACACGGGATCCCTTGGACAGTCTATAATGTTATCACCGGCATATTTTTCTGTATCCTTGTCAACCTCGATGAATTGCGCGTAAGTAACCTTGATTCAGCCATTTTTCTTGGCATCATTCTCGGAGTTTTTGGATTTGCCGTTCTCATTTTCCTCATCTCCTTTCATGACTTGAGTAGTCGTATTGCTTCCGGGCGTTATTTTGATTCACCATCAGTTTACCGATTTGTGCTGAACCTAACAATAAACTTTTAAATGATCCAGCGTTTGTAAACAAAATAGCATTGAGGGGGGAGGGGATAGATAATTGAGCTCATTTTACTTTAAGATATGCGAAGCGTAAGAAGGAGTAATGAGAGGGGTTCAATATGTGTTCAAATTTCGTGACGTTGACAGGGCTTTAAGAGTTTGAGGAGCATGCATCTTATCAAAAAAAACGGGCCGATTGCCAATATGGCAAGTCAATTGGGAAGACTTTTAATTTATGGAGATGACGACTTATTTTTGCTCTGGACGTGTTCCGTGGTATAGCCCAGTGATCAAAACTTAACCCATTTACGATTCCCTCTAAATATCCTCTTCAATCTTAAGGTGGGAACGAATTTAATATCAAGTTTACTTTGCAACCCGATGCTTGCTCCAGCGAAATGAACAATAACGTTCTACAAACTGCATCTAATGAAGCGAATTAAAGCTGTTAAATACAAAGCCATGAAAACAGCGTGGACACTTGAATACATGTGGTTTGCATATTTTTTTACACATGCGTCGTCGTGGATTATGACCCGTCGTTTAAAAGTTAACCCTAAAACGAAAAGTTTCTATTCTTTTTCTTAAAACGATAAGAAATTACGGCAATTTTTCTTTACTTTTACCATCGTTTCAGGTACATTATCTCTATTGTTTGTCTTTGCCAACAAAGGGTGGCAATGTAATCATGTGTCACAAGAAAAAGTTTCTTTCAATACCATCATCATCATCATCATCATCATGAAAGGTTTATTCTTTCCTTTGCCTGTTTTCTCCACCATTTAACCTAAAGTGTGGTTATTCTTTCAGTTACTAAAAGTTCTTCCTTGTAAAATTGCACCTCTTTTTCTTCTTCAAAGTCAGCATTTTGCTTTACAAACGGCATCAGTGAGATGATTGACGCGCCTGTTATCAGCACCACACCCGAAGTGTAAAATGGGATAGTGTAGGAGCCAAGCTTGTCTGCCATTAGACCTAAACACAAAAAGTAATGCAAAATTAAGCCTTGTGCTCTCGATATTTTTGGCAGTTTACAAACAATAGAGCACATTCTACTGAATGAATGTGAATTTGGAAACGATATTCGCAGTAATGAACACTTCTTATGTAGAAGTGAAAATAAATAATTTTAAGGCATTTATTCGTCAATTCACGGGTTTATTACGAACTAACGTAATGACCAGCTCCCAGTTGGCTTGTTAGCTCAGTTAATAGGGCACTGCACCGATATCGCAGAGGTCATGGGTTCAAATCATCTACAGCCCTAGATTTTTTTAGGCCTCATTTTCAGTACTGCTTAAGTAGTGTTCATTACTGGGAAGGTCGCATCCAAATTCATTTCTTAAACCGCATTCACATATATGATTTTCAGATATTTACCGCCGTGTAAAAGAAAAATTGAACTATATGAAACAGGTAATTAGAGGGGAAAAAAATTGTCAGAACGAGTCTATTAGAACGCAAAGCGAAAACAATAATCCACTTAAAGGAAAAGAGAGGAAAAGAAAAACTATACATCAACCAATCAACGTTTAAACATTAATTCACTTGTGATTTATCGTCATACCCACGATAAGCAAAACAAATTTCTTAGAATCAGAGAAGCTCACCAGCCAATGGTGGTCCAATGGATATAGTAATGCCCATGAAGAAGTTCAAGTAGCCCCAAGCTTGATTGAATTGGCGTTGTTTGACGCATTTTAAAAGTAGGAGAGAGAATTGACCCATTGAAGATCCTTCCATGAGGCCGAGGACTGTAAAAATCGCTACCAAAGATCCATATGACGTTGCAAATGGAAGACATATGACACACAATCCGCTGATTGTCATACCTCCCTGGTACATATGGAACCTGTTGAAGAGACGAAACTCTCCAAGTTTGCAAAACAAATGACGACTGAAGAAGGACGTTGTCGCCAAATATATGAATAACATAGAAGCTCTGTCTGCAGATATGTTCAGTTCTTGTTCGCAGTGCTTAATCTACGGAGAAATATGCAATGGTTTAGTTTTAACTAACTCATTCTAAGCCCGATGGGTCGGTTTTAGTTTAAACGCAATAAGTGTTTAACAGCAGGAGAGTTACAGCCACACAATAAATCGGGCGCGTCGCTTTCCCACTTTTCCAACGTGCACTTTTTGGTGGCTTGCGTTTCATGAAAATTTTATATTGATATTTGTGCAATAGAAATTTAATTTAATTAAATAATTGTCATTCACTTTTCAACGCATTTTCAACCTTATTTGCGCAACTAACTACGACAAGGTAATGATATGATGGCACGACTTGGATTGCGCATGGGACTACTAGTAAACAGCTCCACGCTTAACTTTGATAGGACTTCACTGGTACACACCCGAACTTCAACCTCTTTAATTGAAACTGGTTCTTTTAAAGATTTTTTTCACTCAGATGATTACACAATCACCAGTCTGGTGACCAACTGATATTTCTTTCTCTTTTTCTCTTATTCCAAGAAATTGTCATATCCACTAGCTTTGAGAATCAACGGTAGTTTCATCAAAAAGACTGTTGTTTTGATGATAAACGGCCAAATTTCAAGGACTGGCTAGAAACGCAATAAGTGTTTGGCAGCAGGAGAGTTACAACCACAGAATAAGTTGGGCGGGTCGCTTTTCCACTTTTAAAAGTGGGAATGGTTGAAAAGTGGCCAAAATTTTCTTCTGTTCATTCATTACAGCTCGAGTATTAAAAACAATTAGTGGTGTATAATGATACTTACGATGTGTACGGCTGGAACAAAGAAGCTTATATTAACAACCATGAACGAAGACAACAGGACGAGAAAAGGACGATTTCCAAAGAGAGATGAATTTTCTTTCTCCTCTGCTTTTTCATCCGCAGCCATGCCACCCTTGTTATTCTCTGAGCGGTCCACTGGTACAAAAACAAGCGAACACAAACCGCATAGCAAATAGAAACCTGCAAACCCTTGTAGCGTGCCTTGCCATCCAATTGTATCCAGCAAGCCTTGGGTGACTTGAGTCATAACAAGCATACCTATGGCTGTCGCGGACGTCATTATACCAACGGCCAAAGAGAGCCGTCTAACGAAGTAGTCCACGATGGCTACCATACAAGAGTTGTAAATCATCCTATGGCCAAAGCCTGACATGAGTCCATACGTCGGGTACATCATCCACAGTTTAGGAGACAAAGACGCCAGAGAAAATCCAATGACCCCTGTGAGGGCTCCCACCATGGCAGTGACCCTGTGGCTAAAGCGATCGCTGATCAGAGAACCCAGAGGACTTAAGACATAACCAAAGGCGAGGTTTAACGATCCGATCCAGGCTGAAAATGAATTTTATGTAGGTGCTTTTATGATCACATTGTGACTTTGAAATATGTAAAACTGCCGCAAAGGTAGGGTTCATGAATATATATATTTACCCCTTATAATGCATTTCTAGGGATCATGCATCTTCGGTTATCAGCTCATATGCCGAGTCACCTAATATTGAAATTAAAATTGTTCAATATTTTTTATGTTTCCATTACCTGTAGATTGCCTGGATGCTCCAAAGCTTTCCATCAGAGGAGGAAGGAGCAAGCCAAAGCTATAGCTGATCCCCGATACAATCATGACTAAAATGACTGAGGCCACGCACACTACCCACGACCAACAACTGTCCGGACGGCATGTAGGTTTTTTTTCTACTACCGTCTGACTTTCTTGGCTGGAATCTTGAGCAGGTGAGTTCACCATGATTGTGTTTTCAATGTGCTACAAAGAAATCATTCGTTTAGTTGATATATTTGATATAAACACAGAAACATTCTCGTTCACTGGTAAGAAGAAAGGGCTTAACTTGTCTAGGCAATTAAGCTTATTTTAGTGATTTCAGTTGAAGATTTTCTTCTCTGGTATTCTAGGTCGTTTTTACCACTTGTCGAGTCAAGACGAGAAAATTTTCGGTAAAAAAACAATTTTTGTCCAGGCTTATATCTTTAGGCTTCTCGGTAATCTAAGAAATCTGAAAATTTAAAGTTGCTTTCAACTATTTGTTGGTCTTCGATGGATTCAATCTCACTGTTTAAAGTAAATCGAAAAAACATCTCATTGCATGAAAGGAAAATTTCAATTCAAGTCCTTAGACAGGAATCGGGGTGTCTTGGTGTTGTAATTACTTAATTTCACTCAAAGAACTATTTAAGCTGTTGCACATGCATGTACGTTGAATAAAGCGTTACTTTTTCCAGTGAAAGCCACTGAATTTGGCACTTGCAAGTTACACGCGCTCAGCCTGGAGATGTTCTTATAGCTCCTTGAGTTCGTTTTTGCCACATAGGTTCATCCAACTATAGTCAAACCTGCATTTAGCGGTCGTGGTCACCTTTGACTAAGTCCCAACTACCGACAGCAACTATAGATTCTTGTGTACTTTCCAAACCTCCTAAGTGATAAACGTAGACTACGAGCAGTCCCTTCTTTTCGGCGAAGTCCATTGCGCGAGTTCGAAAAAAGCAAAAGCGGCTCAAGCTCCCTTCTCGAGAAAAAGCAAACGTTTAACTCATGAAAGCGTCTCGAAGTCTTACAACAGGAGTAACAGTGATGGCAAAACAAGCTTAAAACGGCAGAAATCGCCAGATACCACGGCGGACACATAGGATGTGAGTAAGTTTTATTACGAATTATTTATAGTTGTAAATCGACCATATTTCACTCCCAATACTATTCCTTATAACGTTTTCAAATTAACACTGAGTCACACAACGCGTGACGCTTTCATGAATTAATTTCTCGAGAAGTGAGCTTGGGCTGCCTGTGAAAAAGGCAGCGAAAAAATTTTTGTACGTGCGCCGCGATAGCTTTAGGAAACAAAGAGCTTTGATTGCTGTTGTGCTATCGCGTGTTGGTCACGCGCCTGTGTAGAAAGGAGGTTGCGTCTGCTAATATTTGCCAAACATAGCTCCACGTATCAAAAATAAAATTTAAAAAAAACTGCAACAACCAAACAAACAACAACGAAAAAAAAAAGGAATAGTGAGAAAATTATAATTGTTGCTCAAAATTCTCCTCCCAATGGTGTTCGTCAGATTGTCCCTTATCACAGAGTATCCATGCACGTGTCACAGCACGTGCATGAAGTTTCTACATCGCAATAGGTCATTTTAGAATTCCAATATTAGTACTTTTTCTTTCTGAATGAAACCAGGAGTTGAATATTTCTTGTGAGTTAAGTACTACGATCAGAACTCCCTTGAAAGGAAATTATGTCATTCGAACATTATCGCTACAAAAGGAGAAATTGAAATGTTGTTTCCTAAGGTCATCGACAAGGAGAGGAAAATTCAAAGGTCTTAATGATCGCTTACGTAATACGAATATCTGGTGTAAAAAACAAGTTATATGACATACCTCAGTTTCTATCGCTTTCCACCCTCAGAATGAACTATTAATAATTTATATCGACTCGGAAATGAAAATGAATCTCGCTGCAGAGATTGGTGATCGTTGAAGTTCACAGGATGATCTAGCCTTTGAAGCGAACAACAACACTGTCATCAATGTGTTTTCCAGACGCTTCTTCAGTGTCCTGGGTCTGGTTATATCTTCCGTTCGAGTTCATATTGCAAAGTAGAGGCAACTCTCCTTGACAACCTACAATGTCAACACAGGCAGAAATCGCATTGGTGACGCACGGAATTGTAAACTGATAAACTGAAACCAACAGAAATTAAAACGAGAAAACGAAAATGAAGTTCTCAGCAAACAGTGGATTTTCGTAGCTAGCATTTAATAATTTGGTTTTTTCCTTGCCTATTGTTTTGGTGTTGGCTTTTGTTTTTGTCACAGTGCAAGGTCAGATGATGGTCGGAAGTACTTTAGGCCATCTGCAGCGATAGTCGTTTTCAATACAATGTAGCAAAGAAAAGCCATAATTTAAAATGCAAATCCGTGAAAAAACAAAGAAAAAAGTAAGAAGCGCAATGCGTTACGAGACGACACACTTTTTGGTGGAACATGTCCACAACCATAGCGTGTCTATGAATTAATCCTTTTCTATCAGAGCAAATTTCTTTTGAATTTTATTTTGTCATAGGTAAGACAAAATACAAAATATAAAATTTATCAAGTGGCCCCCATCAGCGAAATCTGTCCCATTTTTTAAGCTTTGTTAAGGGCTTCGTTTTATTGTTAGATTTTGACTAGTTTCCATTTACAGAATATATTTCTAAGATTGTGCCAGTATTTATTGTGTGATTGTCTTATCTTTTATCTGCTTGTTCTTTTTTACGTTTATTTATGACCTTTTTTTCAGGGAAAATGCATTAACTTCGCTAATGGATTTCCGTTTGTAAATGGCTCCTCTAGAAAAGTCGATGGATCATCATATTTCAGACACGTTGCTGTAGTTTTAGTTGAGCTAATTCAAAAATGAAAGCAAAGATTTTGTTTAACAAATAGCGAAGCCTTGAATATGTTCTAAGGACGCAAGAAGAAGCTAGAGCACGAAAGAAGTGTAGGAAGAAACATGAGACGTATCGAGTACTTCTCCCCACTTCTTGAATTGTGGTAACAAAACACGCATTTTTTTTTAACATGGCAATCGGAAATCAAACCACTCAAGGTGTATGAAAAAGTCGGACATGATACAATTTGGCAGATGGCGTGACAGCTTTAGCTCAGCTCTAAGCTTTGTACTCTCTTTAAGCTAAGCTTTACGGGCCCGTTAAGTAACCGGGACTTTCGAGAAACGGGCCCCCACCAGTGGGTCCCGTTTCTCGAAAGTTCCGTTAACTTATCGGTCGGGCCCAAAGCTACATTTTAAAATCAAAATTCATCAATTCAAAAATAGAAAGGCAGATGGTTACGGCACCCTAGCCAGTCCATTTTGTTTGTTCAGCTGATAGTTTTATTGCATAATTTTCAAAACATTCTAAACCCCATCTTGAATGAAAACAGAACAGTTTTGCGGGCCCGTTAAGTTACCAGGTCCTTTGAAAAACGGGCCCCCAATGGGTCGAGTGACGCGCCTGACTGAACGCCTGGAACAGGCTGGCATTTACTTTCTTTTTGTTTCACTTGCAGTTAGTATCAGTTGATTTCTATATTTCATCGAGAAATTAGTGCAATCTTCAAACGCATGTGCTAAGTTTGCTCTTGGCAACAAAAATGATTTGAAAAAGCTCTAGGTTGTTCTTTCCATGGTCTCACGATGGATTCATTGCTCGAATCTATACCTAGACCATTTCTAAACGACTGTAAGCTTTTCTGTAACCAAAAGTTCTTCGTCAATGGATGCTTGTGTTTCGGCCTCTTCTGGTAATCCTCGTTTAACGCAAGTCATCAATGAAGTGACCGACGCCCCTGCGATTTGTATTGCCCCTGCCGTGTAAAATGGGGTGATGTACGAGCCGAGCTCGTCTGCCATCAGACCTGTTAGAAATGAGCAGATACATTGAGATAAAACAAATTTAAAAAAGTTCTGAGAATGCAGTAAATGCGCAGGCTTGGTTTATGCATGCATGATCTTGTTCTCAACCGTGATGAAATTAAAAAACATTGCAGCAATAATCATTGTCAAATTCTTGCGAAAAATTTTTCATGGCTGTTCTGACGTGGTGTTTCATCTTGGTCAAAAGACTTATCAGATTCATTTCGGAATTTTCAGTTCGGAATGCCCCTATCTCGAAGGTAAAACAAGCTAGGACTCCTGAAGTAAGTTTGAATTTCTATCAGTCAGGCAAACAAAGATTAAAGCCAGAACAATGGAGCTCACCAGCTAAGGGAGAACCGAGGCCAACGCTTAAACCGGAAAAGAGCATCATATATCCCCAAGCTCGGTTGACTTGGCGTCGTCCTGTGCATTCCAAAAGCAGCAAGGCACATTGGCCATTCATTGCTCCATCCATCAGTCCAAAAACTGTAAAAATCGCTGCAATCGATCCAAACGATCTTGCCAATGGTAAGCAAAGTACACACAGCCCACTTATAGTCATACCCCCTTGATACAGATGGAATCTGTTCAGATACTTTAAGTCTCCCAACTTGCAAAATAAATGGCGGCTTATGAAGGAAGTTATTCCCATGTAGGTATACAGCATGGAGGCTTTGTTTCCAGGTATACGAAGCTCTTGTTTGCAATGCTTTACCTGAAGTCATAACAAAGGAGAAGGAAAAGATGCAAAAGACGTTGGGAACACAGATTCACGAGATATTATCACCAGTCGCATTATCAGGATCGCGCTTCGTGCGGGAATAATGAGTTGGACTGAAGACTGTTTTTTTAACAAATTTCTTATTATGCTTTTTGATATAAAAATCGATTACGGACTAAAACTGGCAAAGGAACCTCAGTTCAAGTTTCAGGTTGCGCCGCCCCGTGGGTTAAAAACTGACCATTTGATCTCTAGACATTTGGTGTTTAACGAACGAATATTCCCATATTTGACTGCCTTAATTTCTTTCCACTTTCCTCTTTGCTTTAAGATGTCGAGATGTTGCAAGTAGAATAACCTTCTCGGTCTCTCATACGAGCGAAAGGACCAATGTGACAAGCTTTCAATTCATGATTTTTCGACTACTATAGCAATTTTCAACTGATATTTGATAATAAGCACATTGTTTATACTATGCTACAATATATTATTGGTTCAGAAAACTCCCGCCAACCTCTCAACCAATCAGATGCAAAACTCGTAGCAGTCGGTCACTTGTCACCTTGCCCGCGTTTTCCCGCGCTCAGGTAATTTCCTTCCTGTTACCTCGCACTGAGTACTAATTTGTAACTGGGATTAATTTGGTTTAGGTTTTTACAACAGTCAGCCGAAGAGTGACATAAAAAAATTTTTCAACTTAAAAAGGAGACGTGTACTTACTATGTGCATGATTGGTACGAAATAGCTGAAATGAACCACAGATAGTGACGTTGATATGATTACAAATGGATAGTTCCCAAGAAGCGAGCTTCGTTGACTTGCAGCTTCTTTCTTCCTCGACTTGCGAGTCGTAAATTCGCTGTAAGAGATTTCGTCGAGGCCATTATCGAGGGGTACAAAGACAGTTGAACACAAGCCACAAATCAAATTTAGCAAACCGAACACTTTTATTGTCCATTGCCATCCCCACTTGTCTAATACAAACTGCGTGACCAGGGTGGTCACGAACATTCCAATGGCCGGTGCCGACGAAACAATACCGACAGCCACCGAGCGCCATTTGACAAAATAGAGAAGAACCATCAAATAACAGGAGTTGTAAACCATCACATGCCCAATGCCTGATAAAACACCAAACGTTAGGTACATCATCCAAAGTTTTGAGGAAAACGAGGCAAGAAAGAACCCGACTACCCCGAGAAACGAACCCATGACGGCGGTGAACCTGTGACCAAAACGATCGCTGATGAAGCAACCTGCGGGGCTGAAGATGCAACCGCTCGCCATGTACAAAGAACCGATCCAAGCTGGAGAGAAAATGAAATTGTGGATAGCATTGTAAAACTTCGAATTAAAAATTTGCCAACTCACCATATAGTGCTTTTAATACATTTTAAGAGTTATTATCAAGTATCTTTTTGAATGTATTTCATTTTTTAATTGTCTTTGGTGTTGAAGGTGATTCACATATATTATGACTAGACTATACGATCCAATAGGGAGATGTTTCGGCGAGGTGACTCGCTCATAAACCAAATGATTATTGTTTTGGGGGACTAAATAAAGACAAAGACCACCAGAGTAACGGAAATGAAACAAATGAACAAATAATGAGATAAAGAAGCCAGCATAGCCATGAGAGTGAACCTTAAGTTCAATTGTAAGAAATCCGTTCGCAAGGAATTTGACGCTTGTGTCGGCGATAATGTCGAAAGGCAGACATGCCAGCATGGGGGCAAAATTTATTAGAGGGCTACGGAGCACAGGCTATTATATATAGAGAGGTGAGACAAATACTTCGATAGGGTAAGTTTTTTCTTCTTCCCAAACCGAAACAGTTTTCGACTCCGAATATTATAGTTCTAGTTTTTTGATTGGTTCACTCCAGTTATCAGTTATCAGCTCATATTCCAAGTCACCTTCTATGGAAATGCATTGCGCCAACTGTTGTGATGCTGAAAAAGAGCTCCAAATATCCAAGCGTTCAGGATTTAATAGAAATTTGATAATAAAACAATCATTCCATTCGCGCTTGTTGATTCGAGATTAGTTGTACTCAGTTCGGCGCTACGCACCTCGTTGGCCATTTACCATCGCATATCCAACGCCCAGTAATGGAATAACTGATGAATTACGCCAAATCACCCTTCACTGTTTATGGTGAGACGGTTTGAAACTCGGAATGTAAATTATTCGGTACGTACTGAATAGAACACACCAGATCTAAGAAAATAACAATGCTCCTTAGATAGAAAGAAAACTTCGTCCAGAACTGCTCTCATGGCTGCAAGGAAGACGAGCTTTAATTCAACAACGAATTCTACGTCTTTGAATAAAAAAAGAGCGAGGTTTTGTAAGTCATTTTACCTATGGCTTGTCGCGTTTCCTCAAAGCTCTCCGTCAAAGGGGGGAGCAATAACCCAAAGCTGTACGATATAGCAGCAGTGATGGCTATCGACATCGTTGATGCAGCACACACCACCCAAGACAAGCAGCTGTCCGGCTGACATTTGGATTCGCATCCTTTGAAGGTTCCCGCAGCCTGATCGTTTGAATCTTCGGTGAAGATTTTGCTCATCGTCCTAGAGATAACTCAAACCTCAATGCGTTGAATATAGAGTGGTATTCATTTGAGCAGCTAGAGTAATCTGCGTTATTTTCATAATTGCCCGCCACCACGTGCGTTATCTCTACAATCTTCGTTAGTGTTGCCTCACTTCACTATGTGATTGGTCCATAAACCTCGCACCATTCCCCCAGCCATTCAGATACAAAGCAATAAAGCTAACTGCAACCTGTTTTCACCCTTAAGTGAGTATAAGATCGCTAAAACATATATTTACTTGAGATCTCATGGGCTCCTTGTGGTTACTTTGTTTTATTTATAACAGTCAATCACAAAATGCCCCTGCTGTTAGCTAACTTTCACTCGATTTTCCAAGTGATCTCCATCTCAGTGCGTCAAGTGTGTTTGGACTAGATGAAGATTTAGCTTCCACACCAAAACAATAGCGCGTGGTGGCGGACAATTATAAAGATAACAAAACTTGAGCAACATCTGAGTAGAAATGAGGGATCCACATTATTTTAAGTGCAGTTAGCAGATGTCTATAGCTCCAGAACTGAGAGGAGGGTCAATAACTACAAATACGTCCTAAGTGCATCTCATGGGCCACGATATAGTAAGTACTATAGACAAGAATGAGAGAGGATCAGTTTAACACAATGTTATCATTGACTACAATTCAAGGCCAAGGAGTTGAGACGTGTTTTGATTTTAGCAACCTAATAAAAAGATGTTTAGACGCAAAAGATAGACTTCAACCCGAAGCCATGTTATGAACTACCTCACTTCGTGAGTTTTAAACGCTTTAGATCTTAGACTTTTTGAGGCTGTTCATTTTTCTTTTAATTTCACAAAACAATACTTATCACCGTATTATTGCAATTTCATATCTTCCTGTATTTATCTCGTATCCTCAGAAACTAGTTTGTTTTCCGATTGTGAAAGAAAATGGCTTTTAATATATGTCAGTTTAAATGGTGGCCCACAGTACAAGGAGGAGTTCGAATTCTGAGGCAAATCAACCACCAGAAGGATGTGGTTATTACTACGTTGTCAGGCAGAACAGTGTAAAAGAAGTAAAACAACAACAACGACAAAAAAAGTTCTGTCACTATGTGTATGAGTTTAAGACCATTTATTTGCAATTGGTTAACAAGAAAAGAAGCGTTCAAATGTATCTCTGTGATTGTTAAAACGCACAAATCTGCAGATCCTTTGTAGAAGTCAGTGATTTCGCTCATCTTCAGACATTAACTAGAGATACTTATCGACCGGTAATTATTTCCGCCTGAGGATAACGGAGGATTTGGATTGTCTCGCGATAACATTAATCTAGCCCACCCCTCCCCCCTCATTGGCAATGAATTTATTGGCAATTCCCTATAGTCCCCTCTTCAAACTCTGCTGGCGACGACATTTATCCCTCCTCCGTTCCCAGTGTAAAACATGTGATCCCCCCCGCCCCAAGTTATCCACTTCTCAGCCTCAGCAGATTAATAAACAATAACTAGTACCTTGAGCAAGAAGGCCAGCGCCATTGAAATATTTCTGTAGGTACCCTCCGCTCAGGTTTCCATTTGTGTCATCATTTATGATTGCAGATGAGGTGTCAGTCCCCTGATTTGCTGACTGGCTAGATGGGCAAATCTTTTCAAAGTTATCCATCGCCTGCAATGCTTCTTAGTATTTTAATTTTACAACGCAAGTCTCCTGTGAACTCGCCGCTCCGTGCTTAAAAATTCGCAAAAAACCGCCAACAGCACAGGTCTAAATGTATGAACCTAGTGCCTAATCCCAACTCGCGAAAAGTGCTTCGGTAGCGTGGTTGTACGGGCATCGGAACGAACCGGACCAGACCGGTTTGAAATTCTCGTAACTTGAGACTCGCGACGATACATGTTTATCACGAATCTTACCTCACCCTTTCCACCATCATGTCATTTATTTTTACCTCTCAGATCAAAATTTGCCAGCAACGGCACTGCTGGATTGAAGACATTGAAAAGGAAATCATCCCTCAAGAATTTGGACTTTCAGTTGTGGAGAAAGTCTCTGTTCTTTAACTCGTTAGCAGAAGTAAAGTATTCCAAGTCAGTGCATGCAAAAATTTACTACTAATGAGAGGGAGCATTGTGATACTATCACTATGTGTTGTGACAACATAGTCCAAGAGGGGGAGGGGGGATCAGCTAAATTTTGTTGTGATACAAACAAAATCTTCCGCACAAAACAAACAAGACGTAAACAAGCGAAAACAAAAACAATTAAAAACAGCAATTTAAAAAGTCATTAGGAATTACAGTTCAAGATTTCAGTTAAGACGGAATACGTACATAACTGTTTCCTTGGCTTATTAACCTGCCGCTGCTTGAGTAATGAGTTTAACACAGCATGAAATCGCAAATTTACGCATCTTTAACTCTTGCGTAAAGAAACGTAAATATAAAGCCTCTTCTTTACGGACTAGTTCCGCGTTCCGTAAAGATACGTAATTGCCGAGAAAGCGTAAAGACTGCGTAAAGGATATTAAATGTTCGTAAAGGATTAGGATCAAGATGGATATAATTAACCACTTTCTATTTGGAGAAATACTTAAAGAAGTGAAATAATTATGGCTCATTCATCTTCAGTATAATTACCGAGGTATTTTGACCAATTTCGCTTTTAACACTTTACGCGTCTTTAATATTCTTTACGCATCTTTACCCACTGTTCTTTACGAACCTTTACGATTCTTTAACATTCTTTAAGCAAAATCAATCTTTACGCGCCGTTAATTCTCTTTACGAATCTTTAGTGTTCCTCAACGACCTTTAATGTTTCCTTTGCACAACCAGTCTTTACGTGCTTTCAATTCTCTTTCCGCATCTGTATTCTGTCTTTTACACCGGTTCTAAACATTCTGTTCGCATAAATATGTTTAAACTACCTTTTTTTTAACGCGCTTTGAAACTCATGATCAGGGAGTTGTCGTGATAAGACAATCATGTTTTTTTCCATATAATGGACCCTGCAATTACGTGTGGAAGCGTGATGCTCTAGCGTTTGTAATAGTAAGCTTGTCGAACTTTAAGATCCGACTGTCGACATTCTAGCATTGTTTTAGTCCTCGGGACGTTGGATGAAGAGTCCCTGGGGACGAAAATACATAGAAACGAGGCTGCCGCAGATCGGAGGGAGAGTATAACAGGTAATTTAGTGTTAACAAATGAGTTGAAAACGTAAATTGGCTACCGTAAAGAGTTAAAAAGCTGACTTTTCGAGCGTTAGCCCTTCGTCAGAGCGATTGGAGTAATTGTGGGTTGTGTGTGGGTTTATATGCAGAAAGTGGAGCTACGCCATTGGTGGGAATATGGTGACGAGAAAACAGGAATAAATTAGTTGAATGAAAAGCGCTCGTTGATTCCGTGGGGATTGAGGGTGCCGATTTGGAAGATAAATTTTTGTTCTAGTGTTTTACATCAGCGTGAGCGAAAGTTTTACTGTGCTACTGGACGATTTTTTGAAAGAAAACCAATCATTAAGAGAGCAATTGAGGCAGCGCGATGAAGAAAATGCCCTAAAGTTCGAAGAGCTTTCAAACAAAGCGAACTCTTCTTGTAAACTTGTCGCCGAGAACTATTCGGGCAGCAAGGAAACGAAATCAAAGAAAGGTAACTCAAAGGTCCATGTGCCTACAAGCTGTGCGAAACCAATGAGATATTTTGTATATCTATGTAAAAATATTTATATTTATGATATCTGTATTTTTCAGTTCTTATCAAACTACACTATTACATGTTACCCCCGGGTTCAAATTATTTACTGTATCGTAAATATTCTCTATTTTTATATAAGGCACGTAAAGATAACGTTTTTAGTCTCTCTCTGTGATCTTTACGTACTATCGCTTTCAATGCGTAAAGACATTCTTTACGAGAGTGTAAAGAAGTTCGTAAAGACGCGTAAGGAGGACCTTAACGCTTACTTTACGGCATCGTTACCGATTTGTAAATTTATAATTTCATGCTGTGTAAACTTCTTTTTTCACCGAAATCTCTCCGTTGTCGGGGAGGAACAAAGGTCGTTATCTAAGAAGCGCCTGAAGTAGGGCCAACTTTCTCTCATTTACTATCTGATCTCTTTAGTATGGAAACCGAAAGGTAAAGCAGAGAATCTGTTTTAGATCTGAAGAAAGGTTTCCGTTTGTTAGGGATCATCACGAAGACGACACTTCTAGATTCAACTGACGTAAGCAGAGGTCAGAGATTATAGGTATAACGTATTCTTTGTTTGTCCAATATTGTGAGAAAGTATCTGACATAGCAATGGTTAATAACATCATGGAGCGGCGTCCTGATAGCTTTTGGTCATGCCTGGTTTGTGCAGCATCCGTATTATCTATTCTGATCGCAACTGGCGGTCCATACGCCTTTGGATTGCTTCTTCCTCCTTTAATGGACGAATTCAATGCAACCAGACAAGAAACAGGTAAGTGGAACTGTGTTAGTTTTTCCGGATGTCGATACATATCTACAACGACAGACGCGTTTAAAGAGGCCCTGCGCCTGAGAAACGACCGATGATTTCTGGCTAAAAATTAAAATCGGCAGATTTTTATCTTCCAAGTAGAGGTTACCTATTACTATTTAAAATGAATTTCTTTTGCTTCAGTTTCGCTTTAAACTAAAAATATAGCGCCGTGAACTTGTTACGTAACAAGTACGTACTTGGTAAATGTCACTTTAAACCTTGCTAGGCGCTCAAATACCATCCTAAATAGAAGGATGTGGTATTAAAAGAGAAAGGAAGATGAAAAATTGGTAGGAAAAGAAAATAATTTACATCTACCATCTGCTGAGTTGAGTTGAATCTTGGAAATGTTATCGCGTGACAGCACTCATTTCTCCAAACTACGGCGGAATCCAAGCAACTGCGTAGAATATAAGTAAAAAAACAACTCTTCCGCCGCCAGAAATCCTGAAGTGAAACAGTTTTATATTATTGCCATGAATGATGATGAATTCAGGTGAAAATTAACCTCAGATAGTGTCCATTTAGTACTTTGGTGGGCTGCATGTATTTCGTTACATTCCAATGGACGTTGCGGGTCAGCGCTTACAGGGGTCAGCGGACGTAAAAATAGAAACAACCAGGTAATCATGGCGGATGCCATGCCTGTACTTAGTCAAAAGAGGGTCTCCTGGACTGCGGATCCTCACGTGGTCGCACGGAGACAATGTTTCTGTATGAATGTCGAGATGATGTAACTACACATCAGAAAATTGTTTTTTGTCGCGTGCAAACCTGAAAGAATGTGAGATCATCCCGCAAAGGGCTTGCCTCGACCGTTTGTCTCATGAAGAAGTGAAAACATTACGTACGCGTGTTTGTGCTCGCCATCACTAAGGTATATATCGACACAGATATATCAAACAACTGAAACACCTCCTTAGCCATGGCAGGGTTGAACACGTCACGACTTTTGACGCTGGTAGGTGGTCCTTTGTGCCCTGGATAATGCTCCAGTACTTGCCCATACCATAGCGAAATGGTATGGGCAAGTATAATTTCAGCATAATCATCGCTGAAATTTTGTTTTCCTTGTCGACGTTTAGGATATATATTTGCAAATTTGCAAATTGTCGGATGTGAATGGCAGAAAGTTTGTTGCCGGTCTTTTCCCTTGTTCCCAGCTGCGACTCTTTTCGTCAAGTGCTTGTTACATTTACTACAGGGTATCCTGTAGTTCTGGGTATCACGATTCGGGGTGGGAGTAATTTTTCGTACAAAATGACTTTTTTCTTCCATTACGAGGAGATTTCGAATTTCAACGACTACGTAATATCAGTTTTTCAGCTACCTTACAATAATGCTTCTAAGACTTCTTCCTGTAATATCCAAACACTATCCAGCAAACAGACAATGATAATACTGAAACTTATCAGGCAGAAGTTATCTTGATCTTACATCAAATTCTCATAACTTATTTACCTGTAAATGTGTAGCAACTAGAAGGGAGAATTAACAATCAGATCTTGGGTATTTAAGTGTTAAAGGAAGAGAATAGAAATACTTCCTGTCAGCGACTGATCTCAACAATGCTAGTCCTTTACACACATTAAAGTTTCTGTCAGTGATAAACATTCTGTGAATTGATATTCCCATTCTTAACACTCAGAGACCTTCTGACACAAAGGTTTGCTATACTAGTTCTTATTGCATTGTGTTAACCAATGTTATGATGATATAATTTTGAGATGTAAAGAAGATACTTAAAAGATTGAGAAATATATCCAAATCAAGACATTTTTTTTTCTACTGTTACAGTTACCATAAGATTTGTTTGAAAGAGAATCTTTCAAACTATCGAATTGTATGAGAAATTATTTTTTTAAGACTTCTATCAAACTTTTTATTATGAGGACAATTTTGTGAATAATAAAATTTAGTGTCATAGGTCATCTTTGTGTCGAGAACTCTTTTAGTTGGTGAAACTCACTTTTTCTTTTTTTCAATTTGAAACATCAAATTAATTGATGCATAAAACACACAAAATATTTTTTGAGAGTTTCATGTGGTATCCGTATTGGATTACTATGCTATCATAAAAAACCAAAAACAACAACTACTGAAAACTACTTTTGTCACAATTACTACCAAATTTGTGTCAGTTTCCTGGGTCTGCCAGTGTCTTGGTTATTCTATTAAAAGCAATTACTTTCCGAGATTTTCTCTGATAGAAAAAAAACTCTATTGAACTTAAAACAATTCAGGTACCTAATAGAAAATTTGTACTAATTTTGCAACAATAGTTACCCTCATCCATAATTCACAGAGAATAAGATAAGTATAGAACGATAAATACTTAGCAAAAATACATGCCTCCGTGCATAAACTTGAAGAAGTGAAAGCTCGTAGGCAAACCATTAGGGCCATAAAATGTATTTGAATAACCAAAAGCGGCACACTGCTTTCCTTTCTTTTCGGGAGGAAAATTAGCTTTATCGAGATTTCGGCTAGGATCATCCATTTCCCTTAAAAATCGAATAATTTTACTTCCCACTAACGAATTTCACCAAAAGCGCTCACAGAGATTTAACACAAGTCAACCCCAGCCTCGTTCTCACGTGTGCGCGGTTGCATGTCCAATTTGGCGCTGGGAACTGTGAAAAGGTCTGTTCGACGCTACTCAAGTCATCCTCAGTTGAAGATAATCGGGTTACAATTTGAATACGTTCTCGAATTGCACTATACTTGTATGAATTCGTGAACTATGTGAATAAAATATATATATTAGGCATCATAGGAAGGCAACAGAAGGATTTTGAGGTAATCAAGAAAAAAGAGCTTGAAACATGCAAAGCTTTGTCCGACACATGGTGCTTAAATGTTTCGCGTGGAAAATCCCATTCCACAGCAGGGTGTACGTGAGAACCTTGCATCGGACAAGGTTTCACACGTCCACAAGCACTGGCAATCCAATTCAGTCATCTAAACCTTGTCAAGACTTATGCTCTGCAGAATCATCTTTCGCGATTTTGGATTCTGCCATCTAAATTTTGGAATAAAGATGAATGAGGCCGTGAATATTAAATGGAAGAATTCGACTTAATACCAACACCAGAAACAATTAGATTCATCTCTCTATTTTAACTTAATTTATTTTTTTTATCATATTTATCATTAACATTTAACTTATGTTTTTTTTATTAGTATATATTGTATAAGCTTTTTCTGGGTTACTTCAAAATACCAATATTGCCTTTCTGAGCTTCTGCTATATTTTTTTCAAATAATTCACGTAATCTAACGTCGTAATTAAAAAACGTTTTGTTCAGTTAAATTCAAATTGGAACACGAGCGACTGCATCTGAAAATGAGATGAGTAAAGTCGAAACATGAGTAACAAACTTAAAACTATTTTTTATGGGACTAAATATATATAACTATCTGCTCAACATTGACCATTTTTCAAAGGTTTGGATGTATTTAAGAGTAAACTACACTGTAGTAAAAGTCATCCGCCTGTTTCCACAGGTTTAAAGTTTTTTTCGAAAATTGTAATTTATACAATTATGGTATCATTTTTCGAATTCAGGGCGACAAAAAAAGTTTTGTTAAAATTCGAAGTCACCTTGGCTTAAATCATTCAACATTTTTCATCACCTTATCATATGGCGAAACCACAAAAAAAAGGTAATAAGTAAACAAGCTGAGTCACGTACAGACTAAATTGATATTACCTCGTTCGATATCAGTTTCATTTAGACATAATCCGAGTTTTTATGAAGACGTGTCAGTCCCCCTATCCCCACCCCACTCTGCAGCCCATGTCCCTGTGTAATTTAAAAGTGTTTTTACTTTTTTTCTAGCATGGGTTGGATCCTTGAACACGGCTTGTGGCTACATTCTTAACCCATTCAGCGTCCATGTTACGGATCGTTTCGGCTTCCGGGCTACCGCCATTCTGGGATCTGTGTCGAGCTTAATAGGCGTAGGCCTGGCTTCATTCTCTGCTCAGCTATGGATGATGTACCCGACTTATGGCTTCCTGACGGGGTTCGGAAACACAACGATCTATAGTACATCGATGCTGGTCGTTTTAAAGTATTTTGTGAAATGGCGTTCTGTGGCGGTCGGACTTGTCGCATCGGCAACATCGGTTGCTGTGTTTGCCATGACACAATTTGTTCAAGCACTACTAAGTACCTTTGGCTGGCGATGGGCCATGCGAGGAATAGCGAGTCTGTTTTTGATGTGCGGTTTGTGTTCAGCTTTATATCTACCGGTCAACAAGGCGAAGGAGAGTGATGAACAAACTTTGGATAGAATTCGAACAGACAAGAAGGAGGAGAATGAACCACATGTACTGAAGAACCGCCGATTTTTGGTATTTTGCTCTGCAAATACAATTGTCATGTTTGCATACTACATTCCAGTTGTACACATCGTAAGTTGTCTTTTCTTATTTCCACATCGTAATTTTCTCCCTTAAACATAAATCATCTTCTTCTCCTCTTTCTGAGGGTAAGTCTTTTGGGGGTCATTTGGGGTGGGAATGTTTACAGCTTTTAAACTCTGGAATGGATTATCGTTGTGAGCTATGAAAATCTGGAATTTGTTCTTATATCAAGGGTTATCGCTGTGAGCGACAAAAGTCTGTGAATGACCGCTGTACGTATGTGGAGCTCAACGGGGTGATGCCTTCTAGGCTAACGGTTAAAATTTTGGTCATTTTACGGCTAACACTTTTTTCTGTTGTCAACAAACCTTTTTTTAACTGTTAACTTTTTTTTACGACTAACGGTTAAAACTTGTCAATTTTTACGCCTAACGGCAAAAGTTTTAAGCCGTTTTACCTTTAATGGTTAACACAATTGAGACCCTCCTGTATGTGTCGTGTGAAGTGTTACCATATGGTAAATGTTCGCCAAAAAAGAAACGCGAAGACAAGAATCAAGTGGCTATGACGCGACATTTGAAATAATCTCAGTGACGTGATGGTCATACTCAATAATAAGTAGAAGTGTAGCTAAAATTATTTGGTGTTTGCCTTGGATTTTCAAACAGTGGTTTTTAGCGTTTCACGTTGGATTCTAGGATTAAACCGTTTTCCACGCTCTCAAGTCAGTCAGACTAACAAACTTTCTCGATGAATTTTAAGAGCCGGAAGTCTTGGCGATGTAACGGATTCTGCTTATTAGGTCAAGTCTAAAAATTACCGTTACGTCACGCTTGATTTGCAAGATTTCCTTTAAATGATCGTGTATCGTTAGAGTGGTCCAGAGAGGAAATTCGTCATTTTTCCACAAAGCGAGAATGGTGACCTGTCAAATAGTGAAGAGCATTGTCAGTAAGAACTTCCAACCAGTTCTTCTAAGCGGAGTAAATGACTTAATATAACTCAACCTTTGAACTAATAATTAATTATAATTAATTATATCAATTAATATTTGCAGATCAAACATTGTAAGCAAGAACTTCAGATTCCTGAACATAAATCCTACATACTCTTCACTTACCTCGCTGGAGCGTCTGTTATCAGCCGCCTCGCGTTCTGCACGTTGGGAGACTTTCAATGCGTCAGCCGTTTCTTTCTTTATCAAGTGTCCGTGGTCATATATGGGATATGTGTGTTATTATTACCATTTGTAAAAACGTTTAACTCTTTGGTGATAATATTTGTTGTCTTTGGACTTATGGACGGCGGTGCACTGGGTCAGTTTTCCCTCCTTGTTTTAGGCTGTGTCGGTCAAAGAAAAGTGAATCAAGGCTGGGGCTACGCCATGTTTAGTGTAGGTTTTGGAGTCGGCACTGGACCTCCACTCGCAGGTAAAAATCATTTTACAATAAGTCCTAACGTAAGTGATCATGTGATACTATATAGGTCGTTGCATGTGCCATTATGGGCTAAATTAAATAATTAGGAGCTAGAAGAGTTCCCGAAGGTTATCATGGGTATGCAATCCGAGACTCAGTGAAAGATTTGCATTTGGCGCCGGTAAAAATTTTTATCACCTTTTTTTCTGGGGGAGGGGGGGGAGCGGGAAGCAGGCATATTTTTTATTGTAACAATGAAACTTATTTATTATATTGGTACCTCGGGTTACATTGATTAACATTTGTGCATAGCGACCACTACTAAGAAGTCCGAAAGGAACTGGAACGGGTGAAAATGAAGAGGAACGAAACAAATTCATTCTTTAACAATCAGGATCAAAACAGAAAACCAATGGCGACTTGATCACTCGTGTTTTCCCGCGCTTTTTTACCCGCTCTTCAGACAGTTTGTTTGTTTTTACTTCGGGTTCTCATTGGCTCAGGGAGATATTTGCCTTGCTATGATTGGCTGTTGTGTTTGCTTTGGTTTTGGTTTTGTGACACTCAATGTCACTAACATGACGATGTAATTTCACACGATGTGATCTCGCTTTCTTAACTTGCTTTGATGCTGAATCCTTACTTTGCTATTTACGTCATTTGTGAAACAGGTTTTATGGCGGACGAGAGTGGTTCCTACACAGTAGCCTTTTATTTATCAGGAGTCGTGCTTATAGCTGGAGCTGCTATCACACTGCTGATGAAGTTTGTAAAGCAACCAGACGTAACCGAAGGCCCTGAAGAAGTCAAAGCCCAAGAAATGGGAATTCTGATTGTAGAGAAAGTCACCGTTCTTTAATTGAGTTCGGAGAGAAGAAAATTTCCAGGTCAATTTACAAAAATTTCACAAAATAATACTCCTCACCGTATTATTGCAATTTCATATCTTCCTGTATTTATCTCGTATCCTCAGAAACTAGTTTGTTTTCCGATTGTGAAAGAAAAATGGCTTTTAATATATGTCAGTTTAAATGGTGGCCCACAGTACAAGGAGGAGTTCGAATTCTGAGGCAAATCAACCACCAGAAGGATGTGGTTATTACTACGTTGTCAGGCAGAACAGTGCAAAAGAAGCAAAACAACAACAACGACAAAAAAAGTTCTGTCAATACCTGTATGAGTTTAAGACCATTTATTTGGAATTGGTTAACAGGAAAAGAAGCATTCAAATGTATATCTGTGATTGTTAAAACGCACAACTCTGCAGATCCTTTGGTAGAAGTCAGTGATTTCGTTCATCTTCAGACATTAACTGAAGATACTTATCGACCGGTAATTATTTACCGCCTGAAGATAACGGAGGATTTGGATTGTGTCGCGATAACAATAATCTGGCCCACTCCTCCCCCCTCACTGGCAATTAATTTACTGGCAATTCCCTATAGTTCCCCCTTCAAACTCTGTTGGCGACGACTTATCCCTCCTCCGTTCCCAGTGTAAAACCTTTGATCCCCCTTAAAGTTATCCACTTCTCAGCAGACTAAACAATAACTAGTACCTTGAGCAAGGAGGCCAGCGTCATTAAAATACTCTGTAGGTAGTCTCCGCTCAGGTTTCCATTTGTGTCATCATTTATGACTGCAGATGAGGTGTCAGTCCTCTGGTTTGCTGACTGGCTAGATGGGCAAATCCATTCAAAGTTATCCATCGCCTGCAATGCTTCTTATTGTTTTTGTTTGATGTTTCCACTCTTAAAGCGAATCGACTTTTAGTTTCTCGATTTTTTTCGATTTTCTTTCCTTCTTTATATAACCACTTTGTTCACATTGTAAGTTTTATTTCTCATTTTTGCGAACCTATTGTAATTTTACCTTCACACCTATTTTAATTCAGATGGCTTTCAACCGTGATTATCTCGTGACATCAAACTAGAACATACTCGGTTATCGATCTTGAGTACTGAGATATTTTAATTAGAGATGAAAGCTTTTTTTCATTTTTTTTTTTCCAAGAGTTAATTTTCTTAAGGTGGGATTTGAACTATGAGCCGGAAATCCGACCAGGGTATCAATATCTCTATAATTAACTTCTCTACATTAAGTAAATTCCTTAGTTCTCCTGGCAAAGTGTAATTTGCTGCGTTTAATTTGGCAATGTGGAGAGTTAAAATGTAGCAGCTCACAACCCAAATTTTACTTGTTTCGCTTGATAGTAAAATGATGGCAGCAAAATTTGTAGACCAGATACAGTAAGTACGCTTTTTGAAGTATGTCTTGAACCTTAAGCAATCGAGTAGCCTGCAGAATTGGGTGCTCGGTGAAAATAACCACGTCTGAGCTGTAACAGCAATCAGCAGAGTTTCTACGTGAGAAACGTTAGCTTTTCAGTCCTTTTTAATTTTACAACGCAAGTCTCCTGTGGACTCGCCGCTCAACGCTTAAAAATTCGCAAACAACCGCCAACAGCACAGGCCTAAATATATGAACCTTGTGCCTAATCCCAACTCGCGAAAAGTGCTTCGGTAGCGTGGTTGTACGGGCATCGGAACGGACCGGACCCGGATTGGAATTCTCGTAACTTGAGACTCGCGACGATGCATGTTTATCACGAATCTTACCTCACCCTTTTCACCATCATGTCATTTATTTTTACCTCTCAGATCAAAATTTGCTAGTAATGGCACTGCTGGATTGAAGTTATTGAAAAGGAAATTATCGCTCAAGAATTTGGACTTTCAGTTGTGGAGAAAGTCTCTGTTCTTTCACTCGTTAGCGGGAGTAAAGTATTCCAAGTCAATGCATGCAAAAATTTACTACGAATGAGTCCAAACAAAATACAAACAAAATCTTCTGCACAAAACAAACAAAACGTAAACAAGCCAAAACAAAAACAATTAAAAGCAGCAATTTAAAAAGTCATATGAACTACACTTCAAGATTTCAGTTAGGACGGAATACGTACATAACTGTTTCCTTGGCTTATTAACCTGCCGCTGCTTGAGTAATGAGTTTAAACTTCTTTTTTCACCGAAATATCTCAGTTGTCGGGGAGGAACAAAGGCCCTTATCTAGAAAGCGCCTGAAGTAGGGACAATTTTCTCCCATTTACTATCTGATCTCTTTAGTACGGAAACCGAAAGGTAAAGGTTCCGGTTTTTAGGGATCATCATGAAGACGACACTTCTAGATTCAACTGACGTAAGTAAAGGTCAGAGATTATAGGTATAACGCATTCTTTGTTTGTCCAATATTGTGAGAAAGTATCTGACATAGCAATGGTCAATAACATCATGGAGCGGCGTCCTGATAGCTTTTGGTCATGCCTGGTTTGTGCGGCATCCGTATTATCTATTCTGATCGCAACTGGCGGTCCATACGCCTTTGGATTGCTTCTTCCTCCTTTAATGGATGAATTCAACGCAAACAGACAAGAAACAGGTAAGTGAGACTTAGTTTTACCGGATGTTGATACATATCTACAACCACAGACGCGTTTAAGTCTGAGGGAGATTGAGTTCATAAGGATATGTTCGTATTGGAATCTTCTTAATTATTGATCATAACGTAAGAAAAACTTTAAGGTAAATAACTAAAGTGGGGTTTCGAATTTTATTATCATTGAAATTTTGTTTTCCTTGTCGACCTTTAGGATATATATTTGCAAATTTGCAAATTGTCGGATGTGAATGGCAGAAAGTTTGTTGCCGGTCTCTTCTCCTTGTTCCCAGCTGCGACTCTCAAGTGCTTGTTACATTTACTACAGGGTATCCTGTAGTTCTGGGTATCACGACTCGGGGTGGGAGTAATTTTTCGTACAAAATGACTTTTTTCTTCCATTACGAGGAGATTTCGAATTTCAGCGACTACGTAATATCAGTTTTTCAGCTACCTTACAATAATACTTCTAAGACACACAACTTTTTTAAGTTTGCAAAGCATGTTTCAATTCGACGCTACTCAAGTCATCCTCAGTTGAAGATAATCGTGTCACAATTTGAATATGTTCTCGAATTGCACTATACTTGTATGAATTCGTGAACTATGTGAATAAAATATATGTTAACGGCATCACAGGAAGGCAACAGAAGGATTTTGAGGTAATCAAGAAAAAAGAGCTTGAAACATGCAAAGCTTTGTCCGACACAAGGTGCTAAATTGTTTCGCGTAGAAGATTCCATGCCACAGCAGGGTGTACGTGAGAACCTTTTATCGGACAAGGTTTCACACGTCCACAAGCACTAGCAATCCAATTCAGTCCTCTAAACCTTAACATTTAACATTTTAACAGTTAACATTTAACTTATGTTTTTTTTTATTGGTATATATTGTATTGGCTTTTTCTGGGTTACTTCAAAAAACCAATATTGCCTTTCTAAGCTTCTGCTATATTTTTTTCAAATATTTCACGTAATCTAACGTCGTAATTAAAAAACGTTTTGTTCAGTTAAATTCAAATTGTAACACGCGAGCAACTGCATCTGAAGATGAGATGAGTAAAGTCGAAACATGAGTAGCAAACTTAAAACTATTTTTTTATGGGACTAAATATATATAACTATCTGCTCAACATTGACTATCTCGCAAGGTTTGGATGTATTTAGGAGTAAACTACATTGTAGTAAAAGTCATCTGCCTGTTTCAAGAGGTTTGAAGTTTTTTCGAAAATTGTTATTTATACAATTATGGTATCATTTTTCGAATTCAGGTCAACAAAAAAAGTTTTGTTAAAATTCGAAGTCACCTTGGCTTAAATCATTCAACATTTTCCATCGCCTTATCATATTGCGAAACCACAAAAAAAATGATAATAAATAAACAAGCTGAGTCACGTACAGACTAAAATTGATATTACTTCGTTCGATATCAGTTTCATTTACCCTATCCCTACCCCACTCTGCAGCCCGCGTCCCTGTATAATTTCAAAATGTTTTCTACTTTTTTTCCTAGCATGGGTTGGATCCTTAAACACGGCATGTGGCTACATTCTTAACCCATTCAGCGTCCATGTTACAAACCGTTTCGGCTTCCGGGCCACCGCCATTCTGGGATCTGTGGCGAGCTTAATAGGCATAGGCCTGGCTTCATTTTCTGCTCAGCTATGGATGATGTACCCGACTTATGGCTTCCTGACGGGGTTTGGAAGCACAACGATCTATAGTACATCGATGCTGGTCGTTTTAAAGTATTTTGTGAAATGGCGTTCTGTGGCGGTCGGACTCGTCGCATCGGCAACATCGGTTTCTGCGTTTGCCATGACACAATTTGTTCAAGCACTACTAAGTGCCTTTGGCTGGCGATGGGCCATGCGAGGAATAGCGGGTCTGTTTTTGATGTGTGGTTTGTGTTCAGCTTTATATCTACCGGTCAACAAAGCGAAGGAAAGTGATGAACAAACTCTGGATAGAATTGGAACAGACAAGAAGAAGGATAATGAACCACATGTACTGAAGAACCACAGATTTTTAGTATTTTGCTCTGCAAATACAATTGTTATGTTTGGATACCTCATTCCAGTTATGCACATCGTAAGTTGTCTTTTCCCATTGCCACTTCGTAATTTTCTTCCTTGAACATAAATCATCTTCTTCTCCTCTTTCTGAGGATAAGTCTTTTGGGGGTCATTTGGGGTGCGAATGTTCACGGCTTTTAAACTCTGGAATGGATTATCGCTGTAAGCTATGAAAATCTGGAATTTGTTCTTATATCAAGGGTTATCGTTGTGAGCGACAAAAGTCTGTGAATGACCGCTGTACGTATGTGGGGCTCAACGGGGTGATGCCTTCTTTTGGTCATTTTACGGCTAACACTTTTTTCTGTTGTCAACAAATCTTTTTTCAACTGTTAACTTTTTTTACGACTAACGGTTAAAACTTGTCAATTTTTACGGCTAACGGCAAAAGTTTTAAGCCGTTTTACGTTTAATGGTTAACACCATTGAGACCCTCCTGTCGTGTGAAGTGTTACCATATGGTAAATGTTCGCCAAAAAAGAAAGGCGAAGACAGGAATCAAGTGGCTATGACGCGACATTTGAAATAATCTCAGTGTCGTGATGGTCATACTCAATAATAAGTAGAAGTGTAGCTAAAATTATTTGGTGTTTGCCTTGGATTTTCAAACAGTGGTTTTTAGCGTTTCACGTTGGATTCTAGGATTAAACCGTTTTCCACGCTCTCAATTCAGTCAGACTAACAAACTTTCTCGCTGAATTTTAAGAGCCGGAAGTCTTGGCGATGTAACGGATTCTGCTTATTAGGTCAAGTCTAAAAATTACCGTTACGTCACGCTTGATTTGCAAGATTTCCTTTAAATGATCGTGTATCGTTAGAGTGGTCCAGAGAGGAAAAGCGAGAATGGCGACCTGTCAAATAGTGAAGAGCATTGTCAGTAAGAACTTCCAACCAGTTCTTTTAAGTGGAGTAAATGACTTAATATAACTCAACCTTTGAATTAATAATTAATTATAATTAATTATATCAATTAATATTTGCAGATTAAACATTGTAAGCAAGAACTCCAGATTCCTGAACATAAATCCTTCATACTCTTCACTTACCTCGCTGGAGCGTCTGTTATCAGCCGCCTCGCGTTCTGCACATTGGGAGACTTTCAATGCGTCAGCCGTTTCTTTCTTTATCAAGTGTCCGTGGTCATATATGGGATATGTGTGTTATTATTACCATTTGTAAAAACGTTTAACTCTTTGGTGATAATATTTGTTGTTTTTGGACTTATGGACGGCGGTGCAGTGGGTCAGTTTTCCCTTCTTGTAATAGGCTGTGTCGGTCAAAGAAAAGTGAATCAAGGCTGGGGTTACGCCATGTTTAGTGTAGGTTTTGGAGTCGGCACTGGACCTCCACTCGCAGGTAAAAATAATTTTACAATAAGTCCAAACGTAAGTGATCATGTGATACTATATAGGTCGTTGCATGTACCATTATGGGCTAAATTGTATAATTGGGAGCTGGAAGATTTCTCGAAGGTTATCATGGTTATGCAAATCCCAGACTCAGTGAAAGATTTGTTTGCATTTGGGGCCGGTAAAAATTTTTATCACCTTTTTTTCTGGGGGGGCGCGGGCGCGGAGCGGGAAGCAGGCATATATTTTATTGAAACAATGAAACTTATTAATTATATTGGTACCTCAGGATACATTGATTAACATTTGTGCATAGCGACTCGCTAAACTTCCTTCAACTTGAAGGAAAGCGCAACATTTAATTTGGTAACTAAAACTGAAAGGCCACTAAGAAGCCCGAAAGGAACTGGAACGGGTGAAGATGAAGAGGAATTAAACAAATTCATTCTTTCTCAACCAAACAGGTCAAAACAGAAAACCAATGGCGACTTGATCACTCGTGTTTTCCCGCGCTTTTTTACCCGCGCTTCAGGCAGTTTGCTTGTTTTTACTTCGGGTTCTCATTGGCTCAGGGAGATATTTGCCCTGCTATGATTAGCTTTTGTGTTTGCTTTGGTTTTGGTTTTATGACACTCAGTGTCACTAACATGACGATGTGATCTCACTTACTTAACTTGCTTTGATGCAGAATCCTTACTTTGCTATTTACGTCATTTTTGAAACAGGTTTTATGGCGGACGAGAGTGGTTCCTACGCGGTAGCCTTTTATTTATCAGGAGTAGTGCTTATAGCCGGAGCTGCTATCACACTACTGATGAAGTTTGTAAAGCAACCAGACGTAACCGAAGGCCCTGAAGAAGTCAAAGCCCAAGAAATGGGAATTCTGATTGTAGAGAAAGTCACCGTTCTTTAATTGAGTTCGGAGAGTAGAAAATTTCCAGGTCAATTTACGCGGATTGCCCCCTCCTCAAAATGGTCAACTCAAGTCTGAGTTTGATTTTGTCAAAAATATAATTTAGATGGATCCTTGAATACGGCTTGTGGCTACATTCGCAACCCACTTACTATGGGAAAAATTTAAAGTGTTTGAAAAGCTGCCTCAGAAAGCGTGGTTCGTTTGAAGCTCTCTCAATATTGACAGTTCTTAAATCTAAGAAGGATAGGTAGATCCAATGTGTTTAAAAATTTGACAAGAATGCACAACTCTAGTGCGTTTTATTCAATAAAGAGTTTGACTTGTTTTCGAGGCCCCATGAAGGAAGTAGTAACTGAGCCGTACAATTTTTAAGCTTTGAAAAATCATTAATTAGTTTCGCACGGTCCACTGACGATTTTATCAAGAGAGCTCCACCATACTAATTTAAAATTTTGTAAAACATTGAAGCGTTTATTTCCACTTACTCACAACTCAGGCGTATCGGAGGACATCTTAGCTAGAAATTAAAATTGTTATAATCTTAATGCAAGAAAATTGAACTTTAGAGGCGAGTTTTTACGATGGTTGCATTTCTGAGATAAGCGTGAGATTTGACTTCCTATATTATAATCCGTTTAATTTAAAAATATAGTCTATTCTTTGGCTGATTGTAGAAGAGTTAATGCATGCAAAGTGATAGCCTTTACCAAAAGCATTCAGATGAATCGTAGACAGAAGATTTGCTCATAGAAAAAGAATAAAATAAAAAATTTTCATGCAACCGAGCAAAAATATCCAGTTTATCCGTTCAAAAAAACCAAAAGAAATTAAAGAGATACATATTTTGGCTTTTCAATAGGTTGGAAAACAATCAAAAGTACCTATTTACATGTGTCACGATGTAAACAAACCGGGTTGAAGGAGTTACTGAAACCGGTCTAGAGAATATATTTTTAACGGCAGTATTGAACTTCAGATAATGCTTTTTATTCGAAGTTCGAATTCTTATATGCTCAGCATATTCAAACGCATAATGCTATTGTTGAATCAAATCAAATATGGCCATCATTCTACAAATGCTCTAACGGGTGATAGATTTTTTCGTTTCTTTTCTCTTTGCAGAAACAAAATATAAATAACGTCCCTCGAGTAAATATCTTATGCTAACAACCACCTTGCCATCGACTGATATCGAGTTTATCACCTCACCACGATGGTCTAAGTCATGTAGTAATCTGCAAAATTCATTCTATCGTAGCCTCTTGTCTCAATTAAATCAAGTTCTTGAGATGTCATCACATCAGTGAATTAGCGCATTTAAGCGTCGATTCAGTTGAGCGGTCCATGATTTACAACCCTACGGCCCTGAAAGCAGGTCTCGAGCAAAAAAAACTCCGCCTGGTTTTACATTTTTCAATAGTTGGGATCAATGAATCTGACAGTTATTTTAACGGGTGGAGCACGCTCGCTAATTGATTGAGCTCAACAGGTGTAACATCGTTTCACAACTGGTGGCGAGAATTCGAATCACGTGACCAAAGGTCGAACCGGTACTGTTTTTTTGGACATGAATAAGAGATAAGATTCAGCCATCTAGCTTCTTGGTGTTTTTGTTCTTCTGGGGCCCGTCCCGCTCTTTACACAATTCATTTAGATTCATTGAGAACTTACGCCAAGGAAGAAAAGTTAAAAACTCGGGCGAAAGAGGTGCGATGAAGATCTGATCGCTGCAAGATTGAAGCACGAATTTTAATTTAGAATGCCAAGCCAAGAGCGACCACTTCGGTAAATTCTAGTTGTTGCTTGTCCCTCTCGTTTGTGTATTTTGGCCAAAAATCAGGATTTTATCATAGTTAGGTAAGTACCTCAGGTTTTATTCAGGCTTAGATTCGACAAAAATTATAGAATAACATAAGTTAGTAAAAGTAGAGTTTAAATGTGTTTTGAAATGCGCTTTTCCTTGAAAGCCGCATATATAACAAGGCGTTATTTTGTCGGACGATAGAGTTGGTTTTGACAGGTGAACTTTATTCAGATATTGGCCCCTGTAGAATTCTTTGAACAGTCTGAGTTGTTTCTGTTAGATTAACAGCGTCTTTCTGAACGTGATGAATGATCAGAATTAGAGGTAAATGTGGGGTATAGAAGTCAATTTGGTTAGATAGATAAACTTCCGTGATCTAAGGGTTGAAGTTTTCTATCTAACACAGCAGGAGAGAGAGGGTTGAAAAATGTTCTCGCATTTTTTTTTATGTAAACGTTAACAAAAGGATTTTTATGTCCTTGATTACATCGTAAGATATTTTTTCTCTAAAGCTGGCTTCATAATCGAATGCTACTTTATCGATACATATGACAGTAAGAACCGAAAAGAAACTTTAATATACGAAAAGCAAGATGTCTGCCTTTTTGGTAAACTTATAGAAAATATTGTAACAGACCTTGCAACGCTCGAACAGAGATCTTACAAGACCACAAGTGCCGACGGAGATTTCTGAAATAGATTTCTAAAACTATGGCGTATCTTCTCGTAGACTTACAAACGCTATTTTACTTGATAACAGATGACTAGTAACACAAACGAATCTTTCTCTCAATCCTTACTAGGACCCAAGCGTGACTCACGCATATCTCGAAACCAAATGAGACTTCATGCGTTAGGATTATTTCTCTTACTGACCTGGGTAGCAAAATCGTCAGGAAGTAAGTACGATATCCAACTTTTCCCCGCTATATAATAGAAAGTTTCATTTTGTTTACAAAATTCCATTGATGGTTGCATTTTTATTGTCTTTCTAACAAAGTTTATTTGGGTCCAGTGTAATTTTTAACAGATATTTTTAATCGCTCAGAATTTCAAAAAGCTTTATTTGAAAATTAAAAAAGACGATCATTAGAAAGAAAAAAAAGTTTTAGACTAAGCTTGGAAAAACGGCAGAAATATGTCTGTAATGCATAACTAATTTACTCTTACTAATTAATTTACGATACCCCTAAATTTGACCAGTGCGGTCGTTAACAAGTGTGGAAATTTCATTGATCTCTAAATTAAGTGTATATTTTCTTTTAATCTAATAACGAGCGAAGATTTTTTACTTGAACGATGGTGTGCTTTAAAAACAACCATGAAAGATATTTTAAGATCAAGTTTCAGAGTTTACGATTCTTCTGAAAGATTAGACACACTGTTTTTAGCCCTAGCACTGATATACGTGATACATTTCTCCATTCTCGGCACCCAGTGTGGCATTTTAAAAGGAAAAATGAAATAAGTGTAATTTTCTATCTCTTGTTTAGATAAAAGAGCCCATCATAGTTCTCAACCTCACTCTCATGTGCGACGTTCAATTCATGAAGACCATGGTAAAACTAAAGATTCCTCTAAGCGCCTTTACGAAATGTTGGTGAGAAGGAATATACTAACAAGACGAAGGAGGGAACTCATGACAGGTCCACGTAAGTGAAACAATTGAAGCTCAAGTCACGGAACAATTCCTCCAAACGCCTTCCTTAGTGAAAAGACTCATCCACGCGTGCACCTTACAAGAACTTTCAAAGCTATTAAGTTTTTTAATCCTTTTTTCTTCTTTATGTTGAAAAGTGACGTTTACAGCGTTTGCAAACTGCAAAAATGGCATTTAGGATTGTGCAATGAGGAAAAATCCTTTCTACTGAAAATAGACGACAAGTTAATTTACGGCGAATCTCGTGCTTCCTCATTCCAAAAAATGTATTTCATGTTAAGGGCTATGTTATAAGCGTCAAAATGGTCCAAAAGAGGATATTGTTTATCTATCAATGTTGTGATCAAAGGTTACCAAAACTAGACAGTTCAATGCATCCATTCTGAATCAAGTTTGCAGGCTCTCCATCTTCCCCCTGGTCCCAGCCCACGCGCAGTTTGCATCTAGTTCCAAATATATATAAAGAAAATGTGGATTTACAAAGAGTCAATTATCCTCAAATGTTATTTCGCGTTTCCAGCAAGTGCATTAAAATTTGCATTAAGGGTAACATCATGACTTCATTTTCCTCTTTCACTCAATATTCTACGTCGAAGTTGAAATATATTTCCAGTAGGATGTTACCGTAGAAATGAAATAGTGTTTTATCACACATATAAAAATCAAACCAAATTATACGCAATGGAGACTCAAGTCAAGGCACTAACCTTACAATTTGCTCACTTTAAAAAATATATTGAATTTTATTACAGCCACGAAAACTAGGGTGGAAATAAAATTCAAAAAGAAATGGCTTGAGGAAATGTCCGACAGTCAGAGTTCTCAGTATAAGCTGCTGGATGGGAATATTGTTGATGCGGTAAGTACTTCTCCTCTCACAATCCTTTTAGATGAATGTGTTTGGTTGAAAAATATTTCTTAATTTGATCGTCTGGTTCAATTTTCAAGGTGAGAGTGGTACTTAAGAAGTTTTTCAGTGATTATTGCTAATTATCAAACTGCTATAATTTGATTCTTTCCAGAAATTAAGATCACCCTCTTTCTCTAAGACGAACCATTCCTTGTACCTCAATTATTTTGACTTCGTTTCTTTCCTTTGTTTTCATTTACCTCATTTTATCGATTTATTATTTTTTCCTTATGATTTTTTAATAAATTTCTATAGATAACAACAGAACTTATTGGGGACACAAACTACCTCAGTTCGGCAGTGATGACGTTAAAGTGAGTAATATGAACAATCATATTTGAGAATTAATTAATTGCATGGCCAAATTTCGCCATTATTTTTTGATAAAATTTGATTATGCCCTCCAATTCACATGACGTCATCACGTTACGTTGGTGTTCAGTTTTCTTCGCTACCCCAACGGATAGAAATTCTATTTATTCGAGCCAACTTCATAAATATATAGAAAGTTTTTGAGATCGGCCTCAAAATTTTAGGGCGTCTTCGAAAATCTTCGGGCGTCTTCGGAAACCTTCGAGCGTCTTTGAACTGTCGAGTATTGGTGTCCCGTTTTCCACACACAAAACAGGGGAATGGCTTTGCATAAGATTCCACAATAAAGCGTACAAGGAAACTTAAAATTACCCATGCTGAGTTATTTTGGCTTTTTTTTCTTCTTCTGTAGAAGCTCCAATGAGCCTAAGTCAAACGTTTTAGCAGACATCGAGCTGCAGTTTGTATCGGACGAGCTTGATCCGGTCAAACATCTCCGTGCTATTGTGTCAGATGGACACATCTCTGGCATGATGGTCTACCCAGATTACTTTGTTGTCCTTGGAGGTAATGTCTTGTGCGATACATACAGGAATTGTTGGTGTTGCTGTGCTGTCCAAGTAATACATATATATATTGTCGTTATGGCCGTTGATGTTGTTTTCCAATGAGCTGCTCTTAGCCGTTTGATGTGTGTGGCTAATAATGCTGGAAAATTCTGCAGTATCTCCAATATAATCCAAATTTTTATTCTTCCTTTGTTCAGTTTCCAGCTTCTTAAGACTCCTTGCTTGTTTCATTTATGTATTCTCAAAGACTAAATATTAGAATACTATGTGTTCTCAGAGTTGCAAATGAAATGAAAAGTTACCTTTTCATATAATTATTAATCACGAATATTTTAGGCGACAACAACCCAAGTGCTGCTGATCAACAGAACAGCAATGTAGCACCCACTCTAAGTAAGTACATATGGCCGTGAAGTCACGTTGTCATATTGGTGAACCAAATCTAATTTACCAGATTTCCCCTCACCCCTTCCCCCTCATAAATCTCTGTAGTATGCTATTGATCCTTTCATAAATCCTTTATAGTTCCCCAATATATTCTGTAAGCAACAACTGATCTCCCGCCTGTTCCCCCTGAAAACCGTGTTATCATCTAAAAATCCTCTACCCCCTTGCCCTTCGACGATGAATAATGATTCGTGATTGGTCCCTAACCAAAGGGGAGACTGGGGGGGAGGTTCTGAACACCGCAATACCACAAAAAAATTCGGCTAATACCGCAATATCGCAACAGAAAGTCGCCAAATACCGCAAAACTTCAATCACGAGTTGAAGCTCGATGTCATGCCGAAACCATTACTCTGTTACGCCTAGAGTAAATAACAAGGAAATAACAACTAAGAGTTGCCCATTTGAACCTGTACCCGAAACAATTGGAAACTGGAAAAGGCTCTGAAAACGGTGAAGGACTTGGAGAATACTAGTAATAACGCCGAAAATGCTTTAGAAACCGCATACCGCAGTTCGAGATAAAAATTGCCGAAATACCGAAAGAAAAACAGTCCAGTACTGCAGCACCACACATACTGATGTCCACCCCACTCCCCCCGACCAGCCTTTATCCAGTAACTATTATTAATATTCAACTGATAAATTACTACTTCATAAGACTGATTATTCATTTCATCTTTGTCTTCGTTCTAGTTCAAGATTTCCCTTTCGATGTGAAATTGCAGTTATCTTGGCATCCCTTCCTTAGCGATACAAACAATCCTAAAACGAAAACTTTGAGTTCTTCCATTGAGAACACTGTAAGTATAATTTACTGATACTACACGATACACTGCAGGTACTCTAAAGTCAAACCAATCTTTTAAACTTCTCTCCGATTTTAGACTATCAAAATTCCCATCTTAACCCTACGTCTTTCGCAACGAAAATGTGAAAAATTCTAATTGAATGGAAGGCTAAGCGGCTACTGTTTGAGCAGTTGGTATTCCTGATTGCACTTGAGTTATGCTGAACAGTTAGCAGTTCTTGAAGTATTTTAAAAGAACTGCTCAGTTCCTTTTGGTCTAACGAATAACAGTCTCACACCCCTCAAAAGGTGTTCTTTAGTTTTAATTTACAATGTAAAAGGAAACAATTTGTTTCGTAAACTTTTGAGACCCTTCAAAATAAATTTTTGCAATTCTTTTTTTAATCATCTATTTGTCTTTTTTTAAGCTCAAAAAGTTATTCGCAGGTGATCCATCGTTCATTGATGCTAAAGTAATCGGATACAAGTAAGTTCAATATATCTTTCTCTTTGTTTTTGATCAAAGTTAAATAGGTTTCGTCTGATACTAGTAGTCTTTACGGATTTCTGTTATTCTCCAATTTGACCTAGCATTCCATTTGTGTGCAATTCTTCGTTGCAAAGTTGCGACTAAAAAGAAGATCATAAATGCAAGGGGCCTGGCTCGAGGCAGTGATAAAAGCCGCCTACTGGCAGAACTGACAGTCTGCTATTCATTCAATATTTAATCATCCAAGATCGCACCAAATATCAATTTAAAGTATTCCGAATCACTCATTTTACAGTGAAGATCCTGATGGAAATCCCCATGCAAGAATTGCTCTTCGATTTAAACCTAATACAACAGATCCCGAGGAAATACTAAAGAAATTGGTAACAACTGGTCACCTCGGAGAAGTTCCGATCTTCAATGACTATCTGAGTAAGTGCATCCCACAAGTTTTGATTGGTTATCCCACAATAGCAATCGGTTGTGAATCTGTTCTTTTTAAGGAAAAGTAAAACTGATAAAAGTTATGCGATTCGCGCATGTTGGGTTAGAAAACACTTAACTGAATTCAAGCTTACACGCTTCTTCACCTGGTTTCAATCTCATTTTCGTTGAATTATAGTCCATTAGTTGCAGTCTCGTTTAAATCACTGATCCAGACATTCTTTTTTTCTTTTATCAGATGGTCAGATGAATCCAACGCAGAACCCTCCCGTCTCGCAACATAACGCAGTGCCCCAGTTGAACGCTACATCAACGCCTCAGGCCGCTCCTGCACCAGCTCCTGCCCCCGCTCCGGTACAAGCAGTACCATCACCAGTGGCTCCTTCCCCAGCAATCCCAGTCGCGAATAACACAGTGGCAGTAAATCCTCCCGCTTCAGTGGTACCCCAGGCCCAACCCACCGCTGCTCCAGCAACTTCAGCTGCTCCCCAACCTACACTACCTCAAGACCAGCCTGTGCCCACCAATTCACAAATTCCGTATGCACAGCCTGGCGAGTGTAAGTATCAGAGAGATTTCATTCTTCCCTTTTTTTTTGCGTTTTCTCATTTTGTAAAGGACAACCGAAGACTCGAATGAAAGATTGGAAAAATTTTGATGGCTTTTCAGCCTAATGCATGAATAATCAGCTTCCAAACTACTTTAGAATTTAACTATCGACATGTACCATAACCAGCGATAGACAATGTTCGGTCTCAAATCAATTCATAATTTTTTAACACTCCTCTTCGAAAATTTGAACGACTTTTGATTGCAATCATCATAGCGGTGGAGTGTATGTTGCAGTCTACAGCGTATTTATTGATCCGTAAACATCAACGTTTAACCCTTGAAATCCCAGTAATGATTAACACGTAACTTCTCCCTATAATGTCCATACAGCTAGAGGGGAGAACTAGCAATCATATATAGAGTGTTAGATGGTTTGTCGAACCAAATATTACAGTTCAACGGAGAAAAGATTTGGCTAAAAAAATTATTATTCTTATTGCATTTTGATTCCAGCTTTGAATGGAACAATAAAGTTAAACGAGTCGTGGTACGATTACATGGGAAATACGCAGAGTTCAACTTTCAAGATATTAGCAGAAGATATTGAGCAAGCGGTAAGCATATTCCTCAATTTTTAAAGTTATTTTGGAAAATGTCTATCTATCGTCAAATGCAGGATCGATTGTGTGATCGGCTGAAGGACTGTGGTGCTTTTTAAATTGTTCAACTGAAACTCACTCACTGACTTACAGACTCATGCAACGAAAAAGGGGGGGGGTACGTTTTTAAAGAAGCTGTGATGCTGGAAACGGCTCACGCTCGATCTGACGAAGGGCTAACGCTCGAAATGTCGACTTTAGAAGCTCTTTACGGTGGCCTACTTGTGGCCTACTTGCATTATTAACTCAACTGATAGAGCCAAATTATCTTCTGATTCAATGACTGACTCACTGACTGAGTGACTGGGTGGCATTGTAAATGACTGATTGAGCATCTCCGTGACTGGATAGCTGGTTGAATATTTGACTGACTGACAGATTAACTGACTCACTCACTCGCTCACATAATTGCACTGTACGTAGTAGTTCTAAAAATAAGGAAACAGCACCTAGTAATCGTTTTATTTAACCTTTACACATTACACAGATAAGAAACGCGTACGAACCGTACAGGTATACAGTAACATCCAAAGTTACAGGACTAAGGTAAGCATTCCATGTACATTTTTAAATTTTATTTTATGAAACTCTTAAAGCTGTTAAGTTATTTTCACGCATTCAACAGGACCAGGTAAACTTCTCGTAGGGAAAATGATTAAATCATCTGATTATTTCTGCTCAAGATATACGTGTTCTTAATAGGTAAAGGACTAAAGAAACTTGAAAGAATTTCATTCCCTCCCTTCCTTCTACAATCATTTATTCATTCATTTATTTATTAACTCAATTTGTTCACTTGCAGCAAGACAAATGATGACGAAGTACTAGCTTCATTTACCATTACCTTCCCCCCCGGAGAGACCCCGACTCTGATACCTTTACAGCAGATCGTGCAGGGGGGTCTTCTTGGCGGTATCCCCGTGTTTCGTGATTCTGTCCTGGAAGCAGGTTTGTAGTTTTTTTTAAAAATTCGCGGGGGTTGTATTTTAAATCTTTCAGTAAGCTCTTGAAAGAATAAAGAAAACAAAAATGCAGTGATAACAAATAACTATCAAAAGGGAAATATATTTACCGATTAAGTTATGTAAAACAGTCCTGAGTGAACATTAAACGGTAATAATCTCGGATTCAATTTTTTTCAGCCATGTCAGTTAGTCGTTTGAACGCTGAGTTAAAGTCAAACGGCACTTAAAACTGCGAGCATTGCCCTTTTATCAAGGAGGTCTGTTGTGCATGGGAACAAAAAAGTTAAATAATCATACACCGACAATTAAAACAAATCAAGACGGTTTTGACCCTTCAACTCCCATGAGTGGCCAAGATTATTATTTGATCCAATAACAAATTCTCCAAACTAGCATAGTAAGGCTTGTATCGCAGACAGTAAGGAAAATGATTAATGAGATCTTGGGAGTGAAATGGTTAGTCCTGTTTTGTTCCAGTTGGATTGATTTCTGGTTACCAACCTGAGTCGCCAAACAAGCCTGCTTTTTTTTTTAAAAAAAGATTTCTCTTTCATCTTGAAAGTTACTGATGCAATACTTGTGTGCATGATTAACGATTGGTCTATCAATTCCAGGCATGGGCACAACACCTTCTCCAATTGCATACGCTCCAACAAGTCCTTCATCAGGTATGTGTTTTCAAAATTTGAGATACGTACACGACACTCTTGGCATAAAGATCGCTGTATCTTTTTTTAATCCCTCGTTAACCAGATGGTTGAAGTCTAAGATCGTGACTCCACGAACGAACCTTTATCAATGAACAGAACTTCTTTTAGAGCTTGTATTTTCGTGATATCAATGGGAAATTTCCGACAGAGATCAAAGTAGTCGCAAACAGAAAAACTCAAACTTTCCCTGGTAAGATCTCTCCCATCCTTTCCATTGTCATCGATTCCTAATAGTTCCGCCAAATATACGTTACTTTTCCGTCGGGGTCCTACAAGAGCAGATTTTGAAAACCAATTACTATACGTGCACTATAACTTGACACTTTTTCTCTTTAAACTTGATATTCTCCAGCCTGGTCGAACAACTCCTTGTCACAAAACTATGCCGTTCCAGCTAATAATATGACGTCGGCTCCTGCAGCTTATCCCAATGCCTCTCAAACATTCAATGCCACAGCAGTAGCACCAGCTATTGAACCTGCCGCAGTTCCTACTGCAGCTGTGTATGCTCCGACACAGTCGGTGTACAATGCCACGGCAGCCCCTGTCCAAGTGCCGACTGGTTCCGGTAGGGGTTTTTTCCCTTCTTGTGATGATGTCTTTCCATCTTTTTCGCTTTTTTTCCAGTTTCGTTTTATTACTTTGTTGAGTTATTTGTGTTTTTGTTGTTTGTTTTGCCTCGGTTGTTTGTTTGCTTTGTGTGGTTAATTTTTCAATGAGTAAATCGAGCATGTCAGGATGTCATTATTTTTTCTGGAATTTCCTTGTTGTACGAATAGCTTGGTTGCTAATCGTCCTCGGAAACCAGGAGAAAAAAAATTACTTCTACCTGATAACAAAAGTAAGAAGTTTGCACGAGATGAGAACCAAGAGACTCCATGAGAAATATACCTCTAGGTGCTATTATTAGGGAATCTCATTAAATTATCAGCACGTAATCATGCTCAAGCGATTTTGGAGTGAACGCAGTCTCGACGTACAATCAGGGACAATGATGAAAAGAAAAGCTTAACCCAGAACCCACCCTAACCCCCATGGCAGTGATCAAGGTCTACCCTTGTTTTCACAATCCCTTTCGAAAGTTTTACGAGCGAATGATGAAGTATATCATTCGTAAAACCAAACACGATTGGAGTAAAAAAGTCAATATGTTCCCGCAAAATCATCAAATGGGAATGAGAGATCGTGTTGTGATGTATCAGCTTAATAAGAAGAAGGTGTTTTGTTGTTTGTTTCCTTTTTATTCAGTCACCTACGAGCAGAACACTTCGGTGTCTAACGCTTCCAATGTGGCATCTGATCAGTATGGTAAGCTCTTTGATATCCAATTATTAACCCTGGTTTACCCTCTCTTTAGAGGGACGACAAATAGTATGAAGCAGAGGGGTATTTGCAAATTTTTCTCCATCTAATAATTTTAGATCAAATTATGAACAATAAATGAAATGTCAAATCCGATTTTTGGAGAACATAACGTATGTATACCCTCGGAGCATGTGTATTAAAAAGTTACGCTTTTGTCGATCATGTGGTTTTCCTACGCGCCTTTGCAATATCACTTCTCTTGAATGTCGCATACCACCTGCAGAACCTGCTGAAATCAAAAAGGCTTTATGCCAACTAAACTGCAGGAAGAGAGGATAGTTTAAGGACAGCCCATCTCAGTCCCTTGAACCACGAGTGGTGGATTAAATTTTCCAGTTTGATCCGAGGGTTGAAGGAAGCTTCGTTAATCTTTTACCACCTCTTTCTAATTTAGGGCAAACATCCAACGTTCAAACACAGACTTCAGGCTTGGGTAAACTTTCCACGCCACCTGGTTATACTGGAGGTCTTATACCACTACCGGCAGGTAAAATGTTGAAAGGCTATAACATCTATTTTTTCAATGTAGGCTCGAAAGCGAACAACGGGTAGCTTCTTCATCTGTGTGTATATCTCAGAATGTGTTTTATTTCAAACTTTAGTCAAATTCTAAGCTCGATTACGTCCCGTTTAATTGAAGATAAAGTTGTAAAAGTATTGTAAATTTTCCATTAAATTGCTCTTTATTCGTTCTAGATTTGAAGATACTCAGCTATCACTTCTACTCCTGATACGCTTGTTGTCACTTAAACCAAAATCACGATCAATTTTACTTTCTCTGTCCTTTGGAACTTCTGTTAACTACCCATAATTTGTTAATAAAGTAACAAAGGTGGTCTTCTCGCCACGAATACAAACTCTTGACTCTACATGTGTCTCTCTACCCCTCCCCTTCTAAGTAACACAAACCCTTGACGTTACATGTTTCTCTCCACCCTTCCCCCTCTAAGTAATGGTCCATAATGTACTATATATAAACACTTAGTTAAATCTATAATTATATTTCAAGCAGTAGGCCTTCTTATGTGAAATTATTTTTCATTGCCAATTTTTTTCTTTTGACAATCCACATCTCAGGAATTCCCAAGTCATGCGCAGAAATCCGCGCATCTGGAATCGGGTCACAGGACGGGGAGTATGTTATTCAAGCACGGCCAGACTGTCACTTGAACATTATTTGTCAGAACATGGACGAACCAAACCCTATAGAGTTCCTAGGTGGTCCGGAACAAAGATACTGGCTTTATTGGCATTATGCAATCCTTATTAGGTTGTCAGCTTATGACAAAGAACACGTGGACAAGAGAGCTTGCCTTGAAAACACCGGTACGTTCAAAGGGAGAAAAGACAGGAAATCTAAATTTCACTTTTACTAAAAATTTTGATCCGGGAAAGAATTAATTATTGTTAACATTCTTTTCTTGCGGCTGTTTCTCAGGCCCGTTTATAAAACTTCTCCTTGGAATGCGCTGTAGTTTTTGTTCATAAGGTTGTTGCTGTTATCATTGTTGTTGCCGTGGGTGACTTTTTCACCACTGTAATGGCTGTTGTTGTAATAGATTCAGTTATGCCCAGCTTCTACGTTTCATTTGGTGTTCATTATGATACAAATGCTGATAAAGGTGTGGCAGATATTTCTGTTTTTTTGGTTCGCTAGTATTTTTGGTTACCTAGTAACTACACCTTTTAAAATTTACCAGTAGCGAGTCCAAATACTAAAGGATGCAATAATTTATTTTTTCTATTAGCGGATGGCCGCACATTTATTCACAAGGTGATGGACGCTGGTGCAAGACAAGGAAACCCCCTTGTTCACTGGAAAACCAACATCAAGCACATGATAAATAACTTCATCGGAAAAATGAAGAAAAAGAGAGAACTGAGAGAAGATATCACTCTGAGCACAAAAGCTATGAAGATTTATAAAAGGTCAGGAATATAAATTAGAGTTGTTAATAAACTAAAGAATGGCTAAAAATTTCTTTCAACAACATGACTCAATGTTCAACTCAGAAAAAAAGATTCATCTTTAAATTTAAGGTAAAGGTAAAAGGGTTGTATGGCTACACTTGACAATTATCGTTCCCTGATACAAAAAGCAAGGCACCATAAGCTCAACCTACTATATTAGAAAATGACCATTATGACACCTTATTCTGCGGTGGTTTGTTCATTCACGAGGATAAAATAATGATCTTCCCTTTTTATTTTTAGATTTGCATCGCAAATGGAAAAAATGGAAAGAGGAAGGAATATAGATATGTAGATTTTATTTTAAAAAAAATGTTAATTTTCGCTCAGCCTTCCCGCAGTCCGTCTAAGAGTAAATCAGACTTGAATTTGCTTTAACCTCATATGTTTCTTTAAACATACCTCATCAATCTTGTACACTTTGCACTTAGAAGTCAATTTGTAGAACTTTTTATTACGTTTTGCAGACTTTCTTCGAAACTTGAGTAAATGAATTTGTGCACATTACATAGAAGCTACGGCCGAGGTTCACCTCGCGAAATTGAATTTGGATTTGCTGTTTACAACGTATCTGCTGTTGGAATGTTTTTACGGCAATGATTAAGTTCCAATCAAATTTATTTAATAACAAAATTTTGAATGAATTTTACCCCTTCTTAAAATCTAATTCCAGCTTTAAAATAGTCCGAGGAATGGCCTTTGCCACTCTGAGGAAACTTAGTGGAGTTATATCTACAAAATCTCACCTGTTCCGAAAATACAAGAACGTCGATCAATTCTAGATGAAAAATATCAAAACAATTAACTCACCAAGTTTCTTTTAATTGCCTACTTAATTGAAATCTACTTAGTTGATTGTTCCTAATGACTTCTTCAAAAAAAAATTAAAGTAGAAAAATGTTGCTAAGAGCTAAGACAAAGACAATTAAAAGATTATTTTGTCTAGAATATAGTCATCCCTTTTTGGGGGGGGGGCGGGGGGGGTTACTCCATCGATGATGTAAATCCACTGGTGGGAATTCAGCAGCCCGCTTGGTTCCACAGCTTACTCCCGTTTCCCTATCATAAATAAGATAACAGTATTACTAATCATCCATTACAAACGGTTCACTGCAGGGCACAAACCTTCCAGTTAATAGTATGAATTTATCGACTGAGTGGGAGAGCGGTTCAGGATAAGATTTGGCCCGCGGTCATCATCGGACGCACAGTCCGAGTGCAGCGAGCTCTGTCTGGCCCCCTCACTCAACCAATGAGCGTTTTGCGTATAATGAGACCGCTGCTGTTTCTCTCATCTCGCGGGCTGTGCGCGAGCCGTAGGGTTCTTCCCGGCCTCGCAGCGACACAGCCTACGGCCTTATAAGGGAATCTTTTCAAATGTTTCAAAACACGTACGGGGCCGTAAGCCTGATCAATAATAACTATCTTTACCCATTCCTTTCATGGGTAGGGACAAACACTTGAAAGAACTGCATCAGGTTTTGTCCTTATCAGTAACATAATTCAGAGATCAACAATGGGGTCCAATGTAACTCAATGTCAGGCAAGTCTCCATACTTAAGCCTAAATTTGTCAAAAGATTATGAATCATTACTCTGTAAAAGCGTTATTGTTACTATGTTTCGAGTTTTAGTCTTTTTTATACTTCGAGCTCCACCAAAATCTAAGATAAATCAGCGGTTACTGTACTCCTAACGTGGAGAGGGTTTTTCCCTTACCCCGTCCTCAACCAAAAATCTTCCTCGTCCCGCTTATTCAAAATGATATTCCAGTTCGTGTGCGTGTCGCAGAGAAGGCCCTGCTGGGAATGAGAACACTCAACATAGCTGGAAACTAAAATTCAGCTATTTTGGGTGTTCTTGCTCCAAACAGGAGTCATGAGCAATAACGAAACATACCAGAAGTCTTATCAATAATTTTTAAACAAGGAATCAATACTTGTTGTTCCAAACGCTTAATCGAGCCTTGACAAAATGACACTTGCCGGCCGGCACTTGGGCACATTTAGTATACAGAATTGAAAGAAAGTAGTAACACCAGAGACAGTATCAGTCTAAGAGATTTAAACCCCCACATGGGTGTTGTTGCTAAGGAAACTCTTCGCAGGTTATTTTTAGATCACCGCCACTTTTGAAAATTCTCTAAGGATCTATAGCTGACTCATCCCGTTTTTGTTTTTTTTGGTTCTTTTCACATTTGTCTTCTCCCTCGATAACGCAAAGTTCAAGCAGAGATAAATATGACATTCTTCCACGTGATTTCCCGCCAGAACCCTTAGTCTAAATATACCTCAGAACTGAGACCACGAGACGGATAACATTAGGAATAAAGGTTATTTGCAGGCTCTTAGGTCAGCACTCTCTTGTTCTAAGTCAGTTTTTAGTTATGTTCATTTTGCCTTTCATGCGTATTCGTGTTTTACCAAAAAGCGGAAATGTTTTTTTTTTTCGGGTTAAGACCGGTCATTGTTTCACAATAAAACTTTCCGTCCCTCCCCCCCCCCTCCCCTCAAGGGCTGAAATATTCTAATGATCCCCTCACTGACCGTCAATTTCCTATAGTCCCCCCTCTATACTCTGTCAGCGATGAATGATCCCCTTCTTCCCCCCAAAACCATTTGATCCCCCCACCCAAAATCTTTCCCGTCCCAGGCGATAAATAATGGTCCTTTTGGGACATAAATAAATGTTAAGAAATATAAGAAAGTTTAGCCTGCAGCATGAAATAAATTTATTCGCTGGGAACTGTCAATATCTAATTCAATGCACTACAGTCAAAGTATTAAGTTTCCAAAACATGACATGGGCATTTTATCTTTTAATTTTTAGATTTAAAGTAATTTGAAGACCAAGTCAATTAACGAAAATGCTGACGTTCTCTCTCTCTCTCTACTCTGACTGAAACTCTGAAGTCCTCAGGCCTTACGGACTTTCGTTTTTTCTGTTTTTTTTTTTAATCTTTTTATTAGTCTTTTGGCGTGTGCTGTTTTAAATGTTGATATTGATATAAAAAAAATTCAAGCCGCACAAGATATCTCTGATGAACTCAAGTCAATACGGATCATATTGTTTAACTAAGAAAAACGAAATGTAAACTGAACATTACTGGCTAAAACGTGTTGAATAAAATGCACGTTCACTTATTGAATTATTATTTAAAATTAAAATGGAAATTTGCCGATATTTTCAAAGACTGATCATGTTTTATGGCTATGGTTCCATTAAACGCCAAACTGAAATGGCCGGGTTTTTTCAAAACCATACACAAAGAGACGATCAAAGAAGCCACCTGCATTTAATTCAAAAAGGAAACATTTTTCGTTTTTTTAAAAGAATATCATCTCATAGCGTAAGCTTTTTAAAGCTAGTTCAGTGGTATCTGGTCCTCTGTACGTGGCGAATCTCAGAGGCTCCCTTTTAACGTTTTCTAGCGAAAAGAAAAATTCTATTAAAACATCTTAAATATATTTAGTTTTTATTGAATCAGCAGTTGTTACCGCCCCACGAAACGTCGCAGAAAAAAAAACCCTAAGAAAAATAATTTTTTTTTTGCGATAAAAGTGCCTTAACATGTATGAAATAACACCCATGTTACCTTGGATAAATACTAACCTTGAAGTTGGCTGCTAGGTGAGCGAGACCAATTCTTAGTCCTGATCCTCAACATCACATACACCTTAGAAATTGGTCTGTTCGTTGTTCAGCGAGTAAGTCTATTTACGGAACTCGCTTTGTGCTTTCAACGAAGAAATTCGGCCAATTAAAAATAAGTAAACACCACTCAAATACTTAAAGCTGCATTCACTCTAGTCGGCTTGTATATCAATGGATTAAACCTTGATAATTAAACGACAATTAATCAGGAATCCGGAAAGAGAGCACTGAAGCGTTCACCTAAATAACACGCCGTTTTAAAAGATTCCCTTGCTATCAAGAGCGTTCGAAAGAGGCTTGTCCCTAAAAATCTTTCCTTTCGACCGCACGGATTGCACTGGAGTGAAAAAGCTTAACAGGAGAGAGTGTTTTAATGGAGTGTTTTTGAAAATCAAATGGACCTTTTATTCCTGTGTATACAAGAGTAGTGCTTTACGCTTTTAGCACTTTCAAGTTGGTAAACAATGGAGTGATGTCCATTTAACATTATACGCTTTTTAAGCTTTTACAATACATTTTCAAGTTAGTACCCTTCCTTTTGCCATTAGAGTTTTCTTGTGCTTAATGCATCTCTTAGCGAAGATGTGAGCTGCTTTTAGTTTTAAGGATAAAGCTTTTAAACTGAAAGTTCGCCTCTTTAGCTGGATGTTTCTGTCGGAAAAGGAATAATGCATTTACAAAAAAATATGGTGATAGGGAAGAATTGAAAAAATAAATAAATAAAGTAAAATAATCAACGAAATTTAAGCAAAAAACCTAAAAGAACCGTATCAGAAACGCGTTTATTTGAGTGAAGATCAACATCTTTTCAAGGCATTATTTCCACTCAACTTATTATTCCCTCTTTTGCTGTGACCCTGAGCGCTTGATGTTCAGATGAAGTAAGAAATAATCCCTTTTTTATCGTAAATTTTCAAGACTACTCTCAAAACATTTTTCACCAAACATGTCACTGGTGTTAAGGTTGCACCTTCCACTGCCAAGGCAAGAAATTGGAAAAATTGAATAAAGCTAATGATAATCTCAGGAAAGGAAATAATGCGAGCAGTAAGATATTGAGACAGAAAAACATTTGTCAGTGATATTTTTTTTCTTCTCCTTCCTCTTGTTTTCAAGGCAGCCTGGATTTTGCACATAACTAAAGTTTTCGGTCTGAGGTTTTAAGCGTGAACAAATAACTATGGTTATAATATACTGCCGAGATGATAAATAAATGAAAAGATGAAAAGCAAATTGAAAAAATTAAGAAATTTGGAATACGAAACCGGTCGCATGCCGAAATTCTGCTACCTGGAAAGGAACGATTTTCTATCCTTCCTTCACCGCGTCAAGTGTAACCTTGGAATAAAACCTTTCGTTTGACTACATTGACGGTAACAAAATGAAAGACTGTAAGTACCACATACGGATCTACGTTTATACCAGGTCAAAGAATTAAAAAAAAAAAAAGCATCACGTAAACAGCTGGCCGTAGAAAACAAAAATAGATATTCTTACCATCTATTTCCAGCCCTTTGTCAGTACACCATACAGATCTAAAAATTGTTGTCCTTACAATATAAACATGTTAATTGTTGATTTTGTCATTTCTTTTTTGTATGTTACTTTTTGTTTGTTTGCTTTGTTTATCTAGTTTTTGCTTTTGAGTTTTTCTACATCTGTACGAATGGATTAATTGGAAAGTGAACTAAACTAGACTTTATTCTTGCCGTTTACCATTGCCAAAAATTTCACCTTTTAACTCGCTAAAAAGAATCGCAAGTTTCAACTGAAGCATGCGTGAATGGAAACAGGTTCTTTTTCGTATGCTTATGCTTGTTACTTCCTTCCCCCCGCCTCCCCTCCCCCCTTCCTCCTATCTTCCAACCTCCAATGCTGTATTTAGCCTTGTAGCTGTGCAACAGCGACTCGGAATAGGGGGAAGTGTCATGATATTTATTATGATCTAATCCAAATGATACTCAATTGAAAGATTAATTGGTACGCAATCGTGACAATTTCCGGTTTAAACAGCTTTTGTTATGCTAAGACATTAACAAAAACCTTTATGACATGTTCTGGACTCGAAGTCTTATAAAGCCCTTCTCAATGACTGTCTAGGGCCGAACTGTAAGACGTCATGCAATTATACTCAGTTTGCAGGTGTTACTGAAGCGGTAATTTCCTTTTTACACAAGAGAGCAAATACCCTGGCTTTTTAGAGGTTTAAAACAAAGGAATATTTGTAGAATGAAACAATTCATGCTACTCACGGAAACTACGGACTATTTTTTTACTATGGTAAAAATCAAAGTTGATCTCATTTGTCAGGTTTTTCGATCCGTTACCACGGGCAGCCAAAGAATTGAGTTCAACCATAAAATTTGTTGGAGCGGTTCTTAAGATAATTACGTTCTCTCGGTTAACTTTTCGTCCCTTGCCTTTTCAGCCCTTTTACAACTTCCTGTCGATGCTGTTGAATTTGCCTTGGTGTTCAGTTCATCTTTCTATGTTTTGCCTCTGCCTACATTACTTTACAACATGAAAGTAAATCTAAGCCGTGCATAAATCTGCAAAGACCATAACGATCACACTAGCACGTTTCATCTCGAAATCAATCGTCTAATTATCATGTATTCTTAGTGAGCATCGTACAAATGCAATGTCGCCGTACTTTGTCGTATAGTGCTGGAAACATGCACTTTCAAAATAAAGTATAATTGTTTGTCTCACGAAGTGAAGTCACTTCAGATGTGTGAAATTCAAATGGAATAATTCGGCTATAGATATCTTCTTTAGTGCATGTTATCAGTGGTGATAAAGTATAAAAAATTAACAGCAAACAGGGTCTTTCTTATTGATAATAAGAAATACGTGCAAAGAAACTTTTTATGATATTAATAGAACTAAGTCAATAACGGGTATAAGGTTTGAGGACAGTAATTACAAGGCTGGTTTTCCGCAGGTTTACGCCGCGCCGAAAAAACAGCAAGAAAATAACAAGCCCCTTAACCGTTGACCTCAGCATTGTGAAAACATCCTGAACATCAAGCAATAGATTAGAAATCACGAATTCTTTGTGAAAATTCTTGGAAAGCCCTATCGAGTAATTGTCGAGGCCGAGGTGTAAGGCGTCATTATGTAATCATGTTTGCAGAAGTCACCGAAAAGGTGATTTCCTTCTTTTCAGCTTGAAGTGAGTGAATAACAAATACCGTTTGAGTTTTCAACGAACTGTTTATCTTAAGCGTTCAAATGTTTAATGAAAAAAGGTTTGTATAGTCGTTGGCGATGAGATACTCTTCATTTTCCAGCTTCTTCACAGAATAAACGGATTCCATTGTGACAGTAAACAACTCAAGGGTCTTCCTTATGGATAATAAGAGATACGTGCAGAAAAACTTTTTACGATAATAGAACTAAGTCAATCACGGGTATAAGGTTTGAGGATAGTAATTAAACGGCTGGTTTTCCCGCAGGTTTACGCCACGCCGAAAAAAGACAGGAAAAAAATAACAAACCCTTTAACCGTTGACGTCAGCCTGTACGTCAAGCAATAGATTAGAAATCGCGAGTTCTTTGCGAAAATGTTTCCACTTCAACGATGATGTAATCATTCCCTCGTCAAATAATCCGAAATTCTGAAACTCGTCGAGTTACTTTCAAGTTACAAGTCTCAGTCCATTAATGAAAAATAAATTTTATCGGTAGTAAGCTTGGGCTCCCCTTTAATTGCAAATTACAAACCCTTCCTTTTCTTAAATTCAATTAGGTGACCAAATTAATGTCTTACGTGAGCTTGGGAATACGAATTACGATAGAACCTCAATCGTTTGATTGACCAAAGAAGATCATTGGGAATGATGATAACATTTCGTTAGTGCGACTCCCACTGATACTCAATTTAAGAGATTAAATTAGTAAGCAATCGTGCCAGTTTCAAAATTGTAGCCTGAGCATAAAAAAATGACACGTTTTGAATGTTGTCGTTAAAGTTGCTTTTTGACATTTTTTCTCTTGCTAATCCCAGACATCAAACAAACAACAAGAACTGCATCTTTTCCCTTCTTTTTAATTTTGCTACATGTAATTCACAAACTTTCAAAGCTCAACTATCAAGGAAGCAATTAAAAATGCAATGTCAAACCAACCCAATTTTTCATAGCAAAACATGGCCTACATATGTACGCTAAGACATCATAATTATACCTCGACTGATTCAGTTGTATTCTTCGCCTTTTTTTGCGTCATGCAAACTAACATACCAACAATAACGATTAATTTCTGATAACTTTAATTTTAATTTTTAATTTTAATATTAATTTTCTCTATTAAAGGAAATTAAAAGTTGCCAAAAGCACTTTTCAGGTGTCCCTCATTACAAATAAGCTGTCTTAACAAAGGGGACGGACTATTCAGTTCTTTCTTGATTAAAAACAATAGTTTTTTAGCAACGTCGAACAAAAATGAAAAAAGACGTTTAACTACCGAAGGAAATTCTCAACCATTATCTATTTGCAAATTATATCCTGAATATGAAATGTAGGCAATAATGTCTAGCTCTTCGTCTGAACCAAGTCCATTCATAGGCTGATATTTGAAATGAAGAACTTGACTCTGTTACCTAGTTTTTGATTGACCTCTTCACGAACTTGGTCGTAAACTTCTTGGTTCAAAACGGAGACTTCTGCAGAAGTTTGCAATGCGATGTCCTCCTTTTTTCTCTCCGTAAAGAAATAGTTGTCTTTTATTTCTGTGGACTGGAAATAGCAACCAAGGAGGAGAACGCTAACTTGCTGGTTCTTGTCAACTGTGCATGTCAATATCTGGAAGTTACCACGGTTGCCCTTAATGCTGTTGGATTCAAAAAGGGCTAAGGCACTTTTCGATTTCTCTATACTCTTGATGGTGTCTTTAAGAGCCTTCTTCTCATCTTCGTCAATTTTTAAGACCTCGCTGAAGATGTCGATGACAACATCCGAGATCTTAAACTTACTGGGAAAGGAAACGTATCTTTCAAACGGTTTGAAACTTTGCGTAACCCACCCGATTTGGGACGCTACTTTCCTATAATATGCGCACCAATCGCTGGGGTCAGTGAAGCGGTTGTACCCCTTGTTTGCCGCCAACTGAGAAAGCAAGGTTGAATTGAGTACGTCCTTCTTCTGTTGTACGTTGATCACGTGCTCGGAACTGAAGCAAACAACACTACCTGCATCGACAAAACCGGCTTCCAAAGCCACGACGGGACCTATTCCTGGAACCGGCGGTGGGAGTGTTGAATAATCTTCAATTTCCATGGTTTTTATAATGTTAGTCAGATCCATTTTGGAGGCAATGAAAGGGAAGTAACCAAATAGTGTACATGTCGTGTTCTACTCAACGGCTCCAACCGGGAAATAACACCGAGAATCGATCGATAATAAGCGGCACGAGCAAGACACATATATGGTGATGAAACTTAGTCATTGGTCAGGTTCCATGACTCAAATAGAGCAGCTTACGTGCTATTTTGGGCTTTACGCCAATAACAAAAGCTTTCGCGGAAGCTTCTGTCTCGAAGACGTCCTGCATATGTAAATAGCGCCAATTTAATTCAAAACTAATCTTTTGTACTCTTGTGAGTTTACATGCACTCTTTTCCTTCTCAAAGAAGCCCGTCAGTCCGTAGGAAAGAGATCATGCGTGGTGCGAGGGCATGAATGACATCTGTCCTTGCAGAACTCAGCGAAGTAAACCACCCGCGACTGACAACTAATTGGAGGAAATTTAGATACTTGAAAAACCGGTGCAGGGTCGCCCCTTTTGTCTGAGGGAACTGAGGGAACCGATGTTCATTAAATGGGGTTTGCAACAGGCAGACCACGAATGCTAACAATATCTGTCCATGACTTCAGCTTGTCTTGAAGGTATAGCATGTGAAAAGGAGATGAGAGAGGAACTCTTTAAAAGAACAATGGAAAGCAAGTTCATTAAACTGTAATCAAGAAAAGTTAAACAATTTTTAGACCAAGCTACTTTCTGAATGTCTAAATACACACCATTTTATTGAAAATGCTTCCCCCAGTAATTGCATGGTATAGGGGCAGTTTTCGCAGTGGTTACGTAGATCAATTACAAACTGAAGTAAGTTACAATTACTGATTATATCGCTAATAAAGTGCAACTTAAATTTGAAGAAAAATAACAGAAAAGCTTAATAATTGATTTCACTTAAAAGAAAATCCGTTGCCTCCACATACTATTAAAACGAACAAAAACGAAGCAAAACAACATAATATCGTTAAGCCTGACCGACTACAATCAGTTGAAAGCAATGTCCAGCTGTTCGCAGCTAAATTTATGAATTTTAATCAGTTTACAATTGCAGATCATCGATAAATTTATGGGCGTGTCTGCCCAACTTGTTCATGACTATTTGGCGAACTTCCCCATACACCGCTTCGTTTAGGGTGAAGACTTGAGTGGCCTTGTGCAAACTTATGTCTCGGGAATCGTAAGAGAAGAAAAAGAAGTCGTCCGACACCTGACTAGCCTTAAAATAGGCACCAATAAAAGCAATGCTCACTTGACCATTCGTAACTGTGCATGGAAGGATCTGGAAACGACCATTTTGCCCTGATGCACTGTTCGTTTTGAACAAAGCTTGGCCGTGTGGCGACTCAGCTAAGCTCTCCAAGGTGTACTTAACGACTGTAAACAGTTGCTCTTCTTCACCAACCAGTGCGCTTAAAAGCTCCAAAGTTACCTGGGATAACTTGAAAGAAGCCTGTTGAGACTTGTATTTGTCGAAGCCCAAGTCTTGCATAATCCAGCCCAGCTGACTCAGTACTTGGCGGTAAAACTTGTACCAGTCTACGAAATCCCCCTCGTCAGGGAACTTCTTGTTTGCCGCCAGCTGAGCCAACAGAGTGGAGTTTTGGACGTCCTCCAACTGTTGACCACTCAGCTTAGAGGTAAAGGAAGCAATGCTACCAGCAACAACTTTGGCAGAGGGCGAATCAAGCATCAGAGACTCGTCGATTTCGAGGGACCTTACAAATTCTACCCGGCTTGACATGGTGATGGTTCATTGACAGTCTGATAATACAAGCGGGAGCTAAAGCCTGGCTTTTAAGAGTTTAAAACAAAAGAAGATATGTAAAGTGAAACATTCCACTACTCGCTGAGATTACAGACTATATATGGTAAAAAGGCGATCCCATTGGTCAGGTTTTTCGATCCTTGACCACTGGCAGCACGTCACACCTAAAAAAAAGGAAGAAAATAACAAATCCCTTGACCTCAGCATCGTGAAGACATCCTGTACTTCAAGCAATACATTGGAAGTCACGAGTTCTTTGTGAAAATTCTTATGAAGCCCTTCTCTCTAATTGTCTAGGCCGAGCTGCAAGGTCATTTAATGATATTTGCAGGAGTCACTGAAGTAGTAATTTCCTTCTTACAACCTGCTTTTTTAGAGGTTCAAAACAAAATAATATTTGTAGAGTTATTTGATATCCAACTGCTCTCGGAGACTACGGACTATATGAGACCGTGAAAGGCAAAACGGACACTAACGGTAATCCGTTCGAACGGGTAAACCGTTAGTTATCCGTTCGTCATCCGTTCGAACGGGTAAACCGTTAGTTATCCGTTCGTCATCCGTTCAAACGCCCAAAAAAAATCCGTTCAAAGCGTTCGACAAACCGTTCGAACGGTTTGCATATCCGTTCGAAATAAATTAGCATCAGTTCGAAGTGTTGCGACATCCGTTCGAACGGTTCTGACGTCCGTTCGAACGATTTCAACATCCGTTCGCCAATTAGAAGTGTCCGTTCGGTCGGAACTGCGGCATCCGTTCGAACGGATTGACGCCCGTTCTGTTCAACCGTTCGAAATGAGAAAATTGCACTCGTCGTTTCTCTACATTTATTCAGTATAGCAATCGAAACGTCGCGATCCACATCCATGTGACTAAATCGTGAGACAAACGATTCACTCAGCTGTCATTTTAAACTACGATGACAAACACCTTTCATGAGATATTCAGTAGTTTCAGACAATAACTAAAAACGTTTCGATGAGAAATTGAAATAGTCTCAATTTTCGATCGTGAGAATGGAATTGACAACAACGTTAAATCAAATGAAAACAATACACAGCAACCTTGCCCATTCCATGATCAAGCCATGCGTTGGAACGCCGTTTTAGCTATTTATATATCAGGCCTACCCTGGGACCTTAAGTCGCCGTAACTTTAGGCGACTTTGGGCGACTTAAGGCGACTTTAGCAAAATTGGCACAAATAATATTGCGACATTAGGCGATTTAAGGCGACTTAAGGCGACTTAAGGTCTCAGGGTAGGCCTATTTATCCTTACGACTAATAAACCAATCGTACAACCAATCGTTGGGATTAATAATATTTTCATCCGTTCGAACGGCTTGCCCGTCCCTTCGAAATGTTTACTCATCCGTTCGAACGGCTAAGCAAACCGTTCGAACGGCTAATCAAATCGTTCAAATAATTTATTCACCCTTTCGAACGGTTACCTGTCCGTTCGAAATTTTTACTCATCCGTTCGAAGGGCTGACCAAACCGTTCAAATAATTTATTTATCCATTCGAACGGTTAGGCAAACCGTTCGAACGCTTCAAGGACCGTTTGTTAACCGTTCGTCATCCGTGCGTTTTTGCCGTTCGAACGGTTTTCCGTCAGTGTCCGTTTTGCCTTTCACGGTCACATATACAGTAATCAAAGAGCTCTGTGAGCAAACTCGTGAATTGACAGATGATTTACATTATTTTTTGGATTATGTTTAATGTTATCTGGTTTAGGGAATTTTGTGGTTGATTGTCATATTTAGAGTACGTGCAGTAGTTCAGTGTTCGCTAATGTAGCAAAGAAACAAAGTAACGTTAGGATAAGAAGGCATTGCGATTGAAATGATCATGCTATTACATTTGACAAGGGCGGATGATGTCATGTGTTTTAAACATCATTTTTGTTTCTGGTTCAAAAGAAAAGGTTGGGAGTAAATATGGGTGAAAAGTGAAATTTGCTGTCTATCATTGGAAAATCAAGGCAATACTGTCTTAATGAAAACATTAATTTTTCCTTCTTTATCAAATGAGACAAACGGGAACGACTTTTGAGTGAAATAACTGAGCCAAGACTGCCACCGTCATTTTGGATTTCCGCCTAGGTAGATTTTGGTCACGTGCAAGGCAACATATAAGCAAGAACAAGATAGTATTTCATTTCAGGCCTATTTATCAATTTTGTGGTATATAACTTTCGCATTTTGTACGTAATATTCATTTTGAATCTTCAGATTGTCTTGAAACTTAAAAGAAAATTGTTCTTTAAAAATTCACTGAAAATAGGTAGCCAAAATTATTTGTTTGAGTGTTATTTGATTTTCGTGTTAACCTGTAATTTCGTCAGTCGCCGGCACCTTTTGTTGCTCCACACAGAAAAAACATACGATACGAAATGTAATAATCGATATTGTCCCCAATCTCACGCCATGACAGAAAAAGCTTTTGAACAACTGTAAACTCCGAGCGCTTCCGAGTAAGTGGTATTTTTAATGAATCTTCGAATTGTTTTCAGGTTCAAGGATTGTAAATTACAATTTTATGAAAAACGAAGGTTGTTCTCTTATTTCAAAGTGAATCTCCGCACGCCTGCCAGTCGCTGGCGCCGCTTGTTGAAACTAAAACGAATAAATATAAACTCTTTTAAGATTATCATTGGCTTCTTTTTCACCCCACCGCTATTCTTAGAAACAAAGGTCGCCATTTCGTTTGCTTATTACTCGCCAAAAACTATCAAATGCACTCAAAAGCCTAAAATCGAGAAAAAGTTTACAGAAATCGACCAATCGAGTGAGCGAGCGAGCGAGTACCATTCTCACATCATATGTACAACTTGCTCTTGCGCATGCGCGCAATTCACGGGTTAAAAAGTCGATCCCATTGGTCAGGTTTCTCGATCCTTGACCATTGGCAGCCATCCAATATGTTCGAACTCTCGGTTAGCTTTTCGTCTCTGCCTTTTCAACTCTTTACCACTTCTTTTCCATGGCGATGAATTTGCCTTGCTGTCAGTTTTGCCTCTGCCTACATCACTTTACAACATAAAAGTAAATATGAGCCATAAATCTGCAAAGGTCATAACGATCACGCCAGCACGTTTCATCCCGAAATCAAGCGTCTCACTATCATGCATTCTTAGTTGTCCTTTTTCGAATAGTGCTGAATATATGCACTCTCAAAATGAAGTACAATTGTGTTGTCTCAAGATGTAAAGTCACTTGGGATATGCGGAGTTCAAATGGAATAATTGGGCTATAGATATCTTGCGCTATGCATGTTATCAGTGGTGATAAGTTATAAACTAATTTACAATATAATTTAATAAATAAACAGCAACATGGAAATTAAGAGAATATTATGTAAAATAAGCTGTAGACTGGACGTAAAAATGCGAAACAATTGAATTTGCGTGTGTATGTATACATTTTCGGCTAACTGACGGCACCGTCGAATCAGTGCATTTTATCCAACTTTAAAACTTGTTTAAATCGCTCTGAATCATTTCACAAAAAATCTTTTGGAGATCGAGGAGAACTACACTGACTTCATCTTGCAAAAGCCAGATTTTCAGTCAATTATTTTCTGTAGCACATGGCTAAATAACGGGTTTCTTTTGACCTATTTTTAAACTAGTCAGAAGTAGGTCGGGTAAATTTCAATTATGTTGTATAAATAAATAGTCAGTAATTGCTCAAATTGTTGTCAAGACATGTTTGATGTTGTTTTTCAAGATTTGATACTTGTCATCAGTTCAGGTTTTTTCATTTTGCTTGGCGACGTTCCGAGATTTGCTTGAAATTTTGAGCTTCAAGAGGCATTTTGGCGGAATTCAGTTATTATCAATTTTCTCGAAAATAAATCGATATTCAGCCAAACGAAGTATGCGGGGGTTTGTTTCTCTCTGAGGCCTATCTAACTTTGAAATATGGGCGAAATTGATTTTTCAGCTCAGTGTTGTCACTTAATGTTCGACAATTGGTAACATTCGCTCTTAAGACGAAATGTATGTAATCATATTAGCAGAAGTCACAGAAGCAGTGATTTCCTTTTCTCAGCTTGAAATGGGTGAATAACAAATACTCAAAAACATGCTTCGGTTTGAGTTTTCAACGAACAGTCCATCTGAAGCATCCAAGTGCTTGATGAGAAAAGGTTTTATAGTCGTTGGCGATAGGATAGTCTTCACTGGTGCTCCAGCTTCTTCACAAAATAAACATAGTCCATTGCGGTAGTAATCAACAAAACAAATCAAGGGTCTTCCTCATTGATAATAAGAGATACGTGCACAAAACTTTTTATGATAATTGTACTAAGTTCACTCAGCTAAATCCACTAATCGGAAAATTGATCCCTCTAACCTCATCAAAAATCACTTATCCTTTGAAAAACTAGGGAGTTTTTTAAATGGAGGAATTTTTAACTTTAGACATTCGGAAATTGTAACGGCTATGATTAATTGGTAACAGCAGGGGCTCCTGGTAACAGGGCTTCGTGTCGTCCAATTCTGTAAGTAATTATACTCATGATCAACAAATCAGACTCCCACTTCGCGGTCGTTCGATTTTGTAAATCATTCGTATTATTACAGACTGAATTGGACTGCACTCAGTCCCTTTACCATCATAAAGTAATGAGTATATGGATGATGTAGAGGAAATGACATGGTCGCGCGTTGATAAGAGTTATAAAATTCATAAATCTCTGACAATCTCGTGCGGAAATCTGGACAATATTCCGGGGATAATCGTTGGGGGATCCTGGACGGGAATAACAGGTGAGAATCCCGATTTAATCCAGAGTGAAGATGTCAGCGGGATGAACGACAGGCGTTTACCCAGCGACCCAAGTACAGTGCGTTTGAGACGTACTGTAAATAGATTTAATTTCTTAGGAGCGGCTTTGTTCGCGTTGCGGGCCTACATTTAATTACTGGAAGTGGCGCCTGGGAATTACTTCCCGTTGGAAACATAACCCCATCCACCATCGCCACAATCGAAAGTTCTTAAGTTGGAGGTCATGCCGCTGTTTTACATTATCTCGATCGCTTCGGTGTTTTACATACTTCCCGCTCAAGGTAGAGTTTTTAACAGGTCACAAAGCCTCGTATTCAACGAAACAGACCAGACAGTTGTGACTTCGATGTTTAAGAATTTTGTTCGAAAATTCAACAAGGCCTACTTGAATGATCCCGAGGAATACATCTGGCGTCTGTCTGTTTTCAAGGTGAGCCTTGTTACCTTTTGCTCTGATGGATTCAAAAGGATATCAATCTTCCGTGGAATATAGTTTCGATTTGTCGAAATGTAATAGAAGTTATCAATGTGAGATCATTCATTCGCAGAGTAATATTGTACTGCGAATGAATTCGATCTCATGAATAACTTCTGTACTCCAAATTTTGTTCGCATCTTTAGCAATAATGCTTCAGGAATGGAAATTAAAGAAGCAACAGATCATGATTTCACAGTGGTAGAATTTTATTTAATGATATGAAGTATTATAACTTACGAGATGAAGAATATATCTTGAGGTGTTATTTCTTGGAAATTTTTTATCGCAAAATTCCTCAATAATTTCTTCTATGCCCATCACGAGGTACATGCTCATCGGAAAGAATGCTTGTTCGTTACGTCGATTACCGACAGATAGTTGTATGATATTTGATGTTTGAAACAGAAACTAATTTCTCCTTTTAGAGACATTTTAACTATGAACAATTACACTGAAAGCCCTTTAGGTTTTCATTTTCCTCGTCAATCACCTGTATCTAGAAGTCATCGGAAAGGTTGCAACATTGTGACTTTAAAGCATCTAGCTAATCAAGATGCTGTTAAGTAGTATGATAGGATTTGAAATCAATACTTCATTAAATTTATTTGAATTGATATTAATCACTTTAAACTTTTAAATGCCTATCATACACTTACATATGTTAAATATCTTCACACTGTAGCAAAGCCTGGTAAGACATGCCAAATTTAATGCAAGAGAGTTGGAATTAAATGGTACTGCTGTGTATGGCATAAATCAGTTTTCTGATTGGACACCAGAAGAATTTAGAGGTGGGTGACTGTTTCCTATTTTCTGAAAAAGGGCTGATTCAATCTCCTGTTTGTATTCAAGCAAATTGGCCCATGCAGCTGAGCTTATCATGCATGGTTTCCATAGCATAAAATGAGTAGGAATATTACTAATTCCCCCAGTATGGGGAATGCTAGTTTATCACAAGGTAATATCCCCCAGCATTTCATTGGGCTTCCCAGACAATTTACTGTAACTCGTTTGTACTTGTACTTGTATATTTGGAGAGAGGTTCTGTGTGAATAATAAAAGAACACAACACAGTGACCAGGTCAGGTCTCGCACCTGGTCTATCAACCCAGAGTCCAACTACACTGATTATTAAGCAACTGCATGTCCCACTTTACCACATTCTGATTGAAGTACAAAATGATCAGAACTTAATTTCTCTTCTCCTTGAATGATTGTATTGACAATTCCCACTTCATGCTGAGCAACTTGTCAGCTCCCTACAAATTTGAGCAATTACCAATGACATCTTGGTAAAGAGAAGCATTGTAATTAGTCCATCATCCTCCTCACCAAAATTAAACTCAATAACCTGGGCCATATTCAACTTTCTGTTGCATGAAATAATACATTAAACTGTTCATACTTTGCTGATGAGTTATTTCGTGGGATGTTACAGCTGTAGCTCTGTGCTGTACTGGCAGCCTTCACACTATATTGACTGCTGTTCCTGGTTAATTTATATCAGTTATCTTCAAATATCTTAGTTAGAGCCGATATCTCTATTAGAAGGGGTTAAATATCTTGCCTTGAAATAAGGAAGAAGAGAAAAGAAAAGAACAAAATATTGTTGATCCTAAGTGACTTTTTTTTCTGTTCCTCTATAGCTGGGTTGGTGTGTTGGTCCATAGATTCTTTGTTGTCGAAAGAAAAACAGATGAGAACTTCGGTGTTGTTTATTCCTTTTTATAGAATTTCTCAAAAGAGGGGTACAAGAAGATCATGTCTCATTTACCAAGAATGCCATGACACCTTCTGGCTGTTGTACACCAAAACTGAATTCTTCAAACACACCACCTAATCGTGACTGGTAAGTATGCAGAAAAAAGATCTTGTAGGTCAGAACTGGGAAAAAACGGGGTGAACATCCTAATCTGGATTTGCTAAGTCAAAAATTGGTCTTGAGGAAATTCATGAGTACACTTTTGTGGATAAACAAAATGATAAATAAATAAAACTATTCAACAAGCTCCACTTGTTGGAAGACTGGATAATACTATCCACTGGATCTCTGTCCGTTGGATAGTGTAGCATTTTTTATTACCATTTTCATGCCAATAAATATATTGTTTATTCTTCATTTATTTATAAATATGTTATTTATAACTTTGTTTGTTTCTGTAAGCAACATCATGATGATTTTTTTCTTCAGGAGAAAAGATGGAAAAGTGTCAGCTGTGAAGAATCAAGGAAAGGTGCTATATACTGTTAATTTTTCACATCAAATTATGAAGTCTTGATCAAAATTCAATATACTTTTTACAATAATTGTAATCATCATAACAGTTTCAGAAATTTTACTCTTTAGAATCTTGAGAAAACATAAATATAGCTTCAAAAGAGTATTTGTGCAATAATTTATGTTTAATATACATGCACTGCAGTATCTTCAGTATTTTTGACAGATTTGTGAAACTAGGTTAAAACAAAATCTTAAAAGAATACAGTTACATTATTTTCAGATTAATTTTATATTTATGATACCTCATCGTCAATGAATGTGATTGGCGTCATTCAATCCTTTTTGTTTCATTCAGTCTATGCTTAAAAAGTCTGTAACTGATAAATTGTGATGACAGCTGTATTGCACATTTTATTATCAAATTCTTGTATTCAGATGTCATGATCATTTGTTCAAATTTCCAATTATATCATTATAATGTTATTGATAATAATAATATTATTTATAGGAAAAGTGTTAAGATGGCCAAAATCAATGATTTGGTGATAAATAAATTATTTCTCCTAATGACAGTTTTCTCTTTTTCATGCCCTGTTTTTTACATTAACTGAATGGGAACAGTGTGGAAGTTGTTGGTGAGTAAAACTTTTTTCCAAAAAAATGTGACTAACAGCCACATGTAAGGAGGAACTGAATGAAGCAAACATTACTTTTTCACTTTGGATTATTTTTTTTTTATTTGTTAAGTCTTTAATTTTGCGCGTGTTTTTTAATATTTTAAAAGGTTTTTTTTATCTTGTTTTTCCAGGGCTTTCACCGCAACTGAATGTGTAGAGAGCCAATGGGCAATTCATAATGAACACCAGACTATAAAAGACCTCAGTGTCCAGGAACTGATTTCATGTTCTCCTTCTCAAGGATGTTCAGGTGGAAATACCCTTTCAGCTCTTGAATGGTTACAAACAAAGGTAAGTGGTGACAATGAGGACATTAACCCCTTACACCCTAACATCAGTATGCTTATGCTATAAATATATTTTTATATATTTGTTATGGTATTTACAAGAAGAATTTGTTTGACAGTCAAGAGCCGTTTTAGTTAGTGATCATTTCCTTTATTCTCATGACCATAATGTCTGATTCAACAGAGACACTGTGAGGAGAAATAAGATGTCAATCACTCGTAAGGGTTAAAGGGTCAAAGTAAATAGCTATGGGGGATGCAGTAGGCTGACTTACATGTATTACTGGTTAGCACCCACGACTCTAGGTGAAAAGGTCTGGACAATCCTGGCTCAGGTCATGGTAAGGTGTTTTGGGGCAAGACACTTGAGCGTGAACAGTGCCTCTTTCCATCAAGGAGCAGAATAGGGAGAGGGAATGACTGAACCTGGAATAGATTACCACACCATCCAGAATGGATAATAATACTCCTGACCAGAGTACTTATAATACTTTAACTTACAGCATCAGCTTGTTTGCCTGAGCTTTTTGACTTTTTCTTATATTGCATACAGTACATTAGCATGAAATGTGGATATTATAATCATGGTTAACCCTTTAACTCCCACAAGTGACCAAGACAGAATTTCTCCTTACAATATCAATACAATATCAAGCATACAACTGATGAGAATAAAGAAAAATGTCAATTAGGGGATTATAAGTTGATCCAATACCAAATTCTCCAAACTAGCATCACAATAACTGTATCGCAGACAGTAAGGAGAATTACTAATGAGATCTTGGGAGTTAAAGGGTTAATATGGATGTGAATGACCTGCTGATAAAGCTCTAGTCACCCACATGGTTTATGTTTGTAACTATCTTTCCTTTCAGAATTACACACTTGCTCCAGCTAGTGAATTCCCATATGTGGATAAAGAAACAACTTGTAGAGATGATCTTTTGTAAGTACTTTTGCTGCTGAAAACTTTGGTTTTTTTTAGTACACATTGGCTGAAGTCTCCAATTATGAGCAAGGAAGAAAATCAAGACTCACTAGTCTCAGGTCCTGTGTCAGCTTGTAATAAAATTTACAACTCATAAGTCATCCCTCACACCTTGTATCAGTGCCATATTGATTGATGTTTTTTAGTTGCTTGGTTATTTTGGATGGAGAAGTTTTTCGAGTGGTAGAATCACGGAATGAAGTGAAGCAGAATTTCTCTCAGAAAAAGGGGTAGTCAGAATTTTCGGCCTAGATAGTGTATCAAGTGTCAAGATGTTCAAGCATCAGAACTGAATTTGTAATAAGTATCTTTTGATGCTCATTTTATGCAGGACTGAAAAGGGAGTGAGGATAAAATGCGGATGTGCGGTGCAGATGTGAGTTATAATACTTGTGAGTTTTTTTAACCGTAAATTTTGTTTCAATAAACATCTTGCACTTTGAAAATCAGGTAAAAGCAGCTGGTCCAATATTTTGGATCTATACCAAAGATCGAGCTTCTCAGTAAATAACTATTTATAACAGTATCATTATTAGTTGATTTACAAATTTACGCGGGAAGATTTTCGACGAGTCGGAGAGAGGTTTGCGGGGGTCTAGCCCTAATAATGATTAGTGTCAGACCCCTTGCAGACCTCTCGCGTTGCTTGAGGCCTCATACTTTACTGCAGACAAAGAAACGCTCGTGCCACCGCAGCGCTGATAATGAGGGCTTTCTCGCAAGCTAAGAATAGCCGCTGCCATTTATGCATATTTCAGAGCTTTTATTCTGACCTCAATTTTGCCATTAACAATCCTAGCTTCCCTCATATTATATGGTTCCAATCACGTTGAGACAGATTTTGCCTGTCGCCACAAACGCCTCAAAATTTCTGATTGAGTGCCCTCAAGTATGATCTAGCCTTTTCACATGAATTTCTCTTATATTTTCAGAAAAGAAGAGAACACTAGAATGAAGGACCTTGTTGGTCAACATGGTCCGCTTGCTGTGAATGTGGACGCGACCATGTGGCACGATTATTTTGGTTAGTGCTGTGTATAAAAGGTTTTCGTGCAATTAAGAAAGGTTTGAATTGGAGGAGAATCGTCTTACTCTGTGTTTTACAACAGTTTGGCCTCTAAAACGACTTTTTAAATCTGTTTGTCACAAGCATGCGAGTAAGAAAAGATCAAGGGAAAGGTTACTGTAATAAGTCTGATCAAACTGCCACATCGGCCAGCAGGTGGCCTTTACTTATCGGCTACTTTCAGCCGACAGTTGGTCGGTTGCTTAACGTTTCGTTGTTTGTTTAATTTCGTAGGTGGGATTATACAGTATCACTGCACAGACACAGACATCAATCACGCGGTGCAAATCGTAGGATATGATTTTAACGGTGCGCTGTCTGTTTTTTATACAAAGTATTAAAATTAAGTCAGTTAGACGTTATGAGCCAGTGAAACACAACAATAAAGTTGGTAAAGGATGAAAATAGTCAACCAAGCGAGATTTCTTGAGGGAGTTGGCACGCTAATATTTGGACTACGAGCAGTCTCTCCTATTCGACGAAGTCTGTCACGCGAGTCAAAAAAAAATCAGTGAGCTCGTAGAGTGAGGCACTCGCTCAAAAAGTAAGAGTTGTGAGCGCCTCTCTCCAATTTTTTCTCACTGATTATTTCTGACTCGAGCGACGGACCTCGCAGAAAATGAGAGACTGCGCGTAGTCTAGCTAATACGAAGCCACCATATTTCATGGTATTTTTGAGAGGTTTATGTAAGATCTTGACCGCTACTTCACGGTGGACACTGCATTATCTCGATTGGCGCAACTAAGACTTAAGGATGTTGTGTTTTCACAGTTTGATCTTCTTCCGGATATCTCATAAAATATTGGTCAACCTCTCAGTTTATGGTCAACCAATATTGTCCCAAGCCGCGCGGGGACATTTAGTTAAGAGACAACGCCAGAGAGAATATGTTAAGATTAGTTTTCCTTGACAAAAATGGGAACGTCTGGATTATGGTTAAGCAGATAATTTTTGAAACATGTTGCTTGCTATCCCTCTTAATTTTCTCAAGTTCTGGACTCTTACAAAAGCGTCAAAGCTTTAGTATTCCGATTCGGGCAAAGTTGGAACTGTTCCTCTACTTAACACTGATTACTCGTTTCCTTCCCAATTTTAGGCCATATTTGGTATTGGATCGTCAGAAATTCCTGGGGAAAAGACTATGGCGAACAAGGATATTTGAGAATCAAAATGGGCGATAACTTGTGTGGTGAGTTCTGTTAAGCTCGTAACCGAGTACTATTGCAACAACAGCTTAAACTATTCGATGTAGTCGTGTTCATTAAAGTCGTAAAGAACACAGGACATTGAGCACAACGTTCTTAATGCAGCATGAGAGCAGTCACACTAAGAAACGTTATATCCAAAGGCCGGGGGAGGTCGAAGAATGCATGGACCTTCCCCCTCCTTTCCGTATGCAGTTGATGTATCATAGAATAGGACATCCTGGTGTCCTCCAAAATCCAGTTAGAAGCTGGTGTGCTCTCTGCGACCCCCCCTCCTCCCCAATCTCTGCTAGAAAATCTCGTCTGTCGCCGCTCCGCAACTTTGAAGGAGTAGAAATTTTTCTCGGTTACTAAATTGACTTTAACGAACAAAATGGTATTAAAATTATAATAATAAATAGCTTCATTTAAAGAAAAAAATTACTCGTGTTACTTTCTTGTTGATTTCACGTCCTTTTGTATTTCAGGTGTAGCTGACACGCCGTCCTTTGTAGTAATCTAAATCCAAAACAGACAATAGAAACTACCATAACCCTTGACTTCCACGCAACTTTTTCCAGCGCCTAGAATCAAGGGTTGTGTTTGGAACAAAGACGAACACGCCCCACATGCCCCAATAGATAATTTGTAAATTGTAAATAATGAAAAGTTGTCGTCACATAAGAGAGCTCTCAAAGTTCCCATAGTAGGTACAAAGTCTTAAGCAAAATTATTTGTATTGAAACATTTTTGCGTAGATATTTGGAATTTTTATCAAAACTGACTATAAATGGAAAATCTCCTGTGAGGCTTTTTAAAGTTTTCTAAACTGTGTAAAAAATATTTCAAGAAATGATTTTATGATTTTATGTCATCATTTTTAAATTAAAACGATTTTCCGCAAAGTGGTCCTTTTGTATTATTTTTGGCATAGTTGTTTTCGAAACCTTAACCATTAACTCCGAGAAGTGATTACCGGTAAATTGCAACTTGTGACAGCCTTCACTGTGGTGTTTGAGTAGAGTAAAGAAGGAAGACTGCCGAGAAAATACGTGTTGCTTTGATCATGAGATAATCAGCCATAACCAGTTTTACCAGAATGTATCCCAGCCAGGTATCTTGTTTTGCGGTCAAGAGAAAGGACGAAATGTAAAATGGTGTGTTGCTGTTTCCCTGACAACCGACCTTCTTCGCTTGTTTGCTTTTGCGCGCGTCACCGATGACAAAAAAAGCTTGGTACAAGCTGCTGCAGAGGCAGCCTGGTTTCTAGGGTCTCTCTTCACAACTCTTGGAGCGAAAGAGAATGTCCGCCCCAATCCCCCCTCCCTCGCCACCGCTACGTCGCGGAGTTAAATGTTCCGTGGCCAGAGAGCTTAGGCCCAGTTTTACAAAGTCCAATGGTTTAGCGCAAACAAAACGCACAAGGGATAGAGATTTATCTGGTGGGTTTTGTAATTTACCCTTTGATCAACCTGGGAATGAGTGCCAGTCAATCGCAAATAAACTCTGCCCCACTCTCTTCACCTTTCCAATATAAAAGTAACATTGAGAACAATTACCAAGAGAATAACATCAACATATCGAATTTATATCAACGATAAAGTGAAAAATTTGTCCTGAAAAGAGTATCTTTATTAAAGCGCATTTTATTAAATATTACGAAATACACCTGAAATATTACATGCCTTATCAACAATATTTTCCATCAGAATAGCATTGTCATTAAATATAAAAACGAGTTACAAATGGTATCTTTGCTTTATCGTTTCCGTTGCAAATATCAAAAAAAGCACTTAAAAACGGGGATAGAAAATTTCTTGGCTGTCTTAGCTAAAGCATATTTATTTTTATGTATATATGTAATTTACTTTTGAATATGGGAAGCCAATTCAGAAAAATGTTGCGGTCAAATTAAATACAACTAATTCCACAATGCCGTGACTACAACTTCAAACCTAACAAACTATATACTGTTGTATTTACAAATATATCGAAATAGTAGGATTCCGATTTCAAACAACTAAATTCTGCTCCTGCAGCTCTTCATGAGCCGTTTCAAAATTTTATCCTAATAAAATTATACGTATTCGGTCAAATAAACCTTTTTTTTCCAGGAAGGGAAAAAGCGAAAAACATTTTGTCAATGAAAATCGAGTCGCGGAAGTTATACAAAATTAAGTTCCTGGAACACATATTTTCGAAATGACTACTATATGAAATACTCTCTCGTTGGAAGAATCCCAAAAATCATTTTGAATGGGTAACACTTCAGACTAATTGCTACTTGCCACTTCGTCTCCTTCGGTGTCGACAGTTGGTGCACCTGTAATGCCCGCGTTCTTGACAAGGGAGGAAAGGGCTGACACCTGATCATCTTCACTGCTGTCGCTAAAGTGAGCACTGTCACTGTCGTGCAGCCGACCTCCAACCAGCGCAGTGCGCAGGCGCGCCTTCATGGAGGAGCTTAGTGGCGGAATTTGATCACGTGGTATCAGGAAATTGGACAAGTTAAACAAGTCAACGAAAACCTTGTAACGATCACTGGAAAGGAAAAGAATAAGTTATTTCAAGGTAAAACTGAATTATTCGAGGAAAAATTAAAAAAAAAAATAAATGAGCACCAAAGACTGAAATCGTCGTCTGTGTAGACCAACCTGACCGTGGACCTGAGGTACTGGTATCCAGACGTTCCGCCAGTCCCCATTTTACTGCCAATCATCCGCTGAACCATCATCAAGTGATTGTCTGTAAAGCAAAACGAATAGGTCTGCTAAGCGTGCACACAGTCGGAACCTGTTAACTCAAGTTTGCAACGCTCCACTGTGATTAGCGTCTCTAACTAACATTCGGAATGGGCAACACAAACCCAATTATCGAGTCAAAAGGTGATTCTATCATGAACCAATCTCCGGTGACTATTCAGAGATTTAAATAATATTCTGCAGCCAATTTGAAATGGATGCCTCCAACGTTATTTTAACTACCGGACTAAACGATTGTGAACTAGACTTACATCGCCATTTGATTAAATTTGAGTCGATGTCCATCAGCAGTTGAAGAATTTGAAAAGGTTGGTTAAATCGAGGTTCGTCCCTGGAGAAACAGACGTATAAGAACAACTTGTTAAATTTTATAGAAGTTAGGCTTTGAAAACGAGATGGCTGCAAAAAGAACAAAAAAAAATTGAAGGCAATCCTAACCAAATCCCTTAGAGTTTTGCTGAATAAACTGAGCTATTATCCAAGTATTACCCATGCTTCGAATGATGGGATCTTAAAAAAAAGGATTTCTAGTAAGATGAAAGAGAAAGGCAAAGCAAGACCTGACCGGGAGAATTGCCGCCCCGAAAATTTAACCTGGTTTTATATTCCATATAAGCCTTTGTGCGGTATATGATCTACTTGGCACCTTCCCCCCCCCCTCCCCCCCTGCCTCGACCCTCCATACTCTTGAAAGTTGGGGAACACCATCTGTCTAAAGAACCGGGTGCGGCTAATTCATTAGCCATCGTGCCAATGAAACTAAACGAATGAAGCAGGATAAAGCATTTAAATTCTCACCGATAAAAGTAAATCATCAATGCCCCCTGCATGGCTTTATGGGAAAACCTTCTTTCGCCTGTAACAAAGCAAGAAAATTGATCGGTCCTCATACACTTGAATATTTTATAATACCACTGATGTCATACCGTCACACCATTCTCTAAATGTTCAAGTTACGCGAATGGTTATTCATTCAACAACGCTGCAGCCTGAATTTTTTATTTTTACTCAACGAGACGTTTGGTGCCGTCGCTTGCAACTGAACTTAAAGGTCGACTAATACAAAACTGGTGAAAACAAAAAGGCCCCCCCCAAAAAAGGGGTAAGTTTCTAAAGAAGCTGTGGTGCTGCGTCGGTGGAAGAGTATCACAGGGTAATTCAGTTTTGTCAATTGAGTTGATAACGTAAATTGTCCTCCTTATAGAGTTACAAAGCTGACCTATCAAGCGTTAGCCCTTCGTCGGAGCGAATCAAATATGCTCAATGCTAAATTACCCTCTGGTAAAAGCCACTCACCAAAGGATGGTTACGTTGAGATTCGAGTGGTAAAAACTCGCCCTCATCTGCTTCATCTAAACCCAGTTTGTTCCTAATAAAATTTATCTTCTATATTTTGGTATTCCACTCCCCAGCCAAGTTATTATTTCTAATTAGTATCTCTCTACTGAAAGGCTGTTTTCTGGGTCTTATGAGAGGATAACAAGGCCGAGGAGCTTAATAACAGTTTACCTCGAGCCACAAGTTGGTTATGCCTCTCCTCACTAAAGATTGTTTCAAAATGATCCTGTTGACAAAACGTTTGATACAAACATGTGATTACTTTTCACTACCTTAAACCAAAGGAAACATAACTACGTTTTAGTTGATTAAGAGGCGTATTTGCGAAACCTAACGACGAATGACCTCAAGGTTACATATGAGAGAACAAAAAATCGCATGGCCTACCTCTTGCTTTTTGATCTCTTTGAACAAAACCGCTCGCACCTCTTCGTCTTCTTCAGCCTGTAAAATGCATGCCACAAATTGTTTGAAAAATTTCGAAAAAGAAGCAGATGCAGCTGTGTTTATCGTATTGAGCTTAGACAAAAGATTCTCAGCCTTTCCGCATCGTTTTCTGCAAGTTTCCGTGTTCCCCGTGTACTCAAAACGAAGTTTTGTGAAGGAGAACATAAGAAGACTTGTCGGTTTTCGCGCAAATCTGCCGAAACAGCTATGACGGTAATTTAAAACATCTAAAGGACAAACAAACCTCAGCCTCGGCCTTCTGAGTTTCAAGCATTGTTTGAACACTTGTCTTGTATTTCCTCCAGAAATCAAAGCCATCCTCTTCCAGGCCAGGAGTCCTCTCCAACCAACACTGAAGGTAAGAAAAAATAAATCCATGTTGCAAGACTCTGATTTGTAAACAAAATCGCAAACAGTCTCAAAGAACCAAAAAGTCATCTTGTCTTCAGGAACAGTTTTGGGAAGATTCGAGAGTTTTATCATCATATTCTTTTATTTGCCTTATTTACATAATACAAAAAATTTTATTTACAGCGGTTATAGCTAGAAGGCGAGGAGACCCAGGAAGCCACCGGGCTTATGGGAGAGCCACCTCACTTACATTAATAAATAAAGTAAAGAAAAAGTGCTGCGAATGTGCGGCTAGGCCAATTCAAGGATTATTTAAGTAAAAACTCTTGCATTTTCGTCTTAAAACTAAGAAGGTTTGACGAACGAGTGACTGAAACAGGAAGAGAGTTCCAAATTTTAGGACCTTGGTAAAGAATTGTAAATTGCTTGAGATTTGTACGGCACAAATTAGTTCGATAATTACTAGCTGTTCTGGTACCATAGTTGTGAATTTGGCTATTCGTTACAAAAAGATTGAGAAGCAATGGAGGCAATAAGTTATTTCTATAATAAAACATGAATTTGGCGATTTCAAACGTATTGACTTGGAAAATATCTAAAATTCCTAGTTGGAGAATAAAGGAGCGGAATGGGCTCGATAGTCTGAGTTGGTGATAGCCCGCACAGCTCGCTTTTACAGGTAGTAAATTCTATTTAAGTTAGATACGTATGTGGACGACCAGGCACAGGCTTTATGAAAGCTTTCAGCCACTGGAAGAACTAAAAAATTACGGAGTGAAAACTTGTCCGCTTTTTCACATCACAAAATGACAGGTCGGTTTGTTAACAAAACCCACCTGGACGAGTTCTAGCAGTGAAGCCGTGCTTTCAGATTCTTCAAGCTGCTTCCCATCTTGCGAATCGAATGCCTTACTGAAATTTAAATTTAAAGAATAAACCACAACAAAGAACAAAATGCAGCAAAAGGAGTAGCAAATAATACATTCGAACAAGAAATAAATATTTTGTGTAGCCAACAAAGAATTGGCGCCTTCAACGAAAAAGTAATAACGATTACGTTCATTCCTATTCGGTGGAAGGGGGTATACGTATAATTTTTAAGTTTAAGAGCAAATGGAAGGGTAAGGATTTTAAGAGCTAACTCTTTACGCCCTACTATCAGTATGCATATTCTCCATACTGTTCATAATTCATTTCTTAAGGTGCTGACAATGAGAATTTGTTTAACAATCAAGACCTTTTTTCGTTGGTGATCATTTCCTTTATTCCTGTGAATAATCAGGATATAATCAGGGGAGATATTGCAAGAAGAAATTAGATGTTTATCACTCTTAGAGGTGAAAGGGTCAAGGCATAGAAAGGATGAGGAAAACTTCCACTAACAAATTTACAACCGTTAAAAAGGCTGATTTGATTTAGGCGGTTACTAAAGAGAAAAGTGTTCACAAATTTTTATACAAATACCATTCATTTGACGTCCCTTGCCATAAGAATTTTTTTTCTAGTAAATTTAATGTTATACCTCAGGAACAAGTGGTATGTGAAATCTGGGGAGAGGGATTCTTCGCACAAAATTTACTTGAGTACACCGCAGAGTTTGCACGATGTCATGATGGATTTCATATCATAAGTTCAGGTGCTTGAGTCTTCCAGGAAAAGCATAGGAATAGCTCAGAAAGCTGGAGTTCGCTAAGATAGGGTAATGCCATAATCATGAAAGACTACGAAGGAAGCTTTCATGGGTTCAAACAAAGGTGCATTGAACTAAGACACAATTAAAATTTCATTCCCACGCACCTGTAATCCTGGTAATTGTAGCGGATTCTGTGAGTCTGTTTACGAAAAGAAAACCAAAACAACAACATAAACAAAAGTTATAGATTTTATTAATTCCTTTATCCCCACGGCATGGCAATAGCGCTCTTTCAGCTATGATCAAGTCCTTGCCACTGTACGTCTGGACACTTAAGATTCTTTATCTCGATTATTTATTGGGTTCCTTTCCAAAATTTTCATAAACAAGGCCAGAGTAATTCTTACTTCACCCTGAAGAAAACTCAGAGTCTTTCTGTTCTCAAGTGTACTGCCGTGGGGTATGTTCAAAATTTGTTAACTCTTTAACCCCTAAGAATGACTAATATCTAAATTCTCCTTACAACATCCCCCCTGAATCAAACATTAAGGTCATGAGAATAAAGGAGATGATCACCAACTAAAGAGGCTCTTGATTGTTGAACAAATTCTCCTTTTCAGAACCCTGGGAAATGTCAAGGGATTACTATGGAGAATATGCATACTGATCATACATACCTTGTTAATGCCAAGTTTATTCTCAATCAACCTGAACTGGAGACTCTGAAATCCTGACGCGGGTGCTAAGTAATCTCTAGAGGCCAGAAAAGTAAAAGAAAAAAAAGAAAAGAAAAGATTTATCCATCTTCAAACGAGACACCTTTCATCATCCTGTTATTTCCCGTTCAACACTTTCAAATGTTAAAGTTTGCAATTAGATTTGTAAAACAAATGAAGTACATTCAGAAGATGTTCCGTTCCAGTTCTTCAGAAATAAACCAAAAGGATCTAAAATCTTCAATTCCAACTAAGAAATATGAAATTTTTAACCCTGAGAAAGAAAGAAGTCCGTTACGGCTTGAAAGATCAGAGTTCGCCAGAAAACTGTACTTGATCGACAGGGATGTTGGTTAGTGACTGACCTGAATTCCATAAAATCCAATGGAGTCATGGTCTCTAAGATCATGATCTGATCACGTAACAGCTAAAAAATAATACATATAAACGGAAAATCAACCAAGCTGATTACAAGTATCTAAATTTCACTTCATCATGCATTATTATAGGGAGCATAAGCTAGTTTTTGAAAATCGAAGATCTTTACATGTCTTCTAATGAAAATAACGCAGAAATTCCCTCATCGATGAAAAGACTACCAACCCATCTTTTATCGATAATTATGCAGGGTGGATTGAAATTCATTCGGGTCAAAACAAACAGGCAAGTAAAAACATTTTCAGTTCTGGACAAGAATTAATTCAATGACTCACTTTTTGAATCTGTACAATGCGACCCAGTCTTGAGATTAAAACAAGCATCTTTCTTTCATCAGTGCCCTGGGAAAATACCAAGCATTATCGGAGTTATAAAAAAGGTAATTTCTTACAAACTTTAAGTTAAAGCACCGACTTCGTGTACTCCACCGGATTGTCCTCCTTTGCGTAGAAACAAACTGAACGCGGGGTGTCACAAGATACAGGTAAATGAAGTCAATTTTCAATCACACTCGTGATTAGAGTAACAAAGACGCTAGCAGGATATCAAACAAGTAGTTAAGTATACCCCGTGTACCTACCCTGCTTTCTCTCACACTCCTGTCTCTTGCTCTTTATTACAAGAGATTCCAAATCAATGATAAATTAATATCTGCATTTTTCCATTACTTTCAGCAGCCCCCTGTCCCTCCCCCCCCTCCCTAGCGCTAAGCAGATTCAAACCTTCAGACTTCCATTGCTGCAGTGCAAGTCACTTAGATAAAGAATGAATTACCCTCTTGCTTAGCTTGCGTGGCGGGTGCTCCATCTGAGAGGCGCGCGGGTGATTTAGTAGAAACTTGCGCTAAAGGATAAGAAAATTCCCTCCATGCGCTTCTCTGCACTCTCAAGCCCGAACTCCTAACGCAAATCCGTCCATCCATTCGTTACATACGTAAACATGACTGTACAAACACAAATGAATGCTAAACTTAACAACTAGAAAACTGAAATAAACCTACCAATTCCTCAAAGGTAAAAATGTCCCTGATGGAGTCCAACTCATGAATAATCTGCTTGAACCATAGTTCATAAGCTAAAGGAAAAATAGGTACCAATAATTAATCAATTTAAGCTCATTTTCAAAATACTTTTCAACGATTACTGTGCGATAGGCTGTTTCACTGAGACATCATTATCCAATGGTAGATCCAGAGGGATGATCGGGGTCTGGACTCCACTCCTAAATTCAGTCCCGTGGGTTTTTTTTCCAAACTTGCATGACATCAAAATTCATGCAACAGCAAGATCGCTTATGATTTCTCAACAAGTCGAGGGGGTAATAACCGAGCTGAAAAAAATTCTGTGTTTTCTAAACCAAAGTCTGGACCCCTCCCCCCCGCCTCCATCAAAAATTCCTGACACCACCTCTGCTATCCGTTAGATCAGATCTCATTCTGTCCACCCTTGAGCTTCCATAGAAAGAGCCACGGAGCCCTGGGTAAAAAAGCTTGTGTAGACGTACCTTGATGAACCACAATAAAAAGGAGCTCATCATGGACGGTTGCATCACCAAACTTAGTGCTTGCTGGCTTCTGGCATTCAAGGAGAGTGTTAAGCTAAAAAACAAAATAATGCATAGAGAGGAAACTTTTAAAACAACGGTAACATTCGCCGCCGTAGTTTACTGAAAAATGGCATCCGAAATATAACGTTACCAATATTCAACATGCAAATGAACAACACCTTACACGTGCTAATAAATTTCGATTAAGCGCGTTTTGGAGGAGCGTTTGGGAAATTTACAAGAAAGTGCGCGCTTTAATTCTAACGCGTTTTCTGCGCGTCTATTTGACTGCTTGTCTCTGAGTGATACAGCGTGACGATCTTGCTTGCCACGGAAGGAAACCTCTCACTTTACAAATAAAGTTTCTCCTGATAGTTTCATAGGTGTGAAAAATACCATCTGTCCTATTATTGGATTTCCTATAAATTTTTGTTCTCCACTCCAAAGGAAAATTTCATTTCCTGTGATGAAACAATGGCTTGCTACATATTTGGTCTCCATATGCCTAATGAGGAACTGTGAGAGGAAGATAATAAACAAAAGTTTTAATCCCTTTATTGAAGAACTGTGCAATAGTCATTAGCTCGCCTATTCCCCTGAGAATATTGCTATGTCAACAAATTAAGGATCGAAAGTTGATAATTTATTCATAACGTTTCTAAGGCTGTCGGATTTGTTGACTGGTGCATTATTAAGAGTCAATTACTTTGTGTGTTTAAGAAGTCTGCTGACAGCAACACTGAAGTCATCAATATCTAAACGAAAGCAAGCTACCAAGATTCCCTTTAAAGTTGAAACCTTAGCAAGAGACAGATCTGTCCAAGCTGGTCTTTATAAAGGATATTTAGGAATGAACAATTGTAAGTTCAGTGACAGAGAGAAGATAATGGACCTACATGTATGGTTGTTGTATTGAGTGTTCCAGACAAAAGAAGCAAACAGAAAACCTACCCACTGCCAGGTTCAAGTTTCCTTTACCATAATTCTCAAGACAAATTCCACAGAGCTCAGTCAGGAAATAATCCCTATCTAGTGCTAATGCCACATATGTAATTATACAGAAAATGAAGAATCAAACTTTGATACTTGTCAAAGAGCTTAAGAAAAAACCATGAGGAACAGTTTACCAAGATCTGAACTTGACAAATATACAACTGGTGGTAAAGATCCAAACTATATAGTAAGATCATGGGCATCCAAACTTGGTACAGTCACACAGGGGCACAAGCTCCCCAAATACACCTATCGCAGCAAATGGCTTCAGACACTCAATCAGGTGGAACTCATGCAAAATGTTGAAGTGCAACAGACACTTAGAAATGTGATGAGCATACTGAAAGCTGGGGATGAAAGCATGCAAGATTCTGATAGTGCTTATGAATTTGCAGAAAAGAGGAGGATTGAGAAATGCCATGAGACTGTATGCAAGATTAGAAGTTACAGTAAAACAAGTGAAAAATTGTCAAAACTAGAAGTTGAGGATATAAACAAAAATGGCCCACAATCTAAAACTCTGTCAGAAAACAGAGCCAAAACAATTAGAAAGAGCCAGAAGTTAAAAGTGCATCCCTCTCCAGACAAAGAATTGGATGTTGCCAAGGTCAAGAGGAAGTTTGCAAAAATTGGAAAAGGTTATGAGAGCCTCCCAAGAGAAAGCACACTGACAAGTGAGAAACTTTTCATAGATCAAGAAAAAAGCCCAGATGATAAAAAAGTACTATTACCTCCAATTCCTGAAGTAAGTCCAGAAAATTCACTTCAAAAAAAGGGGAAGGATTCTTGCCATTACTCACTACCAACACTTGATACTGAAAGTAAATTTTGTATAATAAAACGAGCCAAAGAACTCCGCAATGAGCGTGATTTGAAAATAAGAAACCAAAGCCTAACAACAATGTCATCAGAGATACATAGAAAATACTCAAAAGCAAGAAAAATATCTCTAAAGAACTATCGAGATCAGAAGATAGACATTTTTGGCGATAACAGGAAACTTCTCAATGTAGAATCCAAAGTTGATGTGGAAGACAAACTGACTACACTGCCTTTGTTAGACAGTAAGTCTTTCAGTGAAATTGACTGTAATGATTACCTGGATCTAACCAATCGCATAGATAGTCTCTCGCCCACACCAGCTGTTCTAGATCATAAATTGTACTGGTCTTTAGCTACCAAACCTCGAGATAAGTAATGTAAACAAAATTTGGTGTTTAAACAGTTGTTGTGCAAAATTAAGTTACAGAATGTACATGTCATCACAGGTCATTGTAACAAATTTTAAATGACATCTAAATCTTGGATCTGATTTGTATAAAAATGTATAGAAGCAGGAAGGGAAAATTTTGAATAAAGAACAGCTATGATCGGAGCCAGCAGAAAATAATCCCATTCTCTATCAAAATATCATGTACCAAGACAGAACACCTGTATTTGTATTTGATGAGACCAAACATCTGCAGTGAAGGAGACTAGGATTCAAATGCATCTAAAAGTCTGAACTCAGTTGGAAAATTTTGCTATAAACTCTCAAACACTCTGACTTAACCCTTCAACTCCCAGATCAAATTTGTAGTTCTCCTTACTATCAATCGTACAATTCTTATAGCATTAGTTTGGAGAATTTAGTATTGGATCAACTTACTACACCCAAATTGATATTTTCTTTATTCTCATCACTTGCCTGCTTGATATTGTATTGATATTGAAAGGAGAAATTCTGTCTTGGTCACTCATGGGAGTTAGAGGGTCAACTTCCTAATTGTACCAAATTAAATATTCAACATACACACAGAAATTAAATAACATAAAATAAGATTTTGTTACATCAGCCTCCATGAAATAATTCCACAAATGAAATCAGAGTTATACAGATATCATAAATTTCAGTAGCATTAAACTTCCATTATGTGTGTCATAGATCACAACAAGATATCATTTTATGACCTACTTGAACAAAATTACACCAGAAATATCATAAATTGCAAGAAAATTAATTCAATGAATCCTGCATATCTGAGAATGCATGAAGAGGAAAAGCTTTTTTAAAGCTAATCTAATATTTGCGCAGTAATGATCATATTTTTTCTCTACTCTTGTTCATGACTGTCATCACATAAACATCATGTATCATTTTACTACATGCATAAAATCTATTTATGTTATACATACACAAACAACTTGTGATATCTGAACAGGAATTTGCTGATTGTTTCATAAACTCATTCAAAATTAATAGCGATAAACAGGAACACACTTCAGAGACATAATTTAACGACGTTTCATTCCAAATTACACAAAAAGTAATTTCCATGTACGAAATATCACCATATATGATATTGAACAGGCAAAACTAGGTTATTGAACATCGTTTTAAGTTTTAGCGATTTTCTTTACTTATTGTACATGTACAACTCTTTATACTGTCGGAATTTTGCTCCTTTCTAAAGACACTTTTAATACTCAAAATGAGCTCATTCAAAATATTTAAATCTCCTTTACTCTTCAGAAACTTCAGATGCGAAAAATCACCTTCCAGATGAGAGCCACCACGTGGATATTAAAGAGGATCGCAACATCTTATCAGTGTTTTATTCGACAATCCTTGTCATAACCTCCAGTTATAAATAATTCACATAAAGGAACGGTACCATGAGAAATACTGATTGCACTTCCCAAATGTGCTCCGCGATTTTATAACAAGAAATAAATAACAATCAGGCGCGAGAAATTTGATACAAACACAGTTATGTTTGTATGATGTAACCATCGCTTTGTTAAGACTTAACTCGTACAATAAACTCCTAAAAGTTATGAGTTTCCAAATGGCATTTACATACGAAAAGTTTAATCACCAAGGGCTAATAAGGTATTCCCGCAAGGGACGCATGCGATTTACATAACGGGAGCTCACAGAAGCGTAAAACTCAGACATATGCTCACTTCGAGAATCATGGCGATAACAAACAATCGACTGTTTGATAAATGTGCCAACCGAAAGATGTACAAGGCAAGGTTACCGTTTTAACCAAAAATTCTACGTAAAAACGGACCAAAAACGATCTCAAACCTGTAGATAATCTCCATAAGACATCCGTTTCTCGTCGCCATTCTTGCGGACTGGTATATTCTCCCTGCTGAATCAAAACCATACAAAATCAAAATACTTCAACAGCGGAATCGACTCGTAAAACTCCGAACACATTAAGATATCGATCGAACTTTCTTACCCGTCGTGAGCGTAGGGGCAACTCATAGTGAAAGATTAATTTTCTGAAAACTCTGACCAACAATCTGCTACTCGCGCGAAAAGCGATCGTGACCGGCTCACGAACGAAATGACTGGAACCGTTTATTCTAAAGGGGCGTGATTGGAGGCGTAACACTGGCTCTTAATTGACACCCTACGACAGAACCCCTTGGGCCCATTTCGTACATCATCATAGTGTTCCTCAAAGAGACGATTTCAGAATCTTTTTTAAAAGAAATACGAAATACTACACAAAAATATATTTTATTTCATTAGGTGGTTATGATTTAGTGATTAGTGTACAGATCTAGATTTAAAGTCCGAATTTATTTGGGACTTAGCTGTCACAATGAGTTTCCTCTTTGAGGCTATTTTGTTTTGCTTCCATTGCCTTGGACCCACACTAAAGTTCCTATTTTCGCTTTCTTAATCAAGGATTGATTTTTAGATCGGAAGAATTGAGTACTTTGTTATTCATTCGTGGTTAATGTTCTGATAAGCAAAATAGTACCAGCTACGCAGTAAGTTTCTCCCTATCCACATCGCAGCGTTCGTTTAGACTGCATCACCGAAAAATTGTGGTAATTTCAAAAAGCAGTTTCCTCGTCACTCAATCCTCAAGTCCAATTTTGAAGTTGTCTGCAACCGTGGCAGGTACTTAGATAGCAAGGATGGCAAGAGGAAAGCGGAGTGTATGAAGAAGTATCGGGCAGCTTGCTTCTAAGGCGAATGGGTCAACAATTCGCGCAAGGCCAACTTCAGTATAAAACCCCTTTGATTGTGTGTTATTGATGTCGTTGACCAGTTCTAAGTAAATGGCACGGCAATGAAAGTGAGTTGAGGTCAAACAATTCGGATTTAAATGTGACAGCTCCAGATATGTAGCCATCTCAGTGAGTCAGTTTTAATCGCGAAAAGGCGCTTGGTGCCCATTTGAAGAAATATGATAGACGATTCTTTTGTAATTGTTTCATTTGGGCAGAGGCGTATAGAACACGTACGCTTTCAAATCGTGTTAAATGTCCTACAGAAGACAACTGGATCATGTTTGTTTGCTTCGGACCATTTTCCTTTGCTTAAAGAGTAACGGTTCATGGCTTCTCCAGTTTTTTCAGCTTTCGTAGAAATAGAATCTGCCAGTCGATTGGTTCCCTCTTAATTCGTTCTGCATCATCAAATCAAATAAGAACAATAGTTGGTAAAACGTGGGAAAAGCAAACATCAGTCTCAATACAGAACAGGTATGCAGATGAACCAAAAATAATAGGCTTTTCGCGATTCTATTTGACCCATTGCGTTAAGTTACAAGTTATATCACGCAGGTGTCAACTTGGTTAATTTTCCGAGCACACTATTGTCCTATTAGTGATATCATAACCTATTTGAGGAAATGCGATAGACTATTCTTTATTATATAATAAGCTCAGTTATGCACGCGTTTTGATTGGTTCTCACTTATGATCTATTGGAGGACAGACGTATAGATGACGTCATCATTAAAACTTTTTTGAATTCTTTATTATATAAAACAAATAGATTCCAAGTTGCCGTGCGTCTTTTCAGTCACAGAGGACGTCAAAATGTGGTAAGAACATCAGTTGCTGCGCCTCGTGTGCCACTTTTTTGTTCTTACCACATTTTGACGTCATCTGTGATCTATTACTGAACAGACACACGGCAACTTGGAATTTATTTGTTAAACATAATTATTTCATTTCGGCAGAGACGACTAGGTCATCTATACGCTTTCAAATTGTAAATATCGTTTTCCAAAAATACATCTGAATTATTCTGGTTTGTTTCGAACTATTTTGCTTTTTGTAATTTAAATAGTGACAGTTAATAGCTCCTGTAGCAACTGGAATCTGCTCGTTGATTTGCTCCCTCGTGATTCATGCGATACGTGCCCCTAAAACTCAAAATTTCTATTGTTGACAGTGGATTAACTTAGTTGCACATTATATAGGGCAAAAAGATAGCAAAACGAGAGAAATGCAATCATCACAATACTTACAGATCAACTAATGAACAAAAAAAATTATTTTCGAGTTTCCATTCTGATCTTATATATAACGAGCTGTCAAAGATATCAATATTCCACATCGAGTATTATTAAAGTTCTACCTATGGTGTAAAGTTGCAAGCTTTATTGATTAATTTTGTGCTGGATCACAATTGACGGCAAAGGTAAGATCTTAACCACTGTACTTTGTAAGAAAAGAGTCCAATCGCCTCAGATTGTACTGTGAATTATTCTGACACGCCCACAGAAACGTAATTGCAGAAAAGAGAAGGATTGAGAAATGCCACGAGGCTTCGTGCAAGAAAAGAAGAAAACGTAAAATGAGTGAAACATTATCAAAGCGAGAAGTTGAGGGTATAGACAAATATGATGCACAATTGGCTAAAACTCTATCAGGAAACAGAGCCAAAACAATAAGAACGAGTGACGGCTCCGGGTATGTGCCCATCTCATTTCTTTTAATCTTACAAGCACTGGGTGCCCCTTGAGGAAAGATGATAGACCTTTCCTTTGTAATCGTTTTATTTTAGCAGAGACGAATTGACCATCTAGCTTTCAAATCGTGTAAAATTCTCTACAAAACGCAACGGGTTTGCTTTTCAAATTTGACGTTGCTTATAATCTCAATTAAAGACTACAATTAGATCGTGGCCGATTTCTTTACTACCGCAGTCTTTTGAGTACAGATTTATCGGTGAATATGAAAATCTCAGCAAAAGGAGAAGGAATTTCGTCCATAAAATGTCGTCTGCGGCATATACTTGGCAGCCATTTTGAATTCTTGTTAACCTTTTTCAAAACACGTGACCAAATGGTTAAAAAGGTCTATTGAGTCTTATAGATACAGTCTTTATCCAAGCGCAAAGGTTTGATAGCAATCGCAAAGTGATCATAAAATGTGAGTGGCCACGGTTGTAGGTGGATTTGTGTTTTTTCGGAAATCCACCATGAACGAAGTGGGCCAATCAGTATCCACCCCTCTACCCAATAAAAAATGAACTGGGTCAATCAGTATGCACACCCCTCCCCAACAAGAAATTTTTGTCTCTGCATTCTTCTGTGTCCCCTCCTTCTGCTCTCTGCTCGTCTAACGACGTTCAGAACCTGTGATTGAGTTACAAAGCAGTTTATTCTTTTCTATGAACGAAGCATTCAAAACAGCGTCATAAAATCAATAAAATAATTGTGTAAACCTCTCAGTTAAAAAAAATATCCTAAAATCTATATTTCAAAATCAAACAAAAGATCGCATTCAGTTTGGCTCAAAAAAAAAAGTAAACGGAATGTTGATTCAAAAAAAAAAATGAGGGGAAAATCGGAATGTTGACATATCAAAATTTACCTTCAAAAAAATGATAGCCTTAAAACTTGATGACAAGTTAAGCAAAAGAAAACAGTGCAAAAGCAAATCGATCAGCAACAGGAAAAAGCTGAAAACATTTTCTTTTCTAAGTCAATCAGCGTTTTGCCTAAAATATAAATGATATAAAAAAACGTCAATCAGCGTTCCTAAAATATAAATGATATAAAACGTCACACAAACAGTTATCACGCAGAATATATACTTAAAAAAAGTGAAAACCATGCAAGGAAATGCCTAACCTCGATTTATTTGCTGCTATATTATGAGCTAAAGAGTTCAACAGCTGCGTTACTTAAACTTAACACTAACACTAACACCTAACGCCTGTCATGAAACACAAAAATCCAGTCAATAGTTCTAAGCCTTTTCATCATCAGCGTTGACTTGGGGGTGCTTGGCTTGCAGATCCTGCATTTTCTTGTTTCCTCGGCTGTATTTTTTGCGGTACAATATGGCTGCAACAAGGAGGACGAGCAAGAACCCAACTATGGCGCTGCCGACAGCAGAAATCAGCAAAATGCTTCTCGTTTCCTTAGGTCGAACAGTCTCTGAGATAGTTCCTGCTTCCTCTTTGCTCACATCACCACCCATGTTGGGAAACACCACGTCAACAATGTATACGTACTTCTTATTCACGTGTTCTCGGACGAACTCCACCATCACATTCTCAAACTGCTGGCATTTTCCATCGCGGGCGCAGCTCAGGAGCTCCAGGCACATTTCATGCAGCATGTCCATCCATTGCGGAATGTGGGCTGTCTTGTTGTCATGGAAGGCATCACTGAAATACCAGAAAAACCCAGTGCGATCTGTGACGCGTCGAATAGCGGCCATCAAAGTCAGGTACTCGCTCCAAGCCAGATCATGAGGACAGAATGCGGTGCTAATGGGTGTAAACACTTGGCCAGCGGTATTCAGGGCTGCATCGCATTCTGTGGCCAGCTTAAATGGTATGTTTTCGGTCGCGTTTCCCTTCTCTCCGAATTGGTGTACCGAGTCATCATCAACGACCATGTGGTTTGCTGTGAAACCTTCATACGTGGTTACTTTATCGTATGAAGAGGGATATACGGCTTCAACTCTGCACCAACCAGGCTTACGATCAGCTCCGGAAATTCCTCGGATGAAGTCTCCATTGGATAGCTGTGATACGCGAATGATTCCTCTGCTTTGCTCCTCTACATGCATATCACCAGATACACACCCATTATTATTACAGCAATCGGTGCAGTCGCTGCATTCGCTATTGTCGCTTGCACTTGCACCAACATCTACACCTCGAGTCGATATCGCATGCAGAAGGGTCCCGATAACAAGCAATGACAAATTCATTATATGAGCCATGCCGCCAGTTCGAAGAGCTTCAGAAAAAATGAAGAAAAAAGTGGCAATTTATCATAAGAGGAAAGTAGATATCTTGCCTGATCTGTTTTGGAAAAAAAATCAAAGAATTTACGACCATATGAAGTGATTTATATACATTTCTTCCGTTCAGCCAGTCTTCAAAAATTTAAAGATATTTTTTTGTTCTCTTTTGATTTATGTAAACCTGTAGAAGCTCTAAGTAAAAAGTTAATGAGCATGGGAAAATTTTCCGAACAAATTTACTCTTAAAAATGGCAAATGTGCAACGAATTTTCCTTTCTCACAAACGAAGCGAAAACTACAGCTCAAAAACTGAGAAAAAAATTGCCTATAATTCCATGCACATAAAGTTTACTTAATAAATGCTTTAGCTAAATAAACAATTCAAAGCATGACTTTAGGTTAGATCTTGAGTAAGTTCAAACAACTTTCGGAATCTTAAACGCAAAGCTACAAAATTTCCTGACCGTGGGGGTGAACGAACATCGACCAAAGCATTAGAGTTTTATTTCGGAGCACAATTCTGTACACGTTAAAACTCCGTACTTTTTTGGCTTCTAACATGAAAATTTGGCGCTTCCTAGAATTAATTTAAGAGCTGTGACTGGTGTTTAACTGTTTTTGAGAACGAAGGGATTTTTCTGATATACCCGAAAAATTAGCACATCAAAAGTTCGTTTCGTGTTATGTAGGTACCTTCGTTTTTTTCTTCAGGAATAAATCAAGAAGCCTTACTAGCACCATGAGACGTGTCTTTTGATAGTAGGCTCTCTAAACAAAATTTACTTTCATCCCAATTTTTTTCGTTTTACTTATCGTTTAGATACATGTAAAACCACTCTAAACACTTATTTAAATGGCGCATTTTCAAAGTATGAAAGTCATTAAAAAACGCACTTTCATTTTCCGCCAAAGAGGAAGAGTCGAAAGTTTCACTATATATTTATTTGTATATAATTTGAGCCTTGAATGCAAGGCCAGGATTACGTAATCACTTCACTAGGCTTACTTAAGGCGTTCTTAAAGCATAGTTACCGAGTTGGAATCTGTATCCCCACCCGTAAAAGCGCAATCTGACATTCCAAAGATTATAGACGATGTATTCGAACATTGTGGCAACTAGATGGTCATATGCATTTTAAGTCCTAACGTGGGCGACTGGTATTCTGGCATTGTTGTACAATCGTGGCTGGAAACTCAAAATGAACGTGTTTTGTAACGGTGGCATTTCCGCGTTGCAACGTTCATATTTTAGCCTAAAACTGACCACTTACAATTCGCAAATAGTTTCATGGTACTGCTCTCGCTTGAAGCCGTGCAAACTGCGACGCCAATAAAAGCTAAATTTACAAGAACGTGCTCGGTGAGCCATTCCATATTCCAAACATTTTTCGAAATTCAGCAATACATAGGACTACATAGGATCCTTGTCAGCAAACAAAACTTCAATTTCTCTTAGTACGATTGCACAGCTACGGAAAGTAGATTTACACACAATTTAAATTTAAACAACAAGTTCCTGTCTTCAGTGGTCAACAGGATCTACTTGGTTGACCGAAAGTCACGATTGAAACTATGTATACAGCGCTTACCTTATATCTTCCTGAAAGTCGGTAATCCAGATTTAACTCCACTGAAGTACTAGCCCAAGTGATAGCTAACAAGCCCAGCCCCAAGCCAATCTATGTAATATTATCTCGTTATGATAATATGATGCATGTCAATTAGTAAGATAACAAAGTGCTGAAAGGGAAGTTTGCGGTTGATATTTTTCTGAGAAAAGGAAATGGACCCTGGCCAAATTGTTGTAGCTTGCCATTCAACAGGAAGCTCAAGTCGACCAGTGTACTTTATTTTTCCTTCCTGTTTTTGTAGCTAGGAAACAAAAGAGAAACTAACAGAAACTTTGCCATCAAAAAGTGAAATTAAACTTGGAATGAAAGGCGTTTAAAAAGGAAAAATAAAACTCAAGCGACTAGCGGCAGAACGACGTCAATGTTTAAAATCTCTTTCACGTTCTTTTATCAATTTTCTTTTTCTCAATTGTTCTCTCTCGTTGAAATAGCTTTGCCTTTAATAAGCCTTTGTCGAAACTCTTTTTGCGTTTGTAAGCAAGTTGTGAGATTATTTCTTTTGCAAATCATTTGTGCGACACAAAACATTGTTGCCTACTTTTGCTTTGTGTTGATCAGCGAGAAAACAAAGCGCTGAAAGGAAGTCTGTGATTTATATCTTTCCGAGAAACTGGGGAAGTGGATCCTGACCAAAATGCTGTGACCAGCTATTCAAAAGTACCAAAGCATTGTTGGGTACTGTTCCTTGGAAACGGCAAACTCATGCAATCATGATCTTATGATGCGTGCTGATCAACGAGAAAATAAAGTGCTGAAAGGAAGTCTGTGGTTTATATCTTTCCGAGAGAGAAGGTGGATCCTAACCAAAATGCTACGACCTGCTATTCAAAAGATAATTCGAGGAAGCCTAAGTCGGCTTGTGAACTGTCTCAGTCCACTGCGTACCAAAGCATTGTTGGGTACTGTTCCTTGGAAACGGCAAACTCATGCAATTAGGATCTTATGATGCGTGCTGATCAACGAGAAAACAAAGCGCTGAAAGGAAGTCTGTGGTTTATATCTTTCCGAGAAAGGAAGTGGATCCTGACCAAAATGCTGTGACCAGCTATTCAAAAGATAATTCAAGGAAGCCTAAGTCGCCTGGTGAACTGTCTCAGTTCTTCATCTATTTGCAGTTAAGGAACAATCATTCTGATTTAGCTGTTGTCAAGGAGTTTTTTCTCCATAGTCCGAATTGACTAAAGCCAAGGAAACACCTGAGACGAATTTAAAGCGTTTTGTGTTCCTGTGTAGTGTTTTGTTTTTCTTCGACTTAATTAAGATCAGGTAATTTGGCATTAACAACTGAGTTGAAAATGTAAATTAGCCATCTTTACGGTGGCTAATTTACGTTTTCAACTCAGTTGTCACCCTTTAACTGACCCCCCTTTATTAATTATGATCATTTTACCACTGAAACGTTTCAGCGTCACATGTTAATTATATTTCTTCTTTTACCTATTTGAGAAAGCTTCAAGAAATGAGTTTAGATATGAAAAGGCAACTTCTGGTCAGCAGTTATGGCAAAGAGGAGGCGGGGTAGCTTTGGCGGTTAGTAAGGGCTTTCGATTGTACTCGCTCATCATGAAATGAAAGGAAACGTACCTCAGAGACTTCTAGCGTTTATTTATTATTAGATTCAAACATTACGTTGGTTCTCTATGTTAAAGACCGGTGCAAACGTCGTTTACAGAGCTTCGAATTCGCAATCCTAATTGCCCCAGCACTGACCATACTATGGGAAAGGTAATATATGCTATTGCTCTTAATAATACGTTTATCCACGGGCGGCTCAAGTTCTAGCTGTGAGATGATCGTCTTACGCAATAACAGTCGTGGCGGAATTATAAGATTTTGTATAGGAATATTTACGACCGCTTTAACGAATTAAAAAATACGCTTAGGCCGCCGTCAAATTCTTAATAAAAATATCTCACCTTACTTCCGCAGCGTATTGCTTGTTATCTGACCGCTTACTTTGATGAAAAGAACGCATTTTAGCGAGTTGTCCATTTCGAGACAGTATTCACCTTCTGCGTTTCTTGGATTCCTGCAGGCGTTCTGACCATTTTAGAGTTTGGCTTCGATGTGCCTATTCCTTCCACTGCACGGTCATTACCTATGTTGTTTGCTTCTATTTGGGCGTGGCTTAATCCAGTTATTCATAGTGTCATGAACAGGGCCATGCGCAAGGAATATAGAGATATTATATTCTGTCGGAAAGAAAACTGACTCTTCAAATGAGATTGGGAGTCAGTATTGACTACATCACCCTCCTCCGCAAGTTTTCCGCTAATAGGAAAGTAACAGCTGACTGCAAAGGAGGAGACCTTGTATTTTTCAGATGAAGAAGTGATAGCTTCAGATGGCCATCTCACTGATTTCTTTCAACCGTGCGCCTATTTGTAAAGAAGCGCCCATGATCTAAAAGGAACTCTGCGCGAATACACGCCCTTTCCATAAGCAAGAAAAATGTAAATACGCGCTGGGTGCCTCTTTGAGGAAATGTGATAGACTAATAGACTATTCTTTAGTATAATTATTTCATTTCGGTAGAGAAGATTGGGCCATCCACAAGCTTTTAAATTGTAAATATCGCTTTACAAAAAAACACCTAAATCATTCTTGTTTGTTTCGAACTATTTTCCTTTCTGTAGTTCAGTTAAAGAGTGACAATTTATAGCTTCTGTAGCAACTGCAATCTGCCCGTTGATTGGCTCCCTCTTGATTCATTCCTTACGTACCCTTAAAACTCAATATTTCTCTTGTTGACGGTAGGGTAACTTCCGTCGCACATTATATTGGAAAAAAGATGGCAAAACGAGAAAAATGTAAACATCAATCTGCAGAACACATACAGATTAACTGATGAAACAAAAAAAAAATTGGTTTTCGAGTTTTTATTCTGATTATACACATGACGAGCTGTCAAAGATATTCCACATCAATTATAATCAAAGTTCTACCTACAGTGTAAAGTTACAAGCTTTATTGATTAATTTTGTGCCGGATCACAATTGACGGCAAAGGTAAGATCTTATTGTGCCATTGTGCTTTGTAAAAAAAGAGTCCAATCGCCTAAAATTGTATCGTGAATTATTCTGACACGCGTACAGAAACGTAATTGCAGAAAAGAGAAAGACTGAGAAATGCCACGAGGCTGTGTGCAAGAAAAGATGAAACAGTTAAATGAGTGGAACACCATCAAAGCTATAAGTTGAGGGTATAGACAAATATAATGCACATGCTAAAACTCTATCAGAAAACAGAGCCAAAACAATAAGAAAGAGTAACAGCTCCGAATATGTGCCCATCTCATTTCTTTTATTCGTGAAAAAGCGCTGGGTGCCCCTTGAGGAAAGATGATAGACCTTTCTTCTGTAATCGTTTCATTTTGGCAGAGACGAATAGACTACTGATCTACACTTTCAAATCGTATAAAACTCTCTACAAAACGCAACTAGTTTGCTTTTCCAACTTGATTTTGTTTTTATAACAATTAAAGACTGCATTTACATTGTGGCCGATTTCTTCACAACCGCAGTCTTTTGAGTGCTGATTTGCAAGGAAATGCCTAACTTCGATTCAGATGCTACAGTTACATATGAGCTAAAGAGTTCAACAGCTGCGTTACTTGAACTAAACACTGACACTAAAACACTAACGCTTTTTTATATTGCTGTTGAACCAGTCACACGTCATGAAACACAAAAATCCAGTCAACCGTTCTAGGCCTTTCCATCGTCAGCGTTGACTTGCGGGTGTTTGGCTTGCAGATCTTGCATTTTCTTATTTCCTCGGCCGTATTTTTTGCGGTAAAATATGGCTGCAACAAGGAGGACGAGCAAGAACCCAACTATGGCGCTGCCGACAGCAGAAATCAGCAAAATGCTTCTCGTTTCCTTAGGTCGAACAGTCTCTGAGATAGTTCCTGCTTCCTCTTTGCTCACATCACCACCCATGTTGGGAAACACCACGTCAACAATGTATACGTATTTCTTATTCACGTGTTCTCGGACGAACTCCGCCATCACCTTTTCAAACTGCTGGCATTTTCCATCTCGTGCACAGCTCAGGAGCTCCAAGCACATTTCATGCAGCATGTCCATCCATTGCGGAATGTGGGCTGTCTTGTTGTCATGGAAGGCATCACTGAAATACCAGAAAAACCCAGTGCGATCTGTGACGCGTCGAATAGCGGCCATCAAAGTCAGGTACTCGCTCCAAGCTAGATCATGAGGACAGAATGCGGTGCTAATGGGTGTAAACACTTGGCCAGCGGTATTCAGGGCTGCATCGCATTCTGTGGCCAGCTTAAATGGTATGTTTTCGGTCGCGTTTCCCTTCTCTCCGTATTGGTGTACCGAGTCATCATCAACGACCATGTGGTTTGCTGTGAAACCTTCATACGTGGTTACTTTATCGTATGAAGAGGGATATACGGCTTCAACTCTGCACCAACCAGGCTTACGATCAGCTCCGGAAATTCCTCGGATGAAGTCTCCATTGGATAGCTGTGATACGCGGATGATTCCTCTGCTTTGCTCCTCTACATGCATATCACCAGATACACACCCATTATTGTTGCAGCAATTCTCACAGTTGCTGCATTTGTTATTGTCGTCTACATCTACATTTACACTTGTACCTTGAGTCAATATCGCTTGCAGAAGGGTCCCGATGATGAGCAATGACAAATTCATTATACGAGCCATGCTACCGGTTCGAAGAGCTTCAGAAAAAATGAAAAAAAAAATGCAGGAATTTATCATAAGAGGAAAATAGATATTTTGTCTGATCAATTTTTGAAAAAAAAATTAAGATTTTACGACCATATGAAGTGATTTATATGCATTTCGTCCGTTCAGCCGGCTTTCAAAAATTTAAAGATATTTCTTGTTCTTATTTCTCTGATACACCTGAAAAATTACCACATCAAAACTTTGTTTCGTGCTATATAGGTACCATCATTTTTTTCTTCAGGAATAAATTAAGAAGCTGTACTAGCGCCATGAGAAGAGTCTTTTGATAGCTGGCAATCACTTTCATTTTCCACAGTACGAATAGGAGTCGAAAGTTTCATTATGCATCTATATGAAGATAATTTGAGCCTTGAATGCAAGGCCAAAACTACGTAATCACTTCACTAAGCTTAGTTAAGGTGTTCTCAAACCATAGTTACCGAGTTAGAATCTGCATCACCGCCCGTAAAAGCGCAATCTGATCTTCAAAAGATTATAGACGATGCATTCGAACATTTTGGCAATTAGATGGCCATATGAATTTTAAGTCCTAACGCTGTTTGTAACGGTGGTATTTCCGCGTTGCAGCATTTATATTTTGGCCTTAATTAACCACTTACAATTCGCAAATGGTTTCATGGCATCGCTCTCGCTTGGAGCCGTGTAAATTACCACGCCAATGAAGGCTAAGTTATAAGAACATACACGGTGAGCCATTATTCCAAACATTTTTCAAATTCAGCATTACACAGGATCCTTGTCAGCAAACAAAACTGCACTTTCTCTGAGTACGATTGCACAGTTACAGAAAGTAGATTTACACACAATTTAAATTTAAACACATATTTCTTACAACAAGTTCCTGCCTTCGGTGGTCAACAGGATCTACTATATTGACGGAAAGTCACAATTAAAGCTATGTATACAGCGCTTACCTTTAATTACAACTTCCTGAAAGTCAGTAATCCAGATTTGACTCCACTGAAGTACTAGTCCAAGTGATAGCTAACAAGCCCAGCGCCAAGCTAATCTATGTAATATTATCTCATTATGATAATATGATGCATGTCAATTAGTAAGATAACAAAGTGCTGAAAGGAAGTTTGCGGTTGATATTTTTCTGAGAAAAGGAAATGGACCCTAGCCAAATTGTTGTAGCTTTCCATTCAACAGGAAGCTCAAGTCGACCAGTGTACTTTATTTTTCCTTTCTGTTTTTGTAGCTAGGAAACAAAAGAGAAACTAACAGAAACTTTGCCATCAAAAAGTGAAATTAAACTTGAAATGAAAGGCGTTTAAAAAGGAAAAATGAAACTCAAGCGACTAGCGGCAGAACGACGTCAATGTTTAAAATCTCTTTCACGTTCTTTTATCAATTTTCTTTTTCTCAATTGTTCTCTCTCGTTGAAATAGCTTGAAATAGCGTGAAATAGCTTTGCCTTCAATAAGCCTTTGTCGAAACTCTTTTTGCGTTTGTAAGCAAGTTATGAGACTATTTCTTTTGCAAATCATTTGTGCGACACAAAACATTGCTGCCTACTTTTGCTTTGTGTTGATCAGCGCGAAAACAAAACGCTGAAAAGGAAGTCTGTGGTTTATATCTTTCCAAGAGAGGAAGTGGATCCTGATCAAAATGCTGTGATCAGCTATTTAAAAGCTAATTCAAGGAAGCCTAAGCCGGCTTGTGAACTGTCTCAGTCCACTGCGTACCAAAGCATTGTTGGGTACTGTTCCTTGGAAACGGCAAACTCATGCAGTTAGGATCTTATGATGCGTGCTGATCAACGATAAAACAAAGCGCTGAAAGGAAGTCTGTGGTTTATATCTTTCCGGGAAAGGAAGTGGATCCTGACCAAAATGCTGTGACCAGCTATTCAAAAGATAATTCAAGGAAGCCCATAAGTCGGCTAATGAATTGTCTCAGTTTGTCATCCGTTTGCCTTGAGTTAAAGAGCAATCGTTTTGATTTAGCTGTTGTCAAGGAGTTTTTTTCTCCATGGTCTGAATTGGCCAAAGCCAGAAAAACAACCGAAAGAAATGTTGGAGCGTTTCGTGTTGCTGAATAGTGTTTGTTTTTCTTTGACTTAATTAAGATAATTTTACCACCGATGCGTTTCAGCGTCACATGCTAATTACACTTCTTCGTTTGCCTATTTGAGAAAGCTTCAAGGAATGATTTTAGACATAAGATGGTAACTTTTGGTCAGCAGTTATGGGAAAGGGGAGGGGGGTAGCTTTGGCGGTTAAATTAAAGGGCTTTCGACTGTGAACACTCATCATGAAAAACTTGGCTCTCTTGACCAAATGAAAGGAAACGTACCCCAGAGACCTCTACCGTTCACTTATCATCCTGTTCATTATTATATACATTCAAACAATACGTCGGTTCCCTATGTTAAAGGCCTGTGCAAACGTCGTTTGCAGAATTCTGATTGCTCCAGCACTGAAACTACTATGAGAAAGGTAATATATATACTATTTCTCTTAACAATACGTCTATCTTACAAGGCGAGGCATAACTGTCTGGTATGAACAACAATTCATCTTGCTTTTGTTAGATATTCCAGAGTATATTATTGATTGTTCCGGCATTATTCTAACTATACTCATTGCTTAAACTAGTAAAGGGAAAATCGCCGAGGATTAATTCCCACAGTATTACGGAGTACTTAAGACGTTTTACAACCCGGTGTCACTGAAAACACTTAGCGGGATTCGATGTAAACCCTTGGACCTAAAATCTATGCAATAAATTGGCAAGCACAGATAAATGAACACCTATCCAGCGGCTAAAAAGCTCAGAAAAAAATCGCGTGACTTGATTTAAATCCTCATTAATATAGCTGTTGCTGATCTCATGTCATGCATCGCAAAAATCCGATCGATTGTTCCGTACCTTTCCCTCGCCGTTGTTGACCTGTGGGCAGTTATATTAAGCCTGTCAGAAAAACCCTTATTCTCCTGTCTCCTGAGCCGTTTTGTGGGGTATAGTATGGCTCCAACAAGCTGAACGACTGATGAACTCAACTATGGCGCTGTCGACAGCAGATCTATAGACATGAGTATAATGCTTCTCGTTCCCTTAGGTCGAACTGGTCTGTTTCTGTTTCTCTACCACAGTTAATCAATCATCATTCGGTATCATACTCCGGCAATGTCGCTGGTACAATTATGCGCGGATGATCATCAATGACAGTTTTGTTTCGACGAGCCATGGCGGCAGTTTGTACACAGCTTCAGACAAAAGGAGAGACAACATGTGAAAAAGTGATCTGAGTTTTCGATTCAAGGACGTCAAGTTGGTAAACAACACATCAGTCAAGTGTGAATAAAATTATTATATTTTTCTGGGTCACTGGAGAAGACACTTATTTGTCGAGTAATCGTTCTAAATGCGCATCTATGCTGGCTTGACCAAAGGTTGTTCAGAAGTTGAAAAACTTATGTGCTTAAGTACACTTTATTTTACATTTAGTTTGTTAGAGTCGGTGTATTCCAAAAATATCACTCATCAGCATTGCAGGCTGAGTTCAATCTTTGCTTTGTACTTGACTGGAGTATAAATGAAAGTTTTGTCATTATGTTGAGCCTTCTAAACTGAAAAGAATCTAAGGCCTGTAAAACACATGCAGATGAACCAAAAAAATTGGCTCTTCGCGATTCCGTACCGACTTCTCTAGCCTGTCAAATGTCAATGGGTTTAGGTACGGTTATGCACCATTTATTTTTTTTGACCTACTGACGGTGTAAAATCCATATCAAGCCGGTGTCATCTTGGTTAATTTCTGATTACAATTGTCCTCGAAGCGGTATCATAACCGCTGCCTTTTGTAAACAAGTTTTCAAATCAAATATTTAACAAACAATCATTCAGACATGGATACAGAAAAGTAATTGGAGAATTTCTGCAGTTTACGTTTATGGAAAAACAAAATTCACACAGAGTGACAAGGTAATAACACAGAACATAAGAACCAACTTCCCTGCCTCAATCAAATGGCGTTCTTAATAAATGAAAAAAAATGGAACAAAATGAAGATTCAAGAAGCTTACCTGAAATAGTCATTCACACTGTTTCAATCAGTCAAACAGTGGTTCTGTCGTTATTGGGAAATTCACTCATCTGCCTCGTCTTTTATCAAAACAGAAGACTGCGAACCATCACCAACTGATAAACCTACTATCTCTTGTAATGGCCAAGCATTCGGTTTTCTCATTTAAAAATAAGATTTGGAGTCATTACTGACCATATCCCCCTTCTCCATAACTTTTTTGTTTATAAGACAACAGTCGATCGCGACCGCAAAGAAGACCTTACGTTTTCAGCTGAAGAAGTGACAACTCCGGATAACAATCTCAATTCAATTTTTTTTTCTTAGCTGTGCGCCTGTCTTTGTAAACGAGCGCCCACGATCTGAAATGAACTCTACGCGAATACACACCCTTCCATGCCGCATAAACAAAAAACAGGCAAGTACGTGCCGGGTCCCTAACTGAGGAAATATGATAGACTATTCTTTAATAGTTATTTCATTTCCGCGGAGATGATTTGGCCATCTATGTTTTCAAATCGTGAATATCGCTTTACAAAAGACAACTGAATCATTTTTCTTTTCTACGGACTATTTTTCATTTTGTAGCTTAAAAAGTGATTGTTTATGGCTTCTGTTTTTTAAGATTGCATATATAATAGAGTGCAAAACGAGAAAAAGGCAAACATTAATTTCTAGAATACATGCACATCAACTGTTGAACCAAAAAAATAGGCTCTCGAGCTTCCTTTCTGATTATTACCTGACAAGCTGTCAAATTTAAAGACATTGCTATTTGACATCCGATCGATTTATTATTCACGTTCTACCTATTGTGTAAAGTTGAAGGCTAGATCGGTTAATTTTGTGCCGGATCATAATTGACAGCAAAGGTAAAATCTTGTAATAAACCACAGTGCTTTGCAAACAAAGAGTCCAATCGCCCTGCAAATTATAATTATGCAGGCAAGCATAAAGAAAGGTAATTAGAAAAAAACTTAACAAATGACGCTTAAAATAAGTTTAACCCTGAATGAATATAAAAGAATGAAGAAGAAAGCTCAACTTCCCAGCCTCAGTTAAATTGCTCTTTAGTCAATGGACAAAATGAAACAAATTGAAGATTCAAGAAGCTTCGCAGAGGTAATCGTTCACACTGTTTTAATCAGTCAAGCAATGGTTCTGTCACTATTAGGAAATTCACTTTTCTGCCTCGCTTTTTATCGAAACAGAAGACTGCGAACCATCACCAATATATACCTGCTTTCTCTTGCAATGGCTGATCTAACGGCAGTCACCTTTGTGTTTCCGTCTGTTCTACTCGCTTCTGGTCTACGCAGATGGCCCTTCAGTCACGGCTTCTGTAAATTTACTGGTTTACTCACAACTTTCTGGGCTGAGTTTTCGCTTCTTATTCTCGCAATAACAGCGATTAATCGTTATTTTTGCGTCGTGAAACCACAACGATATGCCTCCCTTTTCACCAGAAAGAATTCTATCATATCAATCTCTTCGGTTTGGATTATCCTATGTATTTTTTACGTTGTATTTCATGACGTCGTATACATCATCTACAAATGGCAACCAGAAGATTTATATTGTAGAGGGACTTACGGCTGGTGGAGATTTCATAAAATGTTTCAGGTAGCTTTTGCATGTCTTAATTTCGGATCGACGTCCATGGTGTTTTTCGCTTATGGCAAGATCCTTCTTCTCGTAAGAAGACACAATAATGCTGTTCACTACACGGTTCAAGGAACTTTCAGGGAACGTTTAGAGTGCACGAGATGAAAGCTTTTCGAGTTTCATTTGCGGCAATGTTCAGTTTCTGCGTTTCTTGGATTCCTGCAGGCGTTCTGATCATTCTAGAGTATGGCTTCGCTGTGTCTATACCTTCGACCGCGCGGTCGATTCCTTTTTTGTTCGCTTCTACCTCGGCGTGGATTAATCCTGTAATCTATGGCGTCATGAATAGGGCCATGCACAGGGAATATAGAAATATTATTTTCTGTCGGAAAGAAAACTGACTCTTTAAATTAGGTTGGGTGTCTACACTGACTGTATCTTTCTTCTCTGTAAGTTTTCCGTTATGTAGAAAGAAAATAGCTGACTGCAAAGGCGAGGGCCATGCATTTTGCCGGTTCTCAATATGTTGTTACCTTTTCTTCGTTTGTTTGCTTGTTTGTTTATCTTTATTGTGACATAAGCTAAGTGGATAACAAGCCCAGTTATCTGGATGCTCGTATGCAAGTTTCCCCATAACCGTTTGTAATATGTAAGGTCTCTAAAAAATAGGTATGTTATTGCGCCAAAAAATTACATTTGTTCCAAATGAGAATTTCCTTCCCCTGTTCCACCAAGTATTCAAAGCGACAATTTTATATGCACAACTATCAATGAAAGCGGTTTTCATGCACTGAAGTTCCCAACTCCTTGCAAATTTTTGCTGGTCACAGTCGTTGTCGGCGAAGTTCATTAATTTTTTAGTACATAACATGTGTATTGTGTGGAGTTCAAGACCAAATAAAATTTCGCTCTTATTTGAAAATTGCCAGAAGGATATTTCTCTCATCCACAACCACAACGAATTTTAGTTTCGAAGTCATTGATATCAAATGGAGAGCTTAATTGAATCGGTACCTCAATGCCATCCGTTTCAGTTCAGGAAAAGAAAAGCGCGGTGGTGATCGAACAAGTTCCATCGGGTGCATTGGAATAGTTTTGAATTGAGTGTCGTAAGAGCAAAACCGAAAGTAATCACAAAGACCAATCAGGACAAAGATGTACATCATCATTAGCCAATGAGAACTCAAATTGAAACAATCAAACTGCTTGAGAGGGGGAAAACGCGAATGAACATGTCTAGAGACAGTTTTAGTTTTGCATCTGATTGGCTGAGAGGATGGGGCAAGTTTTCTAGACTAATAACAGAACAAAATCAGTAAAACCTAAGCAATCCCTGAATAGTTTCAACACTCAATTGGAAATTGCTCTAAGTAAGGCTAAAAGGAAGAAAGTAAAGAATTACTGTTTGTAGAAGGTTTAAGTTTACATTAGCTAAAATTGAGTGAAACATGTGGTGCATCTTTGCATCACAAAACTATTGCAATGCTTTGTTTATTAATTCATTTAATAATAATAACATTTTAATAATTCATTTGTTTTACAAAGTGCGGTTTAACAAAACATGGTAGCGTAGCGATTCTTCCGCATTTTAATACGCACTCGCAAGTGAACATAGATTCAAATTTTGAAGTGAAAAAAAATATACCCTGGAAAAATACATTACCTGTAAGTCTACAATGAAAAATATTTACATAAATTAATTTGATTGTTTACAAAAGATCTCGTGGAGATCTTATCCCACATATTAATAATTTTTTACTCAGATTAAATCTAACAGTGAAGACAAAGGAATCAGAAATGAAAATAAAAGTAAGCAAGGTACACCTGCAGGTTCTCAGAGGTCATTCATTCTTTACACCCTTTAGAGATATCATAAACACTTGAATGGTGGGTAAAATCTGCTTCACAATTAGGTCATTCAATATCTCCCGTGTAAGCGGAGATCTCCACAATAAACAACAAAACAAAGAGGTGCGAAGAGATACAGACCAACAAAAGGCTGTTTAGCTCAGATTAAAGTCCATCAAAGTAGATTTCTTCCAAGCAAATAATGAAATCACCTTAACGCGTGTGTGTGTGTGAGTGTGTTTTCTTTTAAGGACAATAGAATCGCCTTTTTTAGTTGCAGGAAACTGTATTGCACGCAAGCGGTCACAATAGGGGTCGACTGTTGATAGGACAGAATCAAGCCTGAAGAGCAGGTGTTGATACATACGAGCGCCGAGCTCAATCCTCAGTGAATAGAGAAACGTCGAATCATCCCAAGAAATCGAGTTTAGCGCGTCCTCTCTGTATGCAAGAAATGGATCTCGGTCAAGGTAAAAGAATCCTCTCTGCAGTTGTGACGCACACGGTTCTTCTTGCATGTACATCACTTCTGTCCCTCACAGGAAACGCGCTCGTCTGCGTGGCTTTCTACCGAAACAGAAGTTTACGAACTATCACCAATTTCTACGTGTTATCTCTGGCATTGGCTGATCTAATGATGGCTGTAATGTCTGCTTTTGGAGCAGTCGCCTCTGGATTAGATAGATGGCCATTCGGTTTTACCTTTTGTCAATTCCACGGTTTCGTCTCAGTTTACTGGGGGCAGGTATCCACCTACACTCTGGTTCTCACATCGATTAATCGATATTTTTGCGTTGTGAAGCCACAAAAATATCCCTTGTACTTCACCAGAAAAAGAACATTTTTTTCCATAATCGCTGTCTGGACTTCATCCCTTGTTGTCACTGTAAGTTTTCATATAGCGCCTCTTGTATACGAGTGGACTTCTGGCATTTTGTACTGCCGAGCAACGTCTAACGATGAACGCTTTCTGGGAATCTTTTATGTCTTCTTCTGCAGTATCTTTACAGTAACTATGATTATAGTAATACTGGGATATTTCAGTGTTTACCGTCATGTCAGCCGACATAACATCGCCATAGTACCTTCGCTCAGACGTGAAGCAAACCGGCAACAAGGAACGCCGATAAACGCACAGGAAATCAAGATCTCTAAAGTACTTTTTGCTGCGGTATTTGGTTACTGCATTTGCTGGGTTCCCTTTATCGTCACGTTGATTCTAGAATTTGGTTTCCAAGTGTCCATTCCTTTCTATGTACAGTCGCTGTATACATTTTCGGTTTCAATCTCTTCGTGGATAAACCCTGTTATCTATGGCTTTATGAACCGAGCCATGCGTAAGGAATTTGGAAAACTAATATTTTGCAGAAAAGGCTCGGAATGAACAACGGTAGCGGAGCGAGGGGGGCAGGGAAGGGAGGCGTAGCTCCCCCGAAACAAAAATCTGAGGGCACATACAGCCCCTCCGCTAAATGAATCTATAAATGAATCTCTTTATACTAAACAAAAAAAATTGATTCATATTTATTCTTGGTCGAGTAACATTGTGCTTTCATGAAATCTATCAGCCTTGTTGGCATACAAGTACAAGCGTAACCGGATGTCTTCTGAAAAGAATAGGGGCATTGAATATATAGAATTTTTTCAGTGGTTAAGTAGCAATCCTAGCCGAATACTATCAAAATACAAAGAATCTCTGTATAATTAGCATAAAGGGTAATTTAAGGTTATCGACTGAGTTGAAAACGTAAATTGGCCACCATAAAGAGTTGTAAGGTTGACGTTTCGAGCGTCAGAGCGATTGACGAAGGGCTAAAACTCAAAACGTCAGTTTTAAACTCTTTACGGTGGCCAATTTACGTTCTCAACTCAGTTGATAACACTAAATTACCCTGTTATACTCTCCTACTGACGCAACACCACAGTTTCTTCAGAAACTTACCCCCTTCATTAATTATCATGTACTCAAAGATAAGAATAGTTAACTTCTAGCTTTAGTCTCATAAAAACTAAGCAGGTTTCCCTCTAACCTAAGCAGTAACCTTTCACCAGAAAAATTGCAGTTGCTATCGCACAAAACTCGTCTTTCACGTCACGTTCCTTCCTCTGTGGCAATGATAATGATAAATAATTCCCAGTTTATTTAGTGCATTCTCCATTTTAATAAGCTCTGATGCGCTTTGTAACACTTGGAATTTGGCATTGTAAATTTGGCATTAAACATTGTAACTTACATAAAGCAGGTCACAATTTACCGTCAATGGTTACAAATCTACCGTCAACGATGTTTGAAGGTAAATTCCACGAGTGCCCCTAATTGTGGAATTTTTGGAAATAAAGTCAGTGCCAGCCCATAACACTGATAGCCGTAGTACGTTCCCTACCTTTAGCGAGAAGTGCGACCATTCACATTTCTCTCACCAGGTTCAGCCGACGAAATCCGGCCCATCCTTCCTTTTGTTAGTTACACAACCCCGTGAGAAAGTTAAAAACACCGATAACCACGCAAACCCATCGTTTTTTTTTTGTTTTTTTGTTTTTTTGTTTATATTTTTTCCCCATCGTGCTTCACTCCTCCTTCCGCGCTCCGTTTTCTGACGATGTTTGTAAACATGGAGTCAGCGGCTTTCATCTGCAAGCCAGGTTACAAAGCTCATGGTGAAGAGGTCAGCATAACAGAGGGACATTTTGTTGCGCATGCGCCAAGAAAATTTGTTCGGCGCGTTCGGCGCCATTTTGATATTTTCAGCGCGCTTTTGCGGGTTTTCAACTGAGCGATCGACACCTTTCTGTGATATTTTTTGGAGAGGGATGGAAGAGTATGACAAGTGTATTACCATTTCTAACTCTGTGGATACTTGTGGAGTTTGCTGGCTCTTCGGATGAGGATATTTTAATGATCAAAGTGCGAACAAAACGCGAAAAAAAGTCGAAAACTTGAAGTTTGAGATTTGATTTGCTGACGATCAAGATGTGCACATGAGACTACAAACCTTGAAGGTTAGTCTTAAGATGTTGATGTCTTACTTCTATAAATCACGAAGTGATGTGTGGAGGCGATCGTGAGATATTCGTTACGATAATAGAAGGTAGTTTACAATTGGATCTTATTTTACTTCAACTTTGAAATAAAATTACGTTAAGTTCGAGGTGGCCCCCAAGCTTCAAATCACTTCAAATAACATCTTATCTTCTTTCTCTTTGTTGTCCCATTGGACACAAGGCTTAAAAAAAATGTTCCAGCTTCAGGATTGAGTTGCTCTTTCTATAACCTTCGGCGAATTCGTTTTTGGGAGGTTGAGGTGGATTTTCAAAGTCATGGCTCACAACTGTCTTTGGCCATTTTGCTCTCCAAGTCTGTTGTACTTGGTACGTAGGCATGCGTCTTAACAACGTTTATAGTCTTGCCTCGATCATCTGCGGTTTTATCTAATTTTTTTTGCTGTGTTTTGGTGAGAATTTTTCTGATTGCCCTTTTGGGCTTGAAGGGCTAACTAGAGGATAAACTTCGGTAGAACTTGTTTTATCACTTGGCCCCAAATCTCTCACCACTGTCAGTTCATTGTTTATTTATTTAGCCTTCGGTCTAACCAGTTCATTTACCTAAAAAAATCCGTGGGCTTTGTCTCATGAGTTTAAACTGGTGCCGTTTTCTTCATGTTCATGTGTTATTCGAAACGGATGGCGTCAGCTTCATTCTGTCTTGTTTATTTCAGTAGAATACTTCTGCCATACGAAATGAATTTTGAGTCGAAGTGTACTATAAAACTCGCAGATTAAAATTATCTAACTTTCTCTGGTTCTTAAAACATGAGGTGAGCGATACAATAAATGAATAATTACTCAAGGGGCTGGAACTCTCTTTCTTTAGAATGTGAACTACAGTATTTCTGTCATATTTGAAAACGAATTTCGGGTTAAAATGTCTTCAAACCAGTTTGACTTGTATTTCTCTTTGCCAGATAAGTCTTGATCCTTCAATTTTTATTTCTTAATTGAGACTGATGATTGGAATAACTATTGTGTTCTCTGCTGTTTTTTAGGGAGATGTGAAGTGACCCCACTACATATGGTCAGTACTATTGACAGAAAGGATAGGTGTGACATTTGCTGTGGCAAGCTGGCATTCAAGAGAATGTCATTAGTACCAGAAGCTTACTACTGGTATAAATTATCAATCTTTTGTTCTCTCCACACAACTTGCCTCAACTAGCTTATGCTATATGCAACTTGTGTCTATACCTTTTTTTGCAACTATAAAATTACCAATAGAGTTTTTTGAAAGTTTTGTCCAAATTTCATGGGAAAACAATATGAGGAGTGATCAGGTGAAATATTGTCCTGTTCCATAACAGTGTTTGAGCTTCCAGGCAGAGCTAAAAATTTCTTAAGCGACTGATATGATTTTCTGCCTTAAAATTAGCACAGCCAAACCCCTGGCTTGAAAACTATTAATTTCTGCAAATAGGCATCCAAGCTGATGCCCATTACTGCAGAATATGCAATATCAAAGTCCCCTTTTGACTTAGGTCTCATTTCTCTAAAATCTGATAGATGTAGAGCATCAATTTTCATAGAGAGATCAACAAACCTCTTCACATTAGTTTAATCTGACCTCACTAAGTCTTATTCCTGAAAAGAAAAGGCTTTTTTTTTTTACCCTCACTGTTAAATATCAGCCTTACTGGTTCTTTGTTGTTTAGCATGTGTAAGAGTCTTTTCAGACCATCAAATTGTCACACAACTCTTGTAATTTAATAGGTTGGAGAATAAGGTTGCAAAGAGTGTATATGATTTTTTGTGCAGTTGAAATGATAAATGATAGTGATTTTCACTGGGTAATAATTGATTTAACTATTCATCTTACAACTGGAAGCCCAAAGTAGTACTTGTTTTCTTTCACAATTTCCCCACATCATCGATCATATCTGATGATATTTCCGAGACTAATGATTGAAAAGACTTTATCTTACTCTGATAAAATCCATAATTATTCCTCCATTTCTAACCAGATGGAGCTACCATATCTCTAGCATTAGTATTGTCTTACTTTTCTTTACTCGACATTGACCTTTTTTTTTTTTGGTAATCGGCCCTGCCGGTTGTGATTCATGTCAAAAAAAAAACTTTTGAAACAAAACATAAACCTCTGTAAACTTTACATTTTTGCCAAAATTGGAGGTACACTGCACTAGCAGTACAGTTGAAGCTCTAAAAACGCTTACAGAAAGGCGAGTACTTCAAATGATCACCTATAACTTGAGATAGCAATGACACGATAAAAGTATACTATCCAATTCTTTTGTACTCTTCGACAGGCCACTTGCATCCTTCAAAAAATAACATCATCTTCATCGATCGCCCAGACAATCACGAGACAAGACTCGAACAATCTTTTGCATTCTGAAAATAACTTCCTTCCACACATCACACAATAATTTCAAGGATTTGCCGCTTCCATCTACGTTACAGAAGAAAAAATGAGAAGAAAGGTTGTCTCAAATACTCGAACCATTGTTTTTTCCGACGTATTTTACTGCTTCTTTTCTTTCGTGATTCTCGAAAGGGAAACCGACGCAGGCGCATACCAGCGGTTTCTCGTATCAAACTAAAATTTACCGGACATGCGCAACAAAATGCCCCTCTGGGAAAGCACACTCCGACATCCGTCAGAAGGAGGTCATCTCGGGTAGATTTCCGATTACGAAATCCGAGCTCGCCCAATGTTGTCTTCGTGATGAAGGCCCTATTTAGCATATTAGACCCGCAAAACAGAGTAGAAACGAACACGTGCTTCGTTTTCGTTCATGACTTCGTATTAGGCGTAAGATATTGCTTTTTTTTTTCGTTGCTTACCTTTATTACAGACAAAATTTTTGCGATGCCTCCTTTTCACGGATGGCCGATTACAGCTACAACATAGTAACACCTCCACGAAATCTGTCCAAAAGGTCAGATCTGGTGAAGGATGTCAGGTCAGCAGAGTTCATTCTTCGAGAATATGAAACTGCCACCGTCACCAAATTCTGTTGTAGCAAGTCAACTGACAAAGGTTTTGGAAACACAGGTGAGAGGCCAATCTTCTTGTCATATGCGATTGTATTTTTTCCGTCATGTAATATCCTGGGCTTGATGTTTCTTGGTAGACATGGGAATAAAGTAGGGGGGTTTGATCTAAAGGCACTTAGGGGGGATGGTGAGCGGTAGATGAGAGTTGACTGTAAGAACGATATCTCACTTATTTGACGGGCCCTATGCATGCTCATAAGTGACAGGTAACTAGGTATCATTATCGATGTCATGATCCTTTTTGACACATTATCGTTTAAAGGAAGGGTGACAAGTTGACTATGCTTCTCAAATTTGTAAAAATTTGTTTTGTAA